GCCAGCACCGTGACATCTACGCAGCTCGCGAGCACCGTCACGCAACTCGCGAGCACTGTCACAAGTACAGCCACGAGCACTCTCACGCAGCTCGCATCGACCGTGACGTCCACCGCCACGAGCACTCTCACACAAGTCGCTTCCACTGTGACCAACACCGCCACGAGCACTCTCACGCAGCTCGCTTCCACCGTGACCTCGACCGCGACATCCACGCTCACGCAACTGGCCAGCACCGTGACCTCGACCGCGACATCCACGCTCACGCAAGTGGCCAGCACCGTGACGAGTACGGCCACGTCTACGCTCACGCAAGTTGCATCGACTGTGACGTCCACATCGTTGCTCTCGCAAGTCGCCTCGACTGTGACCAACACCGTGGTCAGCACCCTAACTCAGCCGGCATCGACTATTACTGCACCCCCCTCAACCGTCACCAATACGGTGACAGTCACCGCCACGTCGCTTGTAACGAAGGTTGTTGGTGGCGTGGGTTCAAAATAGTGATTTGATTTGATTTGATTTGATTTGATTTATCCAAGCAATTAAGCGTGGCGAAAATAGACTGGCGTTTCGGGGGAGCTGCCTCCATCACTTCGATGAATGACTGGATGCAGTACAGATGAATGTGCATAGATGTGTATATATCCCCTAGTTTGGCTTCTGTATAGATTAGCCATCTTTCGCACCTTACTCTCAACTTGCCTGTATGCTCATTACCCTTGCTTCAATCAGAAGGAAACGCCGATTGAGCAGCACCGCCCTAACTAGCGGAAGTAGATACCAAAGGGAGATTCTACGGAGCTGGTCACGGGCCTCTACATAAGGCAGGCAAAGCGAGTTTCGAATAGAACTGCCAGTTGGGAGATTATTCTCTCGATTCAACAAGATCTCCCACTTGGCAGATTTCGGTCTCGATGCCGGTCACGTGACGAAGGCGAGGTAGGCAAGAGGATTTCGAAAAGATCTGCCATTTGGCAGATTTGCGAACTGCTTGTCACGTGCTTTGATCGGGGCAAACTACAGTGTTCCTTGGTTGACAGAGGGAAGACCGTGAGCAATTGAATGGGACGAAAAATCAGGCTTCGCTTGAGTGACTTTGAGTCTAGATTGAAAACTATAGACTGTAGCAAGGCTATTGACTTGATCGAAAACCCGGTGGAGCTGCTCCCCAATTCACCCTCCACTCTGCTTCTCGATCTGCAGCCCAGCAACATCTGCCTCATCCTCAATTGATCGTGCTCTCGCCGCCTTCACCGCCTTCGCCATCCCCTTCCTTCTGAACATCCTCAGCAACGTCCTCCTCCGTCTCCTCTTCCATCTCCTCTGTCCACTGCTTTGCCCGCTCCTCCGCCTCCTGCAGCACCTTTTCCAATTCCTCCTTCTTCAGCTGCTGAAAGTGAGTCGATAGCGAATTCTCCCCTCCCTTCGCCTTGCACTCGCGCCACCATTTCAGTTGGGAAGGCGGCATCCACAGCGGGAACAGCGCGTCGCGGAGCTTCTCGATGTTCTCGTTCGGATCGATGACGTTGGGCATCTGTTCGACTTCGCTCGGGCGCAGCTCGATGTAACAAGCCCAGGTCTAGACGGCGTTAGCTAGCATTCTGGACGTCCTTCTACAGCCGCGCGAATAGGAACAAGCGTGGCAGAGAGGGGGAAGAAGCGTACCAGTGCCTGGAGGCTGCCGTCTTTTTGGCACGCAACGATGTAATCCAGGTCGTCTTCCTTTCCGTTTCCATCAATGAAGCGCTGGATGGTTGCCCTCAGCTCCTTGACCGGGAACTCAGGCGTGGGTTTGATTTGTTGCTCCTGTTCTTGGTTCGACTTGAGAACGAGACGAGTGAACCACGACATGGCTGCGACGTGTGGTGGTGTGAAAGTGCTTGGTCAGGAGTGTGGAAGAGAAAGAGGAAGGAAAGAGATCGCGGCCGCCTTTTTAAAGCGAGGGTGAATGCTCGCCAATCTAGAAAGTCCAAGCGTGAGTGGAATATTTCGTGAATGTCTGTCAGGTGACTGAGTGGTGACCAGGCAAGGCTCCAGCCTCGCCACATTCACGCCTTCTCCCGGCCTCCCCCCTTCTTCTTCACAACAACCCGCCCAAACTCATCCGCATCAACAAACCCCTCATCAACCCCCACCGCACGTCCCCTCTTCTTATCCTTCTTCTTTGCCTCGCGTTTCGCCTCCCTCTCCGCCTCCCCCGTCCTCTTCTTCACCTTAGGAACCCTAGGAACACGCGTCTTCGCCCCCAAAGCCCACAAATCGCCCCAAGAGCTCTTGCGCGCGTCGCGGAAAGCCTGCCTGCTCAAGCTGCGCGGTACAGTCCAGCGCTCCAGCGTGGCGGCGGGGGTGCAGAGGTCGAGGATTACGTGGCCGCGGCGTTTCAGGGGCGGGAGGACGGCGCGGGGGAGGGAGAGGGAGAGGTGGTGTTGCTCTGTTGAGGGAGGGGTATCGTGGTGCTCGTACCCTTTGAACGCCTCCTCTGTCGCTGCGTCGTCTTGGTTCACATTCGCTCCCGCGTCGCGGAGGTCGCGGCCGCGGATAGCGGAGAAGTAGCTGAACTTGACGTCTTCGAAGTTCTTGTCACGCGCGCCGAGGATGCGCTGGAGGAAGGGTGGACGCACGTAGCGCTGGGAGAAGTGGCAGATGTCTCTGCGGCTTTTGATCGTGCCTCGCGGGATGTACATTGGACAGGCGGACTGGTTAGTGCAGGGGGCGATGATCATGCCTTTTTCTTTGGCGGGCGGGAGGGTGTAGGATTCGAAAATGTCCATTGATGGCGCGGGGTGGGTGGAGGATTCGAAGCGGGTGTCTAGGAGAGTTTCTCGTGCGGCGGCGACGATTTCGAATCCGCGGGCGATGCCTTTTTCTAAAAGCAGGAGGACGCCGCCTTCGCTTGAAAGCAGATTCCAGAGATTCAGGATGCGTGATTTGCGGAGGTGGTCTTCTCGTAGTCCCCAGAGGGTGTGTGGCGCAATGACGAGATCGAATTTCCCTTTCTTGCCCGCCTGTTCGGTGTGGAGATAGTCAGGCAAACGTGGAACAAAGATGGTGTTCTCCAACAGCGCACTCGCTCGGTGTCTCAGTGCATCCGAGCCAGTCAACACTGTGGCGTGGCCCATAGGCGGAGTAAGACCAGCTCCTCCAATCTTCCCATCTGGATTTGCAACTGCTGTTCGCGCTTCTCCGTTGGCGGAGAGCTCGTGCATTCTCTCCCACTCCGCCTTCAGCAGTTCCCTCACAGCGAGTACGCCTGCACCGCCCCCTCCCGCGTCCAAGATCCTCAACTCTCCTTTCTCCGCCTTTCGCACCAAGTCTTCCGCCCATGCAGTTCCCAGACGCTTCCTCGTCTCGACAAGCACACTCAACACACTCGCGTAGAAGCCCGGCATGAGTACGCTCATGAAAATGTCCCCTTCCATATTGCTCATCCGATCCTGCCCGGCTTCCAAAGGGATGGGCTTCTGCTGCATCATCTTCGCCAGCGCGGGGGTGGAAGTGCTGTAAGGCAAGCCCACGCCGCCAAAGATTCGATGAGCCGCTTCTGCAAGATGGGCATTTGCCGTGCCGGATATTCGCGATTGAATGGGATCGATGAAGGTCGATTTGGGGAGGCTGAGAGTCGAGGGCGAGGTCGTGAAGCGGTTGAACACGGTGAGGGGATGGCTTCGAGTGTACGACTCCTCCTCTTCTGTCCCATCCTCCTCCCCCCAATGATCCTCCTCAGCTTCGTCCAGTGCATTCTCAATATCCCCCGCAAGCCTCACATCATCCCCGTCCAACTCCTCCTCTTCCCTCACAACCTCATCCTCAACCTCAAACTCGACCTCTTCCAACTCCCCATCCGCCCCCTCCTTCATCAATCCAATTCGACTCCCCACCCCCGTCCCAACATCCTCTCCAACCACAACCTCCCCCCTCTCCTCAAGCCTCACAGCCCGCCCATAAAGCCGCTCATAAATCTTTAATTCCTCCCCGCTCAACACCCCCTCAGGCAAGACATCCCGATACTTTTTCCGCGCATTCTCCGCCGCGACTACCGGGCTTTGCTCTTGAGCAGCATCTTCAAAATCTTGCGCTGATTCGGTAAGGGAATGCTGCGCTTCGACAAAATGTTGTGATGCTGATGTTGCTGGTAATCTCGCCTCACTGCTCGAAAATCGTAGACTCTTCCGTGGCGAACATTGCAGCAGCTGTTGTTGACGGGGAATCTGGAAGCGAGAAGAAGGACTGGTTCGTGCATTTTGCTTGGCGAAAATAGCGGCTCGTAATCGGCAGGAAGCGCATGAGGAGGCGTGGAGAAGGCGACGTTGGATCGTGAACATGGCGGGGCGAAGTGTTGAACGAGAAAGACGAGTTGGAGAAGATGTCGCTCGACGGCCAAAAAAAGTTCGAGATGAGCGAGGTCGCGAAATTCCTTGGCGGATGTCGCGGTATCACGTGTCTCCTTACTACATTGTTGGGAATGGACCTGGCAATCTCAACACCAGGCTCGCGAGGATAATGAATGCGGAGAGGAAGATTGGGGGGTTGAAGATTCCAAGCAAGCTATGATTAAGGGGGGTGGGAAGGAAGAGTACTCTAAGAAAAGCCAAAGACCAAAAATCAAAGTCTCCCATTTGACCACCACCACCACCAAGGCCACCTTCTGTAGCCAGCCATCCGTCATGCTTGCTGCCCATGTCTTGTACCACATAAGCCAATTGTCCCGGATGTCTGGTGGTGATGTTCGCGCTCGCTGCTCCTACCACCAAAGCTCCCCGGCCCTCCCCGTTGCCGATTACCTCCCCGGAGCCACCTTGAGACCGGTAGCGAGAGCGTGCGGTGATCGAAGAGGTGCAGGTTGATATGCTTGGATGATTTGTAGAAGCAAGGATGCAAATCGAATGGGAAAGTCGAATAAGAAACCGAAAGCAGGCCAAGTGATGCAAAGCAAATGTTTTTTGTCGTGAATTTTGGATTGTTGTTCTCCGGAAGCAATGCAGTCGAGAAGCTTGCCGAATAGTCGATGCCACGATGGACCGGGGAACTGAGGGGATTGGGGTCGGGGTGATATCAGGGTAGTAAACGCAGCAGCAGACAAAAGAAGAGTCGAGTTGTGGCCGTTTCACCAGCCTGCAGATGAATCCGAGATCCGTCCAGATGACGAAACCGAAACCCCTGCCGAGTGGCACTGCCAGAAGCTTGTTGCATGCATGCCGATGGTCTTGAGCTGTAGAGCATGCCTTGCCGCCTGACGAATTGAGTCCTGCGCTTCTCTTGTCCCATCGAGCTCCGAAAGCCCGAGTGATGAGAAGCGAAACGATCAAGTCAAGCAAACTCTCCAGCCCAGACGTACTAGATGCACTGATACCGATATGAAAGTCCGACCGCATCCAGCTGGTTCGATGTGTGCTGCTCCCCGGCCGTCACACTTTCTGTGACTGGGCCAAGCAAGCGAAGCACGTTGAAAAGATCGAAGGCCGATGATGAGCCGCAAAAGTCATTGTTGAGTTGATGAGGGGGATGTGGATGTCGATCCTGTCGTGTACGCGGATACGCCATCGAGAATCAATCGTTGTTGTAACCCGCCGCACCGCCGCCGCCACGCCTGCTTGAACGAAGCTTCCTGCATGCACTTGTCAGTCAAAGTCTTCGAGCCTTCTCATAGCGCGTCAATCAAGGGGGAGCACAAAGGCAACCGCAACGCAATAGAGGAGAAGGCTCGTCTTACACTCAATACGCGAATTATGGAGAGGGCGGCGTCGTGTGGGCAGATACAGCTCACTCACATCCCATTGCCCTCAGTCGTCCGCGGGTTGACGGGTCCACGACGCTTGTCGGTCAGTCCGCCGTTGCCGGTCTGGCCGCCGGTGGCTTGTCCAGTGCGGTTGCGGCCGTTTTTCTCGTCAGCTCCGTCTTCCGCGGTCTGCTGCTGCACCTGAGCGGCAGCGATGGCCTGGGCATTCTTCTGGTACTTGTAGACGGTCCAGTCGAAGACGTAGTCGTACTGGAAGCCCTCACGTACGAACAGGTCACGGAAGATCTTGCGGAGGTAGGAGTAGTCGGGCTTGTCATCGAAGCGCAGGCTGCGAGTGTAGTTGAGATAGATGGCGAACTCGTTGGGAAAGCCACGGCACAGAACCTCGGTGGGCGTCGTCATCTTCTTCTCCATGATGCGGTCGTACTTCTGCTTCTTGGTGGCCGCCTTGAGGCCTTGCCACGGCAGGCTGCCACGGCAAAAGTAGAGCATGACGTATCCAAGCGATTCCATGTCGTCACGGCGGGATTGTTCTGAGGGGGAAGTTAGCAGGAATGGAGATATCTGTCATGCTTGTGTTCTATACGTACCGACACCCAAGTGCGTGTTGATCGAGGCATATCGTGCGGTACCGGTCAAGTTCTTGTTCTCACGGTAGGGAATGTGGAAGTGTGTCTTGGGGTCGCGGTACTTCTTGGCCAGCCCGAAATCAATCACATTGACCTGATTGCCCCTCTTGCCAATGCCCATCAAGAAGTTGTCGGGCTTGATGTCACGGTGGATGAAGCTCTTGGCGTGGATGTACTCGATGCGGGAGATGAGCTGGTCGGCGAGCAGCAGGACAGTCTTGAGGGAGAATTTGCGGTTGCAGAAGTTGAAGAGGTCTTCGAGCGAGGGGCCGAGCAGGTCGAGGACCATGGCGTTGTAGTCACACTCGGTGCCGAACCAGCGGACGAAGGGGATGCCGACGCCTCCGGCGAGGGATTTGTACACGCGGGCCTCGTATTCGAGTTGGGGATGCTTGGCTTTGACACTCTCCAGCTTGATGGCGATTTCCTCTCCCGAGATGATGTTAGTGCCTAGAGAGAGGGGGTTAGTGGGGATTGTGTACAGGTGGGAGGGAGTCTCGATACATACCCAGATAGATATCGCCGAAACTGCCACTGCCGATTTTACGGCCGATGCGGTACTTGTTCCCCACGCGGAGGTCCTGGAAGGGCGGAAGTCAGCATTGCTTCACATGCCCAATGGTGGGCCGGAGGCCACCGGGGTGGGCAAGTGATGGAGAGGGGCAAGGGCACTCACCATGGTCGTCATGATTGCGGATGACCAGCAGAGAGGATTTGCGTGTTGTTGTTGTTTGTTGGGGTGGAGCGGATCGGCGAAGGGGGGCGTGTGCCCGGTATCTCTACCAGGCGTCGGGAGGGTGGCAGTCGGTCGAGCGGTGGGGGATGAGGAGGATGAGGGAGGAGGAGGGTCGGAAGTGAGGCTGTTGTGGGTGTTGGTCGGTCAGTGAGAGGGGATTGCTGAGTGTGCAGGCAAGCAGGCAGTGAATCAAGCACGCCCAAGCGCGGCCCGCCGGCGGCAGCAAGCGGTGACTGAGAAGGCTTGGCAAAGGCAAGCTGGCCCGGGCGTGAAACACGCCTGCCTCGTTGGCTGAAGGGGGCAGGTGGGGTCACAAACGAGCCCGGCCGCACGCCGCCGGGTAAGAATCGACCGTGGATCTTTGTCCAGGCCTGCGAACTGCTCGCAAGTGAACACTGTCACGATGGTGGGTATAGTTTGGGCGAGGCCGACTACTCAAAAGAATGGGTGCAAATGAGGCGATCAATGGAGTGGAGGAGAGGAAAGCTTGCTGCTCGCGATCCGCATGACACCTGACTGGAGATCGGGTACGCACCTGCAATCTGATCTTGGCTTCTGGTTTCACCGCGTCAGCCGGAGGCAATCGATGGTCGATAACGATCCACGGGAAGGCAAGGCGAAGTGGTGCAATACTGATCACTTCACAGCTATCGTGCGAGGGGAGAAAATGAGGAAGGTGGCAAGGCCAGCTCGTTGCCAACAGAAAAGCGAACCGTTCGGCTAAAGACAAGGCAGAATTGCAAATCGCGCGCTTCCTGCTCTGGTTGCCCGCTACATACCTCGTACCAGATAGGGCGTGCGGAGTATTGATTGCCTTGCTTGCGATCTCCGCCCAGTCCCGTGAGTCGATGGGACGGTGCCAACGGGCGTGTCATACGATCTGCCCTGCTGAGGCATTTTACTCATCCCGTCATGTGCTTACGCCCTTTCACTCCAATTCCACATTCTACAAAGCCACACGACTCGGGGATTTGGTGGAATACTACCTCGCATGTCCGTAAAGATTCTATTCCTGCCGGACATCCGACGGACTGTGGCGCGCGAAAGGGCGTAAAGCGGACCACAATGGCGTCTGCCATTGCCCAGGCCTGGGCTCTTCCGGCCAGTCGAAAAGGCCCAGAGGCGTGGAGAGGGGCGCCTTACCGCGGCTGAGGCTTGCCCGCCCGGACCGTGGTCCGCTTGAATGCTTTTGCCGATCTTGTCTGGCCCTGCGACCCACTCTTTACCGATGCACCTCACTTGCTCCCCAGCCTTCTTGTGCCTTTCCAACGCGTGCACTACTGGTGTATCTTTGTGAAAATTCCCGTCGCCTTATTACCGCCCCCACTCGACATGATGTTGGAAGGCACGACAGCAAGCTCGGTGATGTGTCCTACGCGTATGACGAGCAGAATCAAGAAGAACGCTGCGTGAGCATTACGGATTGATGCGAAGGCCTTTGCGCAGGTCGTGGTAGAACATCGAAACGAATCGACCATAGCGAAGGCGGGAGATACGTGTGGTCGAAGAATCGTAGTCAATGCCAACATGCGCTGTAAATGCTGGATTCCATTCGTGCTTCCTCGTACTCACGTATCGCTCGGTGCAGGCAGCAAATGAACCTTTAATCCTTCCAATCTTTCTCGTGGCCTGCGTGACTTCGCCAGAACGACTCAGGCTGTCGCCAATTAGAATTTTTGCTGTATAATCCTGCTGTCAAAACGTGGGCTAGTCCCCGGGTATTGCGTCGTCGTGGCGGACTGGACGAACGGGTATTGCGTCGTCGTGGCGGACTGGACGAACACGTCACTTGTCGAAGGACAGCGCGGAGATCGCCATGGGCTGTGCTGTGAGTATTGCGACGAGGTATATATGTCTCAATACCACTCCCGCCCTTTTCCCGATCGTTCCTCCGCAAGTACTCGCTCCTTGAAGACGGTGTCGGCTTCCAAACGCTCCGATCGACTTCGCTGGACGTCCTCCCAGAGTAGCCACTCTGCGTGCTGTCGTGAAAGCATCGGTCGCACAACCCTCCCGCAGCCAGCAACATGTGACAACGGACCCCTTCCCGGGTAAACCTCGCGACGCCAGTAAGATGACTTCATATCCTCCCCAAGCGTCCCGCCATTTTAACAAATGACTTCAGTACCAACAGTACAGCCATTCGAGCGCTGGAAATGTTGCCGCGGTCGTCATTGCACCTGCAAGTAACAAAACCAGGCCCCATGAAAGTCCGATGATCAACCATGGCGTGTTGTAGGGTGAATGTGCGCGGCCGAGTTTCGCTTGACACCGTTCCGTAAGAAGATCCTGGAATGTCAGAGGAGTAGCCGGAGGTGGTTCGTTTTTTTGGCGTTTTGGTTTCCATAAAGGGCGCGCGTTCGAGCGTTGGAAAGGGAGAAAGGGTGTTCTTTTTGGTGCTTTCTTTTTCGCCGTTCAAATGCTCAGCCAGAGATCGCGTGGATTTGAGGGCTCTACGACGCGAATGATTGACGTAGAAGAACAGGTCTCCGCCTTCAGCAGCAGCATCGGGCCCGCATTTCACGTGATAGTTCCTTCCGCTTCCAGCAGTTTCGTCATCCCGCCGGCTAAACCTCGCCACGCCCTGCATGGGTATATAGACTGTATCTTTGCGCCCGCATCGTAGTGGTGGGTGCCCCTTCTCGTATTTCGTATTTCCTATTCTCTTTCCCCCCTAATTGCTGCTAACTCTAGGCTTCTCGCCTCAAAAGACAAAACCAGGCTCCATGAAAGTCCGAAAGGATGAATGTGCGCAGCTGAGTTTGGCTTCACCTCGAAGGTGTTTCGTTTTTGATGTTTTTGGGCGTCAGGTCAGGTCGCGCGTTCGAAAGGTGGTGGTGGTGGGACTTTTTGTGCGCAGCATGCGCGTCCTGGCAGCATTCCTCTCTCTTCACGATTGCTTAATGCAATCTCCTTTTCGCTACGATGAAAGGGCAGTCATCTTTTGATGTTCGTCAGCTATGTTATTGGACGGAGTGTGTTTGCATGTCGCATTCTTGAGTAGCTGCTCACCGTGTTTTGGTGGTTTGCGCACTGCATGGTCCACCCACGCAACACAAAACACAGTAGATGCATTGAAGGAGGAAAATACGTTACAAACCGCTCCACCAGGGTATCATCATTCCCATCGTACTCCTGACGCCTCGCATCAATCACGCTTCACACACCTCCCTCATCACAGCCCAAACATCATCCTTGCGTCGCCATACTCTTTCTCAACTGCCTCTCGCGCTGGCCCGCCTGCAACTCCAGTCTCGACACAGCATAGCTCAGCCTCTCCCTCTTCTGCCGTAGCTGTTGCACCTTCATCTCCTCCACCGCCGCCGAACCCGCCGCAGCACTCGGTCTCGCGGCACCACTCTTCGCCGCGCCATAACTCGATCGCGACGGCTGGCTCAGCCGCCCTTCTTGTAGTTCCGCTTTGGCCATGAGTGCTTGCTCTCTTCGCTCCAGCTTGTCGAGGTACGTTTCAACGCGTGAAAGCAGGTTGCCGACTTCGGGCTGGATTTCGGAGAGTAAGGAGAATTGGGCCGTGACGAGGTCGTGCTCGGAGACTAGTTCGAAGTGCTGTGCAGACACGTTAGAACACATTCGATGGTCTGTGGAGATGGGTTCGCGCGACGTACTCTCGTTGTCTGCAAGACCTTTGCTAGTCTTGGGTAGTCGCTCACGCCTGAGTCAAGGATGTTGATGCTCGATTCCAGCAGTTGCATGCTAGATTGGAGGGATCCAACGCATCCCTGCAGAGCGTTGTGCGTGCTTGAGTCCATGGCGACCTTTCCGGCCCACTTCTACAATCGCAGATCGCACAATAATCGTTCAGACAGATCTGTTTACGCGCATCGCGTCCACTCGAAGTTCAATGGGCGAACAAGCCGCTTCTCCGCCGATAATTCCCCGAAGAAAAGCCGTGCCAAGCCCGGAGCTTCTCACCCGGGAGTGAGAAGCTGCAGGTCCAGCAACATCATCCTCAATCGCATCTACCCACCACCCCGATCCCCATCTCCAAGAGTCAGACACCATCATGCCTGGCCTACTCGGAAAGAAGTTCCCGGCGCCCATTGGTGAGCCCCCGTTATTGGCTGCGCGTGCAGCGCAGGAGAAAGGAAGAAGCCAGGACTGACAGCGTTTTGCACAGCGCGGCCATTGTGGCCATTCTACACCGCCGGTATGCCCTCTATCTGCCCTCAAGAGCGCCTCAAGTGCTGCAAATGCTGGATGAGGAATATAGAGATGGATATACTGACGATTCGCGCTTGGAATAGGCCTGGTGATTGCCTACGGCATCAACTCCGCCGCCAATGTCATGATGCAGTGTACGTCTTTGCTCCTACCATCCCTCCCGTCAAACTGGCAGATGCGGAGATACATGAGTGTGAAGAGATGCTGACCTGCTGCTGCTTGCAGCGGACGAATACAAGAACGACCCGCGAAATCCGTATGCGAAGACATCGAGCGGCGATGCCCACTAAGCTCGCTGGGGTGGAGGGAGGAGAGGATGTTCGCGGCACGTCAGGAGGAGTGCAACAGCATGGAACAGTGCGACAATAGAATGGCGCGAGGCTGCCTGATTCGTTGAGGCATGGAGTGACGGTGGTAGCATTTGTATATATACCAAGCAAATCCGCTGGCTCCTCCGTGAGGTCACCTCTTCTCTTCGTGAAGCGACTTGTGATCCCTGCCTGGATAGATCAGCCATGCCGAGCATTGCACGGTCCGCTGCCCCTGGCACGGAAAACTCTCGATGCTCCTGTAGCCCATCACACCCGTAAAAGCATCACCATGAACGCTCGGACCACTACATCCACACCCTCCAAAGTCCTCGCCAACACCTCATCCTTCGCAATGCGACTCCAGTCGTAAACCAAAAAATACCCCATCACATCCCAGCCCCCAATGTCAACCCGCAACCGCATCCCCCAATTACTAGAACCCTACTTCCGCCTCCCGCCCGAGTTATCCCTCATTCTCCTAACAGGCACACTAGGCTGTACCCCAACATGGCTCACCTCGCTCTACGTCAGCAGCATTCTCAGTCCCCAACAGCAGCAACAAGGGGAAGCGTACACTGTACTGCTCGTAAGCTGGATGCGCGATTTGAAGTTCTGGAAAACGCAGATTCGTAGGACGACGGTAAGTCGCTGCCAGCAAACATCCTTTCCAAACGAAAAGACCAAAAGCGCTGATAGAGATACTTTGTATTGATAATAGGGCCTCGACCTCTCCAAACTCGCATCCGAGCAGCGCTTCCACTTCGTCGACTGCACGAGCACAACTCTCCAACATCCGTCCACCTCGAAAGACATACTTGAATCCACCGTCCAACAAATGCAATCCGTGCTCTCCAAAATCGAATCTCACCAACCGAAATCCCGCACAATCTTAATCCTCGACAACCCCGACATCCTCCTAGCAACGGCCTCAACAACCGCGTCAAACCTGCACCAAGCTCTGCTCCCCCTGCGCTCAAGGGTCCACGCAACAATCGTTTCGCTTACAGCGGATTCGCCTTTCCTCGCCGCCGCAGCAGCAGCAGCCACCGAAGAAGCATCAAAGTCGAGATTCTCGCCGGTGGAGGTGCAGACTTCCGCTTTCGTGGTGCTCATGGCGCACGCTGCGAGCTTCGTGGTCGGCGTGAGGGAGTTGTTGACGGGGGCGGCGAGGGATGTTAGTGGTGTCGTGCGGATCACGAGGGGTGGCGGCGCTTATGAGGGTGATGAAGCTGGAGATGTGAAGGAAGTGGAGGCGCTTTACTTGGTTCAGCGGGATGGGGGCGTGAAGGTGTTTGGGAGGGGGCAGATGGGTGGTTGAGCTGATGATGGATCTTGGATGGAAGTTCCTGCACGATTCTCTACGGCACCAGCTGAGATGCTGATCCTTTGATCTGAGGATGACACACACGCTCACCCCAGCAAACATCGTTCCTCTGGCCAACTCAACATTCATGGCGGCACCATCCTGTCGACAGCATGTTAGGCGACTCAACAGGCAGCGCGGAAAGCTCATCGCTCCTCTCCCGTTCTTCGTCTCCATCCATCGGGCCAATCCAATCCTCCTCCACCATTGCTCGCAGTCCGACAGACCTGGGCTTGGCAAACGTGCGGTCCTTCTTGATGATGGGAGCCGTGCTGTTAACCGGAGACGGCGGCGGCTCTTTCGACAATTCGTGCGCATCTGCGGCAGCAAACTTGAAGTGCGGCGTCAAGTCGTCCATTGGACGCCCGCCTTCCACCGTGACAGTTCGAGTGTGAGTGATGCCGCCGCTCATTCCGAGGTCTGACAGTCTGGCACCGCCGGCAGGCATGGTCTCCTTCAGCAGTCGCTGGCGCGTTAAGGTGTAGAGGAGACTGTCCACCCAGCCGCAGCTACCGAGCATCGATCCAGCAAAGGTGGCGTACCTGAGGCTGTACGGTTTGCCGCCTTGCGAGTATGACCACATTCTTCCAGCAGAGAGTGGGAGGGTGAGCAGGACGTACACGCACGGGTACAAGGTCATCAGCTTCGCCACCCGATTGACGGCGAGGACGGTGCTCATGTTGGCCGTGTGACCCTGACGGACTTGTTCGAAGACCCGTTTGGTCTTGTAACGAAGCATGAAGAAAGTCACGACATAGATGACGACAGTTCCGAATTGGACGAGAAACACCCCTGTGAATGCAGTCAGGGTCGCGATTCGGTTGTGGCAGCTAACGGACGGGGGAACTCACAAACGTAATGCAGCATCAGACGGTCGGTCTCGAATGCTTCGGAGACCCAACACCATTCACCTGCACGAACAAAGTACTCCCACCTGCCGTTCGAAGTGTCAGCGCGAGCCGTTGATACGCGGTAAAGGTTCATCGTACCCGTGCAGAGCCGCACCAATGCCCGTCAGTGCATAAGCAAAGGCCCAAATCGACACAATCATGGCGGTGAAGAGGCGGTGATGGATTCGCTTGCCATGTACAGCCGTGATGTACGTATGCACAGCAATAGCCAAAACAAAGAACCCGCTGCTCACATCACCCGAGTGCAGAAGCCAGCCCTGGGCAAAACAAGGAGCCGACGGAGCGAGGAGGCGGTTGAAGCGAATCCAGTGCCAGCTGAAGAGGTACGCGGAGGCTTGTTGAAGGTCCGCGGTGAGGAGGTTGAGGACGAGCAGCACGTATTGGTTGTAGCCGAGGAAGGTGTTGTAGTGCAGCTTCCACGTCACCAAACGCCAGCATATGAAGCAGATTAGGGTGAGCGTGGTGCCGCTGGACAGTAGGGCGACGAGGCCGAGGGGGATCAAGCCCATGCGGAACTCGTGGGTCAGCGGGTTCATGCTGTATGGTGCGGGGAAGTAGTCGCCGCCGTTGACGTGGATCATCGGAGTGTACGGAGGAGGCGACATGGTGGGGAGGATGGTCGTGGAGGCAGGGCTCTCGTTGCAGTCATCGATCAGCGGTTGCAGGGGAGAAGGAAATGGAAATAGCAGCGGTGCGATGCTCAGGGAGTTGACCGAACATGAGCAGCGCAGACACGATTGGAAAGAAGAAGGAAGTGATGTGAAGTATCGGAGGAGATGAGAGCAAACGGTGAAGCAGGGAAGGGACCCACTATTCTGACAAAATAGGCAGGAACGCCAGGCTGGTCGTGACTTCCTCGTGTTACAACGAGGGCAAGTGCGTCAGACTTGCGATGTTGAGCATATCTGCGACCTCTTGACTACATGTATCCGCGAAATCATGCACTTCCCTGTGGCATTACATTTGGCAATGGCCCAAGAGGCACAACCTTGCTTCCACCCGCCGTGGCATATCCTGCCTTGATCTAGACGCGTAGGATACGTCAGTACCAGCTTCACCTTACGGTTGAGAAGGAGGCAATGACTTACATCTCGAAAGTGCGTCGTCTTCCTGAAGGCACCGCGAGTCTCCTCCGGACTCTCGTCGTAGTAGATGTGGAGCAGCCATTTGTGGATGTGCGGGTAGTCATGCCGGATCATCTTCAAGTTACACCGGAAGGACGTGTGATATCCGACGTCGAAGCGAATGATGGTCGTATACCTGGGGCAGAGTCAGCGAGCCTGTCAGCGTTTACTGTCCCCATTTCGACTCACAGCCTGATGTCCGCCTCGGTCAGATGCTTCCCGAAGATGAACGGCCCTTCGCTCTCAGCCAAAATCTTCTCCATCCGGTCGAGGCTCTCGAAGAGCAGCGTCACGTTCTCCTCGTACGCTTCCTGCGTCGCTGCAAAGCCCGACTATACGACCTCAAAATCAGCACTCCATCATCCACATGAAAAATGCCGGAACCCACCTTATAAACCCCATTATTAATCCGATCATAAACCCACTCATTCTGCGCCTCAATCTCCCCCCTCAACTTCTCCGGCAACAACCCGCCGCCCACCTTACTCTCCTCACGCAGCTCCTTCGGAACAAAAGCGTCAAACTCCGAGTACAGCATGCGAATCACCTCGGAGCTCTCATTGCTGACAATCGTCTCCTTCTGCTTGTCCCAGATGACCGGCACGGTGTAGCGGCCAGAGTATTCCGGGTCGGCTTTGAGGTAGAGCTGCTTGAACTTGGTGAAGCCGTAGAGCGGATCAACGGGGTCGGTGCCCGGGCGGTCGGGGTTGAAGACCCAGCCTGCGAGAGCGATGAGTATGTTTTACCGTCCCTTGGGAAGTGCGTTCTGGTCTCAATTACCCTCCGGCCCCATCGCGTAATCCATCACGACCAACTGAATCACATCCTCCAGCCCTTTCAGACTCCGTACGATATTGGCGCGATGCGCCCACGGGCATCTGATCGGTCTTTTTAGCAACCATTCTAGCCTTCTCCGGAACGTCACGGCTTATACCCAAGATTGATATAAAGCACATATCGCCCCTTCTCAGCGGGAAACTCCGCGCCGGGCTGCGAGGAGATGCTGTTGCGGAACTTGGAGTCGGGGCGGCGGAATTTCCCATCCGTGTCGGCGATTTTGGAGAAGTCGTTGTGCACGCCGTTGCTAGTTGTTGTTGTTGCGGGCATTGTGGCAGATGGAGATGTTATTAGGTGGGGTTAGGCTTCGGGTATTGTTCTTGCTGGATGTGAGAGTGATGGCCGCCCATTTAAAGCTACTGTCTTCGTCTGATGGGATCAAGACATGCAGTACAGCTGGGCTGACGTTGATTACCAACCACGGACGCACGCATGCTCTACTTGCCCCGATGCCCGACAACTTTTGCCATCCATCCCAAGCCCAGTGAAGAGAGCATGATTAAACACGAACTCATAAACAGCAAGTTGCATTATTTACACCTCCCCTTCTCCTAGTCTTTTCGCATATTCCACATCTGTCTCCACTACCCAATATTCTCTACAATTGCCGGACCGGGGGTATCAAACCACACCGCCAAGAAGTCGAATATACAGAGCATAGGTGAGAAAGAAAGCACGGGTCCACGGTCATCCGGTGCACCACCTAGATGACGTACTGTACACGAGGGATTAGCATGGTCATTGCCATGTGAGCATCCCGCCACAGACTTACCGGAATGAACAAATACGGCGTCCTCCTCTCATACTCCGCCCACGCGTCACCATACTTCTCCCGACACCGCTGAATATCCCTCCACGCGCGATGGATGATCATCAGCACGAAAAAGACGGGGTAGAACCAGGGGAAGGGGGAGTTGAAGCCGGTGATGAGGCCCCATGTGATGGCAAAGTAGGTGTCGCAGGTGTAGTGGATCTTGCGCGCGTACTTGTACCAGCCGTCGACGAGGATGGTGTCGCCGGCGGGGGTGGTGATGGTTTGCGGGTGCTGGATGTGGCGCCACGGCAGTTGCGGGAAGGCCTGGCGCTCCTGGAAGTGCCCGCGCTCCGCCAGGCGGAACATGTTCTTTTGGCTCTGCGACGTGTCCCACACCCAGTAGGTGAAGAGGTAGGTGGTGAAGAAGAGGGCGAGCGCGGGCTTTGACCAGGCGTAGATGGCGGGATTGTGGTTGGCGAGGTAGATGGTGCAGTGGCAGTAGCTCAAGGGGACGCCGGCCATGTTCCAGAAGATGAGCATGAAGCCCCACTTCTCGTAGTACATGTCCCAGGTGGTGGTGATCATGTTTTCGCCCTTGCAACACGCGTTGGCGTAGAGGAAGTGCGCCATGAGGAGGAAGGCGACTTCGCCCGAGACGTAGCCGTACAGCTCGTACTGGCGCGCCGCGGCCGACAGGGAGATGAGGAACAGCATGTACCACGGGAGGCGCACCTCGAAGAACATCTTCATATCCAGCCACTGGAACATGCGCGGGTTCAGCTCGGCGCCCATGAAGAAGTCGTAGATATGGTAGCCAGTCATGCGGTGCTGAGCTCCGCGGTACAGTGCAGAGGGGTAGGCAACGAGGGCGACGAGGAAGCCGGAGATGATGGCCACGCTCATGATCGGGCCAAATTCGTCCAGGAGAGTGTAGAGTTTAAAGAGGCCGCTGAAGTGAAGAGCCACGGCAACGACAATGGTGGTGTAGAAGCTCCACACACCATTGCAGTAATACCGCAGCTGCTTGCCTCCTTCGTGAGGAAGAGGCTTGCCCACGGTGTACACACCCGGCATTGTAAGGTACATGATGCCCTGAAAGACGAGGAAGACCCAGTAGATCAACCACGCCTTGAGATGAGGAAAGGCTCCGGTGTAGGCCAGTCGCACGAGATGCCTGCCGAACTGGGACCAGGTCATGCTGGGCTCCGAGGGGAACTTGCCATTGTAGTATGTCGCGCCAATCCACATGTACCACATGAGCAGGGGAAAGCCGATCATCATGGCGCTGACGCCCCAGCTGCCGCCAAAGTCGAAGTGAGGGTTCTGATCGATTTTGGGATCGGCGCCCTCCGCCCAGCCATCCACCACCCGGCCTTTGGGCTTGCCGTTCGCCGCCGTGCCATTCGCGGCGAGGATGTTCTCGCTCGAGATCTCGGACTTTATTTCTTCTGCGGCAACCGGGGACTCTGATCGGTTCGGGTTGGCGACGGACTTACGCGATCGGCGGCGGGAGGGAGTCTCGACGAAGTCATCGGGGATGGTGGATTTTCTGGTGGGATGATCATGTCAGTCTCCGGCCGCACCGTGTGGTGCAACGAGTGCTGCTGCTGCATACCGCGGTGTCTTCCCCGTCTTCGACCGGGTCACGCGTTCCGACATGATTTTTTTTTTTCAATCAAGCAAGTCTCTCGCCTTTTGCGCCGGGGGTCGAGGATAGGGCAACTCGGGGCGTAGCAGGACGCCAAGTACAGCCCGTGCGCGGGAATAGGCGCTCGATAAGCAGGTGGAGGGATGGTGGAAGGGAGCGGACGAGACGCAGAGTGCGCGAGGAAAATGACGGGTGCAGGTTACAGTAGCATCTCGAGGTGGAGCGCGCTTGAATGTTTACATCTTCCGGAAGACCTCCAAAATCGTCTAGCACCGTTTCTTAGCGCCGCCCAAACGTCTTCCGCTGCCGCTGACCTCATTATTCGTCTGCTAAACCTCGCCAACTCGACTCGAATTGCCTTGTGCAGGCATTGAAAGACCGCATGCACATCGCATTCGGCAATCTACTCATCGCTGTCCCGAGTCCGAAAGGGCACCTCCTGGATAGACCCCCTTGACGCTCGACCGGGAGCCTCAGCTGGGCCATCTTGCCTATCTGATGTCTTTATTAGACCTCCTAAACCGCTGAGATGACTGCACAAGATACATTACTCCTCGCGACATTACGTGACAGCAATAAGTCCGAGCTGAAGTGAAACTCGTATCGTGATCGCTTCGTTTAGATACGAAGGAGCTTATAACTATGTTGATCTACTAGGTATATTTACATCTCAGCCGACTCTGCAGCCTGCACGCCCCAAACGCCGAATCGAAGCCTGCCAATGCACACCGACTCCCGAAGGATTCCCATCTTCAAAACTCCCCAAACAAACTAAGTCTCCTCCGGCCCCTTCCCATTACCGCGTCCACTCTCCCTCAATCAAACGATGCACTAATCAACCAATCCGCCAAATTCAGCGGATCGTTCGTCGCCGAGATGACTGTCGGCGCCTGACCAAGCGTGTACTGCTTCCTGTGGCCGGGCGGGCCGAATTGCACGGTAACATTGGTGGGCGCGCCGCCGTTGTAGCCCACGGCGTTGCCGGTGATGGAATTGCCGTACAGCTGGCCGAAGGTCTCTTTTTGCCCGTTGATAGGCACCGCGGCGGTCTTGTACGCGCCGGATTGCCGGTTCTCGACGAATACCACGACGGTGGGGAAGGGTGAGGCTGTGGGGGTCACTGTTGCGGCTGTGGTTGTTGGGTAGCGCGGAGGGTGCGCGAGGACGGAGGTGATGGAGAGGAGGGAGAGGAAGAGGCCTGTGGCGTGCATGGTTGTGGTGGGTTGGTGTTGGCTTGAATGTGGATGTTGTTTGATTCTTGTGTTGCTAGACGGATGTCACAATTGAGCGGATAGAATGACTTTACGGCGAGAGACTCCATCACAGCTATATATACGTTCCCCTCCTTCTGCTGAGGTGAGCCAGGCAACCGCAGGAGCTCGTGTGTAAGCATTGGGAGTGTTGATAATTCCGGTCTCCTGATGCCAACGGGCCAGCAATACGAACCATGGTTCCACCTCAGCCCTGCTTGGCGAAGGGTGGCGCCATCAGCATCTCTGCTTCGTCCAACCGTCGTTGCTATTTTGCTGCCCATCACACAACTGCAGTAATTCCTTTGATCAAATAGTAGCTATACACAAGTCGAGCGGGAGGCTTTCAGCCCTCACCTGCTTGCCTGCTGCGATGGAACGGCTGAAGAACGTGCTTGGGATCAGCACTTTCGCCGCGGGATTTGCACAGGCTTTGGCCCGCGGCGAGGCTGTGTGGCTTTCAATGCACTGCGCCGCGGGCGCTGGTCTGGAGCTGCCCGGCGCTTCTAGAAAAAGAACATGCACCGCAGCGCCACAGGTAAAAATACGCGCGACTTCCACTGGAATAGGCAATCCGAAGCAGCGCAATGTCTGTAATACACAGACCGATTTTGACTCTATCTTGGTCGACTTCTACGGTGTTAGGACCGGCCTGATTATACAGGGGATGCCGTTATCCGGACACACTTCCGTCCTGTTGAGATCTTTGGTGATTGGACCCGTGGGGCCCGAGACGTATTTGCATAGCTCGGTGATGTCGGGTATCGGACAGTCCTGGTCGGGATTCGACGTGGGGTACTGCCTAATACACAAGATTCAGCAGATGTCCAGAGCGAGGAGGATGCAGATGTTAAAGGCACTCACTCGTCTCCCCAGGCTCCGAGGAAATATAGCCAGTTCACCGGCGTGCTGTCGTTGTACGCTGCGAACCTCTCCGTGCCCTCGTCGTAGGTGTAGTAGTATGCGCTCAGCGTGGGATCCCACAGCGGCCCCTTGTCGGTGTAGTCCACTATGAGGCCGTCTGGCAGGTTGACGTCTGGAATGGTGTGGTCATGCTTGCCTGTAATCGCATAATTGGCATGCGTGCCGTTCGCCGAGTACGAGATTGGCTAAGGTACGCACGGCAGTGTCAGCAAGCTCACAGCGTTAGAGAAGAAAAGCAGCGTCACTGACTCTAACGCCGTTGTTGTACTTCTCCGTAGCATTATAAGTAAACGCTTCTCCGTTCGAGTGCTGGCTATACCACACAGCCTGCGGCACACCATTCTGAAAGCGGACCATATTGTGCTCCCAGTCGCCCACGTGGTCGCCGATAACGTAATCTACATACGAGCCACCGTAGTTGAAGGCGTAGAAGTACATAAAGAAGGCATCGACAGAGTTGCTGCCCCGGTCAACAACGATGACGGCGCAGGAGACCGCAGGGCTGGTGCTGCCTTTGCTGTCGGGTAAGACTCCATTGAGGTATGCGGGGTTAGTCGCGACGTTCTCGTTAGAAGTCAGATAGATGTTGGCGCCATCGTTGGCGCCGTTGACATTGTTGAGCTCGTTGAGGTTGTCGAGGGTTAGAGGCTTCGGGCCGTCGGTGATGGCTGTAAAGTTGAGATCGGGGTGGGTGTTGGTGAGCTGGGCGCCGATGTCTGAGGGAAGGTACTTCTCCCCAGAGTAGAGGTATACAATTGGCGCGTAGTCGAGCACGTATTGCGGGACGCCTGCTGGCGCTTGTCGTTTCAGGAGAGGGGATGCAAGAGAGCACAATGCAAGGCTGAGAAGGAGGAAAAAGGCCATGTCGGAGAGGAGTGGCAGGAATGCAGACTCCTTGCAGGCTGACGGGCACGGGAAACTAAAGTACTTACACGATTGTTGTCTTCTTGTTTCCTACTGGCATTGATCGACAAGAATGGAACATAGTAACCGTTGCAGCAATGCCAGCACGTTTCCTGGCCATTGGACCAGTCAAACCGACAAGCTCGCAGCCAGAACTTACCAATAACGAGCGGTCTCAATAGGGATACTTTTCGACGCGCTGGACCGGCCGCGCATCTTCGGCTGGCGATATCTCCGTCCTCACGCGGCGGGAGTGTATTGACTGATTCCCTCCGCAGCAGATCAATTGGAAGGTGGACGTCAGCTGTTCATTTCCAATGCCGGTCCAAGCTCGCGTCGGAGTCTGTGGGCCGCGCCGAAAGTTTGATTCAATGGACCAACACATCTCGTCCGTTCAACCACGATGTGCGATCCTGCCTGCCGGTTCGCGTTCGCGCATCACGACAAGCAGGCTGACGATTCCGTGCAATGGCTTGTTATGGCTCGCGTTGAGGGACGCGATTCGATCGCCGACGAAGCTTTTGCACCCCTATCAGGCGGAGACTCGACCGCAGCCTGAAACATGCCGCTGATTAGTCGACAGAAGGCTGCATGGATTGCAAGCATCGTCTTTTACTTCACGCTGACGTCTTTGTTCAATGGACTTGCGGGGAACATCATGCTGGATCTTCTGAAAGGCATGCCCGTCATCTCGGCTTTCGCAAGTTCTTGCCTCGCTCAGGGAGTAAAGAGAAAGCTTTGTGGAGTAGAGAACATCGACACCGGGAGTCGCGCGTAGGGCTTTTAGGTTAATGGTTTCATGGACCTTGCCTCAGTCGCTTGCGGTGTCGCGTGGATGCGAATGCGCAGCACTCATCCTCACAATCTTGTGTCGGTGGGATATCTCATGTGAGTTGTGCCTCACGCTTCCGGAAGTCTACTGGCGTTTGAACGGCGGCGGAAGCTGGTTTTATCACTGGTCTAACCAGCTGTCATGGCAGAACTAGGATATCACCTCCGTCCGAGCCTCGAGAATAGGCATTCGCGATACTCTTTCACTATCAGTCATGGTGAGAGTTGACAAGCGTTGAATCTGTCCGAGAGCGTCTTGAAGCATTGTCAGCAGCCTCAACAAACATCTTCAACCTCGCCGTCTCCTCCCTCTCGAGGTCCCAGGTCGCCGTTCAAAGTCCGCCTAAACACTTCCAGCAACATCTGGAAGCAAATTCCCGCGATGGCAGGATCATATCGGCCTTTCGAAAGCTCGTCCCGGATGAAAGCATGCTGCGCCCAAGCCACCTCGTAAAAGCTGAACGTCACTCCAGCCTCGTGCAGCGTTTTGCGAATCAGATCTCGACCTTCCGGTGGGACGTGGTTGTCCCGTTTCCCGAAGATCATCACCAGCTCGCCTTTGATGTCTTTGGCGCGTTGCAGGCTGTCGTCTGATTTGCCTTCGCCAAGGCTGTGCGAGTGGATGTCGGTGGCGAAGTAGCATACGGCCGCACGGATTCGTTTGTCCAGAGCACAGCGATACGCGAGGTGGCCGCCGAGGCACATACCTGTCACCAATCGTTAGAGTGGGAGAGGGAGGGGTTTCAACAACGCTACCTGTCGCCCCAATGCGTCCGTTGCAAGTTTCCAGGCCGACGAGGCAATCAATACTCAAAGTGGCATCCTCATCGTAGGCAGAGACCTTCTTCTCGACCTTCCAGGCGTTTCCTTTGTCCGTGCCAGGGCCATCGTATGCGAGTGCCTCCGGCCCCATAAACTCGTGGTAGCTACTGGGAGCTGCAACAATGTATCCATGTCCAGCAATCTGTCGAGCAAAGCGCTGTACTGGGCCGGTCACTGCAGACATGCGTCAACTCAAGCGACCCTCATCCTATCACTCCTTTTCGGCGCTGCCAATAGGAGGGAAGACAGCCTTTACCTTGATAGATTTCACTAAAGACTACAACACCGGGAAACTTGGCTTTGGGGTAGTTCGGGATGGAAGGATGGAAGAGAAAGATGCCTACCTGTGCGGTCAGAATACCGCCTTTATTCATGCAATTGGTGGTTGTTCAAGCATACGCATATCTCCGCCATGTTTCGTCGGCACGTCGACGTGGCTCTCTTGTATAAGCATTGTTGTTGCTAGTGAAGGTGTAGTGTATGCTTCTGATGAGGCACTCGCTCGAGTTCTGAGTCGGATGGTGAGGGTGCGGGAAATGCACAATAGTCTCAATGCCTCGTCTTCCCGGAAAATGGAGAGAGGCGATATGCTCCGGAGAGCGCAAAGCAAAATGTGGCGCGAAGGGCTGACTAAGAAGTCCCCACCACAACATCATCGCCGCGTTCAGTCATCTCCACGTCTCTACTTCACCCTCCAGACTACCCATGCGGGTTGTCGGAAGCCGTTTCGTTCGTCCTGAGCTCACTCTCACATCCATTCGATCCCATCCAGCCCTTTGCCAGGCTCGCAAACGCGGTCTCTGCGGTCCCGCAGCCCCGACCCCCCGCGATCTCACAGCCCAGCTCCATTGTCAAGGATGTCGAAAGCAGACGCATCATCTTCCAAGCCGTCCGGTCAAAGCAGTCCCGCAGGCCTCCTAGCACCGACTCAGCAATACTTCTCCCACGATCTCGGCCAGCGGCGGAGCGGAAGTGCCAGCAGCAACGCGAAGTCCAACCCCGCCCCCCGCAAAGAGCAGCAGAGCAAGCCGAAGCATCGCAGCGGGAAGAGATATCTGGCTGTGGATGAGGATGCAGAGGCTGAGATACGCAGCATGCAGAATCCACACAACCGGAAGGGGCAGACGTCCATCACACATTTGATGAACTTTGCCCTACCGCCCCGCCCGTCTCAGCAGAACCAGTATCATCGGCACAGTTACAATGGACCTCGGCGAGGTGGGAGGAACCCGACTTGGGGCATGGGCAGCGGCTATCACGCTGTCGACAAGTCAAGGTACGTTGCCGAAGTCAGCGACTCTTATCAGACGCGTCTAACCGGGTTAGGTACATCCACTCCAACTACCGCTTTATCGTGAACCCGCAGGGCGATTATCACGTCCAAGCGAGCGATCCCGATCTATATCTCGACTGGAGCAATGTCTTACAGATCATTGCGTCCTCGAAGACGCAAGCTGCATCGTGTCCAATCTGCCTCGGCGAGCCGACAGCCCCGCAGATGGCGAAATGCGGGCACATGTTCTGTCTACCATGCCTGATACGATACATGCACTCCGAAGACGCTAGCGCTCAGCCGCCTGTGGAGAAAAGAGCTCGGTCGAAGAAGTGTCCAATCTGCTGGGACAGTATCTACATCTCCGAGACTCGACCCGTGCGGTGGTATGTTGGTCAAGAAAGCGACCCGCCGCACGAGGGCGGTGATGTGGTCATGCGACTGGTCAAGCGGAAGCCTGGTCAGACGCTTGCCATGCCGCGAGAAAGTGCAGAGCCCGTGGCGAAGGGCGAAGATATCCCATGGTTTTTCGCCGCCGAGGTCATGGACTATGCTCGAGTCATGAAAGGGAGCGAGGAGTACATGACACGACAATATGAGGAGGCGATCGAGGCGGTTGAAGAGCTGCAGAGGATTGACGAATTGATGTTCGGCGAGGACGCCGAATGGACCGGACGAGCCATACGCATGCTTAACGAGTCGAGGGAGAAGGTGAAGGGGATTGGCAACCCGCCGGAGCAGCCGAAGAAGCCCGAGCAGGAGGAGCCCAAGCCCGAGCGACCACCGATTCAGTTCAACGATAACGACGAGAACGTGCCCGACATGTACTTGCAGAAGCATCCCGCGCCAGCTACACCCACCATCCAAGATCCCAGCGCGGACCAGTCCGCTGCTCCGGCGGACCAAACCAACAGCACTGCAATCCCACGAACGATACATGAACTCCGGACTCGACATAACGAGAAACCGCAACCCTCCGAATACCTCTTCTATCAGGCACTCCTTCATTACTACCTCTCACCCTTGGACATTCGCATCCTCAAAGCTGCGTTTGGCTCATACACCGCTTTTCCATCCAGCATCTTGCCGAAGGTGGAAAGGGTATCACACGGACACATAGTGGACGACGAGCTGCGGAAACGCGTCAAGTACCTCGCCCACCTCCCATACGGCTGCGAGGTCGCATTCATGGAATGTGATTGGACGGATTTCGTCTCGCCCCAAGTCCTCGAAGAATTCACACCCATGCTGGAGCGGAGGCGAAAGCGGCACGACGAGAAGGACGCACGAGAGGAGAAGGAGCGCATCCGAATTGAGAAGGCGGAGGAACGAGAGCTGAACGCTATACGGCGAAGGCGCACCTCCATCCCCCACGACTTTTTCTCCTCCGAGTCCCTGCCTGTCCTCGGATCCAGTCACGATCCACACGGTTCCGTCCCGTCCGACGGAGCAGTCGCTGCCTCACCGCCGTGGGCGAACCGAACCACGTCTGGGTTTGCATCGCTCGCTTCCCCTTCCACATCCCCTACTGTCCACCGCACAGTGTGGGGCACCACTGCTGTCACGCCCGCCAGTCCCGATATGCACGCCACGCTGCCGCGAGATGAGGAACTTCGGCCGGACGATGGATGGTTGCAAGGATGGGAGAAGGACTTGCTCGATCATGGCGATCGGCTGGCTGCTGACCTCGGCGGTGTCAGCTTGCAGGGCGCTCAAGGGCGGGCGAGTGGCGCTGGAGGGAATTCAGGCGGGGGTGGAAAGAAGGGCAAGAAGGGCAAGAAGATTACGCTCATGAGTACGACTGCGAGACGGGGTGCTTGAAAGGGTGGCGCTTCATGCAGTGCGTGGTGTTTGGGAACGTGGTTGTAATCAAGTCATGATCATTTATGTACAGCATTCCTCGGTCGAAATGACAATCGCCTTGCAGCGACCGTTACAAATCTGCTATGATATATTCATCTGACTTGTCGATTTCCCTCTCTCTGTCAGTGCTGTTGCAGCAGACAGCGACGCCAGCGGGATACCTCCCTCGCCGGCAACGACAACAAGCTCATCCGTCTTTTTGACCTCCTGCATCCCAAACTCCGAGTTCACCTGCTCGCGCAACAAAACGTCCTTCTCAAGGAACGTCACAAGAAACCCCAAGCCAGCAAACCCAACACCAACCAGCCACACCGTGCGCAATGCCCCTTGAAAAACACCCACGACTCCCCTCCGGACCTCTGCATCCGCGATGCCGTCCACAAACGCCTTGGTTGCAAACTCATACGCCCTGCCGCCAGTCAAATAGCCCGCGATCCTAGCATCGCCCATGCTCCTCGCTAAGCGCCGACACTCATTGTTGAAGATTGCACTCGGGATCGTCACGCCCCAAATGCAGCCGAAGTAGCGCACGAAACTCCACAGCCCTGTTGCCGTCGCTACGAGCGATTCATCCAGCGGCGCCTGCATGGCGGGTAGTAAAATGGCGATGAGCACGCCGTCTCCCGCGGCCCACAGGAGTTCGAAACAAACCCAAGCGGCGGTGCTGGTGGTGTGATTGAAGAGGGAGAAGAGGCCGAATGCTATGACGAGGATGGCGAAGCCGGCGAGGTGGATGGGTTTGTATTTGCCTGTTTTGGAGAGGAGGACGCCGCCTAGGATGGAGAAGAGGAGGCTCCCCCCGAAGATGGGGAGGGTGGCGATTCCGGAGGCTTCGGGCGTGCGCGTTTGCACGGCTTGGAAGAAGAGGGGGAGGAAGTAGTAGGTCCAGAAGGTTACGATGGCGTGGATGAAGGTTAGCGCGAGCGCTGCTGCGGACTGCCGATTTGAGACGAGTTTGCGTGGGATGGAGGGCTCTGGGCACAGGCGCGGCGTCCATTCGAAGGCGGTGAAGAGGAAGAGGCCGAAGAAGCCGAGGATCAGGGGGAGGAGGACGTGGACGGTTGTCCAGGAGTAGGTTGTACCGCCCCAGGTTAGGGCGATGAGGACGGCAACGATGGCGCCGATGAAAATGGCGTTGCCGGAGAAGTCGACGCGCGCGAGGCGGGCTTTCCAGCTTTGGTCGCGGTGGTGGTTGACGCGGAGGAAGGCGAAGAGGGTAATGAATGCAGCTGGGCAGCGTTAGTGTAAGAGCACAACGGGTGGTGGATCAACAGTTCGATGCCTCACCTCCGCCAACAGGCACGTTGAGATAGAAACACCACCTCCACGTCGTCCGCGAGGTGATCACGCCCCCGAGCAACGGCCCAACACTGGCTCCCACCACGCTTCCCAGCATGACAATCGCCATGTACTTCCCCCGTTCCCTCAATGGCACGATGTCCGTCACAACCGTTTCGATCAACAGATTAATCCCTCCACCCCCAAGCCCCTGCACCGCACGAGCCGCAATGAGCATCCCAATCGAAGTCGCAGCACCACAAACAGCGGAGCCCAAAGTGAATAACGCCACAGATGCCAGCAATAGAAATCTCCGGCCAAAGATATTGCTCGCCTGACCGTAGAGCGGCAGGACAGCAACAGAGGCAAGCAGGTAAGCATTGGGGACCCATACATAGACATCGCCGGCTTGCAAGGCGGAACTTATGGTTGGAAGGGCGCTGGTGATGATTGTGCCTTCGATTGCGGAGGCTAGGCCCGCGACGCCGAGGGAGGTGAGGATTGCGTAGAAGCGCCAGGTGCGGAGTTGGGGGCCTGGGGTGTTGGTGGTTGGATCCTGGGAGGTGCGAGTTGCGGGTGGTGGCATTGCTGCTGGAGGCATTGCATGCCCTGCTGTTGTTTCGTCTCGCATGTTGGTGACCTGGGATGTTCAATGACGATTTGTTCTGCGTTATATTTTCAGGCGATGGCTTCCGTCACGAGTGGCCAGTCGTAAGGTATTGCTGGCCGTTCCTCGAATATGCTGAGGAGATTCATATTACGCTGCACGAGGTGTGATCGTGGTCTTCACAACGTACGATCGAGTTTTGTTTCATGTTCTGGCGTCGTTACATGAGGATATGTATCTGCCATTGAAGAATACGGTGTTGAACTCGGTCACCGGCTGCGCGTAGCAATTAATTAATACATGCAGTCACGCGACCGGCTTGCGCCTTCCGAATCGAGCGACCGCGAATCCACTCGAGCCGCCTCATTCGAGCCACTCCACCACCTCACTTCACCCAGCCCTGACCATCCCTCGAGCCATGATTTGACCTCGACACTCCTGCATGCTCCGCCTCGCACACCCGAGGCCTGGCATGCTTCCATCTCTGCAGTCATGACCAGAGGCGCCACCGCTGGCCATCTGCCAGACCTGGTCGAGGGCAAGAAATCCAAGCCGCCCCAGCCCGTCTTGGAATCCTTCCTCCCCGAAGACCCTCCCCTTCGACGCCCTCAATCCTTTCACGCCGCTCGCAATGGACAAGATGCGGGGAGTGATGATGAAGACGATGGCCTGCAGCTGCGACTGCGTCGGCCGCAACAATCCAACGGCCTGGCCCTCCGACCGGCCTTGCTCCGTGCGCAAAGCGAAGTAGCGCGCGGCAACCTCAAACAAACGAATGGCGGCAAGGATGGCGACTCGGAGGTGCAGATGCGGCACGGGTGGCACGAGCAGTTGCAGGACGAGGCGCAGGCTACTCAGCTGAACCAAAACTTCTTCATGTACTTTGACGACAAGAGACACGAGACCGCCGGCAAGCCCGCGCTCGGCTTCGATCCCAAGAATGTCGTCTCGGATTGGAGGATGCGCGACAGACTCAAAACTGTGTGTGCGGTGCTGGCGGTGTGTCTGAATGTGGGCGTCGATCCACCGGATGTCATCAAGACCAATCCGTGCGCCAGGCTGGAGTGCTGGGTCGATCCTATTCCACCCGACAGCACGAATCAAAGCTCCACCAACAATGCCAATGCTCAAATTGGGAAGAATCTCCAACAGCAATACGAGAACCTCTCCCTTCGCACCCGATATAAGGTTGTTCTCGACCCGACAATAGAAGAGCTGAAGCGGTACACCACCAACATGCGACGCAATGCGAATCACGATCGCGTGCTCTTCCACTACAACGGGCATGGAGTGCCCAAGCCCACAGCTAGCGGGGAAATCTGGTGCTTCAACCGCAGCTATACACAATACATTCCCGTCACGCTGTACGACTTGCAGGATTGGGTTGGAGCGCCGGGACTATGGGTGTGGGATTGTAGCGCTGCCGGCGGAATCATCGACGGCTTCTTGCAGGCCACGGAAAAGCACATGAGCAATCAAAATGCAGCTTCAGAGCGCAATGCAAGCGCACAGCAGATCCGATGGGACGAAGTCATGCACCTCGCTGCGTGTCGGGAGAACGAGGTCTTGCCCACCAATCCCGATCTTCCCGCCGACATCTTCACCGCTTGTCTCACCTCCCCCATCATGATGGCCGTACGCTTCTTCATCCTCCAGAACCCCCTCTCCTCTCCTTCCGGCGTGACTCTCGACCAAGCTCGCAATATCCCGGGAAAGGTCAGCGAGCGCCGCACACCACTCGGAGAACTTAATTGGATCTTCACGGCCATTACCGACACCATTGCCTGGAATTGTCTGGACAAGCAATTGTTCAAGAGACTTTTTAGACAGGATTTGATGGTGGCGGCGTTGTTCCGAAATTTCCTCCTCGCCCAGCGCATCATGCGGATCTACCATTGCCACCCCCAGTCTCATCCTGCCATTCCCGATACGCACAACCATCCGCTGTGGCAGAGCTGGGACTTGGCCGTGGAGATGATCCTTGCGCAATTGCCCAAGTTGATTGACCAGCAAAAGGTCAATGAAACCGTGCAGGAGCAACAGAGCGCTCCCGCGCCTCCGCAAGAAATTGCATACGTGCACTCCGACTTCTTCGCCGACCAACTTTCCGCTTTTGAGGTCTTCCTCGCCTCGGCTCCTGCTAATGCCGGTGCACAAGGCTATGCTAAGCCTCCCGAGCAACTACCTATCGTCCTTCAGGTCCTACTATCTCAAGTCCACCGACTTCGCGCGCTGATTCTCCTATCAAAGTTCCTTGATCTTGGACCGTGGGCTGTCAATCTCGCTCTCAGCATCGGCATCTTCCCATATGTGCTGAAACTTCTTCAATCTCAGGCCATTGAACTCAAACCGCCGATGGTGTTCATCTGGGCTCGCATACTGGCAGTCGACCAAACCTGCCAGCAGGACTTGCTCAAGGAAAAAGATCCAGGCTACATGTACTTCACCAACATTCTGAACCAAACGACGGGAATCCCCGCGGGCAGTGTTGCAGAGCATCGCGCTATGTGCGCGTTCGTGATTGCCATGTTCTGCAAAGACTACCGACCCGGTCAGCAGGCAGTGATGGATACCAATCCGGAGATCATCGAGACGTGCTTGTCGCAGCTGCTGGATATGGAAAATCCCCTACTTCGTCAGTTCAGTTGTCTCTGCCTCAGTCATTTGTGGAATGACTTCCCACTCGCCAAGAATGCCGCACTCGCACACCAGGCGCATGCACGCGTGAGAGACCGAAGTCACGATCCTGTTCCAGAAGTGCGCGCGGCTTGCCTCGAAGCTCTCACTAGCTTCGTTGGAACAGGTCCAATTGAGCCTGCGGTTGTCCTGGAAGAGGAAACTCTTGCTGGGGTTGTTTTGTCCATGGGCATGGACGGATCGATCATGGTGCGAAAAGAGCTGACGGTGTTTTACTCAACGTTCATAAAGAAGTACGAGAACCGCTTCATTGTTGCTGCCTGGGAACAAATGCTTGAGGAGCGGGACAAGCGGGCTGGCAGGTCTGCCGGGCCAGCTCAAACCCAACAAGATGATGCCAACGGTTCAGCGGCAGAGCACGGTTCTGCTCAGACCAACGGCTCCCACCCCGCCCAGCCTTCTCACAAGCGTCAGGTGTCCTTTACACAAGCCACGATCGACGATCAAGGCGCCGCGAAGCCATCCAGAACGCTTTCTAAGAAGACCATCTACCGAGCCATCTGGCGACAGGTGTTGAGCATGTCAGCCGACCCTCACCCGGAAGTTGCGAAGAACGCTGGGGTCGTTGTGGACGCGGTCCTCATCATGTTACTCGAATCGGAATTGGGTCCTTTTGCCAACGATATTCTTGATGAACTTCTGGCCCGTCAGGCGCGAAAGACGGATGGACTGGAAAGAGTCCCGACGAACGACACCCTGAGCAGGCAAAGATCACGGGATGCGCGGCCAGAAACACCGCCGAGTCCTGCTACCCCTGCGGCGTCGAGGGGTGATGGGTATTTTTCTACCCTTTCGCGTACGGCTAGTGTTGCGGCTGCCATGAAGAATCTTGTGGGTTGGGGAGCCCGAACACCCTCGTCGGAAAGCCCACCGTCTCCGACACGCTCGCATAAGGATGTGTCTCATCTTTCCCCGAATTATCGATCGCGACCGCTCGCCGCCGCTGACGCTGCGCTCATGGCACCTGATGCGCTGGACAACATTACCGGTCCGCCTCATCAGCCACCAGCTAGAGTACCATCGGCGCCGAACTATGAGGGCAGAGACATCTCGAAAATGCCTACGATTCCCCTGGAGTCCGACTTCTTCACCTGGTCCGCGTCATACTTCCGCGAGCCTCAGATGCGATCTTCTGAAGCTGACGAGCCTGGTTCCTTGAACTACAACGAACGTCTGTGGCGCAGGAACCGCAACGACAAAATCCTCGCCTCGACGCAGCCGCTCAAGGAAGCTGCGGGAAGTCAGCGGTGGGACGTGCCGTGCGGATACTTCGGCATTGGAGCTGCGCCGATGAGAATGGTGTTTCATCAGTTCGAAGACCACCTCGTCACGAGCGATGATCGCGATAGCATTGCCGTCTGGGATTGGAATGAAGCCACTCAGCTGTGTCGCTTCAGCAATGCCAATCCGCCGGGTAGTCGGGTGACGGAGCTGCGTTTCATCAATGAGGATGATCAGGCGATGTTGATGACCGGCTCCAGCGACGGGGTGATTAAGATTTTCAAAAACTACGACAACCCCAAGAAGATCGAGCTCGCGTCGAGCTTCCGCGCACTGAGCGACCTCGTCATCAGCGACCAGCAAAACGCAGGCCTAGTCTTCGACTGGCAGCAAGGCCAAGGCCGCATCCTCGTCGCGGGCGACGACCGCGTCGTGCGCGTCTGGCAAGCCGGCTACGAACTCTGCATCGCCGACATCCCCGCCCGCTCCGGCTCGTGCATCACCTCCCTCACCTCCGACGAAGTCGAAGGCAACGTGTTCGTCGCAGGCTTCGGCAACGGCAGCGTGCGCGCCTACGACCAGCGCCTCAACTCCCGCGAGAGCATGATCATGGACTGGGTGAACCGCGAAACCGACCACAAGTCCTGGATCGTCGGCGTGCACCTGCAGCGCGGCGGCATGCGCGAGCTCATCTCCGCCGAGAGCAACGGCGGGGTCCGCCTGTGGGACATTCGCATGCGGAAAGCCGTCGCCGGCATCGAGGGTCGTCCGCGCGAACCCCGCAATCTGCGCTCGCTGAGCGTGCACGAGCACGCGCCTGTGTTCGCCACGGGCGGCGCGGACCACACCATCCGCGTGTACAACACGGGTCTGAAGCATCTCTCTTCCTTCGAGCCGTACATGAGCTATTTGCGGCTGGCGGCGACGCCGCGGAATGCGCCTATCACTGCGACCGCCTTCCATCCGCATCGCATGATGCTCGCTTGCGGCGCGGTGAATGATGGGCATGTCAATTTGTTCAAGTGCGAGGCTACGGCGGAGGAGAAGCAGGGGGGTGTGGTGGATGAGTGGAAGGCTTGAGATTGTGTTATCTATTATCCTTTGAAGGAGAAGGAGAAGGGAGTGTTTTTAGCGTGGCGTTGTGGGAGGACTTTGGGGGATGGGCTAGATGCGCTGGGCATAGCGTGGGGTGTGTTGAGTCGGGCTGCTAGTGTAATAGAGGGGAGGGTGTGTATAATTAACGACATTCAAACAAGATGTACATGCTCGTCTCATCGCCTCGATCTGTCGCTTCGACGACAACGTGAAGTTGAATGCATCACGGCGGGCAGTCCACCTTGCTTGCCGAAAGCGGAAGCTCGACGCCGACCCTACGCCACTGCACTTCACCCATTCATTCATGCGTGCTCTCTTTGTCTTCCACTTTCTTTCCTCCACTCGTCTTCCCTGCAATGGCGACATCAGCGAGACACGCCTTTCGGCGACCTCATCGACTACTCGACAACTTCTGCTCTGCGACGTCTACATCATCACAAAATGCACGATTTGCAGAGACGCGAGCCCGAGGCCTTTCTCAAGAGCTGGACGTGGGGCGACGTGGGTTTGGAAGTACTGCACTTCCTAGAGGACACATGGAGGCCATACAGCGCTCGGGGCAGAGAAGTCAGCCAGGCAATCTCAAGCGGATACCGGCTCGCGACGCGGCGTTGAGGTCTTGGACGTCTGGAAGAGAAGAACGGTCTGGACGGCGGGGTATGGCTACGATCGCGCCGCAGAGTGGAGAATATGAGGCTGTCGTGGTTGGTGCGGGGCCTGCAGGCATCACATGCGTGGGCAACCTGCTGGAACGTGGCGTGCAGCCCATCTTGTGGGTAGATGATGGATTCGACGGGGGAAGAATCAATCGCATGTACCGCGAGGTGCCGTCGAACACGAAGGTCAAGTTATTCACGCAGTTTGCGGAGGCGGTGGCGCCGTTTCGGGAAGCGCTGGGAGGTGCGTCGCAGGAGGACAAGTTGCAGTTTATGCGGGCTTTGGAGCAGGAGAAGGGGTGCAGGCTGAGCAATGCGGCAGAAATGTGTTTGGTTTTGACGGAGGGGCTCAGGAATGCGAAGGGATTGGAGATGAAGCAGGGCCGAGTGGCTTCTGCTGTGGTTCATTCTGATACGGGGACTTCGACGTCTGATACCCGATGGACGGTCAACGTCGACGACACCCACCTGGTCACGACTTCGAACAAACATCACAGCGTGCAGACCAAGCGCCTCGTCTTCTGCACCGGCGCATCCCCCAACAACTCCCCGCTTCCCGTCCACGTCCCCAACATCCGCAATCTCGACCTCGACACCGCCATCTCCCCCTCTAAATTGCGAGCGGCCCTCGCAGCCGCAGGCTCCAACGTCACCATCTCCGTCATCGGCGCCTCTCACTCTGCCCTCATTGTCCTCATGAACCTCTACGGCCTTGCAGCATCCTCTAGACCCGATTTGCGTGTGCGCTGGTTCACGCGGCATCCGCTGCGGTATGCGAAGGAAATGGACGGCTGGATTCTGCGGGATAATACAGGGCTGAAAGGCGATGCGGCGACATGGGCGAAGCAGAACCTCGAACCTGACGTCTTTGCCAAAAGCGATGTGAGCAAGTACTTCGAACGCATTGACTACGATGCTGGCGAGGAGGCAAGCGTGTTCGAAGAGCGAATGCAAGGCTGCCAGTTCTACGTGCAGGCGATTGGATACTCGCGGGATCCGTTGCCGGTGCTGCATACGAGCGATGGGAGGGCGATTGAGCCTGTCTTCGATCATGAGAAGGGCAACTTTAACTATGTGAGGGAGAAGAAGGCGGGGGAGCCGGAGGAGATTGTGAGGTTGCCGGGCTTGTTTGGCGCGGGTATTGCGTTTCCGGAGCGTGTCAAGGATCCCCATGGGAATGTGGAGATGGCGGTGGGGTTTTTCAAGTTTATGCGGTTTGTCAAGCGGGTGAGTCCGGAGTGGAATTAGCTGTATAGATGTAGAGTAGAGCTCATAGAGAACATGAATGACTTGCACGTGATATTGAACGATGACTAATGCACGTGAGGATGTCTTGGCGAGTGGCCCAAGCTCGAGTAGACTTCCTTCCGTGAGGGGTAAAGGAAAGCTTGCCCTGCTCCGAGCTGCAACCAGACCCGGCAGTACAACGGTACCTCGAGCAGGAACCTGTGAGCAGCGGTGGGACTTGAATGCACACGACTTGACCTCGACCACTCCGGACCTCTCACCTACACCCACCTCCCTACTTCAGCTCCATTCCCTGCTGGCCCCCGACTTCGGCCGCCCTGGGCAGTTTTATTTCAGCATCACAGGGACTGGGCGTGTTTGCATCACTCCACCACCCCCGCCCCCGCCTAGCCGTCATTCATTCGGTGCAAGAGCTCGAGAAGACTACACACATACTCCCCCATCGGGTTCTGGCGGCCCAGCATGTTTTCCAAACGCCTAATCACTCGTTGCTGCAACGCGCCTGTTATCTCCTCCTCGAAATCCCTCCTCCGCCCCCTCAGCACCACCCAATGCCTCCAACGTACCCCCTCCATGGCCGACATCCAGCCGGGCACCATCGCCGAGTTCGACGCGAAGCAACAACGCTTCCGGGCGGAACTCGCGGAGAAAACGAAGAAACAACGCGAAGCCGAACGTGCGTCTGCATTCAAGTCCACCCCTGCCGCAGCTGAGTCCTCTTCTACCTCCCCCCCTCCCTTGACTTCTGCTTCTGCCATCTCTTCCGATGCCGTGCATGACAACACGCAAGACATCCATCAAGGGCTAGGCTCACTTTCCACCGTGTTTACAGGCGACGCGGCGCGCAAGGCAGACGATGCTGCCAACCCCTCACGGAAACCCGGACGATTTAGCAGCTTGATCTACGGCACCGAGGAAGGGCGCGAGATGGACCGCGAGATCGAGCGCAGCTTCAGCCAGGTGCTGGCGCGCGGCAAGTACGTGCACAGCATTGTCTTCCACGAGGTCAAGCCGGATAAGGTGGATGAGTACGTGGAGCTGGTGGGGAGCTGGTATCCGCGCGTTGCGAGCATGCCGGAGAACAATGTGCACCTTGTCGGCAGCTGGCGGACGGAGGTTGGAGATTGTGATACGTTTGGTATGAATTCATGTTTGCAGACATGACGAGAAGATGTACTGACGAAAGATGCTGTGCAGTGCACATCTGGGAATACCAGCGCTACGAAGGCTACCATGCCTCTCTCTACAACATCCAACACCACCCCGAATTCAAAGCCTTCGACGCCAAACTCAAGACGCTTATCAATCGCAAGGACCTCTCTCTGATGCAGGAATTCCGCTTCTGGCCGACCACCCCGCCTCGTCAGTTGGGCGGTGTCTTTGAGCTGCGCTCGTACACGCTGCAGCCGGGCAATCTGCTGGAGTGGGAGACACATTGGCAGAAAGGACTGGCGGCACGAAGGGAGGTGATGGAAGGTGTTGGTGCGTGGTTCGTGCAGATTGGGTACGTTGTTCATCTGTGCACGAGTTCGATCGCCATTCAACTAACGCGACTCCTAGCGAGCTGAACGTCGTCCACCACCTCTGGCAGTTTGCAGATCTCGAAGAGCGAAGAGCGCGACGCGAGGAGAGCTGGAGCGTGCCCGGATGGGGCGAGACGGTGCACAAGACGGTGCCGCTGATCCAGACGATGAAGAGCCGCATCATGGTACCCCTGCCTTGGAGTCCCATTGCTTGAGGAGGCAAGTGGATAAGTTGTATCGACGGACGAGCAGGCAAGCACGACGTGGCATTCTTGCAAAGCGAGAGAGACAGGCCGTATAGACATGTGCTGCGAGGCTTTTACATCACAAGAGGAGAATGAGGCAGACTCGACCTGCACAAGATGCATTGCATCGTGGACACCTGAGGCAGAGTGACTTGCGTAGCATCAGTTACAGATCATTGAATGATGCAGATTCGACCATCGTAAACCAATTGCATGTGTGATCACATCTGTCCTGCTTTGCCTGATTGTAGCCCGTCTTGGTCTAGAGCGTCGGCTACGTCATCCCAAGCGCGTGTCGCGTCGTGCGCGGGAAAGCTGGCCAGAATTTCCCACTGCACTTCCTCACTTGCGACCACGCATGTTCCTCAAACCTCACGCTGCTCCATCACCCCGCCGGATCCAAAAAATAAACCCATCTAACCAGACCACGAATCTCGAGGCAGCGCGCCCACACCCACGCGCACAATGGGGTACATACGGCAGGACCAGCTGCCCGGGCTGAAGAAGTACAAATACTCCGGTGAGTGATTCGGCATGATCTCCATCCATGCACGCACCAGCTAAGCAACCCCAGGCGTCGACCACAGCCTCGTCTCGCGCTACCTCCTCAAACCCTACTGGTGGTCGCGCGTCATCCACCTCTTCCCCCTCTCCATGGCGCCCAACGCCATCACGCTCTCCGGCTTCGCCTTCGTCATCCTCAATATCCTCTCCATGCTCTACTACACCCCCAACCTCGACACCGACTGCCCGGCGTGGGTGTACGCCTCGTGGTCCATAGGTCTCTTCTTGTACCAGACTTTCGACGCGATTGATGGGTCTCAGGCGCGAAGGACGGGGCAGTCGGGTCCGCTGGGAGAGTTGTTTGATCACGGTGTTGATGCGCTGAATACGAGTTTGGAGGTGCTGCTTTTCTCCGCTGCGATGACTATGGGCCAGTCGTGGCGCACGGTGCTGGTGCTCTTTGCTAGTTTGCTTACGTTTTACGTGCAGACTTGGGATGAGTACCATACCAAGACGCTTACGCTCGGGCTGGTTTCGGGGCCGGTGGAGGGCATTCTGACGCTTTGTGTTGTCTATGCTATCACGGCTGTCAAGGGTGGGGGCTGGTATTGGCATCAGCCTATGCTGGAAACGATTGGGGTTTCGCGGAAAGGGCCTTTGGGGAATGTGTTGCCCAAGATGGCTTGGGAGGCGGATTTCATTGATTTCTACATGCTTTATGGAGGGCTGGTGCTGGTGTTCAACACCATTGAAAGGTTTGTCGCCTAATCCTCGACACAACCGAAATCGAGACTAATATGGTATGGCTACAGCGCACGCAACGTGATGAAGAAGCGGCGAGAACGCGGCGAACAAGCGCGCATCGCCCTCGCCGGCCTCCTCCCCTTCTTCGCCTCCTGGGCCCTCATCGCCGCCTACCTCGCCCTGCAGCCCAACATCCTGCACCACCACCTGGTCCCCTTCGTCTTCTACGTCGGGCTCATCAACGCCTACAGCGTCGGGCAGATCATCACCGCGCACCTTGTCGTCATGCCCTTCCCCTACCAGAATGTGCTCTCGCTGCCCCTCATCTACGGCGTGCTGGACTCGCTTGGTCCTGTTCTGCAGAAGCACATTGGCGTTGGATGGCCGAGTGCGCTCGGCGACGGCGTGTATCAGGTTGCGTTTGTATTTACGTGTTTGGGGTTTGCGGTGGGGGTGTATGGGAGTTTTGTCGTGGATGTCATTGTGACTATTTGCGATTATTTGGATATTTGGTGCTTGACTATCAAGCATCCGCAGACGGACAAGGAGGCGAAGAAGGCAAGGTAGGGGTGATGATGCTTTGCATTTGAGGAGCAGATTCGGGAGAGCAATCACAAGATATATTGCTGTAAAGGACGGCCCTCTTTCCGCGGCTGACCAACTCTGTTTTATTCCAGCCGCTCGCGTTGATGGGAATGGTCATCTGGCTTTGCTTCCCCGCAATCTGCATCGACGCCTTGCGACCAGCTCCGCCCGCGGGTACTGCACCTCTCTGCATCCGTGTCGCGGTCCGTTTCTTGCAACCGTCCATCTACACAGGCATGGTGCATCAGCAGACTGATGAGTATATGTAGTTATAAAGGTACATGATATGGCAAGTCACCACCACATTTCCTCCGCCGTCTGATCATCCGCAATCGTTCTTCAGCCGCAAAGAAAGGCAAGGCCATAAGCTGACAGTGGACTCCCCACATCCAGCTCGACTCGCTGCTCGATACACTCCCTGTACTCGTCGGATCAGTCACCGATGTCCTTTTCTCTCGACCTGCCCCCGAGACTAACCTCGCGATCCCCCCCGGTATCCCATCATCCACCGTCATGTCCAAGACCAACGGCACCAACGGCACGGCTGCCGCTTCTCGCTTCGACCCCAACTTCACCGCCGCTGTGATTAATGCTACTGGCCCAAAGGCCAATCCGCGATTGAAGCAGCTTGTCGGCGGCCTGGTGCAGCATCTCCATGACTTCCTCCGCGAGAATGAAGTCACGTTAGATGAGTACTTTGCCGCCATCGACATGGTATGAACCACCAGCTCCACTCCAGCTTCCACCCTCTAATCAGTACAACCCAGATCAACCGCGCCGGCCAAATGTCCAACGCAAAGCGCAACGAAGGCCAACTCCTCTCCGACATCCTAGGCATGGAATCCCTCTGCGACGAAATCACCTCCACCCTCGCCGCCGAAGCCGCCGACCAGCCCACCGCAACCGCCATCCTCGGCCCCTTCTGGCGCAAAGACGCCCCCGCCTACGCAATGGGCGACTCCATCGTCAAAGGCTTCCCCGACGCAGACCACACCCTCATGCACGGCCGCGTGCTGGACTTCGACACCGGCACCCCGATCGCCAACGCCGAGGTCGACATTTGGCATACTGCGCCGAATGGCCTGTACGAGTCGCAGGACCCCGAGCAGCCGGATATGAACCTTCGCGGCCGCTTCCACACCGGCCCTGATGGGAGGTACAGTCTGTACTGCTTGCGGCCAACCAAGTACCCGATTCCCGACGACGGGCCTGCGGGCGAGTTGTTGGGCCTGCTGGACCGGCATCCGTGGCGGCCGGCGCATATTCACTTCATCATCTCCGCTGAGGGGTACAAGTCTGTGGTGACGCAGATTTTCGACCGGCGCGACGAGCACATTACGGACGATGTGGCATTTGCGGTGAAGGAGAGTTTGGTGGTGGATTTTGCGCCGCGCCAGGGCGATCCCAAGGGGAAGTTTGAGCTGGAGTATGATTTTAAGCTGGTTAGTTTTGAGGCGGGGAAGAAGTGAGTTTTCTTTTGAACTTTTTGATGTTTGGACACTGCTAACGTGATTTCTAGGTATGGTATGCCGGGGGCGAAGAATGCCTGATACCGCTGTCCTGCTTGCCTCCTTAGTTGCTCTGTTACGGAAGCCAATCTCTTGCTCTCATAATGTCATGTCGACTTCAGATGATCTCTTTTTCAGCTAACCAGCAGAGTGTCGTCTCTGGATTTCAGCTTCCCCTGTTTCGTAGCCCTTGAGTCTGCCGCCAGATCAGAGAAGCCCCTCGTCCAAACCACCGTCTACTCCTCAACTTCCCCATTCGTCTCTCAACCTCAAACTCCTCCCTCGGCCCCGTAAACCCAAGACACACATCCACTCCCTTCGCCCCATCTTTCGCGATCCTCATATCGATGTCGAAGATGCCCGGCCCGTCCCCAACATGCATGCGCACCCGCACATTCACACCCCCCTCCCTCGCCTTCGCACGCTCACTCAGCAAGCTGCCAATGTACTCCGTAACCCACGCCGCAAGCGACACCGGCGCATACTTGCTCGCCACCACCTCGTCCCACCCGCCCTCCTCGTCGTCGCCCTCGTAAGAGCTGCGCACGCTGAGTAAGCTGAGCGTCGCGTCCCTCGCGTTGCGCGCATCTAGCCATGACCCGATAATGTCGTCGCCGCGGTGTCTTTCTTCGAATTCGGTGGGTAGCCACATGGTGAGCGTGAGAGATTCCAGCGCGTGGCAATGCTTGAGCGCGGCGAGCAGGGAGGGTGGTGATTGGAGTTGGGGAGAAGAGGACAGGCGCGCCTAGGGGCCCGCACAGCTTGAGCTCTTTAAGTGTCGACGCGTAGAAGGAGGCGAGGGTGTGCAGCATGGGTGGGCCTGGTGGCCAGCCGTAGACGGGGGTGAAGGTGAAGTTCGCGGCTGGGGGAGATAGTGGTTGAGAGCCGATGGCGTGGATGGAATCGGCGTGTTCGGCTTGAAGGGTACTGGTGTCAAAGTCGTCAAGGTGGTCCAGCGACTCTACGAGTTCTTCACCGCCCGCGCCCCAAGTGTTGCCGACGGGCGACTCGACTCCCGCGATCACGATCTTGCTTAGAGAGCATCGGTGGAGCGCGCGAAGAATCTCCCTGCTCTCGTCGCGCGGCACTCCGCCTTCAATTTTAATCCTTTGCACCTGCGTCATATTCGCGGCGAAGTCGGTGATGAAACGACGACGGCGAGCTTCTTGGTCATGTACGGACTCCATTTTCTTTGGCTGCTGCTGCCACTGACCACTCTTAGCGTTGACGCGTAGATCGACGAGCGTGGGGCCGAGTTTGTCAGTGACTGCTTCGACTCTCGCAGCGATCGCAGGATTGGAATTCGTCGAGGCGAAGAAGCGGTCCAGGGGCCACGCAAGGCATTGGAGGTTCGGATGGGCTTCCATGAAATCCAGCGCGCACAAACTTGGCCCTGTGGACGTATTTCCGGAGGTTCTCTTATGCAACAGTTCCGAGTAGTCTAATAGATAAATGCGTGGTAGAGACTCATCTTGGACAAAATCGGTGCGGGCCTGAAAGGAACGCAAGTGCGGAAAGCGCAGGGAGAAGAAGCGCTCGAACATGTCGTGCCATTTGAGAAGGTCGGCTTGCATGTCGGTTTTCAGAGGTTTGGTGAGGACCGAATCGAGACAGAGGTTGGTTAGGGTGGCGCTGCAGCTGTGCAAGAGTCCCAATGCCACTTGTGCGGATGAAGGGATCTCGTGATGGTGGGGGAAGTGACTGGATGTATGGTCAGAAGAGCCAATCTCAAGTCGTGAGCGAGGAGCTTACTTTAGATACTCAGGTTGCTGCTCGACAAGCCAGTCTATATCGATAAGGTGACGCCGCGCAGCGAGTTCTGCTCTCTCTTCGTCACTCGTGCCTGGTTCGCATTCGGCCACTTCTGGAGGAAGATTCATCTCCTGCGCGAGAGTGCGGTAGATGTTGTCGTCGCATCGGTTTACAAACCTAAAGCCGTTCCTGACACGCTCATACTCCCCCGTACGCCTAAGCAATTAGAAGCATCAGCGCGGATTGACGATCATGCCTGCCATACCAACACACTTACAGCTGCATTACATCAGCACCGGCACTCATGATGGACCATCCCACCTCATCGGTCACCCCCTGCAGAGAGACACAGTACGAATTGCCCAGCTCATCCCGCATCGTGCGATTCGTGGATGGGAAACGGGAATAAACGAGTTGGGGTCCCGCTGGCCAGTCTTGAGAGTATGTAGAACGAAGCGGCAGGCGGCGCAGGCGAATACTCTGAAGGCCGGAGAAGTCAAGATGTAGTGGCACGGCAAGGGAGGATCGGTTGATGGTGTATTCCCATGCAGCACTGATTCGACAATTCTCGAGCCATAAGTGGCGGATGCTAGGGGTGCGATTGCGGTCGAAGAAGCTACGCACCAGCGCATCATTGATGTTGGGGTGGCCGAACACGATGCGCAGCGTGTGCACGTTGGGCATGTTCTTTACGGCGAGCTGGATCAGCTTGGTGGTGCGCGTGTCGGGCGACAACATCATCCCGCTGAATGGCCTTTTGCGTAGCTCTTCGCGGACATCAGGGGTCGGCAAGTGACAGCGGTGTGTCAGGGCTTGAACTGCTGCGCCGATAGTTGGCTTGGTGGCGATGATTAACAGTTTTCGTAGTAGAGGCGTGTCATCGTGATGGTCCTCGCTATCGTCTTCATGCTCTGTGAGGCGGTCCTGCAGAGTCACATCGCGCCAGATCACAGGGATAGCGGCTTGATAGCACCAGTGCGAGGCGAGGCTGAAGGCTGCATGATCGCGGTGGGAAAGGCGCTCGAGTACGTCTTGGACAAGTTCCTCGGGCAGCCGCTGGAACGGCTGGCGATGAAAGAGGTCCGTCATTCTTGCGCAAGTGTGTCGATTTGCATCAATACCAAGGGGAGAATGGTGGTGATGGACAGTGATATATGTCTTGCGCTGCTGCGGCTGGACCGAGCCCGGAATGCATGGAGCGATGATTCAGAGTCGCATCTGTTGCACCCGTCATGAGCCTCGCAGCATGACCAGTCTCGATGACACCCCGCTGTTGCCGAAAGGAGAGCACAATGAATTGATGTCGGTTTGACTCAGAACAGACAATGTCGATAGGTAAAGCCAAAGCGGGGCGAAGTCACCAAACCTTAAGCTCAGCCTCGAGCAGGCAACCACATCTGCGGCTGCAAGACACATCACTTCCGAACCGCAGCATACGGAGCCCAATCCATCTGAGGACATCCACGTTGGTATACTAGCCCTTTTGACGTTTCCTGCCCGGTTTCCTTCCTCGCTTCGCGCGCTTCTGTGAGGATTTCACAACACTCGGCACGACTGACGACGGAGCCATAACGTCTTTCGTAGACGGCGCCTTCTTCATCAGCTTCTCCGCGATCCTAGCGCTACGACGTGGTGTTTCAAGTGGCCTCGAAGGCGTCGAAGGGATTTTGTCGTTGTGAAGAGCCACATCTGGATTTGTTGTGCCTGGAATCGTGGGTGTTGTCAAAGCGGGTGTGTCAGATCCCACTGCAAGGCCGGCAAGCTCGCGGTCCTTGTGGTGCTGAGGAGGGGGTCGATCTTCGGTCGGGCTGTACTTTCTGCGCTTGGACTTGGGCGAGACTGAGGCTCTGGATGTAGCTCCGATGGGGTGGAAGTTCGTGTGACCATTCTGTCCAGGTTGCAGAGCATCCTTCCCATCGTCGAGATCCTCGGATCGAGCCCGTTTGCGATTCCTCTTGTCCGGCGCATCGCTGAGCTTCCTTTCGAGCCCACTTGCATGACGCATCTCAAGCTCGATAGCTGGAATCTGTTGTTCGATCCACCGCACGAGATATCCATAGCGTTCTACCTCGTCACGCTCTGCGCGATAGTCTCGTATTTCAATCAGAAAACTCGAGATCTGACTATTTCGCGACTTGATCGCGTCGTAGCTCTTCTTCGCCGTGACCTTGGCAGACTCTTGCGCCAGTAGTTGACTCTGCAAGGCCGCCGAAAAATCAGGGGATCTGGCGATGGCTGCCTCGAGCGACAGTACGGCGGCTGAGGCGGAGTTCATGGCTGCCTCGGCCCTTTCTGCCTCTGCAATTCGCTTCATCTCCATCCCCAGCTCGCAGATGGCGTCATATGTCTCTCCAGACCGCAGTACATTGGAAGCCACGAGCTTTTGCCAAAGGTCATCGTGCCACGGCCTGGAGCGATTTACAGGTGATGCATGAGCGTTGTAGAAGTAGTACTCGTGTCCGAGGTACTCAATCCAGTTGGTCAACTTATCCTGCTGGTCTAGGTCGTGTTCGAGATGGACAGGCCGAGTAAAGCCGTACTTGGCCAGTCTAGCCTTGATCACTTGAGCGTACTTCGCGAAATCCCACTGTCCCTCCCAGTCCTTCGACGCTGGATGCTTGAGATATTCCTCCCAAGACTCCCAATCTGCCGCCCTGATCGCAGTCCACTCCCTCTTGACGCTGTATCTCCGGACAATTTGCTGATATCGACGGAACTTTTTCCATCTTGCCAAGTTGCAGGCACAGAATGGAGTTCTTTCAACGGGGTTTGATACCCAACATCGCCAGAATGAGATGAGATCGCGGAATTCGTCACGGTGTTGATAGTCTTCAAAGTGCCAGAAGAAATCTTCGAGGATATCAAAGGGATATGGTGGATGGCCACCAGCTTCGACCAGCGCGGGCCAGGCGGCCTGTTCGGCCGCCAAATCCTCGAGGTCGCTTTCTTCCTGTGTCAGCGGTGGCGGAGTCGTGGCGAGTGATGGTGATCTGCTGAGCTGCTCCGTTTCCCGGGAGAAGTTTTGAAGTCGAGCAAAAACCTCGGTGGGATTGAGTGCGCTTGATTGAGCGGTTTCCCGTTCGCGCTGGAGGATGTCCCTGTTGCTAACGATGAGAAGCGGAGCGCGGGTGATGGTCATGGATCATACTTCAATCTTTGTATGAACTCGGCCGTCAGATTCCCTGGGTCTTGCACGCTCACAACCCTGTACGAAAGGCGCAATTAGTGAGGACGCGAGAAGATGGCATGCGATGGCGGTGCCTTACCGGCCATGCTCTGCCAGGTATCGGTCAAGATCTTCATCCGAATACGCCTCAATTTCGTGAGCGAAGGGCTTCTGTTCGGCCATGTTGGTTGTGTTTGGGTACCGATATGACACTTGGATCCAAAAGGACTGCACAACCGCGCTTTTGCGGAGCTTATAACAACACTTGGGGTTGTATTCAATTGGTGCTGGCTGGCGCCACGGCTTGGACACGCGTGTATGTGCACAAGTCCATGCGGCCTTCAATTTCAAAGTTTCACGTAGCACGCCTTGAATATGGCAGAGTCGGCAGGAAACGAGGTCCCAGGGATGCCGTCATTCTCCCGTGTCACCGCGGTTCTTACAAGCTGGACGGTAACCAACCGCCGCTCAGAGCTGTGCGTTTCACACCACTTAACGGCTGAAGCCAGCTCGTGCCGTAAGGCGAGTATCGATCGCTTGGCCGTGTTCCATGCGGAGTCGTGTCGGCGACTCCGGGGCTGAAGTGTGACGAGGATCATTTACTAGAAAGAGAAGGAGATGTAGCTGAAGTAGAGTGCATAAATAAGCTTCGCCAGCCGCAGAATCGGCTACATTGAAATCACCACTTCAATCTTCCACCATCATTCAACATTTCCAATCTTTCAATTACATCAACCATCACTATGCCAGGAAAAACACTCGTCATCCTCGGCTCCGGCCCGGGAATCGGCATAGCAGTCGCCAAAGCATTCGCCGTCCGAGGCTTCACCCACGTCGCTCTCGTGTCCCGCAATGCATCCCGCTTGAACGAAGACCAGGATGCAGTGCTCGATGCCATCCAGGAACGCGGGTACAGCTGCCAGGTCAAGACGTGGACGTGCGATCTGGCCGATTTTGATCAATTGAATAAGACGCTCAATGAGATTAAGAGTTTTGGCAGCTTGGAGTGTGTGTTGTTCAATGCTGCGCGGGTTGCTGGGAAGCCGGCTTTTGAGGAGAGTATTGAAGCCATTGAGCAGGATTTTCGAGTACGTTGAGGTTTCATCAATATTTTATCACCAGAGAATAAAGAGCTGATCAAGAACCGCACAGCTGAGCTGTCTATCACTCTACGAAACAGCGAAATGGGCCATCCCCGTGCTGAAGGAGAACGCAGCATCGACACCCGACGCATCCCCATCCTTCTTCGTGACCAATTCTTTCCTCTGGAAGGAGCCGCACCCGGGTTTGCCTTCTCTGTCTTTGGTCAAATCCGCGCAGCGCACTTTGCTGCTGTGCCTGCATGCCGACATGGGCAAGGATGTCCATCTTGCCCTTCTCAGCTTGGGCGGGCCTGTGTCGCCGGAACAGAAGAACTTGAATCCAGAGAATATTGCAAACAAGGTCTGTACGCTGTTTCAATCTCTTGAAGCAATGAATGACGCTGACCAGTTTGACAGTGCTGGGAACTATACAAGCAGCCCAAGTCGAGCTGGAGCCGAGACATGGAACTCAACGAATAGATTGCGTGCCGTTGATAGAGGCGTGTACATCATCAATATACATATGTATTCAATCTTTCCCGCAATTTTGGCGTATTTAACTGAGCTTCCAATCGGTTGGTAAGCTTCAACATGTGATGGATTAGTGCGTCGAGGAGTCAAAAACAAAAAGATGATTTCTAAACCCCGTTGGGGCAAAAGAGTTCGGCCTGCAGCCTACATCTCTCTTCTCTTCTCAACTCTCAAACTGCCGCTCGAGGGGCCATCTGATGTCGCGCCGAAGAGGTACCCAACACGCTCGGGATTCCACCTCGAGCCGTGCCAAAGCCGCGATACGTGTGCACTGTACTCTCGCTCAAACATCTACCATGTTGCAACATGCGTAGAAACTCGGTGACTCGGGCGGCACTCTGTGCTCGAACCCACGACATCACTCTCACAGATATGGCGGGCCTCAATGCCTCCTGCTCATCATCTGAATCGCCCGAAGGCGAAATCCGCGGCCGCTGGAAATTAACATATTCCACCATCTATCACTTCCGAACATCACCCGGGCCTCCGTGCGCGCCGCCGCTGCAATTTCAGAACGTTGGATGGGAAGGAGCTGCTCACGGCAAGTACGAGGCTTGTAGATGAGGCAGGTGCGATGTACGTTGGCCCCACTACTGCGCTGCACTCCATTCTCCCGATGCCGAGTCAGTAAAAGACAGCCGGTGGCAGCTGCTGGGCCTATGCGTATTGTACGTTGCGCCAGACACATGAAGGCGCTCAAGCCATTGCTCAGTGCCGGATGTGGTTTGGAATGTCTTACTTGTCGGCAGGGCGGAAGAGGTGGTTGTCGGGGACTCGGTGAGGGAGGAAGCAAGAAGGTTTGCGGATCCCGAGCCTAAATGCAGGCGGGCTTCATTCGATCGCTTGCCCGACATGCGGGCGATCAGATCTAGATGCCATCGGCCCACTCGACGGCATTCGGATGAGAAGAGATGCATGAACGATCCGTATGTAGAAGTTGCAACGCCCGGCCGGCATGCTCGACTGATGAACGGCGCATTCGTCTTGATGACATCCAGCGCCAAGGGCTGCGACAGGCCTGGGGGACCCCTGTCAGCCCCAATGGAGTTAGCGCGGATGGTGCAGGAACCAGGCCGGACGAGTGTCGCTCTCCTTTCTGAAACTGTCGCAAGCAACCTCACGCCTTACGACCCCTTCACCGCATTGCCTCCTTCGTTTTTTTGTTCCCGGCCGTCTGCAATATTTTTGACTGGCTTGATTGATCACCCTCGACGACGCGAAACCACTCCCGTGCGCGTGTGGCCATCGCGATTGCCTCGCTACGAACATTCCAACCACCTTGGCACTCCCCGCCCTCTCCGTCCATGAGCCCTCCCTGACACCCATGCCCCATCGCGCAGTGTCGTGAAGCCGTCACGGGAGTATTGCCCATCTACTGCGACCCTTCCCGCTCCTCTGGTCTGCCACAGCACGCTGTTAGGCTTCGCACCGGCACGACAGGATGAGCTTCTTTTTCAAAAAGGACAAGGACAAGGCGAAGCCCGGGGCGAGCGCGGCCACCACGCTCCCTCCTGCATCACGCGACCTGCGATCCGCCGATGGAGTTCCGGGCGGTAGCAGCAGCCCGCAACTTTCCTCCCTCAATGGCGCGCCGACCGCCGCGATATCATCCTCGCCGATACCCGGCGCGAGCGCGAACAACGCTCTCAATCCCGCCGCTGCCGAGAGCATACGGTCTGGCACTTCTTCAGATGGAATTGGAGCAACTTCTCCGCAACAAGACAAGGGCTTGTTTGCCCCTGAGAGTGCGGTGCCCGCCAGTCCGGAGCAGAAGAGCATGGCGCGCGATCCGAGTATGAGGAGTGCTGGTCCACCGGAGAGACTGATGGAGCCGGTATGTATTCAGAATACTGCACTCAATGGCGGGACGATGGTCAACTGACACAGGATGCAGCCCCGACCGCTGAGGCCGCCGCCACCCGTACAGAACCCGCTTCGTCAAGAACCCCGCCCCGAAACCGCCGCATTATATCCGTGGTCAACGCGACCGCTCACCTTCACAGTACAGCACACCAACCCCTTCCCTCGATACGGTGCTGCGGTCAACGCCATCGCGAGCAAAGACAGCTCCATATACCTGATGGGAGGTCTCATCAATGGAAGTACGGTCAAGGGAGACCTCTGGATGGTCGATGCGAGCCCGGGCACATTGACTTGCTTCCCGGTCGCGACGACGTCCGAAGGTCCAGGACCACGAGTTGGCCATGCAAGTCTTTTGGTCGGCAATGCTTTTATAGTATTTGGTGGCGATACGAAGATGGACGAGGGCGATCAGCTTGATGACACCCTGTATCTGCTGAATACATGTAAGACGACGACTTCTCTTGCAGCATCCTTGAAAAAGTCATACTGACTACCATGCGCAGCCACGAAACAATGGTCCAGAGCTCTCCCCGCTCCGCCCCGACCTCCGGGCCGATATGGCCATTCCCTCAACATCCTTGGCAGCAAGATCTACATCTTTGGAGGACAAGTGGAAGGCTACTTTTTCAACGATCTCGTCGCATTCGACCTCAACGCCTTGCAGCAAACCACGAACAAATGGGAAATCTTGATACAGAATACGATAGACGGCGGTCCACCCCACGGACAAATCCCCCCGGCAAGAACGAATCACACCATGGTGACCTGGGGCGATAAACTGTTCCTCTTTGGCGGCACAGACGGTGTCAACTGGTTCAATGATGTCTGGTCTTATTCCCCGCAAACCAACTCCTGGACCCAGCTCGAGTGCATTGGATATATTCCTTCGCCACGTGAGGGCCACGCCGCAGCACTCGTCGGGGACGTCATGTACATCTTTGGAGGCCGAACCGAGGAAGGGACCGATCTTGGCGATCTTGCCGCCTTCCGCATCAGCTCGCGACGATGGTACACCTTTCAGAACATGGGACCGAGTCCCAGTCCTCGATCCGGTCATAGCATGACGACCGTGGGCAAGCAGATTGTTGTCCTCGCTGGAGAGCCGAGCAGCGCACCCCGAGATCCCGTCGAGCTGTCGTATGCTTATTTCCTCGACACTTCGAAAATCAAGTACCCTCCCGATGCTGCGCCTGCCGCCGCTCAACAACAATCAAGAGCAATACAAAACGGCCTCCCGGGGAGCCGCTCTCCGACATCACCAAGAGACTTGCAGCAGCGAGAGCGCTTTACGAGCAATGAGGACCTCAGAGCACGCGGTGCAGAGGTCATGCGGAACAACAGCGGCGCCCGACTTCCTCCAGGCATTATGGCGCAGAATCAATTACCTGCACCCGTTGGACCCGTGCCCCTAGTGCCTGAGCAGCAGCTCAAGCCAAATGGAATCCCCGCTTCCCGACAGCCGAGTCGACCGGAGCGCTCCCTCAGCCCTCAAGCCGATGCCAGTCGTGCTCAAGAGTTGAATAGAGTTGCATCGCCCACAGGTCAAGTGCCTCGAGGCGGCCCGGTGCAGGCCCTGCCATCGTCTCCCAGCTTCCCCCCCGACCGCTCGTACTACGACAGCGAGAATTCCAGAATGTACAAGCCCGACACCTACCAACCATCGCAAACGCAAGCCGCTGCTTCGAAATCTCCCGTACCCGACGCCGACCGCGCAGACGATTCCTCGAGGTCCTCGTCCGACCAGACGCCCACCGCTCGTGAACTGCACGAAGAAGACGATCCGCAGGACTCAGGCATTGGCTCCTCACCGGCCCTCACGCAACAGTACGACGTCATGGCGCGAGAGCTGGAATCTCTCAAGAAGCGCAATGCCTGGTATGCCTCCGAGCTGGCCTTGGCGCGGAAATCCGGCTATCAATCTCGGTCCACGGACTCCCCCGTGCTGGACGCGCGGGCTCCGGATGTGTTTGGCGAAGACGACAAGCCTTTGATTGAAGCATTGCTGGCCATGAAGGCTGAGCTCGCACGTGTGCAGGGAACGATTGACTCGCAAAGCAAGAGCGCTGCGGAGCGCATTGCGGAAATCGAAAAGCAGCGCGACGCGGCCATCGGTGAAGCCGTATATGCAAAGACTCGTCTGGCCGGCCAGGGAAGCCCGCAGCCGGACGGCGAGGGCAAGCGAAGCGTCGATCTGGATAGGAATAGTGACATGAGTCGCCGACTTGCTTCTTCGTTGAACGCGCAGACTGAACTGAGCAAGCGGATCGATGGGCTGATTCAAGAGTTGGATAATGAGAAACGGGCACGCCAGCTGGCTGAAGAGCATGCAGATGCAGCACAGAGCCGGGCGATGGAGCTGGATTCATCTCATCAATCGCACGGCACGCAGATGGAGGAAATGCGAACTGCATTGTATGCTGCGCAAAGTCAAGCGAGAGAAGCGTCGGCAAGCCATGCAGAGATCAAGTCGCAGCACGACTTGCTGGCCATCGACCATACAGAGAAGTCCGGACAGCTTGACAGAGCGCTAGCCGAGACGCAGAACCATACCGACATCCTCTCGTCTTTGCGCGATGCCGTCGCTGCTTCCACGGAGAAGGCTGAGATGCTCGAACACCGTCTGGAAGAGGAACGAGGACAGCGCTCCGACCTTGAGCAGCAGCTGCGAGAGCTGCAGGCCGAGCACGACTCTCGATCGATGGAGCTGGACGACACTTCTCGCCGCCTTCGCGATGCCGAGGAACTCTCCAGCAAGCATGCTGAAGAAGCGAGAACCCACCGCGGCGTTCTCCTCGCCGGCCTGGACAAGGTGACTTCGCGCGGTGTAGATCCCAGTGCTGCAGCAGACGAGCGCGTCAGCACATTGAAGCAGCAAGTGGAATCGGCAAACGCAATGGTTCGACAAAACCAAGCTGCTGCCGACACGGCGGCCGAGAAGCTCCGAGCGGCGGAAGCGAGGATCGCAGGGCTGGAATCCGCCCAGCAGCAGGCCAGCCGAGATGGGTTGTCCATCCGCAAGCAGCTTCAAACCGTCACGAAGGAGCACCAGGAGCTGTCGTCGAAGAAGATGGAGCTCGAGCAGAAACTGCAAACCCAGGTGCTCGAGACGAATGCAATTGCGGTGCAACACGCCTCGCTCCGCGACGTGCTGAGCGATCGTGGCCTCAGTGCTGCTGATGTTCGGAGATCCCGAGCTCTCGACTCCCCCAGCAGCATGAGCCGCTTCGGCACCCCAGATCTGCAGCGCATGAAAGAGCTCGAGCAGCAGCTGGATTCGAGCATGAAGAGCCACGACGAAATGAAGCAGCAATTCGAACAAGTCAACGCGCGCGACGAGACGACGAGACGCGAGTACGAGGAGAAGCTGGCGGCGCTAGACAACGACCACCAAGCGGCGGTGAAGTACCTGCGCGGCACGGAGAAGATGCTTTCCAAGATGAAGCAGGAGCTGCAGCGCATCAAGGACGAGAATCGAGATCTTAAGAAGAAGCTCGACAAGCCGAGCCAGGAAGGCGATGTCGCCCGCAGCGCCAGCTCCGCCGACGCCCCCGCCGCCGACTGGGAAGTCGAACGCGACAGGCTGAAGGGCGAGCTGGCGGAGGTCCAATCGCATCTCAAGAACATGTCGGAGCTCGAAGGCCGCCTCTCCGTCACGCAGCAGCAGCTCCGCCTCGCCGAGGACGAAATCCAACAGGTGCGCACCCGCCACGCCACCGCGCAGGCCGACTTCACCACGCTGCAAGCCAGCCACTCGCAGACGAAGTCCGACATTGAGCGCCTGCAGCAGCAAAACAGCAGTCTCGAGTCCCGCGCGCGCGACGCGGAGAATAAGGTCCAACTCCTCCTCGACCAAGTGGAGTCGAGCGTGGACAACTACCGGCGGCAATCGCGCATCAGCGACGCCCCGACCATGCTCAACGGCGGCACCTACCAGCCCTCCGGCGGCAACATCCACCCCACCAGCGGAGACACCACCTCTTCTTCCTTCGTCCAGCACACCCGTGGCCTCTCGGATGGCGCGTACAGCACCCTCTCCACCGCCACGGACCCCACGCGCAATTCCCAAGCGCTCGACTCCCTCGCTTCCGAACTCGAGACGCTGCGCTCCCACTGGGAGACGACGAACCGCAGCTACCACCGCATGAGCGATCGGTACGACGGGAATGAAGCGTACAGTGGGGAAGTGCTGCATCCGGGGCTGGATATCAATTACGGGGAGAGTGAGGAGGGGGAGGAGGGCGAGCGGACGGAGACGGAGGAGGAGGAGGGGCATTCTGAGGATGAGGAGCACGCTGGGGAGGAGGGGTATGAGGAGCGGAGGAGGAGCGGGCTTGCGGTTACGACGGCGGCGCATTAGGTGGATGGATGGGCATGGGACGGGGATTGTGATGGATTAATGACGGATTAAAGAAATTCAGCGCTGGGAAAAGGGGGCGACTTTTTGCTAGCCTTTTTTGTGTCTTTTGTATTTCATGGGAGGGAGGTTGTCTTGATCGACCTTGAACGTTTTGGACTCGGGCGAGACAGAAGAGGCGTGATGGGCTGGGCCGGGGAAGTGCTGGTATATAGGCCTGGACATTCGAATCTTTGATTTTGTTATACTCCACCACTCGTGACCAAGTCGTATTTCTCTTGTAGTGTGCGACTACCAAAACCTCTCCAAACATCATGGTGCATGGATCCAGTCCACGTCCGAGCATTCAAACTACCGAGATCCCATCAGGACATATAAGCGCCATCCAATGCCATGCCACCCCCAAGCCATCCATCCATGCAAAACATTCCCAACAGATGCAGCCGAAAATCAAACTCTCGCCTTCAACTAGGTTCACGACGAAGCGTTGCAAAACTCCACCAACGGCCCATCCTTCGCACTCGTAAACGTATCCTGCAGCTGGAACTCCAGGGGTCGATTGCGGCCCAGCTCCGCGTCGGGGCTGCCTTCGCCGAGGTGCGAGCCGGGCGCGAGGCGCATGTCGTAGAGGTAGATGATGCGGGCGAGGGACATTGTGAGTTCGGCGTAGGCCATGCCTTTTGATCATTGTTTGTCAGATTGTGGGTATTTTGGGAGGGAACGGGGGACGGCTCACCTTTTCCTATACACCCTCGTGGGCCTACGCTAAAGGGACAAAAGGCGGATTGCACCGTGCTTACGGACTCCGGGGTGATAGCCGGTTCAGACCCGCTGATCCAGCGCTCGGGCTTGTAGTCGAAGGGTTGCGGGTAGTAGGTTGCGTTGTGGTGGATGGCGTAGTGCGGGACGCCGACAACCGTTCCCTCGGGCAGGACGTGGCCGTCGACTTCCATTCCGCCCGGCAGGACTTGGCGCGGCGCCACGCCGCCTACGGAGGGCGAGAGGCGCATTGCTTCGTCGATGCTGGCGCGCAGGTAGTGGCAGCTCGTCAGCTTGGCGCCCATGCGGATGTCCTCGACGTCGGCGAAGGCGGCGCGGACCTCTTTGCGGAGCTTCTCGAGGGCCGACGGGTTGTGCACGAGGTAGAAGATTGCGGCGGAGAGGGCGGTGGAGGTGGTGTCGGAGCCGGCGATGATGAGCAAGTTGCTCTCGCCCCAGAGCTCGGGCACGGAGAAGCCGTGCCCCGTCTCCGGATCCTTGGCGTTGAGCAGGTAGTAGAAGAAGTCCTTGCGTTCGGCGTCGAGGCCGAGCTTCATGCGCTCGGCGGCCTGCGCTTTGGAGAACTGCATGTACTGCGCGCGCATCCCCGCGATTTTGCGGAAGAGCAGCTTGTCGAGGTGGTAGTCGTGGATGGGCAGGAAGGTGCCGCAAATGAGATGGCGGCGGGCGGCATTGGTCAGGAGGTCGATGGCGAAGCGGTTGTCGGGGCGCTCGAGCATGCCGAAGGCTTTGCTGAAGCAGAGGTCCGACATGACGTCGAAGGTGAGGTAGTTGGCTTGGTCGGAGATGTTTTTGGCCGGGGTCCATTGTGCGCCGGTGTTGGGCTTCTCGGAGTCGGAGTAGGTGGTCAGGGTGTTGTCGCCGAGATTAGAGCAGAACTGGCGGATGTGCGAGAGGATGTGCGTCTCCATGGACTTGACAGCGGCGTCCGAGAAAGCATGAGCCAGCACACGTCGCTTCCGGCCATGCACGGAGCGATCGATAGCGCTGTGCGTGCTGACGGAGTCCTTGGTAGCAGGGAAAGAAAGGTAAAAGTCGGCTTTGCGCACATTCCCTTTGGCACCGTAGATGGAGCGCAGAGCGGTATTGGTGTTGAAGGACAAGCTGTTGGGCCCGAAGCGCACGACATTCCCGTACTTCTCGTGGCATCGCCAGAACTCCAGGTGCCGGTCGCCCTTCCACGCGTGGTACGTGGAGTAGAGATCGGTGACTTTGGCCCAGAAGGGGCCGGGGTACTTGGCCAGGGGATGCAGGTATACACGGTAGAAGACGAATCCCGCGCAGTAGAGCGTTACAGCAGCGAAGATGATGGTGAGCAGCGAGACGCCCTCGAAGAGGGAGAAGAAAGCCATCTTGGAGGAAGGACGTCAAGACGTGTAGGAGAAGGACAACCTACCGGTCCCAGCAAAGGTATATATGGAAGCTTTGCAAAAGGGCCTCGTGTGACCCGTACCGGTTACCAACGGACTCGGAGCGCGGCGCATGGGCAGAGCTCCATCAAATCACAAAATGGAGGAAAATGATGTCGCGAAGGCGACGCGGCGGAATGCCAACGCGCTCCTTCGAGGTGCAGCCGCAAAGCCGACGGCAGCCGGGCGCTGAGCTGTCTCCATCGGGTTGTTGGATTCGCCTCCCTCCATTTTGTGAAAGATTTGTGCCGTCTTCCAGACCTCGACAAAGATCATGAACGATAGATATTCTGATGAATTCGTCGAATGTACACCTAGTATCGTGGCATCCAACCGGTTCAGCCAACTTAATCGTTGGTGGCAAGAAAGCTGACCGCTGACGAGTACTGACTGCAGAGCGCCTGACTGCATCACCCAAATGCGGCCAAGGTCGGTTTAGCCCGGGCGGCCTTGTCACGTAATCACGGCAGAGATTCTGGAGGCAAGGTACACAACAAGGTACAGATGATCTGACTGTGCTAGAGCTACAACTAACATTCTGCGGTAAGCGCTTTTCTCGTAATCCTCATGAAGCATACCCGTATATGACCTCCCAAGTAACAACCACAGACCCAAGTAAGTCCCGACCAGCACTGATTAATCAGGCCCACGCTCAAAACGCTGCAAAATACTATCCATGGGTATCATCACGCAAAGCACATCCCCCCACCACCCAACCCCATGCCCACCAAGAGGTAAGAAAACCAAAATCACCCCTCCACCTCCTCCTTCTCCGCCTTGGCCAAATGCCGCTGCTCCGTCCTCTTCTCCCGCTCCTCCGCCCCTCCATCCGCCTTCTGCTCCTCCTTCGCCAAAGCCCGGCGCCGCGCGTCCTTGAGCCCAATCGGCGGCGTCGCGCGATACCCCTTGCGATGCCGGTTCAGCTCGCGCTCCAGCGCGGCCGACATGCGCTCGAGAATCCACGCCGCTTCCGAGCGGTTGCTCAGCAGCGGCGACTCGTTTGACAGCCAGGACCAGTCGCGCAGGAAGTAGGGCAGGTCATCCGGGTTGGTGGGGGGCTTGTGTTTGCTGCGGCCGAAGGACTTGCGTTTTGCTTCGAGTTGTTCCCGCACGGAGGTCGCGCGGTCGATGTTGCCGTCGGTTGAGTGAGGGTTTGGTGCGTCGTTGTCGTTGTTGTGGCTGGTGGACTCCTTTTCTAGACTGGCGTCTGTGTCGGAGCCGGATTTGCTGCGGCTTTGCTCGACCGGGTCGGTGCTGCGGAGGCCGTCGGGGGCGCGCAACGGTTCCGGCACCAGAAGGTCGGGATGTTTCTGCCCCGGATAATCCTCCGGGTCATCCTGGTCACCGACGAGTTTGAGGTAGTACTCCCAATCCGCCCAGGAGAACTGCTTGGAGGGCTCGTTGTTGACAATCTTCTGCAGGTTGCGGCACTCGCGCGACAGTACGTAGTGGTAGAACATGATGTCCTTCTCCTGCGCCTCCTCCGCCGTCTTCGCCTTGTCTTGCTCCTCCTTCGCTTCCTGCGCCTCCTCTTTTGCTTCCTTCAGCTTCTTCCACTGCTCGCGCTCGTCGTCGTCGACGTGGTGATCGAGCCGCTCCGCCAGACGGTCGAGCATCTTATTCTCGTACTCGGAGCTGCTCACGCTGCTCTCCGGGCCACGCGGGCTGATGCCAAAGACTCCCGGGCCTGTGAAAGAGTGGACCATATCGCTGAACCTTTGCACGATATCGACCCCGCCCGCACGAAGAGACGCTCGGAAGCCTTCCTCGCCGGGCAGAACGGTAAATCTGCTGACCCATTCGGTCATGTCCGATACCCACTTGACAACCGTGTCGCCCATGTTGGAGATCAAGATGGTGAGGGAGGGGATGGCGAGGAGGGACCAGAAGACGAAAAAGGCGCGTCCGCTGTTCGACTTTGGCGCAAAGTCTGGGAGGGGGGATTAGTTTGCGGATGAGGGTGTCGAGGGTGGAATTGACAGCTTACCGCCATAACCGATGGTGAGCAGAGCCACGTAGGCCATGTACACTGCTTCCAGGTAGGTCCAATTCTGCAGATACTCCGTCTGCTGGAAGATGACTGCGCCCACAAGCCACAAGAGGACGGCAAAGAGGGCGGAGTTGAAGAGAGCGAAATACCGGCGTTCCGAGTCTGCCGCTTTTTGCACCTTGCGCATCACATCAAACTCCTGCTCTCGCTTCTGCGCCAACGACATGTCGGGATCGATGCGGTAGTGCGCACGGGCAAACATGGAGATCTTGACGACCTCACGCTTCGAGTCAACGTTATTGACCGCCTTTGCCCGTCGCTTCTCCAGCATGCGTGCCGACATTTTCTCCGAGCCGCGCTCCAATACCAAGGAACGAATGCTGCCAATGACCAGACCGAGGGTGAGGACGCCGCCCATGGCGAAGGGGAAGAGGAGACCACGGCCGAGACTCGTCTTGGGGGAGACGTCGCCGAAGCCGATGGTGAGGATGGTGACGTCGGCCCAGTAGACGGCGGTGAGGAAGTCCCAGGCTTCGATGTGGCTGTACACCAGGGCGCCGAGGAGGAGGTAGGTGACGAGGGACATGGTCTGCAGCATGAGTGAGCGCTGGGAGAGGGTGAGCTGGAACTGCTTCGTGTATTTGCCGGCCACTGCGCCGTAGACGGTGAAGCACATGAGGAAGGCCAGGCAGGTGTAGATGCCGGCGGCGTAGCAGGCGTAGTAGAAGGCGGAGGTCAATGCGTGCCGCGAGTTGGGGATCAGCGGGGGCTGCGTGATCCAGTAGTGCGGGCCGCTGCTCATGGCGGATACATCAGCGATCAACAGCAGACCGGCGAGCATGTACCCGGCGATGGTCAGCGGCTGTGCAATCTCGAATTTCACCCTGCGCGCCATGTTGAGCAGGAGGGAGCCGTTGCCAATCAGGGCACACACGAGAGAGAGGGCATTGAGGGCCTGAGGAGGAGTCAGCACAGCGCACAACAGAGGAGGTTGGGTGTGGGTGGCGAGGGACATACCGTATTCCATGGCGGATCTTTAATGGTGTGGCCCAGCTTCTCTCCCTGGCCGGGAGGGACGCCGGTGGGGATGGACTCCCTCCAGTAGTAGGCGAGGGCGAGGATGTTGAAGGCGGTGGCCATGGGACCAAAGGTACCCGCGAGCAGCGGAGCAGCGACGGATGCGAACCACCAGCGATTCTTAAATTCAAAGTCTTCGCGCTCGTCTTGCTCCATGGTTCGCTGGGCCTCGTTGGCCGCCTCTTCATTGGTGGGGTTCTCGTCGATGGCAGCATCGTCTTTCGCCCCATCTTTGTCGTCCATGGAAGGATCTGCCTTTTCGTTGATGGTCTCTTCAATACCCGGGTCGATGGTAGACATCTTGGCGTGGTTGTTGTCCGCTCAGCGGATGATCATTGACGGTAGTCGTGAGAAGCACACTACCAATCCTTGAGCGAGAGAGGAGAGGAGAAAGAAGACGGAAAGCGTCAATCTGTTGAAGAGTGACGAGAGAGAGATAAGAAGATCACGTCCACCCTTACCCATCTATCAGATTCGCGTCCGCGTGGGCAGGCAGGAAATGACGACGGTGTCGCGGGAAAACTTGGCAGGCAAGGCCTTGGTTGGTTGTGAGCTGCTCTTGCCATCTTCCGGCGCACATGACGGAAGCGGCGTAGCGGGGCTGGAAAGCTTGTCGGAGCTTCTTCCATCCACAACTCCACCTCCACCTCCTCTCCTCCTACATCGACATGGTCAGTATCTTCTAATAGTCTATGTAAGCAGTGCTATGGGCTGCAATCCCTTCAGTCCTCTGATCCAGCACAGGTAAGCGGCCAGACCCTTTCCCGCTGTTATCATCATCATCATCATCCCCAATGCCTTCCTCAAGCATTCGAGATGTCCTCCCAAACCTGCAAATCGGCGTCTGGCCTCCCGGCCCCAAGAACAGCATCACCGACGTCGAGGGCGTGCTAGTCCACACTCAATCCATCCACGCGCCAGCCTCAGATACCCACGACGCAGTCAACACCGGCGTCACCACTATCCTGCCCCGCAAGCACTGGTACCGCGATTGCTGCTATGCAGGCATATGCCGCTTCAACGGCGCGGGCGAACTAACGGGCAGCCATTGGATTGCCGAGACCGGGCTGCTCAACTCCCCGATCATAATTACCGGCACCTTTGGCATCGGTGCCGCGCATCAAGGTGTTTATGAATATCTCTGCCGCGACCAGCCTGAGTTCAAAGAAGCTCCCACCCTCCCCGTCGTAGGGGAAACATGGGACGGCCAGCTCAGCGACGTGGGCAGCTTCGCCGTCACGCCGGACCACATCGTCACCGGCATTCGAAACGCCACGAGCGACGCCGTCTCGCTCGGTAACACAGGAGGCGGCACGGGCATGGTCTGCCACCAGTACAAAGGCGGCACGGGATCAAGCAGTCGCATAATCGCCGGCCACGACATCCAAGACCAAACAAAGCGATCCTACACCGTCGGCGTCCTCGTGCAAGCAAACTACGGCAAGAAGCGCAATCTCCGCATCGGCGGCGTGCCCATCGGCCGCCTCCTCATGGAGCAAGACGAGAAAGCCGCAGCAGCAGCAACTTACCAAGAACCCAACACAGCCCGCAAAGACGGCAGCATCATCATCATCATCGCGACCGACGCCCCGCTGCACCCCCTCCAATTGCAACGCCTCGCAACGCGCGCAACAGTAGGCCTCTCGCGCGTCGGCGGCCTAGGCCACAACGGCTCCGGCGACATCTTCCTCGCCTTCTCGACCGCCAACAAAGACGCTCTGCAGAATGCCGGGAACTGGATCGGCGGCGGCAAGGATCCCGCTTTCGAGCCGAAACTCCTACAGTTGCAGGCGCTGGATGAGAATACGATTAATGAGCTCATGGAGGGGGCGGCGGATGCGACGGAAGAGGCGATTTACAATGCGCTTTGCGCGGCTGAGACGATGACGAAGGCGGGGCATACGATTGAGGCGTTGCCTTTGGATAGGGTGAAGCGGATTATGGAGAAGTATCTGATTTAGGCGAGAGACGAGGATGGTTGAGCATGCTTTGAAGCCATCACGGCATCCGTGTTCAAGGCGCTTAGAGAACACGTCTGATGTATAGACAAATAAAACACAAAGGAAAGAAGCTCGCGCCGTCGCCGCGCTGTGCCCAGCCTGCCCTCAACCATGTCCATCTCGTAGCCCAAAACCGCTTCCACCTCCCTAACGCCGCGCACGCCCAATGCAACAAGTCCAACACCACAAACTCAAACACCAAGGAAAGACCCTCACCTCTCCACCTTCACCCACCCATTCATCCAGCTCATCATCACCATTCCCATCAAAACAACCACAGCAGCCGACGCAATCGGGCGCCCATGATACGCCAGCACCCCGCCTTCCGCGCCCGCAGAAGCAGAAGCAGAGGCAGAAGGATTCAGCACCTCCTGCGTCAAAAAGCGCGTCAGCATCTTCGCCTGCTCCGGCGTGATGGGCTGCCCTTCCTCCACCCCCGCTCGCTCGAGGAGGTTCTCGCTCGTGGGGCTAGAGGGGGCGGCGACGGCGGGGGAGACGGCGTGGCCGTTGAGGTGCGGCTGTGTGCTTGAGTGGGTGCCTTTCGGACTTGTGCCTGGAGTGGTGTGTTTGTTCTTTGATGACGAGGGGGAGGAGGTTTGCGCTGCGGAAGCGGTGGTGTCGGCGTTCTGTTTACGCTTTTCCTCGATCATCTCTGCTAGGGTTTGCCGGGAGGCGTCGCGTTCTGATTCGGCTTTTTCCGCGCGTTGCCTGTAGGTTTCCATCTGCTGCTTCATTTCGTCCATTGTGGCGCGAAGGCGGTCGAGTTGGAGTTGGAGGTTGGATGTGGAGTTTGTGGGTGACGGCTCGACGGCATGCGGCTCGCCGTTCTGATCTTCATCGCGAGGCTTGTGCTCGCCGCCTTGCTCCAGTAGGCCTCGCGCCCGCTCCTCTGCACTTTCCCGCGCCGTCCGCTCCTGCGCGAGTTCGTGCTCCAAGCTCTTCATCCGCTCTCCCTGCGTACTTAGCTGGCCCTTGGCGAGTTTGAGCTCTTCACACAGTCGCAGGATGTCGCTTGAATGATCACGCCGTGTGGGTGAGTCGTCTGCCGATGACGGCTTCGTTGTGTCGTTGCGTCTCAGCAGAGGCTGGATCAGGGGGTCGGCCAGTGCACGCGCTACGTCAGGCTTCTCTGGTAAGGGCACCGAAGGTGGGGGTGCGGGTGGTTCGGAGAAGTGCGCTTTCAAGTCGGTCTTCGACTTGACTGACGACGGACGGTTGAACCTCTCCGACCCTGGTTTGGAGTCTCGCACCGGCGAATCGACCTTGTTGCCGAGCATGGCCTCGATGCTTTGACGAGCCCGGGAGAGCTCCTGTGACTGTTGCATGGCGTATTTCAGCTCGGCCTGGAACTCTGTTAGCAGGGCGTAGACTACAACTTCAACGGCGGATACATACGTTCAACTTCTTCATGATTTGATCCGTCGTAATGGGGTTCAACCAGTTCCGCAGATGTTGCGGCTGGTTCACCATTCCAACACCTGCCGCACTCTGACCAGCTGCTCCATTCAAGGTGCCGCGTCCGTTCACTGAACCTTGGCTTCCCGTTCTTCGCAACTGTGACGGTGGTGCCAGTATTCCACCTCCCGCAGTGGGATCCAGCTCGCCAAAGCTCAATCCATCGGTGCCTTGTCCGTAGATCCCCGCGTGCTCCACCTTGGCGGCAACCTTGTGGTGCACGACGGTCTTCTGGTCCTCGGAAACAATGTCAATCCCAAGCTCCAGCATGTCTTGCTCCTTCAATTCTCGCGGCTCGGACTCCTTATTTTCCGGACTCAGTCTCATACCGTTCACAAAGGTGCCGTTGCTGGACTTGACATCGCGGATGTAGATGCGACCTTGCCGGTCGGCATAGATCTCCGCATGCTGTCTCGAGAGGACCTTGGAGTCGAAGAAGCCATTGGTGGGCATGGGTATGGTTTTCTGGTTCGTTTGTCTGCCAATTCGTAGCACATCGGGATGGTATGGAACGGTAATGGTCTTGCGGTCGAAAGTGTGGTTCATGGGCGTCAAGTGAAGGATGACGGGCGGTTCGATGGGGGTCTGCGTTCGGACGCCATTGGCCTGTGCGCTGCCGTTCGCCATCTGCTGGGATGGAAGGAGTGGTGCGTGCAGCGCCGAGGCCGCTGATACGGGCGTGGCGCCTGAGACGGCGGTATTGATGGGTTGCGGACGCGCAGTTGATAGACCGGTTGCCGGCTCCGCCTTGCCGGGTGCGCCGGGTGGCCACAGACCTCTTGTCGGCTTCTTCCTCTGCGCCCAGCTTCCAGCCTCGACGGGTGTCGTTGTCACGCTCACTGCTCCGTTCGTTTGCGTAGCGGGCGGCGCGGTGATGGTCGAGGAGGAGGATGTGGTGCTTGCGGAGCCGTTGGAGGAGAGGGAGGAGGAGGAGTTCTGCCGTTGGACGGGCTTCCGGGGGCCGGGAGTGAACATGCGGCTCACTTCGTCGGAACTCATCGCGCCGAAGCCGTTGGCATTAGACGTCCATCCTATTCGCGTGCTAGGTTGGAAGGGGACGGGGGACGCTACTGCCGTCATTGGCGATTGTAGCCGGGGGCTACCCGTTAGCGATGGTCTTGCTCCTTCTCTCCGACCACCGCCGCGGTGGATAAAGCGTGAAGTGGCAGTGGCCAAGCGAGGTGCCGCTGATGATGGTAATGGGTGTGTTCAAGGAGAAGGAGGGCGTGTCGGGGGACGACCAGCATTCGAGCAGTCAAGAGGAGGAGGAAGGCGGCGTGCGTGCGTGGTCGTGTGCCGCTCACCTGATGCCGAGAAGTGAGGGCGGGCTGAGTGAACAGCTGCCTTCGACTCCTTCGCGAGTGAAGAAAAGAAGCTCGGCCGGGCTTCTCCTTCAGTCGCCGTCACCGCGTCGTCTCTCGGCGGTGCTTGGTGTGGGTAAGGAGGTGTCGTGCCCCGCGGGGTTCAGGATGACTCGGGCGGCACGCGGCTGCCCGACTGCAATGCTGCTTTCCTCGCCGCCTATGCACCTCGCTGTGTCTGGGCGGATGGCGAATGGGGTGGATGCGAGTGTGCGAATGGCGATGGGCCGTGGATGTTGATGCTCTATTCTTCCGCGCCGCCGTCTGTTTCCCAGTCTCCGAGAGGTGGAGAAGCGGATGTCTTGGCGCCCGCCGCCGATTGGTGGGCCCTGCCTCTGCGGGCGTGGGAGACCTCAGGTACTCTGTACCTCGCAGACCGCATGCTCTTTCATCCTCATTTGCAGATCCATTCCCTCCCTCTGAGTAGTGCATCGACACGCACGTTATCCAAAGATGCCGCCGGTGCGTACGAGCTCACAGCCGGGCGCGGTGGGGCCTGCGTGGTATGACAAAGGTGTGTGGAGCAGCAGCAGCTTGAAATGCCACCCGTAGCATTACTTGTACTGACCATGCGCAGCACGAATGGGCGCCATGATGGGAGGCAGTACGCACCTCAATTCCTCTCAAAACTGGCAATGTCTAACACTCTCCAGCTGTCGGACTCATCATCGGGCTCATCTTCGGCGCAACGAACATCATTCGATACGGTCCTGGTCCTAATGGCATGCTACGAACGCTGGGACAGTACATGTTGGGATCCGCCGCGACATTTGGGTTTGTTGGGCCAAACCTCATCAATGTCAAATGTTCACTGACTGATGTGCGCAGCTTCTTCATGTCCATTGGCATGACAATCCGAACCGACTCCTCCCCGATCCTGATTGAAGCGATGCAAAAGGCGCAGGCACGTCATGGCAGGCCGGTGGTTCTGCCTCTGACCCGATTCAAAAAGACAAAGGCGGAAGAGACGCAGTGAGCGATGATGTTCAAGCACTGTATAAATATACCACTCCATCGTTTAGCGCTGCATGACCTGGTGTCGATGGGAATTCATGGTACGCAGCTAGACTCTGTGTAACCATCACGAGGGGAGGGGATGTGTGAGGATCTGTAGATGATGATATTTTGAAGGGGCTAAAGTACCTTGTGCGCACATCTGCCGGTAGCCGCGTATGTCCACACTTCGTCCGATCCTTGTCCTGGCTTCTTGATGTGGGCTTGAGCTGACCCGCGCGGTGACGCTTTCGGAGCCGAGACGATGGGATACTGGCTCTTCACGGTATGAAACATGGAAGCACGCCAATAACCATTCCAAAGCAGTGATTCTGCAGCCCATGCGCCGTGAATTCGAGGGGCAGCCACCGCAGGCTTCAAGACATATCGAGAGGGTCCGTGCGCTGCAATATTAAACTTTCCCCGAGCTCGGGACTTCTCGACGTCGGCCTCATTTTGTTCAACACGTGCACCTCCAATCTGTCCTTCATCCCCTCCTCTCCATCCACTCTTCTCCCCCACAACCTCCTTATTATTGGAGATCTCGTGAAGCCCTCGGGAATAGCATCAGCGCCTGCCCTGGGCGACAGCGTGTGCGCCATCCCTCAGGCGTATCTCCCTGCGTCCGAGTCTCAGCTGCCTCCTCGACACTCTCCTTCACCGCAGCTCCCCTTCGAATCGTCCCTCTCGGCACCAATGTGGCCGAACAGTGCCCACCACACCATCCCGACCGCTTTCCTCACCTCGTAGGCGGTAGAGTTGGTCTGAGGGACCGCCGCCGCCTGTCCGGGGCGAGGGCTCCTAGCCCGGCATGAACCACATGTCGGCGGGCCTGGGCCCGCACATGCCACCCGCACATCCCCATTCGCGCCGCCAGCAGGAATACCATCACTACCATCATCCTGTACAGCCGCAATCACCTATCCATCCGGCATATCCCCCATATCCTCAACCCGGCCCGTACTACCCTCATCCAGCCGCGCCACCCCAACACTACCCTCCTCCACGATGGCAGCCCGCATACGCCCCGATGCAGGCCTACTACCAGCCTCCGCCTCCTCCCCTGCCGCAACAACCACTCCCTCACCAGCAGGTGCCGCAGTACCAGCCTCGCTCCCCGATGGTGGTGACTTCCCAACCCTTTCAACCCTCGGCCACTCCTGTCACGCGACACACTCCGGCTCCTCCCCATCCACCTCCGCCCACCAAGACTGCGCCTTCTCCGCACCTCACTACCGAAGCTACGCCGCAACGGATAGCATCCCCAGTCGCACCTCCATCGCCCATACACACCCCGAATCACGAGCAAGAACAACCCGTGCATGAGAGGGAGGCCACACCTTCAGAGCCGGTCACTCGGCGTCAGTCGACCTCGGTCTCGATAGCACCATTCGAAAGGATGCCCTTCTATCCTCCTCTTCCTTGGTATTCTACGCCAGATGCTACATTTCCCCCAAGGTCGGCAAGACGTCGTAGAAGACGGCAGGTCACTGAAGACGCGGTCACCATCTTCCCCGCCTCGGCAGAACCCCTCAGCCAACAAGATGCGGTCGAGCACGAAGGTCGCGAGCCGACTCCAGACGAAGCGGCTTCCGAGGTATCCACAATTGCTGCGCCGTCGGAATTGGAGACGCCAGCGACTTCACAGGCTCCGTCGGAGCGAGACTATCCGCAACACTCCACCCCCATCGTTACAACTCAGCCTGAGCTTTCATTGCCCAAACCGGCCCCGCAGCCATCGCAGCATATTCGACGGGACACTCGCACCGCGATCGCCATCCCCAACCTCCCGGGCTTCAACAAGCCTAAGCTCTCATCTCCGGCCATCGCCGAGGCGTCGGAACGAAAGTCCACCCCTTCTGAACTGTCTACACCCGTGATCGAGGAGCAGAAGCCCAGTGCTAGTGGAGGAGATGGATCCGCGGAAGAAGCCACTCCGGCACCGTCGCCGCCATCAAAGCCTGCACCCAAGTCATGGGCCGACCTGGTCAAGCGGAACGCCGTCTTGCCATCGTCTTCGAGCGTACCCAACGGCGGTGTCATCACGAGCGGTGTCACGCTTCCAAGCAACGCATCAGCCGCCGATGCACTCAAGCAGTACAGCGTGCAGATCGACGCAAAGCTCTCATTTCTAGAACCCAGAGGACTGGTGAACACCGGGAACATGTGTTATATGAACTCTGTAAGTCCTCCACAGGTTCGGCCTGCGCGGTGACTGACACGACCCCGCACAGATCCTTCAGGTCCTCGTTTTTTGCGTACCCTTCTACAACTTCCTAGACCAGATGCGCCTCCGGACTGTACACTCCATGAAAAGTGATACCCCCTTACTCGATGCAATGATTATGTTTATGAAGGAGTTCCGCGTGATGGCTTCGGCAGAGTCGAGCGACATGCTGCGGATGCTGCTCAGCCAGCAGCAACTCGAACAGTATGGGGAGCCGGTGACGCCGGAGTATGTCTACGATGCCATCAGGAAGCTGGACAGATTCGTCAGCATGAGGGTGAGTTGCAGATGCTCTTGACATGACGTCCCATTTTGGTTGCTGACATTCTTCTAGCGTGGGCATCAACAAGATGCGGAGGAGTTCCTTGGATTCTTGCTCGAAGGATTGCATGATGAGTGCGTGGCTGTCATGCGTGGCCAGACTGTCGACAAAGCAGAGGAGAATGGGGTCACTTCTCCCACGTCCGAGGTGTCTCTAACATCCGCCGACGGTTGGTTCGAGGTTGGCCCCAAACAGAGAGCAGCCGTTACCCGCACCACTGGCCAACAAGACGCCCCATCGCCCATCACAAAGATCTTCGGCGGGCACTTGCGGTCAGAGCTTCGTGTGCCGGGCTCGCAACCATCGGTCACGCTGGAGCAGTACAAGCCTCTCCAGCTCGACATCGGAGCGTCGAACGTCAACAATATCGTCGACGCATTGAAAGGTCTGACGCGCACCGAAGCTCTGACCGGCGACTTTGGCGGCCGATCCAACTCCGCCAAGAAACAAGTCTTCATCGACAGCCTCCCCCCGGTCCTCATTCTGCACCTCAAACGCTTCCAGTACGACAACAACCTCACCGGCACGCAGAAGATTTGGAAGAAGGTGGGCTACCCGCTCGAGTTGGAAATACCCCGCGAGGTCTTCCAGCCGACCAAGCGTGGCGGTCTAGCCGTCAAAGGCGGTCCGCCCAAATACCGCCTCACCAGCGTCGTCTACCACCACGGCAAATCCGCCGCAGGAGGCCACTACACCGTCGACGTCCTTCGCCCCGACGGCCGCGAATGGATCCGCATGGACGACACCGTCATCCGGCGCATCCGGCCCGAAGACGTTGCCGAAGGCGGCGCAGAAGAGGATCCCAAACTCCTCGCCCGCGCGCTAGAGCAGCACAAAGCAGACCAGGAACTGCAGAAGCAGCGCAACATTTACCAAGGGCTTGATGAAGCAGAGCACGACGCCGAGGACCGCGAGAATGACAATGCGCCTTGGTCGGAGGTTAACGGTCATGTTCCTGGCCATAGTCGCAAGTGGGCTTCTGTCGCTACGACCACCGGCTCCGTCACGCCTAGCAACACGGGCAAGAAGACGCCTACGCCCGCTACGGCGAGGAAGGAGGGCGTGAGGGATAACAAGGTTGCCTACATTCTGCTGTACGAGCGGATGAGGGGGTGAGAGAGTGATTGACGAAGGTGAGGCGAGCGTGCTGTGGCCGATAAGGTGGTGAACAAGTCGTTTCCTCTGCATTAGCGATGGGGAACACATGGGCGAGGGAGGGAAAAAGCGCAATTCTTCTGTTCTCTCTGTCGCGCGCAAGCTGAGCGGCGATCGCTTTCCGCGCTGCACCGCTTGTGTGCGTTCGATTGCGCTTCTCACTTCCATGCCTTGGGAGGTTGACTTGACTTCTGTGCACAAGGTATAGATAACTTTGTCCAAATATTGCACATCATCTCATCTATTCTCAAATGTCGACTGTTAGGCGATCGAGGAGTCGAGGCTATCAGTGCACCCCGATATGAGCCAGCTTGCGCAGTCAAGTGAAGATTTGAAACCAGTACCTCACTTGTTTTGTTGCTTTCCGCGACCTTGAGTAAGTAAACTACGCTAATCTCTACATCACTCCGTCCGTCCATCCCAACGCCATATCTCCACTCCTCACACATCGTCCCCACCAACAACCCACTCACAACTCATCCCTCCCCGTCTCCCTCACAACCTCCTCACTCTCCGGCTCCGCCGTCGCCCTCGCATCATTCACAGCCTTCTCCTTCCTTACATCCTCCTTAACACCCACGCGCGGCGGCGCCGCACTCCCCTGCCCCTCACCCTTCGCATTCGCCGTCCCCGGATCCACCCCATCAGCACTCGTGCCCGCGTACCCACCCGCATCCTCGCCGACAATCTCATTGAGAAGCTCATTTCCATGCTCGTCGACGAGGCGCGTGCGCGTCTCGTAGCGCGTGGAGAAGGAGACGGCGCCTTGGAGAGCGGCGACTTGCTCTGCGTCGAGCAGGTTGCCGTTTTCGTCGCGGTACTCGATTTTCTCTTCTGTGATGCTGCCTCCTGGGGGCGGGACGGGGCCGCCGGTGACGAAGACGTCTTTGCTCGGGTCTTCGGCGATCGGGGGCGGGGGCCCGTGTTCTGCTTGCGAGGTTGCGGCGGCTGCGCCGCTGCCTGGGAAGGTGGAGGCGAGTTCGTATTGCTCGTACTGTGGCGTGTTAGCTGAGAGCGGGGTGAGAAGGGGTGTGGGAGGGGGGACTCACGGTCGCGGGGAAATTGTCGCAGTCCCAGTCCCAAGACTCGAACAGCTTAACGCGCTGACACTGGCTCTTCGTCCACTGATTGCCGTACGCGAGCGGGGCATAGAGGGCAAAGACGACGATGCTGAGCGCCAAGAAGAGCGTGCCGGCCACCATGCCGACGGCGGGGAGGTGCTTCACGCCGCGCAGACTGAACGTGCCCTCTCCGAAGCGGCCGACGCGGAACATAACGAAGTCGTAGATCTGGGAGAGCGCCATGATGGCGAAGAAGAGGGCGGGGAAGTAGTGGTGGAGGAAGAGCTGGCGGTCCATCAGGAAGAAGGGGAAGTAGTGGAAGGCCCAGCCGAGCGCGGTCATGCCGATTTCGTAGTCGAAGCGGCGGAAGGTGTCGTGTTGATAGTCGTTGCAGCTGCGCTGCCACCTTAGCACCGACAAGCCCTTGAACGCGACGTATAGCCCGATGGCGGCGGTGCTGCTCCACCAGATAATCGGGTTGCCGATGAGGTAGATCTGGCGGTGCGCCGCGCCCCAGAAGTTGATGCCGCGACGCAGAATAGGCCAGCTAGGGGGTCGGGAATCCCAGGCATGGGACTCGACGAGCCCGGCATTGGTCACCCACATCACCTTTTGCAATTCCCAGAACTTGCCGAGGAAGCCGGGGTTGCGGTAGTTGACCTTGTCGGAGTCCTCCTTCAGCATGGGGTGGGCGTTCTGTTCGATGTACCAGATGCTGTTCGGCAGAGTACCTTGCTTGGCACACGTGACTTCCTGTTGCTCAAAGCCCCAGTCGGGGAGTTTGACCTTGTGGGAGAACAGCGCGCAGCCCGTCATGATGTGCACGAGGCGGAACTTTGTCTCGATGGTCCGCACGCGCTCTTTGGCGGCGGCGCCATGAGACAGCGATTTGACAATCTCCACGCGGAAGTAATCGTTCGCATCGCCCTCGAAGCCCTCGTAGCCGTACGCAGACACTTCTTGCTGCCAGTCGGCCTCGGTGACGGGAGGGCGAACGTCGTGGGAGTGCAGACGGCGGTCGGAGTTGATGTGATAGAGACGCAGAACGCTGCCATCAGTAATGAATTCCGGGTCGAGTTTGTCCCACGCCATCGGACCGGGAATGGTGGTGTTGCCGGAGGGGTCGATGGCCCAGTTGATCGGCTGAGTGGTGTTCTCGAGCAACCACATGTTGTTGTCATCCTTGTGGGGGTAGAGAGTGATTTGCTGTTGCTTGCTGCCTTCGGGATACATGTGTTGATGGCTGTGCAAGTATCCACCCTGCGTGTTGTGGTGTCGGAGGGAGACGCGAGCGCCAAAGGCAACATCGGCAGGGACGTCAGCCATGGACTTGGTGTTGAGGGTGGACTGGAACTCCGACGACATGAAGCCATCACCATCACCAGGATTGACGAGGCAGACGAAGTGGATGGCAAACATGGCCATGTAGAAGGCGATGGGAATGACGATGAGGCAGAAGATGCGCGCAAAGAGGTGTTTGAACCAAATGCGGGCAGTGACATTCCTCGTATCGCCAAGGAGGACCCAGAGTTGGAGGGCGGTCAGAGAGCCCACCCACGCGATGGTGAAGAGGCCGACCCACTTGACGCTGGCTGTCGCGCCAAGACAAAGGCCGGAAAAGGCCAGCCAGAACCACCAAGCAGGCTTGAAGGCCTTGCTGGGGCCAAGCTCGTGCTGGTTGGTGAAGCTCATCCAGCTCACGGCGGTCATGGCGGTGAAGATGACGAGCGGGGAGTCGAGCAAGATCAAGCGACTCTGCGTCAACAGCCCGTTCTCAAACACCACCAACAAAGCCCCCATGGTGGCGGTGAATGTCCTGCATCCGGCGACCTTCAAGGCCAAAAACATGGCGGAGACGGTCATGACACCAAAGATGGCCGGCAGCATGCGCATGGCGACGTAAGGCACGCCGGGTTCGAGGTAGTCCTTGCCAATGTCTTTGAAGTCGAACTCGCCGTCAAAGCCGGCCAGCCAGCCGGCCAATGTGAGCAACAACTTGGCCAAGGGAGGATGGACGTCCATGAAGAATTTGCCCTTGATGTACTTGCTGGCGAAGCCGCCGAAGTGGACCTCATCGAAGACGACCTGGGTGGGCTGGTAGATGCGGAACACGCGCACAAAGAGGGCGATGAGGGTGACGACGGCAAGGGCTTGGTAGTCGCTGGACGCCAGCTTGTTGATGCTGGTGTCCCGGACGCCCTTGGAGGTGTAGTCGTAGGAGGGATAGGGTGGTTTGTTGGGCGAGGACTGCACCATCTGTTTCTGGGGTGAGGTGCCCGGCTGCGCGGCGGTGGGCTGTGTCTCGCGATGCGCCGGAGCGGGAGATCGCGTCTTGGGTGCCATTGTGGATGTGGTCGTGGGTGTGGACGTTGAGAAGAGGGGGAAGGTCGCGGTTCGTGGGTGAGTGCTAGACTCCCATGCAGCGCTTCAGCCTTGCTCTTTCTGGCCGCCCACGTGCTTCCAATGCGTGGCGGATGGTGGGAATCAGTAGTCAATGGCGGGTCAATGGGGATGAAAAGGAGTGTGTGAGAAGAGGAAGATGGGAGAGATGGGAGAAGCGATGGACGGCAGGGATACAATGAAGCTTCTCGACAAGCCGTACGCGACCTCGACTTCCCTTACGTGGCCAAAAATATCCCCGACCGCCGCTGCCTCGTTCGGTAAGGGGTCTGCATTAGCGCGCGGCCCGTCCCGCTGCCGCCACCTGGTTCTTTAGACTTTGAGATATCTTCGACTTCAGTTTCCTCGAGCCACTCACTCTACCCACCCTCCCTCCCCTTCCATTCAAGCATGGCGGCATCTTCTCCCGCCCCAGACAGTGAGTCTGTTCTGGATCAACTGTCCAGCAAGGTGCCGGATGGAGTCGTCTTGCCTCCCAAGAACGTGCGCGTCAACATCGAGAAGACAGCCGGCTACGTCGCTCGCAATGGCGCTGCCTTCGAAGAGCGGCTACGTGGAGGCCAGGCCGGCTCCAAGATGACCTTTCTCCTGCCCGAAGACGCATATCACTCATACTATCGCTGGCGGATCCAGGAGATCAAGGAAGGCCGTGGAAACAACATCAGCGCGGGCAGGAAGGCAGGCGAGGGCGGCACGGGAGCGACGTTTGCAGGGAGGGAAGAGAGGAAGGGCCCAGAGCAACCGGAAGAGTTCCAATTCAGCGCGCGCATGCCCAACATCAATGCGCAGGACTTGGAGGTGGTCAAGCTGACCGCCCTGTTCGTCGCCAAAAACGGTCGGAGTTGGATGACGGCCTTGTCGCAGCGCGAGGCGGGCAACTTTCAATTCGACTTTCTTCGGCCTCAACACAGTCTCTACCAGTTCTTCAGCCGACTCGTGGATCAATACACCGATCTCCTGACCGGTGACTCGGTGGACGGAGGACGGCCGCAGAAGAAGAGAATCACCGAACTCGAGGCCAACGTGCAGAACCGCTTCCGCATGTTGGATCGGGCGAAGAAGCGAGCGGAATGGGTGAAATATCAAGAGTCGCAAAAGGTGGCGCAGGAAGAGAAGGAGGAGAAAGAGAAGATTGCATATGCACAAATCGACTGGCACGACTTTGTGGTGGTGGAGACGGTAGTCTTTGATGAACGAGACGATAATGCCAACCTCCCCGCACCTACCACGCTCAACGACCTGCAGAGCGCCAGTCTCGAGCAGAAGGCGGCCATGCGCGTCGGGGCCGACCGCAGAATCGAGGAGGCCATGCCAACCTTCGAGGACTACGACTCGTTCTATAACAACGCCACCCCTACCCCACAGCAACCGGCAGTCAACGGCCAACGACCGCCATCTACTCAGCCCACCCCCGTTCAAAACCAACCATACCAACCCCCACCACAGCAAGCCCAGCAGAACGAAGAGCAAGATCGTCTATCCACCCTCCAAGCCGACAGAGCGCGTGCACGCGCCGCCCAAGAAGCCGCCCGCACCTCCACCAACCCCATGAAGATCCGCAAAGACTACGTGCCCGCCGCGCAAGCGCGCGCACAAAAGTCGAGCGGCACGTCCATCTGTCCGAACTGCAAACAAGCCATCCCCAACGCAGAAATGGCAGAGCACATGCGCATCGAGCTGCTCGATCCCAACTGGCGCGAGCAGTACCGCACGGCGCAGCACAGGAGTTCGACCACCAATCTCAGCACTGCGGATGTGGCGAACAACCTCAAGCGCTTGGCCAGTCAGCGCACCGACGTTTTCGATCCGGTGACTGGGCTGGCCGTCAGCGAGGAGGAGTTGGAGAGGAGGAAGAGGGCGGAGCTGGGGGCGTATGATGGCATCAGCGGCGTGCCGAGTCAGGCTGCGACGATGGTGGGCAAGACGCCGACTGTCGCTCCCGGAACGCAAGGCGCGCCGGGGGCTGACGGTAAGCTGGATGTGCAGGAGCAGATTCGGCTGATTCATGAGAGGGCGAGGAATGGATGAGAGATTGGGGTGCATTGGTGATTGAGTGGAAACGGTTCGCATTGCCGGATCCGCTACTACAGACCGGAAATACCACAGCACGACGTCAGGCGATAGCCATTACTCCCCAGCGCGACGAGTAAACACCGTCACTACCGATTCCTGGACCACGTCGTCGCCTAGTATTGCGCCGTGTCAGCAACTTCAAAGGGCAGGGAAGTACCCGACTACACCAGATGGCTCCATTGTTCGCACAAACCGGACCAAAAGCAATACCCAACAAACAGCAGAGAGTCAAACATGACGCCCTCGTCGTCGTCCCTTATCCCTCTCCCCTTTCCCCTTCTCAATAACCCGCTGCTCCCAAATATTCATCACGCACCACATGCCTGCCCCCTTCTCAGTATACGTCGTCTCCGCTTTCCCCATGAGAGACTCGTTTGTCAAAGAAGGCAGATCAAGCACGACCACCGCCATCCACACCACCCGCATTTTTTGACCAAATGTACCTGGGCGCCCGTGCCGAAATTACTGGGCTGGGTTGCTGGATTGTGTGTTGGGGACATTGCATCGCTCGTTGCTTGGGCTGGTAAGGTTGGGGGACTGATGTCTAGCTAGCTAGCCTTCAGGGCACGTGGAATAGATGAAACGCGCCATCTGCCCTTCCCGGCGGCGATCGTCGTGCCGGGGAACGATCTAGTGTCCTGCTCTTATCATGCCATGTCGCTCACAGGTGCAGCTTATCTGGCCCCGCACACTTCCACGTGCGAGGCTGCGGGGTTGAAGCCGGGGTGGTGCAAAACGCAATCAAGGTATCAGACGAGGGCATTAGCAACGAGAACTGAATATATTCTAGTAGCTGAATATAGAATAGAAGGCAAGTGGTAATAATGACATCTTTCGTTGAGGCCTTTCGCCCAACCTTTTACCCAAGAATAGTCAGAGACCACGGCAAAGTTCCTCCCAAGCAACGCCCGTTCATCAATACTGCGTCTACTGATTGCCGGACAGCTGGTAGCGACCGACGCGGTTGGCAGCCAGTTGAGTGAACCAGATGGAATTGTCTTGCGACACGTAGTGGACGGCGATGTTGGCGACGGGGGGCAGGGAGACGGGCAGCGAGGTGATGCCGCTGTCGGGCTGCGGGATGGCGGTGATTTTGCCCGTGCTCGGGGTGATGTAGTTGAGGGTGTTGGAGAGGGCGGTGGAAAACCCTGCGCGGGAAAAAGGTTAGCGAGTGGGCTTGACAAGGACAAATGTTGTTGCATTGATTATACTCACAGACGTTGCCATTCTTGTCGTTCGTGTCTTCAATCGGCACCCCGACGTTGGCCGTGTCGAGATACGTCTTGAACGCGCCGGTGGTGATGTCAATGCGCCCAATGGCATTGGTCGCAATCGCCGTAAACCACAGGTACTTGCCGCCGGTGAAGGCGCGCACGACCGCCGGCCCCAGCAGCGTGAGGGGCACGGGGTACTCGGTGAACTGCTTGGTCGTCGGATCGAATTTGGCAATCTTCTGGCCGACGAATTCGCAGATCCACACGTCGCCGCTCGGCACCACGTACACGCCGACGGGCGACGAGAGTGGGGTAGGTACTTCGTAGCTTGTCATTTGCTCTGTTGCGTAGTCGAAGAAGGTCAGGACGTTGGCGGTTGTTTGCGTGAACCATAGCTGTGGGTTGCGCGTTAGCAAGGAGGTGTGGGCGGACGGGCTGGCTCTGGGAGACCTACTCCAGTCTCTGTGGGCCATGCATCGTTAAATGGTTGCAGGTTGCCGGCGGTGCCTCCGGAGTTCTCGAAGAATTTGAACTTCTTCGTCTGCGGGTTGTACTGGGCGAGCTGGTTGCGCACTCCAGTGGCAAGGTAGACATTGCCGTCCGCGCCGGGCTGCACCACGCAGGATCCGGCACCTTGGAGACGAGCGGGCAGGGCAGAGTCGGGGAGTTGAGGCAGGGTGTAGGGAATGGTGATCTCCGTCAGCGTCGGGTTGGCAGAGGTGATGTCGACCTCGACGAGCTTGTTGGCGAGGAAAGTGCTGGCGTAAATGTTACCGTCGGGGCCGGTGTTGAGATCGCATGGCGCGGCGAGCGGCGTGGTCAGGTTGTAGTACGTGAACTTGGACGGGGCGGCGGTGGGCGCTGCAAACGCCGTGGCCGCGAGGGCGGCGCCGACCAAGGGGGAGAGGCGAGGCATGAGGCAGACGGAGGGTTACAATGGCATGCACGAATGGACGAGGCGAGGTCAGAGGACTGTGGGAAAAGCCGATGGGCTCCGGCGCACTTATTACATAGGTGGGGATTTTGCACGGGCGATCGCGTTTCCCATAGCCGGGCACGCAGGAAGGCTGTAATAAGCCTGGGAACTTGGGGGCGTGGGCGATGATGATGATGCTCGTCCTGCCAACGGGCCTTGGGAGCGCCCAGCGGCGGGTTGGGACGGCGAAAGCATCGCGCGTACCCTCGCGATCGGACGGCCTTCCGTCTTGGCCGCGGGGACCTTTGCAAAATGCGATCTGGCGATCATCCAGCAGCTAGCCTTGCGCGAGACGCCGTCTCAGGCACGACGGAGCGACATCCGTCCCTGAACGACGTATGTGGCTGCGCGCTACGGCAATACGGGGTGAAGGGAAAAGGGGGCGAGTGTGGAGAGGGCAGGGCGCAGTGATGAGGATCCACGGGAGCAGCATGCAGTAAAGGGGACGTGTGGGCTGCACCACGAACGGTACCAACGACGACGAAGACGAATCCGCTGACCGGCCTAACCGCGTGCAGGCAGCTCGCCGTCCCCTGAAATCTTGCTCTGCGGTAATGCGAATCCCCTGATTGGCCCGGCTTCCCCAGCTTTCGCCCAACGCGGCATAGCCGAGCTGCCTAACGCGGCTAGTGTGCAGATCCGCATTATCGAAACCTTGTTCGCGAGGCTTTTGCTGTCGACTTCATCTGCCTAGTACCTGCTGGTACGTACGGAATTGCACCATCCCACCGTGCTCTTGATGATTACTGAAACGCGCGCTCTCTTACGCGCCGGCTATATGCAAGCAATCGATAGTCGCAAACGTCTGCCGGCTGGGGCTGCAAGTTTTGCAACCGCTAGCCCCCATCTCGAAGGCTGCGCGCGCTCGATGCGATGGATGGTGTAATACTTGGTACCATGTACCTGCCGGCGCGCACTCCGTGACGAATGTGGTGGCCGACTGGTTGTTTGTTGCGGTGCTGCTCAGTGAATGTCGGGGAGCAGCACTCGCAGTCGCAAGACAGCCTTGCGGTGATGCAGACGGTTAACAGAGTGCCGAGCACAACCGTTCGGCCACAATTTCCGGCCATCACGCGATCCAACACTGGTTCGCCATTCCGCCGTTGCCTGCGACGATCGCACGCGGCGGCCTTACCCCGTATATCCTCAACTCGGCTATGTGGAGCCCCGTCGCAGCCACCGACGCTGCAAGGCTGTTTGCTGGGGAAGTGGGGACGGGCCATCAATTTCGATGATCGATGATCGCGGTAAAACCGTTGCCACATTCATGTCCAGCACGAGGATATAAGAGTGTCGAAGACTCCTGCTTTTCCCATCCTATCCCCTCGTTCATCACTCCTTCTCCCACTTTTTCTCTTCCTCGACAAGCACGATGAAGTCTTTCTTCCTTCTGCCTTTGGCCCTTCAGGGCGCATTGGCCTTCCCGTCTGTGATGAACAGCCTGGTCGAGCGTTCGGATGGTATTCCGGGCTGCGAGGTCAGCGCCACGTGCAACACCAAGATCAACATCCCCAACTCCCAGATCCCCTACGACCCCAACAACCCGACTGCCGCCCAAAAGGCCAGCGCCGCGCGTGACAACTGCGGTGCCATCAACTCCTGCAGCGTCTTCAACGCCAAGGAGCAGCTCGTCTCCGTCACGGGCGCCCATGCCTACCAGTCGCCGGCGACCAACCAGCTCCGCGGCCCCTGCCCGGGCCTGAACGCCGCCGCCAACCACGGCTACCTGCCCCGCAGCGGTGCACCCACCATCCTCCAGACCATCAACGGTCTGGGTGCCGCCTACGGCATGAGCCTCGACCTTGCTGGTATCCTGGCCGCGTACGCGGTTGCCATTGACGGCGACCCAGTCACCGGCACCTGGTCCATCGGCGGTCCCCAGGCCGGCCTCCCGATCATCGAGAACGGCCAGGGTATCTCTTGGTCCCATAATAAGTACGAAGGTGACACCTCCATCGGACGTTGCGACGCGTACATCAACAACGGCGACGCCCACTCTCTGAGCACGACTCGCTACGCCTACGCCTACGAGGTGGGCATGGCGGACGACTCGTACACCTTCGACAAGTTCGCGCAGGCCTTCACGGCCAACACCTTCCGCTCCATCCAGCAGAACCCGTACTACTTTGCGCCGCTCTTCTCGACGACCCTGGTTGCGCCTGCTGCGTACAACTTCGTCATCGCGTTCATGTCCAACCATACTGCCCAGCAGCCCGGCGGCTACCTGAACGGCGCCATCTTCAAGGAGTTCTTCGCCATCACCGGCGACTACCCCAACTTCTCGTGGCAGCCGGGTCAGGAGCGCATCCCCAACAACTGGTACCGCCGCCCCTCTTCCCAGCAATACCAGGCCGTCGGTGGCGTGTTTGGCGATCTCATCCCCAACTTCCTCGCCTACCCCAACAGCTTCCGCTTCGGTGGCAACACGGGCAAGGTCAACACCTACACCGGCATCGACCTGGCCAACTACACCAACGGCGTGTACAACGCCGACAACCTCTTCCAGGGCAACAACTTTGCCTGCTTCGTCTACCAGAACATCCAGCAGGGCCAGCCGGACAGCGTCAACGCCAACCCCCTGGCCTCGACCGTCGCCGGCATCTTCACCCCCTACCTCAACAAGGTCTTTGGCGGCATCACCTGCCCGCAGCTGCAGAGCTTGAACGACAACAACCTCGGCGTCTACCCCGGCCACAAGTACAGCCCCAACCCGCCCGCGAACGCGCCCGAGAACTGCTAGACGGTTCGCCATGGCGAGCTCGGGAGGGACTTGGCGGCTTTCGGCTTCCGTTGGCTCACATTCGCTTCACTGAAGGACTTGTTTAATTTTTCCTCGCGACGCGTGACAATTGGGATGGATCATCACTCATTTTGCCCCCGGCAGATGCCGTACGCTCGTGTTTCCTAGGTTATTCAAGTTGAAAGTAAACGTCTGTACCTTACCCAAAAAATCGATATCATTCGCTGCAAAAGTCGCTCCCAAATGTCGTCTTCTGGTACGCATTACGCACGGTGCCCAGCCACGTCCGCTGCCGACTCCGAAATTGCATGGTGGGGGGGGGGAGCGGGTGAGGTGAGGAGAAGGTGTCGCGGTCCGCGCACCCCGCGAATCCTGCCGAAGTCAGTCCCCGCATTTCTGCCTTCTGCCGAGCAATCATGATGATCGGCACGCCTTACGCCTCCCGCTGCCCCCAACAAGCAAATATAAGCGTCGAGCACCGCCAGCCAATTTGCATTCCCTGCTCCCATCGATCGCGAGTGCGGCGCTAGCGTCCTCGGTCGGGCCTTGGCGGCTTCCTTTTGTAGCAACGATTGACATCACCTGCTCGTCTCGTGGTCCCCACGCCCGCCCCTTTTTGCTCTGTTTTGCTGCGGACTTGTCCGGGTCATGCCGTGCGCTCGGAACGGGGTCCGTGGGTGTGCTGCGCGCTTGTACCTGGTACCTGTGATGTGTGTGCTGGCAAGCGCAGCCTTGGATCTGCGGCGCATGTAGCCGGCGTATAGCCTGCTTTGGCGGAGAGGTGGCAAGGGGTCGTTATGTAACGGGCTTCTCATTTACGCCCCTGACGTGGAGCCGGGTTTCCGTTGTGGGGAGGTGGCATTTTCCGACGGCGATCGTACTTTCGGTGGCCGTGGCAGTGTCATGTGCCGGGGGGCCACGGTGCCTGTGGCAGACTCATGGGCGGGATGGAAGCTACGGGCGGACGAGAGCAGTATGCGTTGTTCACGGTCCCGTGAATAACTTGCAAGCTGGCAGCTTCATACATCGTCACATATCACCACGACATCAACGCGCTCGAGGCATTGGAGGACATCCATCCGTCTACCACCCCGCTCCTTCACACACCCTCCACTACAATGGCCATCCACCCCCTCATCCCCGCAGTCTCCCAGTCGGCCCTCAGCCTGCTCGCCTGGCTATCCAACACCCTCACCCCCGCCGCCCTCCTAGCGGGCTTCCTCCTAGCAGCCTCGCAATCCCGACACCACTGGCCGGCCTGGTTCGGCCTCTTCGCCCTCGTCTTCTCCACCGCCACCCTCCTCCCCCTCCTCACGCGCTCCTCTCGAACCGTCCGTCCCCCCACCGGCACCGCCGCCTTCCTCCTCGCCAACCTCGTCCTCATCGCCGCCCTCGTGCCGCTCCACGAGCTCTACCTCCAGAACCGCATGTGGGGCCTCCGATGGTTCCTCATCCTCCGCGCGCCCAACGGGTGCCTCCCCGTGCCCTCGCGCACGTATGAATTCCCCGAAGGTGGACGCTGGGTGCTGAAAGACGCGCTCGCGAACCAGCTGCCGTTTGCCATTCTAGCCAGCTACGCCGTCGCCTTAGCCAACATCTTCAGCGTCAGCGTGGGCGGGCGCGGTCCGACGGGCAGGGTGAATGGCAAGGGGGTCATTGCGGGAGGGGTCGGGGCGCTGGTGCTCGCCGTGGCGGCGGCGCAATTACTACCCGTGTGTGATGAAAGCCACACGGACACGGGGGCGCTCGAGGTGATGCAGCACGTGGATCGCAGCACGTATCACAATGAGCGCATGCCGTTGACGTGGTCGTGGGAGGCGCGGTATCCCCGGCTGATTGCGGCGGTGACGGCCGCGGGCATTGTGGGACTACTTGTTCAACCTGTGCTGCGGGGCAATGGGGCCCGGGGCAGCCATGTGGCCACTTTCCTGTCGCATTTGCTGGTCGCGAGCGGTGTGCTGCTTGGCATGGCCATTTGGTCCTTCTACTTGTGAAGCACGTGCTGGTCAGTGCTAGCGAAGGGCATTCAAAAGTCTCTCTGTACTGCAGGTAGATACTCCAACATATCACAAATGAAGTCAAACACCCCGGCACGGCACGAGGCACGTGGAATCCTTCCAACCGCCCCTCGTGTCGTCTCAAACCTGAGCAATCGTCGACGCCTCGTACCTGCAGCGGGGAGGAGGAGGATGAGGTGCTTTAGGGCGGAAGCTACGGCTCCACCTGCAGCCTCGGCTTGGATTAGCACAGCAGGTGTCAAGCTATAAAACAAGTGTCCCTCAAAGAGACTCCGACAAAAGTACATAATAAGTCAGGCAGCATCTTGCTCGCCCTTCCAACCCCGACATCCTCCTCATAATCGAAAGCCAAATGGCGCCCCGCAAGATGGCGCTCGCCGCCCTCCTGTGCCTTTCCACCAGCGTTCTCGCTGACCTCCAACTCACCGAAGCAGCGCTGCGGGAATACGACGGCACCGACCCCACCAAACCCATCTACCTCGCCCTCGGCGGCACCATCTACGACGTCTCCGTCTCGCCCGACTTCTACGGCCCCGGCGGCCACTACCACCACTTTGTCGGCAAAGACGCCTCGCGCGCCTGGGTGACGGAGTGCTGGGACGACGCGGAGCAACTCACGTGGCGCATGGACGGCGTGGAAGACATGTACATGCCCAAGTACCTCGACGAGCAGATGGAGCAGGCGGCGACCGGGGAGGCGGACATTGAAGGCGGGGCGGAGTACGGGATGGCGGAGCTGGCGGGCATGGCGCAGGCGGTCATGCAGAAGCTGGGCAAGATTTCCGACAAGGAGATTGCGCGGCGGCGGAAGGAGGATATCGTGGAGGCGAAGCAGGCGGTGCAGGAGCGCTTGGATCATTGGACGGCGTTCTTTGCGAAGAATGACAAGTATAAGACGGTGGGCAGGGTGGTGTTGGATACGGACAAGCCGGAGCCGCCGAAGATTTGCGCGGCGGCGTTGAAGAAGCGGCCGTTGAAGGGCGGGAAGTTGGATAAGATTATGAAGGCTAAAGGAGGGGCGGCGGGGCTCATGGGTGGCAAGGGTGGTGCGAAAGCCGGTGCAGAGGGAGGGGATGCGGCAAACATGCCGGACTTCGTCAAGGACAAGCTGAAAGGGGCCGAGTCGCTGGATGGAGAGGTAAAGGATGAGTTATAGGCTGCGTCCCAGTGATATTCTACATGGCCACACTTTGAAGCGCTCAATATGGTCGGCCTGTCGTGGCCAATTTTTCGACGCCATACCGTTTCCGCCTCACTGATGTAGGCCTACAATTCGTCCCTTCGACAAGAGTCGTGTTGCAGCTTGTGGTTATAATGACCTCTCTCCGCCGGCCAAAGGAAATGCACGAGTGGAAAGGGGAAGCCGAAAGGAAGCATACGGTCGTTTTATACTCACCAGCTCGAATTCGTTGCCGTCCTTGAACGTAAGATAGACAATGCATAAGAGATCATGGATCCGACACCCAGCCTCCGTCGACCACATAGCTACTCCCCGTCACCGCACTACTATCCTCGCTAGCCAGGAACAAAATGACACTCGCCACCTCCCGCGGCATCAGATCCCTCTGCAAACTCTGATTCCGCATCACCTCCGCCCGATACTCCGGCGTGAGCACTTCATTAATTTGCCGCTCGGTCGCGATCGCCCCTGGCATCACGGAATTCACACGAATGCCGTACGGCCCAAACTCCTTTGCGTGTGTCCGTGTCAAGCCCATGATGGCCGCTTTGGCAGCGGTGTAGATCGGGATTCCGGACGCCGGGATCCGCCATGTGATGCTTCCCATGTTGATCACGCTGCCGGAGCGCTGGCGCTGCATGGCGGGTACAATGGCTTGCGTTAGGAAGAAGACATGGCGGAGGTTGACGTTCATATCGGCTTCCCAGGACTCGGGCGTGACTTCTGCAGACGGCACACGGCTGCTCGCTCCGGCTGAGGCGGCGCTGTTGACGAGAACGTCCACGCCGCCATACTCGTTGAGAACGTGTTGTGCGCTCGCGCGGAGGGAGGCGAGGTCGGTGACGTCGCAGCGGAAGAAGACCGGAATCCTCGTGCGACTATTCGCGCCTTCGAGGTCTTTTTTGGATTGGATCTTGGCTATTAATGTTTCTGCTGAGGTGTTGGAGATGTCGAAGAAGATGACTCGGCTGCCTTGGTTGCAGAAGAGCTCCACGGCGGCAGCAGCGATCCCTTCGGCGCCGCCAGTGATGCATATTATCTTGTTAGCGAGGCTTGGGTAGATGGCCGACATTTTGTGCTCCTTGCAGAAACAGCAGTATTTGCCAGGGGATGAACGCTTATATGTACCTCGACATCTTGACTTAGATGTGTACAACTGCGGATGGGCTAGCGCTGACCAGCATCGACAGCTCCCGACTGGCACTGCCATATGAATTGCAGCGAAGGTATTCAATCAGGCAAAGGCAACACACTGTATCGACGTCGCATTAACTCTCCGATCTACCAAAGGTCATCAAGACGACGAACCCGACCAAGACATCGACACCAGCTTCGCAATCTTCAACTCCTCCAAGTCCTTTTTCCCGTGCACAGTCACCCGAGCACCTTTCAAGTCCTCCCTCTCGAGAATCCCCTGATACGCTTTCGCAAAATCGCTCGCTTGAATGCTCCCTTTCTTTCCCTCCGCGACGGAATCGTAGTCCACGCGTGCGGAGAGGTAGATCTCGTTGACGCGCACGTTGGTCTTGTCGTTCTCTTTGCTCGCAACTTTGAGCATCGAGAAGAGGGCGCCTTGGGAGGCGCCTGTGACGCCGCCGGTGCCAAAGTCTGGGGCGGCGCCGGTACATTGGGTGAAGCTGCTGGGCTCGTGGTTCTCGCGGAGGTAGGGGATCGTGGCGCGGTAGGCGTCTGGTGGACGAATTAGTCTTGGTGCTTCTCTTCGCGTTGGTGCAGACGATGGTCCAACTCCCGCGACTCATCGCGTTGTGACGGAGACGTACAGAAGTTCGAGTCGAAATTGATATTCATCGCTTTCTTGAAGTCCGCCACAGAGATCTCGCTCAGCGGTGTATCGATCCACGCACCACCTGCAAACTCTTCTCATCAGCCAACACGAACCCGCTCGGTCCTCGAGTTGCCCATCGATCAACTGCAGCAGCAGCGAGGACAACTCACAGCTAGAATGCACGTGCTGAAATGCAGGCAACTCCCCGGCGCGCACGCGATCCACTACACTCTGCACTCCATTTTCCAGCGTCACGTCCGCTTCAACCGTAGTGATGCCCTCGCGGGAGCCGACGTGTTGGAAGAGCTTATCGGCGCTCGCTTGGTTGCGTACAATTGCGAGCACATTGTATTGGCACTTCCGCGCGGCGAGGATGGCGGCGACGCCAATGTTCCCCGTCGCTCCGACGGCGAGCAGGGTAGGAGGCATTTTCTACTCCTGTCTTCTTCTCCTTCGTCTTCCTTTTTTCTGGGATTGGAGGGAGCAGATTCAGAGTCAGATGGAGTGGGGTCCCGACAGAAGGCCCGATGGCCTGTTTCATATAGTTGTTGTCAGCGTGTTCCGCCAGTAACTTACGTCCGCTCCCGTCTCCAGCGGAGCGGAAAGATGGCCCCCCCATGTCCACGCTTCTACTCCACTTTCTGTCTCCCTTATTACCTTCTACATCGCTGTTTGGCTGCTTTGGATTATACTCTGATTCGACCTAGCTGTTCTATCATTCTCCTACACCCGAATTCAATCTACTCCTGACCACGAGGTACATCACTACGCCCTTTACTGCGATACTACATCTTGCTTAGATACTTCTTGAAGTGATTGAACCTTGTTATGAGTCGAATCTGTTGCCTCCTGAGATGGTATCAAACGCGTCGGTTGTATGCTTCCAAACCAAGTCCATCAATTCTTCGTCCCTAAGCGTGGCATACTTTCTGGTATACTTGTCAGTGGCAAGATTCTCATTCAGCCTCCCAACCGCATAGCATCCACTGCCGATAGAGCCGTCAGTCCCTGGCGCTAGCTCCCCCGACGAGGAGTTCTGGGCGGATGCAAAACAAGCAGAAGCAAGAAACAGAGTCCTCGCTCCGGAGTCTGCTGAGGGTGTGGCGAAAGACCAGCGCAGCAGCGGCTCCAACAGCATTCGCCCTGCTTTAAACCACCACGGGAGCTGCGGATCGTAATGTGCGGGCCCGAATACCAGGCCAGGATACATGTACACTAAGCCTACACGCCGGTGCTGGGAGGCGAGGTGCTCGAAGGCCATGGTGGTCATGTAGGCGGCGTGAGACTTGGCGTTCATGATACTGTAATGTTGAGGGTCTCGGAGGGACAGATCATCGCGGAGGAGGATGCTCTCGGCACCGGCGGCGTCGATGGAAACCACTCGCGCTCCACTTGGTACCGTTGACGCTTCGAGGAGTTGCATGAGCTGGGTGATGAATCGGATTCGGGAGTAGTAGAGGAGCGACAGCTGCTGATCCAGGCCTTCTGGCGTGTCCCGTCGAGCTCCGAAGTGGATTTGCGCCTGCGTTTGGACGAGTAGATCGATGCGCGGATGATCTTCTTGCCGCTCGAGTCGGATGATCTCGGCGCATGTTGCGTCGACGTCTTCCAGCAGCGCGAGGTTGCGAGCTTGCACGAAGGTGAACTTGCCGTGCGGACAGAGGCGGCGGCAGGATGCGAGCACCTCGTCTGCTGACGTTTTGTTGCGCCCGAGGATGTAGACTCGCAGGATGGGCTGCGAGTAGAGCTTTGCGAGCTCCTCGACGGCGTAACGTCCGATTCCTTGCGTTCCGCCTACAAATACGGCGACAAAGGGGAGGTTGGGGAAGTATTCGGTGTTGGAGCGGCGGACCTTGTGGATGTCGACCATGATTGTGCGTTTTGGTTCATTATGCTCGAGGAGGGGAATGGGGCCGCTTATATGTCAGAGAAAGAGACGTTGGGCGGAGCCGGGTCAAGAACAGACTCCGTTTACATCGTAGTAGATGGATTAACACGGAGTGAGGTGGAGCTGGCGCGGGAGCGGAGTTCATGTTCAAAGATTCAGGTAGCAACCAATTAACTATTGCATAAACCGCCACGACGGTCTGACAACTACACCTCTTGTCGATGCTACGCCAAATCTCCTCTATGCCTGTCCAAATGGATCTCCCGCCTGAACTCCCCACGTACACGCCGAACTCGAATATACTGGCGAGCTGCAGCAGACCGTCGTCCACCGCTCAAGCACACACGCCCATCCCTCTACGCAAGCGGTGAAGTAGCCGGCTTAGTGCTCCCCGGGCTCCGACTGCGGCTGGCCTCATTGTCCGTGGATGACAGAATGCTCGGCCGCTGCACATCCGCCACGTTGTAGGCGTTCTCTTCGTCGAAGACGAAGTTGCCCGCTTCGCGGTCGTCGAAGTCGGCGCCGGGATTCGCCGTGTTGAAGCGGAAGTGCTTGAAGAAGAGGTAGACGCCAGCTGCCAGGGCTCCGCCGAGGCCGGGCCCGACCCAGTAGATCCAGAAGTAGCCCGGGAAGTCGTCGAGCACGACGGCGGGACCGAGGCTGCGGGCGGGGTTCAAGGAGGCTGGTGGTTGGCGAGTTAGCACAACAGTGCAACGACGATGGGGTGTATTCTCTTGCAGACTTACCACCTGTGAAGAAGACGCCGGCCAGCTGGGTGATGAACAGCGCGAGGCCGATTCCGAGGGGCGCGAGGAAGGTCCCCTTGTGCTTCTCCGCCGCGAGCATGAGGATGACAAAGACCAGCTGAGCGGTGAGGAACATCTCGATGACTGTGGACGCCTGTCAGCCTCGCAGACGCGTTTCCCCACTAGAGACGGTCACTTACAGACGCCGCGAGCCGAGCCCGTGGTGGCGTTGAGGTGAGTCGTCACATCCAACGCGCCGGGGAAGAGACCAGACACCGCATACGCCGCGGCGATCCCGCCCACGAGTTCGGCAATAGTGACTACGATGGCTCGGACAGGACCTATGACCCCAACGATGGCCAAGGCCATTGCGACGGCGGGATTAAAGAGACCTACAACCAAGTCAGTGACATCCATGGGCCGCAATGATAAGAGGTACCTGCCTCCACTGATTCGGAAAAAGGCCCACGCATTCACAGCAAGGGAGAATCCAAAGCCAAGAGCAATGTACATCAGCGTATCGATGTTCGCGCTGTGCCCCATTGCGAACTTTTGCTGTGCAGCACTCTCGCCCGCAATGGACTGCGAAGCGGCCAAGTTGGCAATCTGCGCGGCGGCAAAGGCCATGAAGAAGAACATGAAAGTGCCGAAGAACTCGCCGATGAAGGCGACGAAGTGGTTGCGGATGTTGTTGGGGATGTATCCGATGCCGGGGATGTACATCTGGTTCTTGGTCGTTGTCACGGTGCCGGGCTTCTCGGGCGTGTCGCTGTCGGAGCGGTCCATGGCGTCGCCGGTTAGATGGTTCATCTTGGTTGTCTTTGGGGTTGGTATTGTGTCGGGTGGTTTGGAGTGAAGGAGGTGGAGGAGTAAGGAGGTGGAGGAGTAGTGAGGAGGAGGAGAACGTCGTGTTGCTCGGATGATTGGATTTATCAACAGCAGCACAGAACGAGACGAGCTGTTATATATGTATTCCATCGACGAGATCGCAAGGCTGGCGATGACGCCGGACGTCACTCCGACGGGACAGCGGCACGCGCAACCTGCGGCTAGCCTATTCAACAGGCAGTGATGACAGAGCAGCACCATGCTGGCCAGTCAAACACACCGCCTCAGACGGAAGGCTCCTCCGTACGACCTGACGACCTCGCGAGTCGCTAAGAATAACCAAGGGGACGCGGAGCGAAGCGGCTTGCCCATCTTGCTTGGAATACAGACGCTGTAGTAGGCATGTAGCCCTGACGATCGCCATGCGAGACGTCGGGTCGTGGCTGAGTGAGCACTTTGCAGCGCTGCACGGTTGGTCACAATCCTGCACGACACCATGGCAGCTCCACGGTTAGCTTTTCAGACAAGCAGATGCAACCTGATGACATAACGTGACATTGTTTCGCCCACTTGCCCACGAAGTGCTGTTTTTGTCGCTCTCGCGTCGAAAAGCGGGAGGAGAAGCCTAATCTCCAGACTTGTGCAATGTGCCCAGATGATTCCACAGGCCGAGCGATGGCGCAGCGCTATCCTCACAGCCCTATATTAATCGACGTCAGCAGCCCTATCTCAGCTCCAGCCTATGCGAATGCGATTTATGCGCATGCATCTCAACTTAGGCCCGTATGTCTCGTTTGGTCTTGAGCTGTATCATGTCGCCCTGACAAAGCGATATCCTATCCACCCAAGCAACACAGCTACATGAAAGCGGGGACGCAAGCCGCCGCAAAAGGCAAAGGGTGCTATTTCGGAACACACCTCACAGGTCATAGGCTACGTTCACCTCGAGCACATCCGTTGCCGCCCGAGCCAGGCGTGTGGTGTGCACTCCACGGCCTTGAGCAAGCACGATGAGTGTTAGATGTGGGGATAAGGTGCGGCGCTTGGGATGCCATGGGCTCACCCGCAGCTCCCCGGACTCATGAAGACGCTTGTGAGAGCTTGATTTTTGCTTGTCGTGTGTCGTGGCTGCAAGTGCGGTGCCGCGACCAACAGCATGCACCTCGCGTGCGCGTGCGCTGGCGTGCTGACTGTTGCTGATCTCAGCATGCACTGCAGCTGGTGACTCGCCTGGAGGATAACGATGTACGTCGCGTCGTTGCGGGATGGGCAGCGTGCGAGGAAATGGGTGTGTGGAGTGAACGCATGAATGGCCAATGCCTCGCACAGTGGTGCGCTCCGCCGTGCTGGAAGTTAACGTTGTCGCGTGGGGCTTGCATGCCCCGGTCGATGCGTGGACGACATCGCCCGATGCCTTTACCCGCAGCCTGGCAGGGTAGCGATTCAGGCTACAGGCGACCCCATGAGGCCTTGCCAGCGTCATCTGCCACTCGCGCGCGTGCCAGAGATTTCCACTTTGCGTTGATGTCGACGATTGCATTGAGAGAGTCCCCACGGCTGGAGTGAGCAGGATCACGGATGCCTCAGGCTGGAATTCCGACCTCACCTGCCCCTCCTCCTCCTCCTCCCTCTCGGTGATTACGATGGTTTCAACTGCGCTCATACACGCCGCGCCCTGAATCGACGCACGTACATTACTTCTTCGCGCTAATCGCATCTTTTCGGCCCAGTTGTCCTACAATCAGCCTGCCCGCGGGCAAGAAGAGAGATGATTCCACGACGGCGCCGATCTGTGACTGACTAAGCCGAAACGGTCCAAAGATTCCAGCATCATCTCCACACTGGAAGCATTCTGGACACGTGCTTTAACGTTCGTAGATACCGTGGGTATCTATTTACGGACGAACCACTCCCGCTTTCCACAGCTCGAGGCGAGACAATCGCGCGCCCGTTTGCCCTAATAGAATGCGTTAGACCAAGAACAGTACTGTGATTCTTCATTCTTCTTCAGGGTGTCTCGGCAGATCTCCCCCTCTCCATTCCAGCGTTGTACGTGCTCTCACGCTGTCCGCCAAGAGGGGAAGCCCTCCAAGCACTCACGCTGCTTCGCTCGATGTGAGTGGAGGGCAGCGCCCAACGTCCTACGTATAAATCACCTCCGTCATCGCATTGTACGACAAGCCCTCATGCGCTAAATCCTGCACATCCTTCAAGAACAGCAACGGCATCTCCACCAGCGTCCCCTTGACCCTCGCCAGCACCTCCTTCACCTCCTTCACCCCTTGCTCGCCCGCACTGAATTCTTCCGTACACACGTGGCCCACGCGCGCCACATTCGGTTTCGGCTCGCCGCCGCTCTTTGCCTCTTCGTTCGCTTTGCTCGGCTTGAAGTACTGGTCGTAGAAGGCGTCGTATTGCTTCCAGTCTTGCACGGTGTCATCGGGAATGGCGTGGAAGACGCGGCGGAAGGCTTCAGTGTTGTTGCGTGCGGTCGTGTTCCAGAGGCTGAGGAAGGAGGGCGCGAGGGGGTCGGTGACAGCTTGGTCTTCGCGGCTGTTCCAGTCGTACACGTTGGGATCGGCGCCCACGGGGAGGAAGTTGGCATTCGGCGATGTCCAGTCTTGCGGCGGGATCAGCCCGAGGTGTTTTCGGAAGGCTTGTCTTCGTAGGCATGCGGCGAATTTGGCGGCCTTCCAGGGCTTGCCTGCCATGAAAGAGTCAATCTCCTCTTGATCTTCGATGAGGATGGCGATCTCCGAGTCGTGGGATCCCAACTGGCTGCGGTCGTTCAAGTTCGCGGAGCCCACAATGACCTTGCGATCGTCGGCGATCAACATCTTGGTGTGAATGTACAGCTCCTCGGTAACGAAGGCGTCCATCTCCGACTGCGCATCTCCCGTCCACGGGACGTTGCGAATGTCCTTGCCGCCAAGCATATAGCAAGACGCAACCGAGTCAGCGGAGGTGGCGCCTCCACGCACGTCCGCGGCCGCCTCTTGGTACTTCTCATAGGCCTTCTCATTCGACGTGGGGTCTTCATGGCCTGCGCCGTAGGCCTGCGCTTCCGCCGCTTGCCCGTAGCGTTCGTCGTACCCTCGGCGGGCATCGTCGTAGTCCACTCCCGCCTGCGCTTCTACCTCCTTCATCGGGCTGGCGGTGTTGATTCGGTCGTAGTTTCGGAGGTTGTAAAAGCGGATGTATTCCTGAAGGGTAGCCGTCAGCAAGTTGGGATATCATACGCGCTTGGCCATCTCATACCGTTGGATCGACCCCGGCTTCCGTAATTTTGCCCATGATCGAGTGCTTGGACCGATTGATCGCATTGTACTGGAATTGCATGATCGCTCGTGTGCCCAAAGCCTCGTCGGATTGAATGTCGCCCGCGAATCCCGGAAGTGCAGGGATAGCCACGATCATGTGGAAGCTCTCCTTGTTCTGCGCGGCTCGCAGAATTCGTTCCACGATCGCGGCGCCAATCTGGTTCTCCACGGGCTTCAGGGAAGAGTCTCCCGTAGCGGTGATGAAGAACTGATTTTCAATGTAAATGAAATGTTCGGCTGTTCTGATCGTTTCAATGTAGGCGTTCGCGATAGAGTGTTCCAGAGGGACGCCATGAGACTAGATGACCACATTAGCGAGTCTACAACGATCAGTGGAGATCGACAACACCACTCACCCACTTGCAACAAGAGCGCATGATCTGACATTGCATCTGCCTCGTCGTCAGCGAACATTCACGCAACCAGGGATGATTGAACTAACACCACCAGGATATGGTCCAGTAGGAACAGACGGCAGAGTAGAATCCTGCTTTCCCCGATGCAACTCCTGCCGGATCCTCTCCCTCGTCTCCTCCGCCACTCGATGAGCCTCCTCTCCCACACTCGCGCCCTCCTTCAGCCGTTTCCGCTCATCTTGCAATCTCAGTCGACCGTGCTCACGAATCTCATGCATACGCTTCCGGAACCCTTCATACTGGCCGTTTCCATCCGGCTCTCCGCCATCAGTCCCAGGCGTGTACGGATGGCCGATAATGCCAGTCCGGCTGGGCTGGAAGATGATGGGATGGTAGCGTTTGTCGCTGCCGTACTTCTCGAAATAAATAAAATTCCAGCGCTGGGCGAAGTGTGCTCGGAGGTCCTCCACGACCGGCCCTTGGAGTGAGATGGAGACGTCGCTCCAGCCCATGCGCGAATTGTACTTGCGGTCCAGTTTGTTGTTTTCCCAATGCGACACATCCTGGAAGTCGTAGATTCGGGCGTTGTTGTAGTCCTGTCCGGGGAAGACAATGTTGTCCAGATTATCGGGGTGGGCATCGGCGATGGAATGCTGATTCGTATCCCACCGGCCAAAACACATATCCAGGCCGCCCATAAAAGCAATCTCGCCATCCACTACACACAGCTTCTCGTGATGCGCCCAGTAAAGGATGGTGTCTTCGCCGACGCCGTAGATGCCTTCCACCGCATCGACGGGCAGAGCAGCGAGTTTGGCGGGGGAAAAGCCGTGCTCTCTGATGTTCGCCCACCAGTTTGACGCCAGCGTCTTGGCATCCGGGACGTGGTCGGGGTGGCGCAAAACTTTGATGTTTCCTGTAGGATTCCTTGCTGCGTCCTCAAGCCAGTGTTTAGTGTGCGAAGAGGACAAGGTGAGTGCCTGAGTGACTTCCTTGTACACAATGATGTTGACTTGTACACCGCGTTCGGCCGCAGCGAAGAGCATTCGATCCAAGCGATACTGTTCGTTTTTGGCCGGGGGTCGACGCAGATATAACTCAGGGCTCAACCACCTGGGGAAAGGACACGCAAGAGGTGAGCAGAAGCGAATTCGAGGGCATTGGGACGAGACAAACCAATCCAAAACCCAGATCTCGGTATGCGCGTGCTCAAGAGCGACGGACACTGCGTGGAAATAACTGCATCCATCGACATACCACTTGGCATTATTGCCCTCACGTTGCGGCGCAAAAGATTGAAAGCGATGCAAGTGATGACTGAATCCGGTCAGCGTTCCAGCCGTCTTCATCCGAGCATCGTAAGTCGCTCACCTGTCGCCGTCGGAGCATTCCTTCGGGTAGTGCATGTGGGAGTGAACATGGTGGTGGACGACACGCTTCGCGCCCTCCTCTACGTGCTCGAAACCGGACTTGATGTCGTCTTTGGCTTCCCTGAGGCCGTCCTCGGCGTCCTTCAGGCCTTCCTTCAACTTATTGACGAGAAATGACATGCTTGCGCTAAGAACGAGACGTGAGTAGACAAGAGATCAACGAAGCGGTGGAAGCTGTTCCACAAAGGCGAACACAAATATGCGGTGTGAAGATTGCATAGAGGAAAAGGGTGGATGTAGAGGAAATGTGGTCGCGTGCGTGGGATGAGGTGAGGTGTAGCGCAGCCACAGAGCGGGGGCGGGCGCGCGGCCGTGCAGCGCCGCATGTGGCGGCATTGGGCTGAGATGTGGTTGACGACCCGCGTCTTCCTACAGTATATGCTCGACGTAACATTGACGCTTGTGGGCATAGGCGGCGTATCCCAGGACGGTTTAAGAAGATGGGGGGTAGTGAGCCATGCTGGCGTCGGCCCAAAGCCGTATCGATCATGATGAGACAGTCGCCGTCAACGCCACTACTGGGACTCAGATGAGGCAGAGAGGATACACGACCAGCTTGTAAGTCAATTCCCGGAGTAACCGAGAGAGACGAGGTCTTGTAGTATGCTACCCTGCGTGCAAGAGGTGTAGATCATGATGAGATGAGCCGTTGCGGTCGACGTTGAGCTCCATCCAGAAATTCCTAAATTATAGAACAGGAGCCAGCCATTGGGTTGTTCTCTAGCAATCTCAAAGAAAAGGAGGCGGCCCAGAGCGTTGCTCGTATGCGAAGGGATGTGCAGTTAGCGATGAGAAGGGCCATTTGGATATAATCCACCCTCTGCCCATATGCGTACTTCTCCCGCCCTTCGCTGACCGAGAGCTATCCCTGAGCGGACCAGAGTATTCACCCCACCGACTGAATGTAATGAGATATCACCCTCCATCAGCGAACCCGAATTTAGATTTCGATAGATTACAACATCCTGACGCCTAGCTCCCTATGTCACATCCGCCTCCCCTTCCTTCCTACCCTGTAGCATCATCTCGTCCGTCTGATCCATCAACCACGTCGCGGCGGTGTCGACATCACGCCCACACACGTCCAACGCAGTCTGCGCCGCGTGTGCTGGGAATCCCATCTCCAACAACTCCGCCAGCGCATGGTCATAGTCCTCATCTCCTTCCGCAACTTTCTGCGCTTGCTCCGTGGGCGTTGGGGAAATAATGCCTTTCTTATCCTCGGTTTTCATCTGGCTCACAGCGTCCTCACCATCCCACGCCAATTTTGTGAAGTGTACGCACTCATCCAGCACTTCCAGCCTCGTCCGCTTCTCGTCTGCCGAAAGGGCGATTTCAGGAATCACAGTCCAGCCATGCTTTCTATCCTCATACCGCATCGTCTTCACATCCGGAGCCCGCCCCTCGCGTTCCAACTTCTCGCACCAGATCTTGCTCTGCTCCCATAGCGTATCGATACCAGATAGAACAAGCAGGATCTTCGCCTGTTTATGTAGCCCGACGGACGTATCGATGAGGCCGGGCGAAGCTCTCCCGTGCGCCGCGAGTTCCCTACTGACGTACGTGGCAGCGAGGTGGTCATCGATATCGAGGCGCTTGTGCTCTTTCACCGGCGGCATGCCGGGATGTCGGAAACGCTCGCTGGGCAGCTGGCGCAGGTCCAGACTTGGGTAGAGGAGCAGCAGGGGGATTTGATTGATGTAGTCTGCTGGGATCCGACAGGGCCATTCGGGAAACCCCTGGCTCTCGGGTACGCTCAACGCCATGTTCAGTGCGATGTTGCCGCCGCTGCTCGCGCCGCTAAAGGCGATGCGGGAGGGGTCGAGGTAGATTTCGGGCATGGGGACTTCGTAGACTTTGCCTTCCTCGCGCTCTTTTGCCGTCGATAGTTTCTCCACCCAGTGACGGCGTAGGTGATGAGCGATCCCTTCTCGTAGGGCAAAGTACGCGGCGCTTTGTGGGTCGATGACTGCTGAAAGAACGTCTTCTGCGTCCTCGATTGCGGCGGGGAACTTGTCGAGCGGAGCCATTCGATAGTCGACTCCGATGACAATAGCTTGCAAGTCGCGGCAGAGCTTGGAGCAGAACGGGGCCTGCTCGAGACAGGAGCCAAGGTAGAAGCCGCCGCCATGGTAGTCCATCACAACCGGGAAGACGTTTGGACTGGGAACCGCATTCTTTGCCTTGGGGTGGGGAAAGGTGACGTGCGGAACAAAGACATACAGTGGGATGGTGCGTGCTAATTGTCGAGATGGTAGCTGTAAAACAAACGGAAAGGGCCCGCCGGGGTTCGTGATATGCAATGAGGAAATCGGGGCGACGCGGGGCAAACGAACGAGGCCCGTCTTCCAGATCGTGGACCAGGTGTGGTCCTTCCATCGACTGAGGGACTGTTTGAATGGCTCCTCGTCGGCCATGTTGGGTAGTGAAAGGCGTCCAAGATCGTCAAAAGACCAGGAGTGGGAGATAGACGAGACTCGACGTCAACGACGGAGTCGTCTGGAAACGTGCGGAACCGAAAACAGGTCCTTGAGCAATGGGTGGAGACGAAGATTATCGAAGAACGTCAGCACGACCCTCGTGCGTTGCAGAAGGCATTCAGAGCTCAGGCAAATGTGCACTGCTCTACGCGGAAGACTCCAGCAGATGGGCCGGGAAATTCCATAGGCCAATGTTCGCGCGAAGTGTGGGCGGGAAACCGCTCCATCCCATCCGTCATCCACCGGAACGCTTGTGTAATCCTCATGCCCAATGGAGAAGTCATGGGCGGTGGGATCTGCTCGGCGTAGATTTCAGCATGTCGTGCCTCGATATGCCGCTACCCCATACCCCGCGGATGAGATAAGCGTCCGCCAATGTCCAAGCTCGGATCATCACGACATGAGCCTGAGTTGCAACCGACCTCACGCATTCACCGCCGGCACTCCTGAGGTCTCTATCGCGCCTGCAAACCCCCTACGCGTATAAGCCACCATTGAGTCCTCAACATTCTCGACTCCAACACCACTCTGAGGCCTCTGTCACGCCCAAACTCCCTGCCACGCCTGCACACCACCCTTGCGCCCTCGTTCCCGCAGCACCAACACCATCATGATCGTCCTCATCCGCAAAGACCCCGCCGTCTCCACCCTTCCCTCCAACCCCTCACCACCTCAAGACCAAACCTCCACCTGCCGCCTCCTCGCCCTTCCCCCCGAAATCCGAAACCAAATCTGGCACGACGTGCTCGTCCAAAACCTCCACCCCCGCCTACCCCTCCACCACTTCCCAGCAGTGGAAGCCAGCGTGCGCGGCCCCACCCGCTTCTGCGCTCGCATCCTTCGCACATGTCGCCAAATCCACGCGGAGACAACGCCCATCCTGTACGGCGAGAACGTCTTCTGGGCCCACCCAACCCTGCTAGCCACAATGCCGAAATTCCTCCTCATCGCGCGCCCCAACCGCGTCACCCTCCCCAGCCCCATCGTGGAGCCGCGCGTGCGCAAACTCATCAAGCGGTACTTCATCTTCGTGCGCCTGGACATCGACCCGCGGTACTCCAAAACGCAAGTGGAGGAGAGTTTCAATGGGGTCGAGGCGCTGCATATCGAGGTCTTTCAGGCGATGTATGGGAGTTGCGATTTTGCTGTGCTGAAGTTGTTTGAGGGGGTGAGGGGGGTGGGGAAGGTGACGTTGGAGGGGAGCTTGGGGGATAGGCGGTATGCGGAGTGGTTGGCGCAGACGATGGAGTTGCCAATGGGCGAGGAAGCGAGGCCTTTCTCTGAGGAATACGTTGGGGGGATGAAGGAGTGGAGTGCATGGCAGAGAGGTGTGAGGTAATAGTGGGCAATCGTGCGCAGGAACTAGACATCATGGAAGCGGCTTCATCCACAAATTCCATTGCGAGATCAGCCATTGAGGCTGCTCGATGCACAAGCCCACGCTTTCCCTGCGAAGACTCGGCAGCCATCATGGCACATAAAGTCTCCCTCATCCTCCTTCCTCGTCTCCAGCGAGAGGAGCATGTAGCACATAACCCGCCACTAGGGCATGGCATTGACGAACAACAGCAAATCCGCCACCCTTCCCTCCATCACCGTCCTCTGCACCTTCGTTACATCACTCATAAACTCATTCAAAATCTCCACTCCCCAGTGGCATAGATGATTGTCATTGTGGCCGCTCAATCAGCCGAGAACGGAAGGAGAGAGCCGATCACTCAAAAGCCGAACACGTCTGCTGCTTCTCATCCTACAAGAAGCCAGACTCGCTGAGTAATCTGCACATTATCACTATCAATTAGCTCGTGTCGTCAAATCCAGCAAAAAAAAGGGGGGGGAAACACGACTCACCTCGCAATCTTCTCGTCCTCCCGCTCGCGCGGCTCCACCTGCAAACTCCGCTCGTACATCTCGTGCACCGCGCCGGCGCTCTGCATGTTCCGGAGGATGTACTCCTGCAGCTCCGGCACGGCCTGCAAGCTGTACGGCGCATTCTGGTACTGCTGGATATCGCGGATGACTTCTGCGGTCTTGGCGCGCTTGGCGAAGTTGATGAGCTGCGTCTTCTTGATGACGGAGGGGATGCCGTCCTCGATGAACGTGAGGTCGGTGAGGTAGATCCCAAAGAACGGGATGCACGGCGGGTTGGCCTTGTGCAGCGCTTCGCGGTAGATGAGGAAGTTCTTCGTGCTGCCCATCAGCTTGCGCATGTTTTCCAGCGCGTCTTTGGTGCGCTGGTTCACTTGGTTCCAGGTGCGGGAGAGGCGGTGGATGGGCGCGGAGTCGAGCGCGGACATGATGGACGTGAGGCAGGAGAAGTTGTTCAGGCCGCGGCACTTGTCGGCGATGGAGACGAAGTGCTTGATGACGACCACCCGGCGCTTCACGTCCTGCTGCGTGAGGATCATCTGTGCCACCCAGTTGGCGAGCTGGTTGGAGTGCAGGATGAGTGCTTTTACATTCTCCGCCGGATCGGGCTCGCCTTCCTTGATTTTCTTCTGCCACGTCTTGTCCAGGCATTCCGTGGGTTTGATCTTGCCGTAGAGTCGGGATTCGATGATCGTCAGCTGTCGCGCGAATTCCAATGCATCAATGTCCAAGAACTTGAGTTTCTTCATATTCTTCGGGATGATGGGAGCCGGTGCTTGCGAGCTCATCGTGAGGACCAGCTTCTTACTCGACGAGTCCTGCCCTCGTATTCGCTGCTCAATCGCCGTCATCAACGGCCCCGCGCCGGGCGTGCTGGTCGACTGGACGGTGTCCTTTGCAAACGCATACACCCTCTGCATCAACTCCTGAGTCTCCCCATCCTGCGGCTCCATCCAGTAAGTGTCAAACCACGATTTTAAGATATTCACAACGCGAAAGCGAATCGGCTTCTGCTTCTTGTCGGTCCAGACTTGTAGCTCGGGGCCCGCGAGACTAAATGGCGGTTGAATCCTCCAGCGCTGCACCAGCATCTCGAACAGCTCCGAGGCTGTGGTGAAGGATCGATACGTGAGCAAAAAGGTGTTGTTGAACTGCGGGTCCAGCCTGTCATGCCTCGTCAGCTGCTCCACCAAGCCCGTCAAGGTGCCTCCGCGGATCTGCGGCGGCTCCGTCTTGGTATCCAGGGTGATCTCTCCCTCGTGATCTAGCCGGAGATATTCGGGCACTTCGTCGGTCTCGATCCTCGGCATGGCGGGAGCGGGCGATTCGCCAAAGAAACGCTCCACTTTGGATGCCTTTCCTTGTACACCCTCCGAGTAGGACTTGGACTGGCCGATTTCGCCCAGCATGGGTGGTCGAAGGCTCTTGGACACGCTGCGCATGTGTGCCTCGTACGTCGCTCCGCCGTCTGTAAGTCTGTGGCCATCTTTCGCCGGCGACGACCGACCTTCGTGTGGCATCAGCTCGGACAATAATTGCAGCGAGAAGAAGATCTGATTCGCGGCAGTGTCCAGTTCACGTCCAACGGTCCGCACCTGATTCAGCCGCTCTTCAAGTGAGGGTCCTCGAACTTCCGACCACTCGTCTCCCAACGGACTCGCCACGAGCTGACATGCAACAACGAGATCCGAAGCGGAATCGTACAACTTTTGCTTCTGATCCGCAAAGTCGTTCAATTGAGGGGTCTGAAAGGTCGAACCCAGGGGAGCGAGGTTGATGGACTCGATGATGGTCAGATATGGCCTGCAGGTGTTGCAGACTTGTGCACCGCTTTTGCAGACGTTGTCGCCGATTCTTCGATGTCGTTGCGGTGTGATGAGCTTCTCTCGAAGGATCAGATGCTCGTCCAGTTTCCGTATTGCCGCTATAACGGTCCGCTTCATTTCGTCCATGCGGTCGAGCAGGCTTTTATCTAGCTGGGCGGTGGGCTCCAGAGGCGCACCATGCTCGTCCATAAAAGACATTGCGGCCAGGGGGTCGTCTACGCTCAGGCCGTTGTTCTGCCAGTTGCCGGCGGTGTGCGTGCCGGTGACGAAGCCTGGGGTGATACGGGGAATGTCATCCCCGCGTTGATGTCGTGCGACCTCGACAAAAGCGTACACACTCTGCAGCACATTCTCCGCTTCGGCCAGACATTTCTGATGCGCGTTTGGGCCGGGGAAATCAGTAGCGGCCACGTGAGTGGACAAGACGAGCCTGGAGAAGCGAGACATGGTCTCGCGAAAGTGAGGGTAGAGGGCTTTGTTGGTGGAAATAATGGAGGGGTTGCCAGAGTGGTTGTCCGTCGTACCAGACGCGGCTGCCAGCAGTAGCCGCAAGTGATCGGATATGTCCTCCACTCTCCGGACAAATTCCGATCGCTCGCCGTTTTCGATTGCTTTGCGGAACCGGTGCACGGCTCTCCGCATGTCTTCCATCATTGCTTGCCACGTCAGTGGCACGGCATGCGCATCATCGAAAAAGCGTCTGGGCAGCATGGTCGCTCTGGTGGCGGCTTGCGCATTTGCGAACGAGTTCATGGTAGTACCAATCGGCGCAATGCCTTGCTGCATGGCCGCGTTGCTAGCATCCGGGGCATTGCCCAGAACGTTGCCTAACGGGGACGCAATGGCCGAAGAAGCCATGGAAGTCGCAGGTGACACGCCGTTGGACAAGTAAGATTGTGGCCGTCGGTTCTGGAAAGTTCGGGCATCAGTCAATGCTACATCGGACGTTGCAGTCCCACCACTTACGCTAGAACCTTGGGAATCGCGTACGAATGATGCATCTTCCGCCTCCGAAGCAGAAGCGTCGTCGGTATCGTCATCACGCTCATACCCAGACATCATCAACTCCGCTGGCGGACGTGTTTGACCTGGGATGAATACATTGGCATGGTCGCGCGGGCCAGTCTCATTTGCACAGGTCGGGGCCTCCAACGGCAACTCCATGGTGCTGCGACCGGTGAGGGTGTTGAAATAGAACAATCTCCCATCCGGCGTCGCTTGCGGTATCCAAAACGCAGCCTCCTCTTGTGTGCTTGTATTTGTGTCATTCTGGCTCCTCGACATTGCATTGGTAGGGTGGTCCATCTCATGCTCGCTGTACTCCTCCTCCGACTCCTCCGCCTCCGAATCGCTCGCCATGACGCGGGAGCCGTTTGCAAAGGGATTCCCAATCAGTTCACAGTAGTTGCTGGGAAACCAGCCTCGCATTCCGTGAATCACGCCATCCCACCATCCGCTCTCCAGCTGCGTAATCACCTGGATAATGTCGCCTTGTCGGAAGCTGAGGCTGGTTCGGTCGTCGGCGTCGTAATCGTACATGGCCCGCACGTACACAGGCCCTTGCTGCTGCTCGCCATTGCGGAGAGGCACGTTCATCACGATGGTGGATAGGTGTGGGGATCCAGGGAGCACAGGTCAGCTCCGTCGACTCCGCCGGGGTTCAGATCTCCGAGTGCGGCGAGAGTTGGACGAAAGCACACAAGAAATACCAGACACCGAGCAGGTTAGGATGGAGTAGAGATCAGAGGAATGCGCACACCCTTCAGCTCGTCCCTTGCAGCGGAATGGGAGCAGCTCTCGGCAAAGCCAGCTGCAGGAAAGTGCAGACGCCTCTGCGGGCACGCGAGTCGAGGGCAGGCGCGCGAGATCCGACCATTCGAATGCACTGCTCGGTCGGGTCATGGAATAGAGGGAGGAATGGAGTGGGAGGAGAGGTGGGAGGTGGACAGGCGGGCGGGGAGAGGAAAAAGGGCCACCGTCTGCTCGATATGAATGGTCGAAGTTAAAAGCGCCTCTTCTCCATCCCACCCCGCCAGCCAATCACACGGCGTATCAGCCTCTGGAATCGCCCGGTCCAGCACAGTTCCTGACACTCATCACGGCCTGCCTGATGACGGTTACTGGATTGGGAGCGCGTCCATCCCGCCGTTCCACATCCATCCCATTCGGCGGAGAAGGCGACGGTGACTCCAATATTACGCGCCGTGGCACGCCGCACGCGTGACAGCCTATGATGGTGCATGCTGCCCCTCCCTCATCTACCCTAGGACGAGTGCCTTATGGAAAGGCTGGTACGCAATCTATCCTGCTGCTACCAAGCCTTGGAAGGCGTCGGGGGGCGCAGGTCGGCTACATGTATGCCTCGTCTTGGATAGCATGAGATACGTCGCAACTCCGCCTATTCCCGACGGTCGCCGTGCCATATGCATTGCAAAGCGCTTTATGTCTGTGAACGTTCACTCCCTAAAGCGCAGTAGGGGCTGGAGATGCCAAATCACTCCATCGGGAATTTTTGCAGTCCAACATTCATCTTCTCGTCACGATGGCGTTCCAACAATCCTCCGCGCGGGAGCGGATGCGAGTCCGTCGGAGAAATCAGGTCGACCTATCACATCCCTCCTCCGCGCGCTTCGCTTCTCACGGTTCGCCCAAAGCAACCTCGCCTGCGAGCCTACTCGCCCGTGTATACCAACATCCCAGCCAAGGTAAGCAAAAGTAAAAAGCGACACGTCTATGAGGCTGGCAGCTAGCGGGAAGCAGTCTTCCGCTTGCGCCTCCAGTCTCCGGCTGGTTGCAGCGATGCTGACATGTCGAAAGATACCGCTACACCTCTGTTTGACCTCGCTGACCAAGACGTCGTGACGACACTGTTCTTCTGAGTACAGATTTGCGCAAAGGGTAATTACCGGCGTTCAATGGAGCCAAGGCATCAGAAGAGAAAGCATGATCAGTCATCGGATCAGTCTTTTGTAGCGTTTTGCTTGGCCAATGGCAAATCCCGTCACTTGGCGGGCATGGATGGCATCAAGGATGATGGACGGGTTCCACTTGAAGACAAGGATGCATCGGGTAGTTGAGCGCGTGAGCGTATGCTATATCGATCGATGGCCTTCCGTCCAGGCCAGTGATTCCGCGCAAAGCTGACATCAATGCAACAGGAGGTGGGCAGGTGGGGCAGACAGGCCAGTGATGAAGGAGGGGAGGCAAGGAGATTATTCTCAGATTCGGGCCAGGAGCGCCGAGATTTGATGGATGGAGAAGCTCAAAAGCCGACACGCGATCCCCGGCCGGCGTTGTCACTTGATCGTCCCCGTTCATCACGCACAAAGCGTACGACTGACTCGAATGCGTCCAATCCACACACGGCTTCTATGTCATCACGGAATCTCATCATCAATGCTGTCGTCGACGTGAGCCTGCGCAGACTCGAATCGACGGGGGCCTTCCCTCCCCGTTCCGCGAAACTTCGATGCGAAGTGGGTCGCGACTAGGGAAGACTTCCCCGACGCCCTAGCGCCAACGTGCCGTGCAACCAGGGACAAGGCCTCGGGACTGGGAAGATCTTTTTCCACGGGCAGACCGGGAACAAGGTCAGCAGGTCGTTGGACGAGAGTCTGCGCTCGGCCGTCGGCAGCTACCCTGTCTTATGTATAGCGCGCCGTCTGGACTTCCGGCATCCGTCGTCCGGAATTGCGCTCGACGGGGAGACTGGGATGCGCTGCAGGTACGAAACTAGTTGACTGGCCAGGGTGTTTCACGTGGGAGCAGCAGACGGAGAGGAGAGTGCGCGGTGATGTATGGAAAGGAGCCCTGCAGCATCGACAGTACGAGGGCATGGGTAAGATTGGCGATGTGAGTGCACGTCGAGGTTGTTCGCTTCGCTCCCGACGGCAAGCGCATGCAGGCAGCAGAAGCCTTGCAGCTGTGGCTCGTGCAAACGGGGACGATGCCGTGCACCTCGTCGCTCAGAGCGTGGGTTATACGAGACGTATAAATGGAAACTGGATGGACACCTCGGCCGGAGCGCCGTTTTGGACGGCAACGCTTCGCCACTCGCCGCCTCGTCGCACTCGTCACATGTGTTTGGACGAAGCAATTCGACAAGTCGCAAGGACGGACGGAGGAGGCGCGAGCCTATTAGTCGTACGGGTGAGTGCCAGCGCACCACTCAGCTCGCGCCGCGCAAACACAAACGGGCCAGGGAGGAAGATTCGTAGAAGCAAGTCGGGACGACAGGCGCGGTATGTCAGCAAGACGGGCGCGCGCGATTCGTGGGCACATCGTTAGTCCCGGGTGGAAGACGTTGGTGACGCCGCGTCGTTTGGGGAGGCCCGAAAAGTATTTGGCAGGGTCGGGCAGGGCCGTGCCTCCTTTCTTGGGCAAGGGCGAGGGCGGCGAGGGGGAAGGAACGAGGCAGCTCCCGCCCGCCTTCATCCCACTTCCACGCCCACCTTCGCCAAACCGCCCACCTTCATCACACCCCTCCTCTTCCTCTCTCTCTCCCCAACACCGCCCCGCCACTCCTTCATCTTCGCTTGCTTCTACATCTTCTGTATCGCTGTGCAACCCACACCCTGTCCCATCGCGAGTGTGGATGTTGCCGCACCAGGCCTCGCGCCACCCGCCACTTTTTCCCTCTCCCAAATCCCGTCGAGGGTGCAATCCATCACATGTAGTGATGCCACACCGCCCCTCCTTCTCCGCCACCTCCACCAAGAGTTAGCACACGCCCTTCCCTTCGCGCCCAGGCGCGTCGCGCGCCTTCCGCCTCCCCCATCGATACAGCCTCCCTCCGATCGAGATGTCTGCCGTCGCAGCTCCTGCGGCCACGACACCCCCCGCCGCCACGCGCAAGGTGTCGGGCGGCGGGGTGGACAAGGAGAAGGAGAAGCGATACAAATGTCAGTTCTGTAGTCGCGCGTTCAGCAGGTCGGAGCACAGGTCGCGCCACGAACGGTCACGTAAGTCCATCCCTCCTTTGCCCCTCCAACACCCGCGCCGCATGGCGGGGCATCCATAATTTGCAAGGACCATCAAGGCGCCGCGTCGCGCCGCGGGATACACACGAACTACGCTAACGAGAACTCCCATCTCCAGACACCAAAGAGCGGCCGTTCAAGTGCTCCAAATGTCGAAGCACCTTCGTCCGTCGAGACCTCCTTCTCCGCCACGACCGCACCGTGCACGCCAAAGACGGCGGCATCCCGCTGCAGAGCGACGTGAAGAAGCGGACCTCCACATCCAAAGACTCCCCCACCGACAGCTCTTCCAAACTCCCCGACCTCGACGATGCAACGCTGGACCAGTTCGGCGACGCCTCCGATCCCTTTGGCGTCGAGCAGGCCGCCATGTTGATGGCCAACTTCCAGCAAAAGGCAGCCATGTCGGGTCAGGACATTGCTAGCGTACACCCCGAACCCCTCCTCTCCCCCCATCACGCCCCGCATCTCATCGAGCCGTCGTCTCTGCCCTACCCGGGCTCCATGACGCTGCCGCAGATGCACGGATGGGACCAGATGCTGCCGCAGAATGTGCATCGCGCCAAACCCTCGTCCATCTCGTCCGGCGGAGATGCGCATGCCGACCTTCTTCCGTACGCCAACGGCGCCTCGGTCTCGTCGAATCACCACACCCTCGCGCCCCTCATGGACCGCACGCAAAGTCAGACAGACGGCCTGCCTTCCTTTGCCTCGTCATCCCTGATGAACGGCCTCGCTACTCCCGGCGCCTTGTCGCCCTTCCCGTCCATGCTCGGTCCGGTGTCTCCGGTTGACTACCGCAGATCACCAGGTCCCCCGCAGCAGTGCACCATGGCAAAAGCACCACAAGTCGAGAATGAAGACCAGATCAGCTCCATCATGGACAACATCCGACACTGCGATGCCGAAGGCCAACTCATCGAAACCTTCCTCCTACCGCCGCTTTCCGTCCTCAACCGCTACCTCTCCACCTACTTCAACTTTTTCCACCATCACCTCCCCTTCCTGCATCCCGCTTCCTTCGACCCGGCTACAGAGCCTGCGCCACTCTTACTATCAGTACTGTCGATCGGCGCGTTGTACACATTCGAGCAAGACCAGGCATACATGCTACACATCGGCTCCAAGGTGCTGTGCAACGAGTTCTTACTCAAAAAGGACAACTTCAGCTCGCGCAAGTGCCCTCTATGGATGATGCAGAGTACACTGCTCAACATGAGCTTTGCAAGTTGGAGCGGCGATCCGAAGGGGTTGGAGTGGGCGTGTTCGATCAAGAGTCTGCTAGCCAACATGGTCGCCGGCAACCGGTATGAACTGGCGCTGCGCAGCGAGGGACGCGAGGGACGCCAGCCCACACACAAAGAGTGGATTGAAGACGAGTGCTGCAGGCGCACGTATTTTGGCGTGTACATCTTCTTCGGACTGCTCACCCTGACCTACAACCACACCCCGGCCATCAACTTCAACGAATTCGACACGCTCGAACTGCCGTCTTCAGAATCGCTGTGGAACATGCATCCCAGCGACGACGATAGCTGGTTTGAGGCTTTGACCGCCTCTTCCGGCATCACCTTCCGCGAAGCACACGATGCTCTCTTCCAGGGCGACCCGGCACCGTACAGCGCCTTTGCAACGCGCGTCATGATCAACGCACTATTCCTGGAGGTGTGGTACCACAAGCGCAGCCCGGAAGCGCTGCAAGACGTGGTCACGGAGTACAAGCTGCGCCTCGCGCTGGAAACGTGGGAGAAGTCGCTCGAGCTGTGCGAGCCGGAGACGGTCGTGGTGCAGCTGAGCGCGCCGCACAAGGGCCACCCGCTCATCTTCAACGCCATGGCCATGTTCCGTAACACGCGCGCGCGCCTACTGGTTGATCTCAAGACGGTGCAGGAGGCCCTGCGCTACCACGACTCTTACGAAGTCGCGGGCGCAATGACCAACGCGCGCGACAAGGTCAAGCGCAGCCAGGAGATGCTCCTCGTCATCCAAGCCTGCTTCGACTGCATCGAAGTCGCGGCTCTGCAGGGCATCCGCTGGGTAGCGCGAACCTCGGCGACGAACTGGAGTATCGAACACCCGCTCTGCGGCCTCGACTTGATTGTCATTCTCAGTTTATGGCTTTGGAGAGTCGAGCATGACGACGAGCCGGCGACGGAGGAGGAGAAGGCGATGTACCAGAAGTTGCGGAACCTCTTCGACGACGACTCGGTCGACGGCTTTGGGCAGAAGCTCAGCTCGACGGTTGCGCGCTTGTGGGGGAGTATGATTGATGAAGTGGTCGTCTGGGGGTATGTTTCCCGCCTCACTTTGCTGCGATGTTGCTCCTGTACTGACTTCGTGACTACAGCATCACCAAGCTCATGGGCGAATCCTTCAAGCTACACTCCCAGGCTCTCGCCGGTTACGAGGATTCCATCCTGGCTGCCGAGAACACTAATAACGCCAACGCCACCAATAGTAACGGCACGCCGCAGCCTCTGCCTGCCGCCCCGCAAGCGTCGGAAGTCGCGGCGTATTGAAAGGCAATGCATCATACATTCCACTCCGAGAATACCATCTCCATCTGCCCATACGGCGGACTCGCCTCGAGAGAAACAACGAATCTCTCTACCCGACCAAAACCACCTCTATAATCATCTCCGCCATCAGAAAGGAAAACCCGGACCTACCTCCCACCTTCTACATTGTCCTTTACACCCCTCGACCTTTCCCGCTGCTGCTGCACCAACAACAACAACAGCAACAACCGCAGCAGCAACATCTCTTTATCTCTCGGATTCGGATACCATGTGCGTTATACACCACCACCTTCAAGAAGCATGCCGCTTTTCATCTCCCCTCTGGAATATCACGCATATTTCCCCTCTTACTCTCAAAGGAGGACGACAAAGAGGGATGATGGGGTGTGCTTCCTATTTCTCTGTACTTTTATCTTAACGGTCGGGCTCGGGCGCGTTGGGGGGGAGATCTGTGTGTTCGAGTAACGGGATTTGTGATTTCTGCTACCTTTTTCTCGTGTTCTGTGTTTTGTGTGTGTGTAAGAAAGAGTGTACTTTCGAGGGAGGGAGAAGGAGAGAAAGAGAAGGAAGAATACCAAGATGTCAGCATAGCGTAGGAACTTCAATGGGGGATCTTTATATTTAGCGGACTGTGTTTGCTGTGAGAGGGGGGTTTAGGGGGGAGATGGTCGTCAGACGCCTGCCTCTACTTCCTGCCTACTTGCTGAAAGTACCTACTGTTTGTAATCAGATTGGCTCTGGTTCTTTTGCCTTCCATGTCTTTTGCTTCTTGCGTGCTGTGGTCATTTCCCTTTTCCCTTTCGCAGGGCCGCTTATATCACCTTTTGAGGGGTTTCCAGCTGGCACGCAGGAGATGGGAGCGAGAAGGAGAAGGACACGGAGGGCGGGAATTGGAGAATGGAAGCCTTGCGCTTATACAGGATTTCTTTGCTTTGCATGGCTGATTAGCGTAGACTGTATAGTCGTAGATGTTGCTGCAGTATTGTTGGTGTGTTTATTGCTGGCGTGTGTGCATGGACCCTCTCCCTCTCCTCCGCTGTGTGTCTCTGCCTTCATTGCTTGCCTTTCCTCCCCTTTCCTTCCTGGCCACTCTCTCTCAACTCAGGCCCACGAACTGCTTCTTGCTCGCCTGTCCGCTTTGCATTAGGACATCGGACGCAGTGGTACTGCCACGGTACGGCGGAGCGTAATGGGGTACACGCCCGTCGCAAGCGAGATCGGGAGCGTGGCGCTGCTCGTGCTGTTCGTGGTGTTGTTCACCGCCGTGTAGCTGCCGGAAGTGTAATTGCCGGCCGTATAGTTGCCCGCGGTGTAATTCCCAACAAGCATCGTCTCAACAACAGTCAGACGAGTAACACGTCTCAACCGCCGCGTGACCACCACCGTCTCGAGCGCAAGCACAACCGGCTGAGCGATCGTTTCTATTCATCATGAAGACACAAGCAAATCAGCAAAACACTGATTCTCTCATGCATCATCATCTCTTCAAAGAAGCCTCGGCAAGAAAACTTCACGGGACATGGATGCGGCCTGCAATACCCGTATTGACCGCCTCGCGCTTCCGCCGCCGATCCGTGCCGTACCCGATTGTGCCCACCTGCGCGACGGGGAATTGGTCCGGCACGGCGACGAAGAGCTGCGTGTAGGTGTAGATTTCCACGGCGCCCGTTGCACCGACTTGCGAGACGATGCTGTACACTGTCACGGGGGGCACTTGGTGTGGGATGGCGCCGGGGTTTTGGTCGACGCCGAGGTTCTGCCGGGCTCTGTTGGGGGGGATGTTAGTTGCTGGATGGATGAGGGGAATGGAGGAACGGGGAGAGAGCGTACCTGAGGTCTGGGTGGGTTGGGAAGGGCGTTGCAGAGGGGATGAGGTCGTCGAGTCTTGCGCCTGATGGGGGTGTGATGGTGGGTGTAGGCAGGGACTCGTGCGCGAGGGTCTGGACCGCGCAGCAGAGGCCTGCAAGCAGCCAGGACGATGTGGATAGCCTCATGGTTGTGATGTTGTGATGTATCTGCGGAAATCTGCTCGACGACTCTTTCCAAGCTGTCGCCAAGATGCTTGTCCTCTGCTCGACGCGCCTGGGATGCGTGAAGTCGACGGCCAAGAAGGAGAAGGGGGCGGTGGAGATGCGGGCGGAAATTGGTATGCAAAGTTTGTCGGGGGCCCAGCCGCCAGTGCACTCTCGAGTGGGAGGATGTGTACGTGTATCTGTGCCGGAGAAGCTGCTCGGGATGACTCTGCTTGCTTGCTTGCTGTGCGTGAGGTGTGTGTGTGTTGCAGGGTGTAGGTTGTGTCGGGGCGCGTCTGGATGTTTCAGCTGCACGTGTTGTCGCCGGATCAACGCCGTCAGGAGGCGAGTGGGGCAGCCGCGGTCGCGAATAGGGGATGAGTGCTGCAAGGGTTGTTGTCCTGCAGGTCTGACGTGGTCGGCTTTAAATCTCCTGCCAGAGGGGAGTCGCGACGTGACGGATGCCAGGAGGGAGGGGGGGTGAAGGCGTGGAGGGGGCGTGAAGAGGGAGGAGTGAAGGGCCGTTGGGGAAGAAAGAGGTTTTGCACCCAAGAATTGACTTTGGGAAGGGACGCGCAAGGCCGGCGTCAAATCAGGAGTTGTTGTGCCTGCGAAATCTCGTTTAGAGTTGGCGCTAAGGCAAGGTACCATGCTGCTTGAGGCAGCGACCGGGTGGCGCCGTAAAGTCTAATGTGTGCCTGTCTTCGGCAGTGGGCAAGGCCTGCCGATCATCAGGCCGATGCTCTCTACTGTGTAAGGTACTTGTACACGCACGACATAGTGCATGAAGCATTTGGCTTCATCTCTCGTGCTCTGGCCTACAGACATGCTGCATGTGGCTATTCTGCAGACAAGCAGCCGATCAAGTACTCGACACAACTACGCTTCCCATTCCATCCATCCATCCAATGCTCGCTTTTTGCACCATTTCCGCCTTCACGTAATGCCTCAGAGTCATATACATTTGTCCCTCCTATGCATCACCACCGTTGGGGAGTAGCTGGTATTCCCGCCCTCCCACCTAGAGAGTTCCGTTCAGGTATCACTGCGCAGCCCGGCTCTTGGGCCTGCCACTTCCCATCCTCCTGGGCTCGGGCCTCTTCAAATGCTCAGCAGGGATCCAGCTCTCATCGTACGCCTTGGCACCGGTCGTGGTGGCAGGTCCATCTGCACCAACGACGGCCACCTGCTCGGTGGGATCGACCTTCTTGCTGCCGCCGGAGGAGCGCTTGGCTCGCTCGCCGCCCTTGCCGCCACGACGCTTCTGGGGGAAGAGGGTGGTGATCCAGGTGTTGTAGATGAAGTAGCACGTGCCTCCAAAGGCCGCGGCGAGGAAGAGGTAGAGGAAGATGCTGGGAATTGAAGTCGTCAGTAACATCCTCACTCGAATGGAGCCTGCGATGAAACATACATCTGCGGGTCGAACAGGGACACCGGCGCCTCGACAATGGACACGGTCTCGTTGAACAACATGTTGCTGTAAATGCCGCCCTCGCTGCTCTGCAGGATGGCCATCAAGGCGAGGGTCAAGTCCTGCGGGTGCAGCTCGGTGGCGAAGCTGTAGGTGATGCTCTCGCTCGCGCCCGCGGGGATCTGCACGCCATACCGGCTCTGCGTGAGGTTGCGCACGACGACGGGCGGGTCGGGGGCGCCGGGGGCGCCGGCGGGGGTCAGGAGGGAGCCGAGGATGAACTGCAGGGAGATGGGCTGGGGCTCGTGGTTGGTGATGTCGACGACGCAGCGGGTGGCGTGCCCGTTGACCAGCTTCACGCCGAACACCTCGGCATCGGGGAAGAAGGCTTTGACGTCGATGTTGAGGTTGGGCGTTTGCGCTTTGTTCGCCGGGTCGGCTGGGATTTCTTCAAACTCCTCGACCTGTGGGAGCTAGGTGTTAGATGGGCTTTCCCATGCTGAGAGCGGGGAAGGGGGGTTTCGAGGACGGGGTGGTACGCACCGCAATGCCTTCGGGAAGCTGGATTTCGGCGGCCAGGGCGCGCCAGAAGGTCAGCGCGAGGGCGAGGAAGCGTACGGCGACCATGATGACGTGGATGTGGGTGTGGATGTTCAATGGAGAGGGATGTCAAGGGAAGGGGAGAGGAGGGCGAGGGTTAGGTGGCATCAAAATTGTGTGGAGGTGCCACGCTCGGGCCGCACAATGGCGGCGTCTCAATCACATCTCGACTTCTGGCCAGCCTTGGACGAGTTTCTCTTCAACATAACTTGCAAGATCAGAGTGATTCAGGATACGGCAATGCCGGGATGCAGAGACATAGACCTCCTTCTGGATTCTTAGACACCGTCGAGTTTTGGTGGGTTCGTGAAGGTGGGTTCGGGCATGGGAGCCATCAACCAGCAGTACTCGATCCTGGCAACTCTCACGATTCATCACCGCATTATCAACTCAAGGCTACCTTCGACCATGAAAGTATCACATTTTCCTTCTCCCCCTTCGCAATCTCGATCTCACCGCATCTCCCTGGCCAACGCCGTTCGATTCGAGTGGAGAATCCAGTGTTCTCGCCAGAGCACATCCCCCCACGCCACATACTCTTCACGTGTCCAGGCTTGTACCACGGCCTTGCATGCGCTTCTTTCTTCACGTAGCCACTCACATCACATGCTGCCTTGGTCGTGTCATCTGACTCTCGCCACATGTGTAGAATGCAGAAGCAGTGGCTGTGCGCGGCTTAGCCGTTGGGTGATTGTCGCAGCCTCGTGTAACTGCGGCAGGTCCTTCTTGCTCGAGCACTCCCCTCTCGAAGACTCTCGAGGATATGACCTCTCACATCATCACACACACCCCATCAACACTCCACAACCTTCGTGGACAACGACATTGATTTAGGCTGAAATCTGGTTGCAACATCCCACGCCTTCCCCGTCCGCTTCCCCACATCCGCCCCAGACCCTTCTTTCGCGTCCCGTTTCTGCTCAAGCTTTTAACTCCACCACCACTGCAAGTCGCACAACCCGCCAGCTCTGCTCTCTCGGCTGGCCACGGCTTACCCTCCTCCACCTCCCACCTCCCCCTTACCACCACCTCACGACCAGATGGACCACAGCCTCCGCGGGTCGTCGAGCGGCGGCGACGCGCAGCTCGACACCCCGCCGCCTGGCCGCCCGCTGACCAACGCCCAGGCCGCCCAGGCCGCCCTCCACCAGCGCACATATCAAGGTAAGCAGCCAGCACCCCTCTCGGCTTAACACCACACCCACCTAATAACCACCTCTCCTCCTCCACAGCATGCATCCCGTGTCGAAAGCGCAAGGTGCGCTGCGACCTCGGCTCCGTCGATAACCCCAGCGACCCGCCGTGCGTGCGCTGCCGCCGCGAGTCCAAGGAATGCTACTTCTCCGCCACGCGCCGCAAGAAGAAGACCGGCACCGACGACGCCTACTCCGACACCGACGAGACCGTCTTCAAGGTCGAGAACGGGCGCAAGCGCGTGCGCCAGTCCGAGGGCTACGAGCCCGAGAAGAGTGTGGAGCTGGAAGAGGCCCCGCGCACCCCGGGCGGCTCGATTGGACAGACGCAGCCGCTGCGCAGACCCGCCGGCCCCAAACCCGTGCAGTACAATGAGGAGGACCAGAAGGCTAGTGAACAGACGGTGTCTCTGCTGCAAGCCACGGAAATCCATGGCGGTCACGATGCGCTGAAATTGCTGGCCGAGGCGGCGCGGAAGGGCTCGAGAGAGTCCGGCCCGCGGCCTGGGTTGACCGGCCTCTCGCCCTCTTCCCTCCCCTCCGCCACCAGTCCGATGATGGAGAGGCCCGGGAGTATGACCAACGGCCCAATGGCGGTGTATGTGACTTTGGCCCCTCCCGCGCCAGACTCCAAGCTGACACTGCGCAGACTACAGAATGACCCAATCTGGAAAACACCCATCAACCCGACCAGTCACGCCAGCGACCCCATCGACACGGCAGCCTACAACTCCGCGCTGAAGGCCTGGGAGCGCTTCCGTTTCGTCCGTGCGGGCTGGTTCCGTGCAAAGGAAGCCATCGATTACATCGACTACTTCTACCGCCACCATGCCCCCTTGACCCCCGTCGCCCTCCTCGACTTTCGATCATACGCGAAGCACGAAGAACTGCTGACCAACGAACCGATGCTCACCATCACCATGCTGCTGATAGCTTCTCGCCACATGCAGCTGGAGGGACCGGGCTCGGTCTCCCGCCCATATTCCATTCGTAAGCCCGTCTCATCCCTGCCATCCATACTCGCCACTAACATCTTCCAGATCAAAAGCTGTGGACATATCTCAGCGGCATGATCAATCGCATCCTCTGGGGCCAAGAGCAATTCGGTGGCGGCTTCTGCGGCGCTGGCGGAGAGCCGGGGTGCGATGTCAACCCCCTCACACGAAAAGGCCTCCGCACCCTGGGCACCATTGAGTCCCTCGTCCTGCTCACCGAATGGCATCCCCGAGCGATGCACTTTCCCCCCGACGAGGCTGACGAAGAACTCATGGTCCCCGAAGATCCCAGCCATCTGTTCGATCCGAGCGAGAATGGGCCCGAGAACAAGGGGATTGGCGGCCAGCGGATGGACGCATGGCTGGAACCATGTTGGAGAAGTGATCGCATGTGCTGGATGTTACTGGGCCTGTCTATGTCGCTCGCATTCGAGATCGGCGTCTTCGACTCCGGCGAGTGGCAGCGGCATGCGCGCAGCTCCGACGGCCAGCCGCTTTCCGCCGAGCAACTCCAACGCTACGATCGCCGCCGCCGGAACGTGCGAAACCTGTTACTCGTGTACGTGACGCAAACGAGTGGCCGTCTGGGCCTCACCTCCCTGCTTCCCAACGGCTACTCCAAGCCGGAGGACAGCGACTTGTTCCGCCAAACGCTCAATCAGCACTCCAGCATCCACGAGACGGATCTGCACTTCTGGCTGCGCATGGCCCACTTGATGCGCGAGGGCAACCACAAGATCTACGCCAACAAAGCCTTCACCCGCGACCTCATTAAGAATGGCGACTACAAGGCCGTGCTGCACGCCTTCCAGGTGCCGCTTCGCCAATGGCGCCTCGACTTTGACCAGTGCGCCATCATCCCGCGCTACATGCGGTACATCCTCGAGATCGAATACGAGTACTGCCGGGTGTACATCAACGCGCTCGCGCTTCAGGCCGTGGCCGAGCGGTGTGCCAATGCGCAGCCCTTCCAAAACTCCACCGATGCGCCCGATCACGCGGCCCGCGCGGGCAGTGTGCCCAACGGTGTGCGCCCCGATGCCGGCGCCATCCCTCCGCAGATGCTCGCAAAGCTGCTCGGCGGTGACCGACACTACATGCTGCAAGTGGGCGACGCCGCACGCAACCTGCTCAAAGTAGTGGTATACGGGCTGTACCCGGGGGAATACCTCAAGCACGCCCCCGTACGCACCTACTTCCGCATCATCAGCGCGTCCATTGTGCTCCTCAAATCCTTCTCCCTCGGTGCGACGGAAAGCGACGTATCGGACTCGCTGCAGCTCATGGACAAGACGGTCGACGCGCTGCGCAACTGCATCGTCGACGACGTGCACGTCGCCTGCCGCTTCGCCGACCTGCTCGACACCCTCACGCAGAACCTCAAGCCGCGCCTCGTGCGCATCGCCGCCGACGGCCGCTCCAAGAGCCGCAGAGCCTCCATCTTCCCCGGCGAAGCCAGCACAGCAGGTCTCGAGCAGCAGACATCCGCCGCGCAAACCACCGCCTCCTTCAACGACGCCAGCCAGAAACTGCAAGCGCACCAACGCCACCCTTCCTCCAACACCCCCTCCACCCTCCACCCACACGCCAACACGCAGCAATGGCCCTACAATAACGGCCTCCCCCTCGCCACCAACCCCTCCGACCCCCTCTACGGCATCTCCTCCGACATCTACGACCTCACCGACGCCGCAAATAACCACTTCTCCATCATGCCCCCGCCCTCCTTCGCCTGGTCTTCCCCTACCAACTCTCAAAACCTCGCCCTGTCCGCCACCTCCCCCGGCGGCACGAATATGTACGGTTTTGGCACTGGTGGACCTGGCGGCACGGCGGAGGATTGGTTCGCGCTGGATTTGAACCCCATCATTAATTCGGATGCGGGGGGGCAGGGGCAGAATGTTGATGTGAGTAGTACAATGTATGGGCCGCAGATTGGGGATACGGATATGTTGGAGTTGTTGCTTGGGGGTGGGGGAGGGACGGGGCAGAACTTTTAGGGCGGTGGAAATGATGGATGGAGAAAGATTCCTTCTGTCTGATTATGATTATGAGCGAGGAAGTTCTGCTTCTGCTAGAGGTGGCTTTACATGTTTTCATCCCAAAGGGGCATCATGTGTCTACTATATATATCCAAAGATAGCATCGAGCAATCGCATCACCATCCACCCCCCCTCTTACCTCGCAATCGTATAAGTACTCGCCAACCTCTCCATCAAATGATCCCGCGCAGTCAACACCTTCCCGCCTCGGGAGCCCGTCTTGCCCGTCCGCGCCGCAAACTCCTCCACCACCGCGCTAGGCACAGCCTCCAACCTCGCCTCGTCCAACGGATGGCAGAAATACGCAATACTATACCGATCCCGCTGCTCCCCTCCGCCAGGCGGGAAAACAACGCGATGCACCGTCGACTTGAACAATCCGCCCGTCCAATCTTCCAGCAGATCCCCGAAATTGATCAAAATGGGGAGCGGTTGGTCGGTGATGCTAGGTGGTGGAGGCTGGCGCGACGGATCAACAGGCACACCCGCCCAGTCGCCTCCCTGCGTGCGAATTTCCAGCCCCGTTTGCCCCGGGAGCTGGAAGAGCAGCGTCACGGACCCGAAATCGGAGTGCGCGCCCGCGCGGATGTCGATGTCTGCTTCGTACTCTGGTGTGCAGGGGTAGTACAGCAGGCGCAGCACGGTGCCGGATTGGCCGCAGGTGGAGTCGTGGCGGGAGGTAAACCATTCTTCGTCCGGGAGGGCGAGGGCGCGCGCGAATTGCCGGAAGAGAGTTAGGCAGAAGGTGTGGCAGGCGGACTGGAAAGCTATGATATCGCTCGCGTGAGGCTGCAGGGGTGTTGGGAGGGGTTGTTGGAGTTTGCCGTTGATGGGTTCGCCTATGTTGAACGCTCTGAGGCACCATCGTCACACATTAGCAACCACAGACAGCCTGTCGACAGAAATAATACAAAAACTCACTCCTTCACATCCGCCCTAACCTGCACCCCCGGATCCAACGTCTCGACCCCACGACTCAACCACCCATGATTCTTGCCCGCGACATTACTCGCAATCGACACCCGCTCCTTCACCTCCGTCGGCGCCGCGAAAAACGTCTGCGACAGTTCGAAAAGATGTGCGATTTGCGCGGGCGGGATGCCGATGTCGGGCGTGTTTTCGATGAAGACGAAGCCGTACTGCGAGGCGGCGGAGAGGAGTTGTGCTGGAGCGGAGGGGTTGGTGGGGGAGATGTTGATGATGGGGAGGGAGATGTTGGTGTTGGTGGGATTGAGGGACCCCATGGTGGGTTGCGTGTGTGGATTGATTGCTTTGTTGGGGAGTGCATGGGATGGATGAGGTGAGGTTGATATCTGAGGTGGAAGTCGATATCTATCAGCTTCCTTCCTGTTTTGGCAGCATGGTCGAACCTGGCATATCACCAACACGCAACATCATTTCGCAATGTCAAAGCGTAGATGGAAAAAGTGGCAGACTAAGAGTTACGACGACTACTCGAGACAATCTATGAAAAGCAAGTGGAAACAACGCCGCACTCTGCATGCAATCCCTCTCGTTGCGAGTCGCATGCGTCCAACCCTCCCTTTGCTTTCCCTCCAATGCCGCCCTGCCTTGAGAAAACCCAGGTGGGATTCTCTATGTCGGCCTCCGGTACGACGTTGCGATCGCCTCGGACAAGTGGCAAAAGTGTAAGGTGTGATTAAAGCGCTTAGTCGTACAGATCCTCCTCTCCGGCGCCTGTGTCACGAGTCAGTCTCAAGTCACCAATATTAGTAGATGCGAGGCTAGACATACCGTTCTGCTGCTGCGTCTCCGTATTGCCATCCACGCCACCCTCGGGGAAGCGGAAGAAGGCACTGCCACCAGCACTGTTCTTCATGCTCTGCGCAAACGCCTCGTAGCGCCTGATCTCGGTGTCGGTGACGGATCGGCGAGCCAGGCTCATGGCCTCCTCGAAATGCCTCTTCGTCAGCTCCGGCACCGGGTCGTCCTCCTCCAGGTCTTCGACGTCCATCTTCGTGTCGTCACCCGCGGCAGCTTCGCGAGCCTTCTCCTTCTCAATGGCAAGGCCGATGCTCTCCTTGATGGCGAGCTTGACGGCACGCTGGGTGATGAAACCCAAGTCCGCACCGGAGAAGCCGTGGGTCTTGCTGGCAATGTAGGCGAGATCCACACCCGGGCTGACGGGCGTCTTGCGCAGCTGGGCCTTCAGAATCGACTCACGACCTGGCTGGTCGGGAAGCGGAACGTAAACGAGCGTGTCGAGACGTCCGGGACGGCAGAGCGCGGCGTCGAGCTGCTCGGGTCTGTTCGTCGCTCCGATGACAAAGACGTTCTTCTTGCTAGTCATGCCGTCCATCTCAGTCAGAAGCTGGTTGACCACACGGTCCGAAGCACCGCCGGCGTCGCCCACCGATCCACCACGGGACTTGGCGATGGAGTCCAACTCGTCCAGGAACACGACGCAAGGAGCAGCGGCGCGAGCCTTGTCGAAGATGTCACGGATGTTGCTCTCCGACTCACCGAACCACATGGAAAGCAGCTCGGGGCCCTTGATGCTGATGAAGTTCGCGGCACATTCGTTCGCGACCGCCTTAGCGAGCAGTGTCTTACCCGTACCGGGGGGTCCGTAGAAGAGGACACCACGAGACGGGCTCATGCCGAATTTGAGGAACTTTTCGGGGTGGTCGACGGGGTATTGCACGGACTCGATGAGCTCGCGCTTGACATCTTCCAGACCGCCAATATCCTCCCACCGCACGTTGGGCACCTCGACGACGGCAACCTCGCGGAGGGCAGATGGGTTGGAGATGCCCAGGGCGAAGCGGAAGTTCTCCTGCGTCACACCGAGGCTGTCGAGGACTTCGGCATCGATGGTATCCTCTTCCAGATCAATCAAGTCCATCTTCTCACGAATCTGCTGCATCGCCGCCTCGGAGCAGAGCGATGCCATGTCGGAACCGACGAAACCGTGAGTCTCGGATGCGATCTGCTCGAGGTCGACGTCATCCCCAAGCTTCATGTTCTTGGTGTGGATTTGCAGAATCTCGAGACGGCCAGTGGGGTCGGGAATACCGATGTCGACCTCGCGATCGAAACGGCCGAAACGACGCAGGGCGGGGTCGATGGAGTTGGGGCGGTTGGTGGCGGCCATGACTACCACGTTGGCGCGGGCCTTCATGCCGTCCATGAGGGTGAGGAGCTGCGACACGACACGACGCTCGACTTCACCGTTGGTCTTGTCACGCTTGGGGGCGATGGCGTCAATCTCGTCGATGAAGATGATGGCCGGGCTGTTCTTCTCCGCCTCTTCGAACGCTTTGCGGAGATTGCTCTCCGACTCTCCCGCCATCTTGGACATGATTTCCGGTCCGTTGATGAGGAAGAAGAAGGCACCGGTCTCGTTGGCGACGGCGCGAGCCATGAGAGTCTTACCGGTACCGGGGGGTCCGAAGAGGAGGATACCGCGGGGAGGCTTGATGCCGATGGATTTGAAGAGTGCAGGATGTCTGAGAGGTAGCTCGACCAACTCGCGAACTTGTGCCATCTGCTTCCTGCAGCCACCGATGTCGTCGTAGCCCACCTCGTTCAGCTTGTCCTCCTCATCTTCACGCTGGATCGGGTCGCCTTCGCAGTGGATGACGGTGTCTTGAGCGACGATACCATATTCTGGCGGATCGACCTCGACGACCTTGAACTCCACCGTCCTCATGGCGGCTCTGCAGGTGAACAAGTCGCCTTGTCGGAGGGGGCGGTAGGCTTCGCGGAAGTAGGGGGCGAGGAAGACGTCGAAGAGGGAGCCGGTCAGACCCTCGACCGTATCGGCGAGAGGGAGGACGGCGATGCGTTTGGCGTACTTGATGTCGGGGCAGGGGTTGACGGTGACGACGTCGCCCAGCTTGACGCGCAGGTTGTGTCGGACCACGCGGTTCATGCGAACGGAGCCGTCATCGAGGTCGTCATCGGCGAGGACGATGAGGACGGTGTCCTTTCGCTTCTTGCCCTTGACGAGGACGGTGTCACCACGGAAGAGCTGCAGGACCTCCATGGTGTTGTTGGAGAGGGCGAGGATGGAGTTGTCATCGGTGGTGGCATCGGTGACGATCAAGCTGTTGGGCTTCTTCTTCTTCTTGAGGATGGCGGTGGCGGTGGCATCCTCATCGCGTCTCTCCGCTCCGCTGGGATCATTGTCGAGCTTCACCTTGCGCTTCTCCTGCGCGTGATCGGGTTCTGCAGACATGTTGGATGGTCTGGCGGAGGAAGGTTGATGAGGTGAGGGTGATGGGGTTGGCTGGACTCCTCAACGTGAGGAGGGATGGTGAGAGGTGGTGGCGAGCTCGGCGGTGATGGAGCCTGCGCACAGGGGAGGGGGATTGTGAGGGTGGATGAGATGGAGGTGATGGATTGAAGGAGATGATGATGCTCCAGGGGAGGAGGGGAGGTGGTGGATGAATGTGGGTGGGAGAGAGCGGGTACCTGAGAGAGAGATGGTGAAAGGTGTAGCTTGTGTACCTGATGTAAATCCGAGCGGCGAATGCGGGCGTGCACGGGCCCCGCGGCATGACTTCACCTATCAGCGCCGCCCGTGGGGATGAATAATCCAGAATCACGTCGAAGGCCATCGATTTCCCACCGCACACGTCGCCTTGGCTGCCTGAACAGTCCATTCACGCCACATATTCACTTTGGCGATATGCATTTCTCACGGTCACGTGTATTGGTGAATGCTTTCTGGCTGCACGTGCTCGCACCTTCCACGGCGTAGGACGATGCGAGCGCCATATCGACCGCGTTTGCCGTCGGTAGGTATCAACCATCCAACTCTCAGGCAAGCGACAGAGATTCATCTCCATACTTCTCCTCATCACGTAGCAGCAGCAGCTTGCTCATTGTCTCCCGCTTGATTCCACACTCCTCTCATTCTCACTGCCCTCCGTCTATCCAAATTCACGCTCCGCGAATGGTCTCTTATCAATCATCAATGCTCACCCATTCCGTGAACTCATTCATCACGGCTACATGCACGACTGGACTCTGGCACCAGAAGATAGCACAAGACTGGGCTGTGCTTTCAACAGCCCCCCCTGTGCCATTTCACAGTCCCTATTCACGCAAGCTCTCCTCTTCTATCTCCTCCAAACACACTTCCATTTCCACAAAGTGTACGTCTAGAAATACAAGCAACAGCACTAGACGCCACTTGCGACAATGCATTGGCACGCTATCATGGAGAGATTGAGCCTGGTTGAGGACGCATATTCTGCGGCTTATGACAACCCAGTGGAACATACGGCAGCTCTTGACCATCCCAAAGAACGCAAAGTCCATGAGAGGCCCACGTCCATCCCTCATGGACAGGACAACACCCAAGATTGCTGGCCTATGGATCGACACTCCCATGCCTCCTATTCGTCATCAGAGAGGCTTTCGAGGGCTAGCGACGGCGCCAGTACAGACCACTCACGCAACGACGAAGAGCAGCATTCACAAGTACCAATGCCAACCTCTGCAACAGGCATGACGACCTTCGCCCACGAACGCGCCCTGCGCACTCGCATCCGCGCTAGCAAACTAGTCAGAGACGGCGAATACGACATGAAAAAGTACACGCCAACCTTCATCCACGATTGTCTGATGCTGCCCGGCTCCCTGGCAAACCTCCTCGGCAAGGCAAGTGCACGCCATCTGATTCATTCTCCCACGTACATCCCCATTGCTAACCCGCTTCTAGTCCTCAGCCGAAGACATCATCCACCGCATGACGCCCGCTCTTCTGCACGGTTTCCGCGCTTGCATTCACCCCGAAGATCAGAAACCGTGTCTACTCCCATCTGCCGACTCCTTGGACTACGTGCAAGGCATGGTCATCTTTGGACAAGGTCGCGCGGGTCGAGACCGCATTCACGAGCACTACCGTCCGCACGCCCGACGGGTGAAAGCGCAGGTGGAGATTGATGTGCTCGTTCCTGCTCCTTCCTACCTGCCCGAAGAGCGCTGGAAATTGCAGCGGAAGACGATCTCGGCTCATTTGTGGTTATGGGCGGACATGGAGGCGCTAGACGGACGGACTACTTCATTGTCTCGGAGATGGAAGCTGGAGGATTACCTGGCCGGAGATCTCGCTGACGAAGATGATGAGGAGGAGGAGAAGATTGTGTCAACTGATCTTGACAGCATAGAAGACGAAGGTGGGAGCATAGACGGCGATGCGCCGGACGCAGGCCACTACTTCATCACACAACCATGGGCGCCATGGTCACGAACGGACGTACAGTAGCCCTTCCATCAAGTGAATTCACAACCCTACAAATGCGCCTGCGCCTTCCACGCCTTCGCCACCCACTCCTCCACATCCGCAAGCAACTCCCGCGGCTTCTCCATCGCCTGTATCATCCCATTAGAACAGGACTCGACCAACTGATGGTATGGCAGACACTCACCGCAAAATGCCCTCCACTAGAGTGCTGCCCGTACGCCACCAGATTGCACGTCTGCGCCGCCCAGGTCTTCGGCACGGGGAAGATGTCGCAGCGGAAGAAGGAGTAGCCCGAAGGCTTGGAAACGAAAGGGGGCATCTTGTTGCCGGTTCGCCCGAAGAGCTGTGGCATTGTCAGTCCCTTGGCTGGCGGATCATGGCAATGCCAGGGAAGAGGGGCCAGAGGAGGAGGAGGAGGAGGACTTACGCCGTTTGCGAGCTGCGCCCTGCGTGGTCTGATTTTACCCGCGTTGAACTAGTGCGTGTGTTGCATTAGCTGTGGTGTCTCTCATTTCATCGAGACGATGGGGCTGCGAGGAATGCACGCACGGAACGATAATTGTACATGTTCCTCGACATGGTGTCCGTGAGCCAGTACAAGGTGACGCCTTCGAGGATTTTGTCCAGAGGCGGATCTTCGTCCGTCCACTCGAGGAACTTCTCGCCGACCCTGTGAAGCTGCTTTTAGCATACGATTGCATGCATGGGTGGCCGCTGTACGCACCAGCTCAACACGGCCAACGGACTGGAGCTGAGCGCATGCCCGATCGTCGCCGTCCTCGTGCCGTGCTCCGCAGCGTATGCGTAGCCTGTATTGGCGAACTCGTCCCCGTTGTTCAACGCCTTCTTCTCCAGCGCATCGACCTCGAGCTGCTCTGCATTCTCCGGCCGCGGCATGCTGATCATGTTGAGACTTGCAGGCGCTCATCATCAGCACATTCCCATCGTCATCATCGGAGAAAAGGGAGAGACGTACTGCATCCCCTTACAAGCCTCATAGTTCAACGCCAGAAGCCGACAAACCGCACTCCCAATATCCCCCCCTTGAACCAAATACCCACTCCCAAACCCCAGCCCAACAAGCAACTTGTCCATCACAAAACACACATTCTCCAGCCCGAAGTCTGTCTCCACCGGCGGACCCGAGCTGTACGCGAAGCCCGGGAGACTAGGCACGATGAAGTGATACGGCATCTCCTCAGGCCGCCACTTCTTCCGCGCAATATCCAGCAGCTCCAGGAACTCCAGAAACGAGCCGGGCCAGCCGTGGAACAAAGCGATAGGCACGGCATCGCGCTTCTGCGAGAAGAGCGCAACAAAGTGGACGTCGAGCGGATTGCCGTTCTGGTCCGCGAGCGAGGCGGTAAAGTTGGGGAACGAATTGATGTACGCCTCGTGCGCGCGCCAGTCGAATTTGGACAGCCAGTGGGTTTTGGCGTTGCTGAGCCAGTCGCGGTTCATGCCGTAGTGTCTGCCTGCGGAGGTGTTTTCGAAGGTGCTGATGCCGATGGGCGAGAGGGAGAGCAGGTCTTTCATGTGTTGCAGTTTCGTCTCGTCCACATGCGCTTGGAAGGGCTTGATGGTGAGGGTGCTGGAGGCCGGGGGCCGGCCGTATTCGTTGGGTGCCATGTTCTGGAGTTGCGAGTATGAATTACGAGGTTCAATGGAGGAATGGTGGATGGAGGGGATGGTATCGATTTGATGAAGTCGGTCAAGCTCGGTAACTTACAACGACATCGCGCGTCCGAGGCTGGCTCTATAACAGCTGCCCATCCATGTCGTGTCGACCTGATATTGAACTCCGCTCGTAGTGTCGTAATCCGACGGTGTCCAAATGAGTCAAGAAGATCGACAGCTCATGCCACACAGGAGTTGGAAGGGATAACAAAGCACAAGGCTGCAACACCGCGACATTGGTAATCAAGCTCTAGGTCTGACGCGCTGCTTAACAACTCGGGGTAGGCAATAATGCAGCTATGCCATGGACACACTGACGAGGAGCGTCTAGAACGTCTCCATAGTAATATCGAGAACCGGTTCCCAGCCAGAACCTCACGTAGGCCGAGCGAGGCACCCATCCCCTATCGATCCAGCCCATCAAACTCCACCAAATGCCGCACAACCCTCACCACCTCCTCCTCACTCACCTCCAACCCCGGCTCATCCACCTTCCTCGCCAACAAATCATCCAACATCATCCTCAACCTCGACACCAACACCCCGATCCGCGCCCACCCGCGTACCCTCACCCACCCATCAACCAACAGCCCGCGCCCCTGCGGATCAATCGCAATCGACCCCGCAAACATGAGCAAGCTGTACACATTGAACGGCGTCAACTCCCGCACGAACACTTTGCTCGTCGCCATTTTGGTGAAGTAGCTCATGTACACGCTATGCCCGGGGAAGGCCTGGGCGTCGAAGAGGGTGGAGCCCGGGTGCACGAAGACGCGGCCGTTGTCCTCGTTGAAGAATTTGATTTTGCGCGCTTCCGGGTCGAGCTCGACGGCGCCAGAGGAGGAGGCGGCGAACTTCTTGTCGGGGATGTCAATGCGTGCGAGCTGAGGTTGGAAGGAGGCGGCGATGAGGGCGCGGAGGAGGGCGGGGTTGTTGTTTTGCCGGTTCAGACTGGCGTAGGTTGTTGAGTCGTGGGTGCCGGTTGCGGGGAGGAAGCCGATTTCTTGGAGGGAGGAGAGGTATTGCGTGCGGTTGGTGGAGATGTCGAGGAGGGTTTGGTGGTTGAGGAAGTTGTCGTCGCACCATCTTCGAACCGTCGAGGTTGACTCTTTTGACCGCCGGTCTGTCCATTCCTCGTAAGCTCGTAAATCGCACAACAGGTCGCCATGCCCACGCCCAAACGCAGAACGAGCCGCCTTGGACGCATCTCGCTTGCCCTCGGGATTAACAAAGGGACTCTTGACCGTCAAGATGGCAGCAATGGTCAGCATGGCGTCCAAGCATGAGAACGCAGACCCATAGACGAGCAGCTTGCCGCAACGTAAGTCCGCTGGGATAAGCGAGAGGTGTCGCCCGAGAGCAGTCATTTCGTTATTCGCCAGAGCTCCCATGCGGTCCAGCAGAAGCAAAGCGCCATCCACGGCCGCCGTCTCAGGTGGCGTGAGAGCCGACGCGAGGAAGGCCGGCACGTCAACCACGCCCATGGCCTTGACCGAAAGACACAGTTGCTCGAGCGGCACCCGTCGAATCTCCGGATCCGGTCGCTCGGCCATCTTCGACTCTGCCGACTTGGTATACAGTTTGTAGCATGTGCCGGCCCGCACTCTGCCTGCTCTGCCCCGTCGTTGCTTGCATGCTGCCTGCGATGCCCAGACTTCCGATAGCTTCACCATGTTGTTCGCAGGATCGAAGCTAGTCTCTTTCACGCGGCCGGTGTCGATGACGGCGACAATGTCGTCGATCGTGATGGACGTCTCGGCTACGTTGGTCGCGGCAATGACTTTTCGCATGCCGCTGGGAGCTCTCTTGAATACTAATCTTTGCTGAGAGCTTTGCAGCGAGGCATGTAAAGGCAGAGCATGCAGACCAGGTACATTCCGCAGCGCACGAAGGGTTTGCTCAATTTCTCCAACACCAGGGAGGAAGATCAAGATTCCGCCGTCCGCATCTCCGAGGTCGCTGTCGATCTGTTGCACCGTGCGAGCGATGAGCTCGTAGTTGATTCTCGTTCCAACGGCTCTCAACGCCTTCCCAACCGATTGTGGAGGCGGAGGGCCATTGCGAGGATCATGGACGGGCGGCGTGTCGTAGCCCGATTCATCATCGCCGACTCTTCCAAAGCCCGTAGCGCGCACAATCTCATCCAAGTAGATGTCGTGAACTGGATGCGTACGCCCTTCAATCCCGACTCGGCCAACAGTGCAAGTGCCCTGGAAATACCTCTCGAAGACATCTGCGTCCAGTGTAGCACTCATCAGCACGAGCCTCAAGTCCTTGCGCTTGCCGAGTACATCACGTAAGAGCACGAGCAAGAAATCGGTGTCCAGACTTCGCTCGTGGACTTCATCCAGCACGACATGGCTGACGTCTGCCAAAGAGCGAACGACGTCCTCGGCTTTGCCGCCAGAGGTCTGAAGGCGGCGTAGTAGGACACCAGTGGTGACGAAAGTGATTCTCGTCACCCCATGCTTCTGTCGCGATTCTCCACGGATGGCGTAGCCGACCTCGTCACCGACTCTTCCGCAGCGCTCATCCGCAACCCGATCCGCGAGTCCGAGAGCAGAAATCCGGCGTGGTTGAGTACAAATGATATTGGCGTGCTCGCCGAATCCGCGACGAATCAAATCGTCAAGGATGAATTGCACGCTTTGGGTGGATTTGCCCGATCCCGTCTCTCCACTGATGATGGTCACCTGCTTCGACACCACTGAGGAGACGATGGCGTCTCGGAGCTTCCAGGCGGGGAGGTTCTGCCGGGTTTGTAGCATCCGCTGTTGTTCTGGACTCCCCTGCTTAGAGGTCCACTCGACTAGCATACGTTCACTGATGGGACTCTGTGGTGCCCACGAAATGCTCTTCGGCTGCCTACGCCGCATAGGCTTCTCTCGCGGGGCTTGCGAAGACGCTTCAGCTGAGGTAGAAGCGGCGCTCGCAATCTCACTCAGGCGACCGGGCTTCTCGATGATGCCGGGTATTTCTCGCTCCAGCCAGTCGATGATGTGGAATAGCATTTGTTCGCCCAGGAGTGTGTCTTGCGCATACAAGAGACATTGCTTGAGAATGCTGAGTCGGATGTATGCGGGGAGTTCAGCGTCGATTGCAAGGACTGGTGGTCGATGAGGATATCCTGCTTGTGGACGCTGGATGCGGATGTGGATCGGTTTCCCCGTAGTTGTCTTCCGTTCCAGTGTGACCACGCTTATTCTTTCGTGATTCGTGAACGCTTCTCCGAGAATTGCCGCAATGGCCTCCAGTTCTTCGTCCCAAATCTCCGGGGAGCCGGCTTGATCTGTTGGCTGCAAACGATCGGCAAGCAGGCTCTGCTGCAGAATCTCGGCCGCGGCGTACTCGTCTCCGCCAGCTTCATCCACGGCATTAGCGCACACCTCCGGGGCATATCCACCCACGGCAAGGTGTTTGATCTTCGCCTCCCTCTTCAGATCTCCACTGGCGAGGCTGACCCCGGCCAGGTAATTCTCTGGAAGTGCCCACGGCGGCATGTCGCTCTCGGGCACATGGATCAAGAGCCACTCGAGACACTCCTCGCGATCCTTGCACATCTCCGTCGCCTCTTCCACATGGCTCCTGCGGAAGCCCAGCTTCGACAAGTCGTCGCAGATCCGCTGCACCTCTACTTTGCTCAGCGTGATGTTGTTGGAGTTCCACGCACCCTTGTGCCGAATCAGGCGCTCGACCTGTCGACGAGTCTTGATCCCCATTTCCACCTTTGGCGCTCGGTTCCACCCCTTCAACACGTCTCGACTCTGCGTTTGGCCGTCCAATGCAACGACCTGGTGCTTCTTATCCTCTTCAATGCGCTTGACTCGATCTGCCCTAGCCTTGTCCTTGGCGACAACTGCCTCATCATGCTGTTTCTTCGCTAGAAAGGGGTCGGCTTCGTAGAGGTAGCCCTTGCCTTGCTCGACGGCCTCCTTCTTCATCGTCTCGAAATCGCCTTTCCACAAATCACGATACTGCGGCGGCAGCATCATATGGATGTTCTTCATGTTGCTGACACGATACAGCGCATAAGCAGCAGCGAAATGTCGAGCCTCCACCGCGCTCTCCCGCGCCGCGTGTTCCTTGACATATTCCGCGGGCGGCAGAATGGGTGCCAGCGCGGTGATTTCCTGAGTCTTTGGGTGCTTTTGCCGTAGGATGACGGCGCCTGTCCAGCCCTTAGGATTTCGATGAACGGTGTATTCGGGCTTCTCCCAGCGTTGTCTCTGCGCGAGTTCATTGAAGAGCGTCATAGGTAGTTTGCCAGTCCACGACGAGCCCGCAATCAAAGTCCTCGTGTCCGGTTTCTTGGGGGCGTCCGGGTCGGAGGGTGCAGCATTGCCCTTGCTTCCGGACGCTGCAGTATCTTTGGGAGCCTTGGTCTTCTTCTTGTCTGGCGCATCGTCTTTGGCGAAGACAATGAAGGAGGTGTCTTCGCCGTTGGCAGTCGCTGCGACTGGCTTTTTGCCCTTGTTCCCCGGCCGCGGAGCGTGCGGTTTATTGACCATACTTGTTGCTGAGCGTGCGTGGTTCTGAGTTTTCACCTGCACTTTATCATCTTTGAAACCCCAATGCCCTCAAGTACAGGGAAAAGATCAAGAGTTCGACGGCCGTAGACGTAATTCTCATCCAAAGTTGGCGAGGAGGATCAAAAGATCAAGTAGACGGTTCACTATCCTTAAGTGCGACTCTCAGCGATGCATGCAGCGTGTTCGATTTCCCAGATGCAAAATGTTAACCTCTCGTCACCTGATGTCAGAGGGAGAGCCTCAAATGCAAACAAGAAGATTGGCAAGTGGCAAAAGCAAAAGAAATTGGCGACGTGAGCAGGACTCGAACCTGCGCCCCCGAAGGGAATTGATATCAAAGTGGAAACCTCCAGCACATGCCTGAGGTCAATTCGAGTCAATCGCATTAACCGCTTTGCTATCACGCCAGTAAAGGTTTTTTTCAAACGCGAATTGCAGCATCTGATTCGTTGGACGCGAGACGAGATTGTTTATGTAAAACGTACTGAAGGAGCCGATCAAACTCCGGGACGGAGGACTCGAGGACAAAAGACATCGCCCGAGCGACGACTCTTGTCCCGGCAGTCGTTGACGTCTCGATATGAACATTCGAGGTCTCTCAAGACACCATTCGATCGCCACGCCAGCAACACCATCACCCAATGTCCCACCCTCAGCCGCCCCAGCGTCAACCCACCGTCACCGAAACCGAGCAATACGTCAAAGTCCTGCACAACACCGCTCTGGTCGCGCTCGTTGCAGGCCCAGTCTTGATCCTCCTCCCGCCGCGCAAATTCGACTTCTACACGTTCGGCTTGTGCGGCGTGACACTTTACTCTGCCAACTATCTCGTGCGCGAGAGGAGTGGGAGAAGCATTTGGCAGCACGTCAGTCAGCGGCAGCGACGTGAGGAGCCGTTGAGGGTGGCGAGTGGACCTTCTGCTGAGCTGGCGAGGTTGGATCAAAGTGTGATTCGAGATTCGCGCGGATTGCAACAGCATGAACCGACGGTGACGGAACAGGTGCAGAATCAACGGGAGGTGTGGAAGGTGCAGCGCGAGAGGGAGATTAAAGAGGATGTTGAGGAAGGGAAAGGATTTGGAGATATGATTATGGACCAGATCTGGGAGGTGTGGAATTGGGGAAAGAAGAAGGACGATGATGACGATTGAGGCATGATCCGCCGTGCATTCTGATCGACCGAGCGGGCCTCTCTGCAAGATCTTCAACCCATCGATTCGCAGCGTGCGTGAAGGCTGCGCCCACCAACCACAATGGTATCCGAATCTGGCTCCCCCCTTTCGACAGAAGGAGTCACCATCCTGCCCTGATCAGAGGCGCCCATGGCCTTCTCCACCGCCTTCTGCACAATGAACTCCAGCTGCTCCACGCTGATCGGAATCATCAACCGCGCCCCTTCAGCCATCCGTGCATGAGGATGTCCACCAGACACAGTCCCCCCTCCATACTCCATCGCATACGGCGCACTCCCAGCCCGAACAAACTCAACCGCTGGTCCAGCCTGATACCCAAGAGCAGGCGCACTAGTCGGCATCGCACTCCTCCCCCCCGCTCGTCCCAACCTCTTCAACCCCTCCACCGTCTTCCTACAATCCCCCGAATACGGCGCATACCTCCCCGCCGCCTTCCTCCCCGCCCCCGCCGCCTTCCCCTTCACCCTCGCCAGTCCGCCCGCCTGCGGCTTCCCCAAATACTGGCCCTGGCGATGAAAGACAAGCGGCGCCTCTGCTCCGCCGGAAACGTGGGGGTCGAAAGAGGGGCCGCCGGGGGGCTCGGAGTAGGAGCGGCGGCTGAAGTGGTGGCGGAGGGGAGAGGGGTGCGTGCTGTGGGTGTTGTAGTTTTGGGCGTCGAAGGGTGGGTGTGGAGGTGGGGTCGCGCTTCGTTGTTCGATGGAGGGGTGGAAGTACGGTGTTGCGGCGCTTGTGGTGCAGTGTGGAGACGGATAGGCGAAGTTGTGTCCTTCGTTGGAGGGTGGGTGAGATGCGATCTGCTGTCCGACATCATCGACCCCCTGGTGCTCGGAGGCAGGAGCAGAGGCAGAAGAGCCATCATCGAATCCAAATAAATCCCAATACTCCGATCCACCGTCCGCCATCGTCCTCTCCCGCACCATCCCTCCATCTCCGTTGTCCCCATCATCTACGAGTGCACTACCAGGCGTCGAAGGCGTAGTAAACAGCCCCGTGTCGACTGCTCCGACTTGATGCCCGTGTTGGTGCTGCCGGTTGTCGAAGCCGGCGTTGAAGTCTGCGAGAGCGGCGAGGTCGGTGCCCATTGGACTTTCGCCGCCGTATTGCTTCCACTCTTCCTCGAAGAAGGAGGGATGGGGTGGTGGTGGGTGTTGAGGGGGAGGGGCGGTGAAGGGCTCCGTTGAGTGGGCTTGGGACATGGTTGTTGTGGGAGGGGTGTTTGTATCGTGTTGTTTGGTAATCACTGTGATGCCAGAGAGGAGCTGAGTGATTGATCAAGGTGAGAAGTGTAGCGGTGGAGGAGAGTAAATGTAGGTTTCTAGGTATTCAGGATGCATGTATTCGTTGCCCCTGTCTTGCTGGAACCAGAGACTGCTCGCTCTGCTGCGGTGACGCCGTCATGAACGAGTGAAACAGGAACATACCGATGGATACGTGGACACTCTGAGCTCCCGTCTCGCCGGGATGGCTCTTCGGCAACATGCATGAGGACTGGCACTTTCGGTATCGAAGTGAGTGGATGGGGAAGAGGGCGGGAAAATGGACGGTGGAACAGAGAAATTGCAACAGAGACGTTGGTCTCGGGACCCATTCGCGTTTGCAAGTCTTTGATTTCATTTTCTCGTTCGTCTCGAGAGCGGACGGAGTCGCTCCAATAGCCAGCGTTTGCTCATCGGGTAGAGCAATGACCACCCGAGCCGTCAATCATGCAGCCAGCCTCCCGGATCCTGTGTCATCCGTTGAGAACGGATCAAGTGGAATAGCTCACCTCCAGGCCAATACTGCCCAACACCCTCTCCCGCTTCTTCAGATCGAGGCTTGCGCCAACACTGACCAACAGATCCTTGACCCTGCACTCCCACAACGCGCCTACCTTACCCTTATCGCTCATCCTGGCCTTCAGCACGGCCGTCGTATCACCCTCGTTGGGTCTGACAGGGGGCCAGTCCGGCCGGATCAAGGCTTTCGCCCACAAGACATCGGTGGGTGTGGAGCGCTGCCGCCACAGTTCGAGGCCGAGCACAACGTCCGATTCATAGCTGTAGACGTTGAAATCGAAGCGCGAGCATAGTGCTAGGTTCGGGCCGGCTTTGATGGCGTAGCTGCTGCTCAGATTCCCCATGAGCGGATTCAAAGTGAGCGTCATGGTGTACGGGAAGCCGGAATGGATGGGAAGAGTGGTGAAACGGAGGCCCGTGGACATGCCTCCGCTTTTGTTGACGGGAGAGAAGTACACCTCCGCACCGGCGGAGAGGCGGCCATTTTGGTGGTCCCAGGGATGTCGGGGGGTTCGATAGGAGATGTTCTGCTGCTCGACAGGGTAGCGCGGATCGTAGCCGAAGTTGTAAAGGGCACGGAAGCCCAGCAGACTAGAGTCGGTGGAGTAGAGATACTCCGTGCTGTATTTGCCGTAGTCGTTTTGAAGAAGTGCGAGCACTGTGCCTGAGTTGGGGAGTGTGGCATCGCTGACACAGTTGATCCGTAAGAGACGGGTTGGGGTCAGACGGCGGAGATAGAGTGCTTCGAGCGTGCTGGCGGGGAGGTGCAGGCGGCCGTAGAGTAGAGTGTCTTTCTTCCAGACCCGGCCTTCGCTCCCTTCCATATCGCTCAACGGTTCAATGGATTCCGGAGGGGCCTTTAGTTGCTGTAGATGTCGGTAGCCGCGCACGAGTTGGCGAAGATTGACATCGCTGCTCTTCCCCACCACTCTCAGGCCAAGACTGGAGTACAGAAAGCTGAGACTGCCATCGACCACTCCAGCGCTGCCGAGGGTGTAGCTGGTGGCGAAGTTGGGGGAAGAAAGAGCCGCGACTCGCAGGCCAAGACCGCGGGGCAGGTAAAAATCGAGGAGGTTGTTGGCGGTGATGGTCAGGGCGGCGTAGGAGTTGTCGGGATTCCAGCCGGTGGAAATGGCGAAGGCATTCTGGACATAGTCCATGAAGTCGAGCATCTTGTTGTTCGGCGGGTCATCGTGGCAACATCATCCTCCCATCCTCTTCCTCTTCCTCTGGCAAGGGGTGGTGCTGGTAGTGGAGGAGCTCGACGCGGTGTGACAAGACAGGCAGCACGCGCCTTCCCCATGCGGACTCTGTCCCACCACTTTCTTCCCCGATGCCGAAGATGGCCAGTGCTTCTTCTTCTTCCATCCGCCTCAAAAAATATCTCGAGACCGAACAGCGACCGCATTGCATTGCCCTTCACTTCTTCCACGTTCATTCGGCTTTGTTGGCTCTCGGCGCCATCATGTCTTTCGCTCGTACCTTTCTGCGCACCTCGCGCGCGCTGCGCAGTCCGTCGAGCAACCCCATCCACTGCGCCCTCAATGCCCAGGGGCAATCGCACTTCCTGCGATCATACGCCACGGTCTTCGAGCGGACAAAGCCTCATGTCAATATCGGCACGATCGGCCACGTCGATCATGGAAAGGTGCGCTGATACCGTCGAGGCCCACCCTCTTTACGCACAGCTAACAACGTCGCTCGAAACCAGACCACCCTCACTGCAGCCATCACCAAGCGCCAGGCCGAGAAGGGCTTCGCAACCTACCTCGAGTACGGGGCAATCGACAAAGCCCCCGAAGAGCGCAAGCGCGGCATCACCATCAGCACGGCACACATTGAATACCAGACCGACAACCGACATTACGCCCACGTCGACTGCCCGGGTCACGCGGATTACATCAAGAACATGATCACCGGCGCGGCCTCCATGGACGGTGCCATCATCGTCGTGGCCGCCAGTGATGGTCAGATGCCGCAGACGCGTGAGCACTTGCTACTCGCGCGCCAGGTCGGCGTGAAGCGCATCGTCGTCTTCGTCAACAAGATCGACGCCATCGACGATAAAGAGATGTTGGAGCTGGTGGAGATGGAGATGCGCGAGCTGTTGTCGAGCTACGGCTTCGAGGGCGACGACACCCCGATCATTATGGGCTCCGCGCTGTGCGCCATCGAAGGCCGCGAGCCCGAGATCGGCGTCACCAAGATCGACGAGCTCCTCGAGGCCGTCGACACCTGGATCCCCCAACCGGAGCGAATTCTCGACAAGCCCTTCCTCATGAGCGTCGAAGACGTCTTCTCCATCCCCGGCCGCGGCACCGTGGCCTCCGGCCGCGTCGAGCGAGGCGTGTTGAAGAAGGACAGCGAAGTGGAGCTGGTAGGCAAGAACGCCGCGCCGATCAAGACGAAAGTGACGGACATCGAAACGTTCAAGAAGTCCTGCGACGAGAGCCGCGCGGGCGACAACTCGGGCCTGCTGCTGCGCGGCGTCAAGCGCGACGACGTCATCCGCGGCATGGTCATCACCGTGCCGGGCAGCCAGAAGGCGCACCGCAAATTCCTCACGTCCATGTACGTCCTCACCAAGGAGGAGGGCGGGCGGCACACGGGCTTCCACAACAACTACAAGCCGCAGATGTTCATCCGCACCGCCGACGAGGCCGCCCAGCTGAGCTGGCCCGAGGGCAGCGAGAACGCGCAGCAGGACAAGATGGTCATGCCGGGCGATAATGTGGAGATGGTGTGTGAGATTCACAAGCCGCTGGCTGTGGAGCAGGGGCAGCGATTCAACGTGCGAGAAGGCGGCAGGACGGTGGCGACGGGGCTGATTACGCAGATTCTGGAGTGAGAGGCGAAGAGGTGCAGGAGACATGTTGACGTTTTCAAAGCCTGTATTCTGCTGTACTTATATATACATCTGTCGGTGACAAGGGGAGAGTCGGGGATGAGATAGCTGGGTGGTTCCGCATAGCCTTGGCGTTGATTGCTTCAGCCTCGTATGGTACAGTAAAGATTAGCTAGACATGAGAATGCAACTCACCGCTCCAACACCCAGCCCCGTGCTTTTACCAAACCATCATCATGATCATCATCGTCAAAAAGGCGCCCCTTCATCAACCTCCGCCCGCCGAAGACTGCATCCTATACGGCACATCCTTCCGCACAATATACACCTCCCCAATCAACACCGCGCAACCCACAACCATCGTAAACGCAATCAACCTGACATTCACAATCGCAAACCGCCGCGCCGACACGGGGATGCCCTTGGCCGCCAGAATACTGCGCCACAGCAGGCCCGCCAGCGAGGCGCTAAAGGCCGTGCTGAAGGCGCCGTAGTTCAGGCCGAGCGCCATGCTGTAGATGGTCGCCCAGAAGGTGCGCTGCGAAATGTAGTTGCCCGAGGTCTCGTGGATGGAGACCCATTCTTGCACGACGCGGGCGAGGAGGATGGTGGTGCCGATGTTGGTGCCGGCGAACTGGGATGCGTTAGGGTGTGTGGATGGGGAGAGTGGATATCGCGAGACTTACGTTGCATAGTAGGACGGAGATGAACGCCATGCCTCCTATGGCGCCCACCGTGCCCGTCTTCTGGACCCAGTCGTTCCAGCCCCAGGCGAAGACCGTCACCCAGCCGCGCGACACCAAAGCCTGCACGAGAACAAACATGCACAGGCTGAACGGCACGAGGGGAAAGGGGAGATGCGAGAGGACGGAGGTGGCGGTGGGGAAGGTGTCTCGCGCCCAGACCCATCGCTCGGCCATGAGGGTCTCGAGATCGGTGCGCCGCTTGGTGCGGCCCTCGTATGCGACCGCTTCCACTTTCTCGTCGGCTTCTCCGTTCCCTCGCGTCTCGGCCGCTTCGTTTGCATCAGGGGTATCGTGCACTGGTTTGTCGTGGGAGAGGCTCGAGTCGGACTTTGTTTCTGTGCCGGTGGCGGTGGACGAGTCGTAGTCGCATGGGTCTGAATCGGGAATGGGTCGAGCGTCCGCTGATTGCTCGACCTTCTGCTGCGAGGAGAGCTGCCCGTCGACCGCTACATCCTCACGCTGACCATCCTTTTCATTGAAAATCTCCCTCGCATCTTCCCGCTTCCTCTCCTCGATCTTCCTCCTCCCCTCCGCAGCAACCTTTCGCGTTTCATGCCTGTGCTTCCAACCCCAGCTCATATCCCAAGTGAAAACAATGACAGCCGCAGGCAACGTAATCCAGAAAACTGGATGCTCCTCCTTACTCGAAGCGTTCACCGCCAAAATGGCGACCAGCGTGACGGCCATGATAGACGCTGAGAAAATGGCACTCCTCTTGTCCAGATACGGATTGATGACTTCTTCCAAGGAGAGCAATCTCGCCTCCTCAGTATCCTTGTCTTCGTCTTCGGGCGCGATGCCCTTGGAAAAGGGCACATTGGGATTGACAGGTGTCTTGCGCTCGCCAGGCGGCAGCTCGTGCATTTGGATCTTCTTGGGGATCAAGGCATCATCGCGGAAGACGTAGTAGAGTAAGAAGGGGAAGTAGAGGATGGCCGTCACCACCACCGGGACAATCATGTTCGCCGTGTAGACGATGAACTTGATGTTGAAGGCCCCGGATAACACGAGATTGGTGGGATTCGAAGACACCAGGATGGCGGAAGCGACGTTCGCCACGGAGAACTGAGTGAAGATCCACGCCTCAGGGTCGCGGATGTTGGCCGAGACGCGCGTCATGTAGGCCAGGAAGGGGGTGCCGGAGAGGATGATGGGGTCGTTGCCGATGAAGCTAGCGAGGGAGAAGAAGAAGCAGTAGAGGTAGAAGTAGAGCAGATGGCCCCTGCTGCCGCCCTTCTGCAGCACTTTGAGCGACAGCCAGCGAATCAGGCCCGAGGCGTCGATGGAGATGGCGATGTAGGCCAGCGAGATGAAGAAGAGCATGATGTAGATGGGCTGGATATGGTCGGCGCCGTAGGTGCCGGCCTCGACTTCCTCGCGCCCGATGGCCGTGCAGGCGAGCAGGAAGAGGTCGGCGATGAGGGGCGCGGTGAGGAAGTTCATGGGGAAGCGAAGCCAGACCAGCCTCCCTGTGCCGGTGCCATGGCCGCCGTCCGGATCTCGTCTCGGGGCTATGATGCGCGCCGCGCTGAGAGCGTTCAGGAATCCTCGCCATACAGCTCGCGGAATCGGGACGGGCACGTAGAAGGGAAAAAGCACCACCAGATCTACCACGCTTCCTCGTCAGTCTGGCCTTTCCGAGGTATCACGGGACCGCACTTGCAAGACTCACTGGCCAATACAAACACAATCAGCACAACAATCGACCGCCATTCGGAAATCTCCCGCACATCGATGCCCATGGTCGTCGCGGCCCGGGTGTGCGCAAAACCTACACGAAATGCCCGCGCTCTGCCGCCGGAGGGACACAAAAGAGGGTGAGGGCTACATGACCATCCCGTCGCGCAAAAATTTGACGGGACGCGCCATCGTGGGCGTTGGGGAGCGAAGAAGGCGGGCTTGGCGGAGCAGTGGACGCATGGCTCCAAGGCGCAGTCAAGCGGTTTGGCATGACGTGAAGTTTCCCTTCCAGGCGAATAGAGTTTGCGCTCGGCCGCGCGTGGGCCTCGACCTGCGCGGAGCCAAGGCTGCGCCCGTCCGACTCGAGCCTTGAGTTTAGGCTGTTTGTGTTGCGCTGTTGATTCATCCGACACGATACGATCGAACAGCACAGGGACTGAATGCGGGTGTCATTGTACGTGCTGGAGAAGTCGTGGTGTGATAGACAATTGGTGGTACAAAGTGCCTGGTGACCATAACTACCCTAGTCAGCCCAGTCGCAAGAACACACAGAGATGTCCACTGCGCAGTGATATCAGTTGCAAAAGAAGAAGAAGAGCAACAACGACACCCCGCTTCCCCTTCTTGTAACAAGGCACCAAGGCCACCATGCACCTTCTCTACCCCGAGAACACCCGCAACCCATATGACGCCCGTCACTACCTGTCTGCCGATGAACGGTCGCACGAGCAAGACCGTCCGCCATCAACACCCACTGCTGCCGCCCGCGGGAATCCAGACTAGTGCCCACTAAGTCGTGGAAGACGGCTGGGAGCCTCCACCTTCACTCTTCGCCACGCCGCCATCAGCAGGCTGCGCCTCACCCCGCGAAAGGTCGAGACAGCGCTTCGCGAGCGCCACCACTTCGCCCTCCCCGTCTTCACCATCTTCCGCCCCTTCCGCCCCACTGCTCTCGACCTGCTTTTCGCTGATTCCGCGCACCGCGTCCATTACGTCCTTTGCTTCCTGAATGGTCGAGATGAGCGTGGGGTCGCCGGACTCTAGCAGTTGCAGCAACGTCCAGATGGCGATGTGCTGGAAGGTCGGATCGCCCGACGCCAGGAAGCGTGCGAGGTAGCCGTGGATGCCGCCGGATGGCTGGTTCCACGAGGAGAGGAAGAGGCTATAGTCGCCCACTAGAAGGTAGTCAGCACCCAACTCCGAAGGCACCGTCGTGGGCGCGGACCGACCTTTGCTGCTGAGATTGCCGAGCGCCGCCGCGCTGTTGCCTTGCACTTCGATGCTCTCGCTCTCCGTCAGCGGGATCAACACGTCGAACACGCCCAGCTTGAGCAGGTGCGGCTTCAGATCGTCCGAGAGTGCCAAAACGGCGATGGCCGCCGTCATCTCGGATTGAACGGTCAGGGGCACGTTCAGCACGAGATCCTTGCACTTCTGCACCGCACCTGCTTCGAGGACGAGCTGCTTATTGCGATCGGAGGACGCTGCTAGATTTCGTAAGGTCGAGATGGCGTGGCATTGGATTTCTTCGTTGTCCGTCGAGCCCAGCAGATCGACCAACGGCCGGAGGAAGCCGGCGTCGATGATCGGTGACTCGTTCATCGGGTGGATGCTGATATTGCGTATACACGCGACGGCCGAGAGTTGGAGGGGGAGGTAGGAGGACTGCAGGAGCTGGAGAAGGGGTGGGAGGCCGCTGGCTCGAACGATTTCCAACTGATATTTTTCATCGCTGGCCAGATTTCTCAATGCCAGTGCTGCTTGGCACTGCACCTTCGGTGCCTGGCCCTTCATGAGCTGTACCAGACTCTGCACGAGTCGGCTCTCACTTTGTGCGAGTCGCTTTCGATTCGTGGCGTCGACCGCGATGTTGGAGAGGGCGGTAGTGCAGTAGTATTGAACGTCGGTGTCCGGACTGCTCAGTAAGCCGACCAGCACGGGGATGGCCCCGGCGGCGACCAGCTGATTGCGATTATCGTCCGAGTGCGTCATGTTGAGCAATGCCCCAGTAGCGTTTCTTTGTACACGCATGTCCTTGCTCTTTGCCAGTCGTGTGAGGGGGGCCAGCGCGCCTGACCGTGCTATCCTGGCCTTGTTCTCTTCGTGGGTCGCGAGGTTGGTGATACAGCCGACGGCATTGCACTGCACTTCCACGTTCGCGCTCGTCATCTGTTTGATGAGAGGATTGAGACCGCCGAGTGATACGATCAGCACTTTGTTTTGGGCTGGACAAATTAGCTGGTCAGCTCAGGCTCGGAAGAAACACACTCGCGCAACATACCATCAACGGCGAGATTGCCGAGCGCGGCAGAGGCGGCGCGCTGGACCTCGATGTCGGGGCTGTCGAGAAGGAAGAGGATGGGTTCGAGAGTGTGGCGGTCTACCGCTCTTACGTCTGGGGAGTGTCAGTGAGTGGAAGCGCGCAGCTAATGTCGCCCCATACCTCGCTCCGTGATTTCGGCAAAGGTCAAGCTTGCACTTCGCTGCAGGTCAATGTTGTTACTATAGACAAGCGTGCTCAATGCTGCAAGTGGTTCGCCGGAGAAGAAGTCGGTCTCCCCTCTCTGTTGGGGAGAATGTCAGTACGGGTGTCACACGGTAGACTGCGGGGAGTCGACTCGGGAGGGGGCGCAGTGTCGTACATTTTCGAGGTAATTGAGCAGGTCTGCAACAGCCTCACGCTCCGAGTCCTTGAGCGCATTCTCATAGTCGACTTTGGAGCTGCCTGCACGTGGATGTCTCAGTCAGCATGGAAGAGTAAACGACATGCGGCCATCAGATGAAGTGGTGTACGCACCCCCACAACAATAGAATATCTTTCTGCAAAAGTCTCCCATTCCGTCGAGTGTGTCCGCCTGGGTGCCGCAGCGACCCGGCTAACGGTATTATGTCCTGGCCGTCTATTCGTAAGCCCTGGTAGAGGGGTAGAGATGCTCGCGGTAGGGTGGGTGTCGGTCTATGACCTGCGAGGGAGGGCGGCGGTGCTAGCTCTGCGAGGCCCTGAACAGCGCATGAGGATTAGCAAGGAGCATCGCCGAAGCGACGGGAGGTGTAGTGAGGCAGTGGCGAGGGGCCAGAGGTGATGCGGTGCAGCAGCGGCGGAGATTATGGTGACGATGCTGCTCTCATGCGTCGAAGGCGCGAGGTGTGTTGCCCCGAAGTTGGAATCGAAGCACGGGCCGTCCGTGATGTAATCTACCCCGTCCCTCCCAGCACGGTACATCCGTCCACCGGTGACGAGCAGACATCTTCCAACATCATTCATTTTTCGTTCAAGTGTGAAGGATTGCGACTGCAAGAAACACATTGCTGCCAGGACGGGTGAGTGCATACAGGCATGGATTGCGTTACATGTTACGAGACTACTCCATCGACTGATCGCGTCCAATCAATGATTGATCTCGGGTCATGGAGCTCTACCATACCGTATCGACACCTGCCATGCGCCAAGGGAGAACAGCACAACAGAGCGGCATGTGATACCGGCCCATCCCCCCATGCGCACGCTGACAGTGGCTGAGTGGACTCGACTGGATCTGGCCGGCTTCTTAGTCATATTCGCGTAGCCGGTGCATGGCCAAGCAATGCTCGTCTCAGAATTGCATCTGCAGCCCTTCACCGCTCCGTCACGACTCACTGCTTCCAGCCCAGCCCTGCGTTGCGCATCCTGGCATCTCCCCGCAATGCCCCGTCTCTCCTCCTTGCCACAAGGCTGCAGCGAAGCGAGGGTGTGGGCCGTGGGACATCTCATCGCCCTCCGATCTTCACAGAGACCCTTGGGACGGCGATGTGCCCCGCAAGTGGGATCCCGGGGGCTGCGCCTGCAGGCAGCCGCGAGCCAACAGGGTCGCAGCGGCGTCACAACAGTCATCACATGTGGCAGCCATTGGTGGGATTGCGGGTGTCGTAGCCCACGAAGCACGCGAACTCCCGCCACGTGTGTGCTTTGTCCGTCGCCACAGTCTCGTACCTATGCGTGCAACGCGGTGCTGCTCCAGCAATTGTATCTGCCGTATGTTCGGCGCGACAAATCAGGTAAGGATGACAGTTGAGATGAGCTGGAGGTGGGGCGGGCGGGTTTACGGCGGGCGCCGCTAGCTGCTCTGGGCGACGCCCAGGCGGGCAGGGAAAGAGCAACTGCGTGCGAGTGCAGAAAGTCTCTCACCTTTCAATGTTGCCCTCGACTCCACCGGATGCTTGGCGGCGAGCATGATGTTTCGTTGATCCCTCTCCTCCTGCACGCCCTCGACGCAGAGGCGGTGCTTGCTTGGCGTTTACCCTCACGCTCACGCTCCCACCCCGGCCGCGTCCATTGTGTGCCGCCGCCGCTGCTGCTGCTGTCGTGACACATCACTTCTGCCTGCTGCTCTCGTCCCCTCCCCCTCCTCTCCATTCATCCCATCCATTGCCACCACCTGTGCCCACACGACACCACCCAGTGTTTCCGAGACAGAGCTACGCCCGCCATCCGCGCCGACCGACGACTCCTCTCCCTCTACCCCGCCACCCCAAGAACCCGAGCGATCGCCTCGCGACTGTGTATGGCCGCATACGACGACATCTCGAAGCATTTCAAAGGTTTACGCGCGCATACCGCCAGACGCAAAGGTCGCCCCGACCCCTTTGCTACTGGTTTCGAAGATGATAGCGACGAACAAGGCAAGAGGCGTAGCAGATCTAAGACCAAACAGGCTCCCGTGGGTAGAGCGCTAGACGACGCCAAGGCCCAAACCTCCGTCAACACCACTCCCCTGCCCTCCGCCCGCGACCTTCTCCGCGACAGCGACAATGGCTTCCTAGCCCCTCCCCAACCCACCGACCGTCGCGCCAGTCCCGCCCGTAATCCTCCGGCGCTGTCCCGCGGCGATCCCGCATACGCCCGCAGAGGTTCCGTCGACACCGGCGCCCTTTCGAGAGGCTTGTCCGGCAAAACCAACCTACCCACCCGTGATCCGAGGAACGCCGTCGTTCAGGCCGCTGGCACCTTGGCCTTTCTCGACGACAGCGACAGTGACCAAGAGCCCGCACCGCGTCCAACGAGAGGCGACCGTCACCCCAGCCCCGCACCGAGAAAACTGTCCGCGGCGCAGAACACGCGCTCCGCCACCCCTAAAGGCACTCGTTCGCTGACTCCCCGCGGAGCTCGCGATCAACAAGTAGAACAGCCGCCCCGACACACCGTCGCCTCCGCGTTTGCGGGGACGAAGTACCTCGAAGACAGCTCGTCAGACGAGGACGACGAAGAGCCACCCACGCCACGCAACAACAGCCTCGAGGAAGCCATTTCCGACGGCCCCCCCAGCCCCGATCGCTCACGACACGAGGTCAAACGCGTCGACAAGCCCAAGGTGCAAGATGGAGGAGGGGTCTCCTGGCGCGCCTTTTCGCAAGGAAGAGCCGAGCAGCGCAATCAAGAGATCGAAGCCCTCCAGGCTCGCTTTAAGCAACGTGGAAAGAGCATCGCCTTCGTCTCGCACGCCCTCACAGACGACGGAGAGCGGGTCCCTCTCCAACATTCACCTGAGCAGACTCTCACTGGAGACAAGCCGGGACCCAAGAAACCCCGCGGAAAGTCGCCGCCCCGACGAGCCAGGGATGTCGAACCCACCGAGGATGAGATGGCAGACGGACCGGGACTCGCCACATACGATCCCGTCCAGTTCAAGACCAATCCATTCACAGGTGAGTCATCGGTGTTGTCATACGCTCATCACATCACCTGTACTGACATCAATTCCAGGAGAGCCGGTCCGCAGAACCGCCAGCAATACCTCGTGAAATACTCACAACGAGCGACATGGTGACCGGCCCACATATGCCCGCCATGCCGTCATTGACATCCGAATCCACCATCTCGCCGTACAGCGATCACGAAGCCACCTCCTCACCCACCGGCACCGACGATGGCGGCCTCGAGAACAGCATTAGCAGTCTCGCGAGCAAGTTCTCCGCGCCGCAAACAATCCCCGAGGGCGTGCCGATTGACGTATCCCTATCGCCGGTGATGTCACCAGAGATGCTCAGTCCCATCAGCAGAGATCCCAGCACGCGATCTCTTCGCTCGTACGCCCGGCGCATCCCGAATAGCGGATCTCGTCGCTCCTCGCGACGCTCCACCTCCGCCAACGCCGCCTCCGCCCCGAGCCCTGCACAGTTGTTTCTGTCCTCGTGGAGCCGGGATGGTATGCCGCCCGAACTCGCCGCAGAGCCACGCGCTGACGATGAAGGCCAATCCATCGGGCTCAACAATGAATACATCATCGGCCGGCAGATCAACCAAGGCGGGTTTGGCGTGGTAAAGGAGGTCCACACCATCAACGACGCGGGCGAGCGACTCATCCGCGCGGTGAAGGTCGTGCGCAAAGCCATCCCGGGCAAGGATGAGCCGCAAAACGATAAGGCACAGCAAGAGCTGGAGCACGAAGTCTCCATCTGGCGCCACCTGAAACACCGCCACGTCCTCGAGCTACACGCCGTCTACGACACCGACTACGCCACCTTCTGCGTCATGGACCTCAACATCGGCGGCACGCTGTTCGACATTGTGCGCCGCGCCCGCGGCAGCATCTCCGGTAGCATCTCCGACCAATTCCAGCCGCACGACGGGCGCCGAGGCCTGCCCTCCGGCATCGCTAAGCGCTATGCCTACCAGCTCGCCTCGGCCCTGCGCTACCTGCACGAGGACATCCGCGTCTGCCACCGCGACGTGAAGCTCGAAAACTGCCTCGTCGACATGACGGTGCCGAATGCAGAGGTCGACGGCGGCTGCCTCCGCCTGTGTGACTTTGGCCTCGCCGACTTCCTGCACAGCGAAGAACTCTCCTCCGCCGCAGGCGACTACGTCATGATGGACCCCACGCCCTTCCCCGGGGGCAGCCCGACGCTCCAGCAGCACCACGCCACCACGTCCTCCATCATCGGCACGCTGGAGTACGCCAGCCCGAAGGGCTTGAGCGCGCACCGCAAGCTCTTCGAGACGGCCGGCGACGTCTGGGCCTTCGGCGTCATCGTCTACGTCCTTTGCACCGGCGAGCTGCCTTTCAAACACGCCCTGCCCGCCAAGACGGTCGAGCTGATCATGGCGGGCGAGTGGGACGAGAGCGCGCTGTTCGACGCCGCGGCCGGTGGGCCCGAGGTGCGGGAGCTGGTGCGTGGGTGTTTGGATAAAGATGTTGATTTGAGATTGACTATAGGAGAGGCGCTGGGCAGTGTGTGGTTTGAGGGGTGTCGGGAGTTGGGTGAGGAGCGCGAGGAGGAAGGGGTGTGGAATTGAGGCAGGGTTGGATCGGTCGTTCCGTGTGATTTGCTTCTTGGCCCTCGCGTGGCTTTTTTGGGGTGGTTTTGCTGTTTGCAAGCGCGGCGTTTCGGGTGAGATATGGATGGATGTCAGGGATGGATGATGTTGTTCGTTGTTGGATGACCGGTCAACGACCTCGCGATCACTTGTCGATACTTCTCCTCTTTCGGAAAACAAAATCATTTCTTCTGATGCAAAGATCTCCAAGACGGCGTACTGAATCATGCAATGACGATGGCTTCTATATACAACGGCATTATCCTATTCGACGCACCGCGCAATCTGAACCCTGAACACATCCTCCTTGGTACTCCCACAGCGCCTCGGAAATGCAGAAATGATGCCAGACACCCCAATGTTGGACAACCGTGCGGGTGGAGGCTTCAGCACGAGCAGCCTTGACTCTCCTCTCCGATGTTGATGGGAATCGTCTCCGGGAAATCGGGGTTGAAGTCTTGCGACTCCTCCTGCGCCAATGCATTTCTCGCAATCACTTAGGACACGTCAGTAAAGTGGACGACACCTCACGTGCAAGCATGGCAACAAACTCACCCTCAAAAGCCTGCTCGACATTCACCGCCTCCTTCGCGCTCGTCTCAAAATACGGTATTCCCCCCTTACTCTGACAAAACGCCGCCGCGCGCTTGCTGGAAATAACGCGCTTGCTCTCATCCACATCCACCTTATTGCCCAGCACGACAAAGGGGAAACTCTCCGGGTCCATGGGCGAGGCCTGGATGAGGAACTCGTCACGCCAGCTGTCGAGGGTGTCGAAGGACTTGGCGTTGTTGACGTCGTACACCAGCACGCAGCAGTCGGCGCCGCGGTAGAAGGCGACGCCGAGCGACTGGAAGCGCTCTTGGCCCGCCGTGTCCCAGAGTTGCATCGTCACCAGGCGGTCGTCGACGAGCACTTCTTTGGTGAGGAAGTCGGCGCCGATGGTCGCTTTGTAGGAGGCGGAGAACTTTTTGTTGACCTGCCGTCACGGTTTTGTTAGGCTAGGGTGATGGGACCTGCGTTGCTTGCTGGTGGATGCGTACGTATTGGTTCATTAAGCTTGTTTTGCCTACGCCGCTGTCGCCGAGGATGATGACCTGCGAGGGATCGTTAGCAGGAGAGGCGGCATGGTTCTGTGCAATGTATCCTACCTTCAATAGTATCTTCTTTCTTGACGACATGATGACGGTGGCCGGCACGAGGGCAGAGGAGGAGGAGGAGGGAGGGAGCAGTAGGGGCGCGACGGCGGGAGGGAGTGACGGATGAGGTCTTCGCAGGCGGGATGATTGGGCTCAGGAGGGTATCTGGGTGTATGCGCAGGTATCGTAGAGCGGATAGAGGGGGTGAGGAGGTGTTTGGCGATGATGGTTTGGCAGAAGAGGTCGGATGGCTTCCTGCGGTGTGATGAAGGCACCAGTTCGGAAGGAGCCATCTGCCGCGGGGCCCAAGCTCAGGCCTCCCCCACATTATTAATGCCAAGAGATATTGATTGTCCCCGTCCATTGCCAATTGCCCTTCCACACCATTCTCCTCCGTCATATTACCATTCACCAGCCTTGTCATGAATACACATACGCATCACAGCCTCTGATCCATTTTTTCCGTGGCTACGTCCCACGTCTTGTGCCCAAGCGCTGTCCATTGAGGAGTGATTCAACTTCACCTCTCCGCACCCGCATCCATATCCCCCTCCCAACCACTACCACCTCGTACACCACCGCAATCATGACCCAATCCAAACCAAACAAACCAGCACCCCTCAAAGTCTCGACGGCCGAAAAAGGCCCCTTCAACCTCCTCCGCCCCATCCAAATCCTCGCCATCTCCCTCTACTTCATGTTCGACACCATCCTACACCTTCTCTTGACCTTCCAGATCTCCACTTTCCTCTCCATCTCCGCCTTCCAATCCGCCTGGTTCGCGCGCTTCTGGGCCTTCTTCGGCCCACTGTCCGCTGAAAATGCCGCGCCGGCCGTCATGCCGCTCCTCCAGAACCACGCTCGCGGCGTCTGTCTCGACATCGGCCCCGGCAGCGGCCAATGGTTGTACCTCTTCCAGCGCGCCAACAACCCCGACATCACCAAGATCTACGGCGTTGAGCCGAACGTCGGCCTGCACCCTGCGCTGCGGGAGAGTGCACGCAAGGCGGGGTTGGAGAACGTGTACGAGGTGATTGGGTGCGGCGCGGAAGAGTTGCAGACCAAGGGCGGGTTACAGCCGGGGTCGATCGACACGATCATCACCGTGCAGTGCTTGTGCAGCATTCCCACGCCGCAGAAGATCATCAAGGAACTATATCCGCTGTTGAAGTCGGGCGGGCAGTGGTTGGTCTTTGAGCATATCAAGACCAAGTATCAAGGCAGCTTTGTAGGATACTGGCAAAGTAGGTCCATCCTTTGTCGTTTGTGAAGCGAGTGGATTCGAGGCTGACGTACGAACAGAGGCTATCAACATCGTTTGGCCGCATATGTTGGGCGGCTGCAACACGACTAGACCCACGGATGAGTGGTTACTGAAGACGGGCGATTGGAAGAAAGTCAATCTCTACCCTGGCGCCGGCGAAGGCCCGTACGATACCATGCCGCATGTCATTGGTACGCTCACGAAGAAATGATGCCGATCTCGGGGCCCAAAGGCGTGTATGTGACGGCCGGCGGGAAGCACTGAATCAATACTATTACCACTTATCGAGCATCAGGACTCGTGCATCCTTTTGCGATGTTAGTTCTCCACAGCCTTCGATAATCCGCCATCCTCGCTTGTTCTCGCCCGATACGGCGCCCCTCGTCCCGCCAAGCCTGCTATTGTCGTAGCGTCCGACGCGACCCACGTGGTTCCAGAGACGACCTCACGCCTTCACATTTGTCCTCAAGGACTCATTCTTCCAAGTCGCTACACATTTCTTAGATTGCTCTTGGCAGCTTACAATGCCACCGCTCTGGACTGGCCGATTCCTCTCCATCCAGGTCCAGACATCAGGCCACTCTGTAGCCTCCAGATGCATAAGTGATGGGCGCCCTACCCATGCCCACGACAGGTATTTGCTTTCTTCCCTCGTTGGCTTAACATTTCCGTCATCTCCTGCGCTCTTTCTCTTATTTTTATCCGTTCTACCAAGTAATAATACTATGCGCACCGCCGCTTTCGTGTGGGCCGCTCTGGCCAGCGCCGTCTTCGCCAGCCCGGTCGAGCTCCAGCCCCGAGCCGCATGCACCAGAACCACGCACACCACAACCACCTTTACTCGCGCTGGCGCGGTGGCGACGAAAACCGTCACACGCACGGTGCAAGGGGGCGTGTCCACTACCATCATTCCTGCACCGTCGGGGTGAGCCTCCGCCCATCTCTCCTTCACCTCCGCCCCCTCTAATCACATGCAGATTTGTGCCCATCCAGTCTGCGATCCCGGGCGCTGTGTACCAAGGCAGCGGCGGGAGCGCCCCGATCAAGCGCGCTGTGCTCGTCGAAGAAGACGCATTGTTGCCCCGTGCAGCGGCGCCGGAGCCCCAAAAGGTGGGCGCCTGCCAGACGTCCACGTCAACCTTCACCACCTACTTGACCAAAGCCCCGACGTGAGTGGAATTCCCCTCGCCCAACGCACGACATCGGTGCCGGAGGCCCTGGCCCCACCCACAAAGCCCCAGACTCTAATAACTCCGCCTCCACAGCACGAGGACAGTCACGGCGACCACGACCGCCTATGCTTCCACCACGACCGTCTACGCCGCTTGCGCCTCGAACAACCTCGCGGATTACTACACGCCCAACAGCCAGAGCTTTTCCGGCGGCCAGCCCTACAAACCGAGCACCTTCAGCTCGTTCGGAGCGACGTCCACCGCAGCACAACCCAGCGCGTACGCATGTGAGTCCATCCCCACCCCATTCGCTCCACGAGCAGACGCCCAGCTGACTTTCTACAACCAGGCTGCGTCGCAGCGCTCCTGTACGGCGCCTCCTACGGCGACGGCACCGCCGCCGCGCTCTTCACGTACGTGCCATCGAATTCCGCTTGCATTGTGTACTACACCGTCGACACGTGCCCAAGCCTGCAGGCGTACTCCCTCGAGGCCTTCACCATCACGCCGCCGAACCCGAACTACGACCCGGCGGTTATTGGCAATCTGCCGTGTGGGCTGGTCGACCTCGTGCAATCCCTCGAATGAGCGCGGTCGAACTTCTCGGGTGCGGGGAGATGTGGTGGAGAATGGGTGTCTTACGCCTCGCTACAATCCAAGGGATATCAGACCTACTCGAATATGCTAATTTCCAAAACACTCCAATCACCCGCCCGTCTATGTATCTAGTGTCGCTGTTGCCGCGCGCGCCGCATCTTGTTTCGCCGACTCCGATGCTGCCGCATCCCATACTTGGCCAGCCAGTCCTTGATCGTGTCCCAGAGCATCGTAGCAAAAACGAGCAGGGCAAACGCCGCGAGGACGGGCAAAGCGACGGTCCAGAAGTAAGAAAAGGGCTCGTCGATGCCGCCCGCCTTGTTGAAGTTCTGCCCGAAATATCCGGAAATAAAAGTAAGCGGAGCGAACAGCACCGTCACAATGGCCAGAATCATCATGAAGTTGTTGGTGCGCGCGCCGACCGTGTTGAAAATGAGCGTCGAGATGTTGGTCGCGGAGGCGTCCATTTGCTCCAGCGCTTGTATCATGGTGATACAGTGGTCCAGCACGTCGCCAAAGTAGGTGTGCGCGAGCGGCGTGATGGACACGCTCGTCGCGTCGTGCGGCCGCAGGACTCCCGCCCGGCGGTAGTTGGAGATCTTGCGGTTGAAGACCGGCGCGCCCTCACGGTCGCGTCGCGTCTTCTCCACGGGCTTCATGTCGATCGTGGCGGAGAGTTCGTAGCCCTCGGGTGGGGGCGAGAGGGAGGTCAGTGACTGCGCGGGTGGGGTCGGGGGGTTAACGGGGCCGTTGGCGTTGTGGTCGCGGATGGCGTTGACGAGGTGCACGATCGGCTTGATCAAATTCTGTAGCATGTCGATTTCCTCGCCGAAGATGTGGAGCGCTCGTGAGGTGGAGATGCTGGGGTTCACCATCGCGTCGACCTGTAACTCCTTGCGGGCTTTGTTGTAGGCGTCTCGAACGGGAATGGCGAGATCCACGATGGCATCGATGATGGCCTGGAGCAGGAGGGACGCATCACCACTTCGACGAAGCATGGTCTCGCTGCTGTAGATACGGTCGCGGATGGGATCCTCGACATCCTCGGCGGACTGTTCAAAGATCGAGATGACGGTGTTGTCGGCGCAGAGGAAAATCGAGACCTGTTCCACAGTGACGGCGAGGTCTTCCGCCGCGAGAGAGCTGTGTCTCTCCATGAAAGCGGTATGCTCGGGAATCTGCGAGCTCTCGTAGCGATGCAGGGTTCGGGCGGGGCGGATGGGGGTATCGGGCGAGGTGCCAGTGTGGGCATTGACGAACTCATCAACCCTGCCATCGTCATTCTTGTCGAGGTCGTACGGAAGACGACTTTGTCGCCTTGCCTTGGCCAGCTTGCGACGTTGCCACCACCACAGCTTCTGCTTCACCTTGGCGGTGTGCGGGTGCTTCTCGCTCTGCTCCTCCTCATCGTCATGCAGGAAGTGACAGTCGCAGCGATCTTCGTCGCCGTCCTGCGAGTGCAACATGACCAGCTTCTGCAGGGTGAGGATGACGCAAGCATGGTCCGCGTACCAATCCACTTTCGTGCGGGTGTGCGTATGGCAGATGTCCTCAATGGCCAAGCGATGCAGATTGTACGTGTTGCCGAGCACCTTGATGACGTCCCAGCTCAGCCCGTTGACGGAGATCCAGCGGCACGAGTACTTCTCCGAGCGGCCCTGCAGCAGCGCCTCTTCGAGATCGTCGTTGTCGACGCGAACGTGGCTGGGCTGAACGTCGGGATCGGAGGAGAAGTCGATGATATTGATGTCGCATTGCGCCTTGAGCCGCGCAATGTGGAAGGGCAGCTCCTCGTCCTCGGCAGTGGTGTCGATACCCGGTTCGGCGCCGGGCAGCCAGCCTTCCAGTTCGTGCGACTCGGCTTCATGCCACGTCCCGACCGTGTTGCTCCTCGAGTGGCGGCGATGGCGCATGCCATCCCAGCTGGCGGAGCGGCGGGAGAAGCGGGAAATTTTGGAGACGGTGCTGCCGCGGCGGTCCCTCGAGGGGTGGTCGGTGGTGATGGGGGACAGCGCGATGGGCGGCTGCACGTCCCCGGCGCCCGCCGTGCCAGCACGGCTGCGGGAGTCAAAGTCGCGAACGGTCGACATGGTTGCCGCGTGCCAAGAGACGAGGTTGGACGCTGCAGTGGGCTACATGAAGGTCTCCACCAGCGATCGGGCCGAGGGTTTCGTCACCGACTGGAGCGGCGGCAGCTACGCGATCAGGCGATGGTGTTGGCTGTAGATGTGAGCGGAATGGCGTTCCATAGGTGGTCCGAGGTGTGCGACAATCGCGTTGGGCCTGTTGCGCTAGGGATGCTGATGAGGATGTAGGGGTGCAGCAGGTGGTGCGTGACGCGAGGTGTGCGGGATTTGAAGGGCGGCAAAGGCGGGATGAGAGGAGCGAAAAAAGTTGCGGCTTAAAGTTGGTCGTAAACTGCGACGATGGCTCCCCTTTCGAGCGCGGGGCTGCCCTCAAATCGCTCCTTCCCTTCTGAGAGGCGGCCGAAAATTCCCCGGAAGGAAAGGGCGTCCGCCCGTCCACTCCATCCATCGTGGTCCTTTCGTTGAGTCCAAAAGTTGCCTCGACCGCATCATCATTATCGTAATTACAGAAGATCAAAGTAGTAAATACCATCCATGTCAATCGTAATAACGCCGCGACCCGCCCAACCCAGCAACGCTGCTCCGGTGTCGATACCGCGTAGATCCATACTCCCTGCGCCCTCCCTCGTCAAGCGCATCATAATCCAACCGCGGCCTCCGCCGCTCATTCTCGAAGTCGTACCGATCGTCCGCCGCATCCGTCAGCCTTCTCGGCCGCGACGAACCATCCGTCGCCCTGCCCGACGGATAATCGTCGTACGTCGCAGCGTGGTGCAGCTTCGGGCGGCGTGAGCCAGCCTCGCCGCGGGTCGAGCGTCTCCGCTCCACAGGAAGACCCCATTCGTTGCGCGCCGAGTACGCCGGCACGACTTCCCACTCTCGATGCCTGCCGCCTCGATAGCGCGAACGGTGCGGTTTCCGCGATCGCTCCAGGCTGCTGCCGGGCGAGTACTCGGTGGGCGAGGAGAGGTCACTGCCATCGACACGAGCGTCAGGAGTGCGTGCGGAGCGATGACGACGGGGAGGAGGGGAGGAGAAGATGGAAGCGGTTTCGTACGAGGTGGTGGCGTCTTCGCTCGAGTTGCCGCCGCTGATGCGGAACTGCTCCATCTTTTGCGCCATGTAGTCCATTTGATCTTCGAGCGCGCTCACGCGGCGTTCCGTCTTCGGCCGGCTGGAGGAGGCGCGGTGTTGCCGCGCCCGAGGGCGGGCTTGCTGGTCGTCGGGGTAGTATGCGTCGTCTTGTGGGGGGAAGGGGTCCGCGACGCCATATTGAGGTTCCTGTTGATGGTGGAACTGGGGAGGGCCCGGTTGATAATTGTCGGGGCCGTAGTACACTCCCCCTTGCATTTGTTGCTGATGAGGGAATGGGTCCGGGACCTGCCCTTGTTGGGGGTACTGGTCTTGCTGTGGAAACTGTTGCCACTGCGGCATGTGTGGTGGGACGGGAATCTGCTGGAAGTTGTTGCTGTTGTATCCTCCCTCATTCCCCCAAGCATACAAATCGTTATCGCTGCGGGATTTGCGGATCTTGCCATTCCCTTTCAGCGCCTTCTTGCGGTTGAGCTCTTCACGGTCGACGATCTCGAAAGTCGTGGGCTTTTTCTTCCCCCCTTTAGACCCCTTGCGATCGGAGTCCTTCTTGGCGTTCTTGTCGTCGCATCTCAAGATGACCTCGATCCTCTGAAGCTCCCTCGAAAACAAGCCTCTCTTGACCCCCTGGACGTCTGCGAGCACCCATTGCGCATACCGATCCCGTTCTCCCCGCATCCGCTCGCCGATGAAATGGTTCACGGCGCCTTGCTGGATCGTCGTGAGCTTCTGAAGGTCCGCCTGGACCCCCAAGCTTCCCCCGTACGCCTTGTGTCTCTTGATGGCGAATCGGAGCTCTTTCTGATCGAGGTGCATGGGAGTTGGAATCACGCTCGCCCAGGCGTCCGGGTGCTTGGAGTCGGGATGCTTCCGTTCCAGCGTGTAGCCTTCATATCGAGTTCCCACGCGGTTGCCAATTTTGTTGTTCTTCTTCGGCTTTCCATCATACATGTTGTAGTTCTGGTTGTGATATACACCGTGCTGATTGCCGTATTGCTGATTGTCGTAATGTTGCTGAGCGTATTGTTGGTCGAACTGCTGTCCTTGAGCCGGGTAGTACTCATGCATTTGGTTTGGTTGCCCCATGGGTGCATCGGGAAATGGTCCAGTTCCGGGCGCCATCGGGGCGGCTGGGTATTGATCTCCCATGGTAAAATCTCTTGCGGGATGTTTCGTGCTGGTGTTTCTTGCGGAGCACGACCGCGCGTCGGATGTGTTATCGAGCTTCGGAATACTTGGAAGAGATACGAAAGAATCAGACGGGCGGCAGGAGAGTATACGTGTGTAGGGGTACGAGAGAGATGAAGAGACAGAAGGAGAAGCGGGGTGGGTAGGGATTAAAAGACATCACGCTCCGCACTTACTCACGTTCGTGCAACGGCGGTTCGCTGTCATGGACATTGCCTTACGAACCGCGGCGCTACGCGGCATCGCATGCAGGGGGCCAGACAGTGAGGCTCGCGGTGAAGGGAGACGACGTCAGATCGACAACCTGGTCGTCTGGTTGGTTGTTGCAGTCCACTGCGGACCGCTGCGACTCGTCTCCGCCATGGCCAAGCCGGCGACGGGGCGGAGGCGCAGACGTGCAGCTGCTTTGCGAACCATCGAGGCAGCCTTTTTGGCCTGCTTTCGGCGAGGTGAGCGCGTGGTCAGGTGACAGCGTGACGAGCCGGAAAGTCGGTGCTCGCGGCCTTTCCACACCGGATTCGAAGAAGAGATGGTTTCGGTGAACTGGACCTGTGCTTGTTACTCCGGCGGACACACGGTTTCCTCCGATCCACTTTGCGTCCAGGTGGCACAGCAGATGTCGGTCGAGAGGCTCGCCCGCTCCTGGCCCCCAGCAAGTCACAAGCCCCACCAGGTTCGGTCGTCCATTTTGTACCACTGCCCACACACCATGGCCCTCTTTGCAAACGTTCGAATGAGGTCAATCGAGAGGTCGGTTTTAACTACCAACCTTGACGCCGCCCAACGCGGCACATAGAATACATCGCATCTCCGAAGCGTCCTTCTAATGCATTCCGTGCAGTCGTAGGTCTTCTAATACAGCAGAAGAGGCGTACTGCTGTACATCATGGTCCCTCGGTGCGCTGCGTCCATCAGGTGCGGCGTGCAGAGCTTCGCCGTGAGAGGCTGAGCTGCGCGGGGTGGAGCTGCAGGCTGCTGCACGAACAGCGCAGCAGCTGCTCGGCGACTGCAGCTACGGTGGGTGCAGTGAAAAGCCGGCATGCTCCTTCCGCTGTGCTACCCATCGTTGGGCTCCAGAGAATGGCCTCGAAGCATTTCGTTGGAGTGTCGAGGGTGAACGCGTGTCTTCAGGAGGATGTCACGGCAAGATGCAGAGATCGAAGTGATCTAGGTCTGTGCCGCGAGTCACACAGAATCAGTCAAGTCGATGGCTTCCATCATCCGGCTCGGGCTCCCCTGTGGATGCACGTTCGGTAGGAAGTGAGAGGCGGTTGATGGAAGACAAGGCGATTGGTCGGGGGTGAAGTCGGAGGAAGCTCGCGAAGCTCCGATGATTGATCGATGACGCTCGACTTTTGGTTGCGTTTCAGCAATCCCACCGACCTTCACACAATCATTGCACGTTGCAGCACAATCCGGTCGGCATCACTAGAACCAGAGGAGCGCAACAAGAGGCTCTATTGGAGGCAATATCGCCTCATACAAAGCCATGGCGACCATCAGCCGGCGAGTGGCCGCGCATTGCCAGCGATGCCACCACCTCGACCTCTCCCGACGAGCCTCAACCTCCCTCCGCCACACCCTCCAACCTCCACCCTCCCTGCAATCTCGCACGGCACCAGCACGATGCATCCGGTCAACGCCCACCCTCTCCAACCCCCCCGCCGCCCCGAAATCCCGCGACCGCGGCCCACCGAGCGAAGAAGACACGCAAACCGACTTCGCCGCGATGAACATCCTAGCCAACACCCCGCCCCCCACAACGGGCATCGACTCCTGCCTAGACGACGGCTTCGCGCTCAACAGCGGCCTCAAAGTCACCGGCTCCGGCGTGCTGCTCTGCGGAGGCGAAGCCTTCAAATGGCGTCCCTGGATCCGCGCAGGCCGGAAAGAAGGCACGATCGGCGCCGGGGCTGTCGGGGACGACGACAAAGGCGTGCGCAGCGAGGGGGGCAAGTTGCTGAATGCGAAGGGGCAGTGGGATGTCGAGGCGCAGGCTTGGGGCGTGCTGGCGCTCGCGTGGCCGAAGCCGGATTTGCTGGTGCTCGGCACGGGGCGCTCGATTGTGCCGCTGAGCCCGCGCACAAGGCGGCAGATTAATGATTTGGGGATCCGGATTGAGGTGCAGGATACGAGGAATGCGGCGGCGCAGTTCAATCTGTTGGCGACGGAGAGGGGGGTGCAGCAGGTTGCTGCGGCTCTTATACCCATCGGTTGGAGGGAGGGTCGTTGAGGCGTGCAGTGGCATTTCATGCATAGCAATCAACAGGCGGCGATGTCAAGCTACCAGTTGACAGGCAAACACAATGGAAAGTTCGGTGTCTCAACAGATACTTCTTGATCTCTATTCACAAACCACGCCACGGCCTCCTCCGCTGCGTTACGCGCTCGTTCCATCCCACTTCCTCTTGTCTCTCCATCCACTCCCCATGGTGTATGGCAAACATTAATAAAGAATCGAAGTAGACAACCATCGCGATGTGGGCCCCCCACTCGCATTGCGCCTTTGTATCCCTTCCCATCCCAAATTCCCCACCCAAACCATGTAGTGCAGAAGAGGAGCCCCTGCCAGGCCAAAAACGCCGTGCTCGAAGAAATGGAAGAAACACAGAGGAGAAGAAATCAGTAAAGCGGCTGCTTCACGTCCGCCACGCCGCATCGAATCACATCCTCCAACCGCCACCGGGGCGGTGTGACCACGACCTCACTCCCACTCTCCAGCCGCGCGCGCATCTCGTTCTGCTTCTCGTTCATCAGCCCGTCGTGCATCGCCTCCTGCCCGCCCGCCACGCCCGAGCTGAACTTCAACTGCAGCACATCGCCCGCCTGGTCGCAGGCGGCCAGCAAGCGGTCGAGGTCGTCCTTGGTGTGCGCGGCGGAAACGCAGAAGCGCGCGCGCGAAGAAATGAGCGGCGTCGCGGGGTAGCCGACAACGACGACGGCGATCTTGCGCTTGAGCATTTCGTGGGAGAAGGCGGGGATTTTGGCGGGGTGGTAGAGAAGGAGCGGGATGATGGGGCTGTCGTCATGCCCGTACACGATGAACCCGAGGCGCTTGAGGCCTAGGCGCAGGTAGCGGGAGTTGAAGGCGAGGCGTTGCAGGCGCTCTTCGCCTTGCCCGGGCACCAGGTCGCCGTTGATGATTTTCAGGCTGACGGAGATTTGTGTCAGGACGGCGGGCGTGGGCGTCTCGCCGAAAATGTTGCCGGCGTTGGTGACGCGGATCTTATCGATGAGGGCTTGCGAGCCGGCGACGTAGCCGCCGTTGGCCCCGAACGACTTGGTGAAGGTGCCCATGAGAATGTCGACTTCGCTGGGCGGGATGCCGAAGTAGTCGCAGATGCCGCGGCCTCGGGGGCCAATCGCACCAATAGAGTGCGCCTCGTCGACGTACAGGGCGAACTTGTACTTCTTCCTCAATGCAACGAGTCCCGGGAGGTTGGCCAGCGTGCCTTCCATGCTGTACAGCCCCTCAACGGCCACCAGGATCTTCCTCCACGGTCGATGGGTACGCGGTTGTCCTTGAGAGATGCGTTCGCGCAGCAAGCGCTCCAGCTCGGACATGTCGTTGTGCTTGAACATGTCAATTACCGCCCCGGAAAGTCTAGCACCGAATCGAATGGACGAATGGTTGAGCTGATCGGAGATGATCAAGCATCCCTTCCCGACCAGCGCAGGGAAGATGGTAGCGTTCGTCACAAAGCCCATGCTGTGGATCGTCGCGGCTTCTTTGCCCACAAAGTTCGCCACCTGGTTTTCCACCTGCAAGTGCAGATCGCTGGTTCCGCAATCCGCGCGCGGGGAGCAAAAGGAGATTCCGTATTTCCTGATGCTCTGTTCGGCCGCATCGGCGCATTCGCCCTCGGATTGAGCGAAGCCGAGGTAGTTGTAAGAAGACATGTTCAAGGTCTCGGTGGTGGTGCCTTTCAATTTGAAGCTCAAATTGAAGTCGTCACTCTCTCGATCGAGCAGGGTGATGAAGCGGCCCGGCACCCCAGTCACCGGGCGACGGAAGCAGTCGTTGATCCGCAGCTGCAGGCGTCGAATGTAGAAATTGTCAAAGTCGCTGTTGAGCGGCGCGTACCCGTCTCTTTCCCGCAAATGCTTGTATGAGTCCTGCATGAAACGCTTGCCGAAGAAGTCGCGGACGTGGCCGAAGATGATGAGGATGAGGTAGGAGATGTAGGTGGTGATGAGGAAGTAGTAGGGCGGCTCATCTTCGATGGGCTCGGGGAACTCGGTGCCGACGAAGCGCGAGGAGTAGAGGTGTTGTCTGGAGCCCAAGGGGCCGAATGCGGCGTGCTGCTTTGCGAGGCGCTTGACTTCCGCGGGGCTCGGGGGCGAGAAGAGGGTCAATGGCTTCTGCATGTCGTCCAACTTGCTCTTCTCCCCCGTCGCGGTGGTGAGATTGATGGTGGGCAGACTGAGGGTGGGGATTTGCGGCGAGGGAGGGTGGAGGGTGGAGGGCGGGTGGTATAGTGGTGGCTCGAGTCTCGTGGTCTGTTGATCGGATCGGGCAGGTTTGGGCGCGGCGGCGAATGGCATGGAAAAGCGCGGACGGAACTTGGAGCGTACAGCGGCGGGGTCGCGTATCGGCTCTTTCTCTGACAAGACTTCGCCGGTGATGCTGAGAGGAGGAGGCGAGGCGGAGGTGAAGGGATTGAGGGCGCGGATCGGCATGATTCTGGCGGAGGGAGGGAGTTAGAGGGTTGCAAGGAATGCCGTCGCGGAGTCGGGGGCGCAGAGGAGGGAGAAGGGGATGGAGAGGTGAGGGGAGAGGAGTGCCGGGGAGAGGTGATGTGATGTGATGATGGGGGAAAAAGTAAGCGGTCAAGCACGATCCGTCGCGGTCCGCAAGTGACACAATTGCTGCAGGAACGGGGCGGGATTGTGCAGATGCGGCGTGGACCGCATGGACCTCGCACTTCGAGTTGCGGAGGGGACGCGATGGAAGATGGGTGGCGGTGGGGATGGTGGATGATGAGGATGATGAGTGCTCTTCTTCAGCCCCCCGGGTTGTTGCCTTGTCGTGCCTGAGGAAGGAGGCGGTGCTCGGCAGGCGCGATCGATGATGCAAACACGCGAAAAGACTCGACAAGGCGCAACACGTACCTTTTATGCACGCATTCCCGGCGGTTTGTGCAGCGGACGCGGTTCTTCCTGACTCCCTTCCCACTTGCGTCCGAGAGGTATGTCGTCTGACTGTCTGGGGTCTGATCCTGGTCTTCCTTCGCTGTTCTCTCTCCGAATTCTCCTGCAATGGAACGGCCGGAGGATCGGCAGGAGAGTTTTCCGTCGGAAGCCCGGAGGTTCTGTTGGGAAAGCCGGCCCGCCCAATGTCAACTCGAGCACCGCAATAACACACCACGATCGATGGAGTAGGATGAGCAGCAGGAAAGAGGTTGTGAGGACACAGAGGAACACTCGAGTCTGTTCAGCTGCTTCGTTTGATCGCCGGAAGCTCCACTGAATGGTCATTTCCCTGCCCGGATGCCCCCCCTGAGCGCGTGTTACATAATCAGGCACAATTTCAAATGCGGATGTGCACGGCGCGTCGGCCTTGGCCCCCGGGGCCGCTCGGCCAATCTACCTCATCTTATCGTGTGCTGACTGCTACAGCGTCAAGGGCACGACGAAGAGCAAAAGAACAGCAACAGCACGCTGGTCCGAAGGGTCAATCAGTATGGCAGTTGTCCAAGTCGTTCCGCCAATATCGCGCTGCATTGTACTCAAGGGGTTCAGGGTCACGTGATTGCCATATACAATTCATGGTCTCTTCTCACATCACCCACCCTTTCCGTTCCCCCATTCCTCCCGTGCAAAGAACGTCCTCAACCTCACAACTTGGCGCCCTTCGCGTGCGTGATGCGACCAACATACTCCTCCGGCATGAACCACCCCACCCACTTCCGCTCCACCCCCTCACTCATCCCGGTATTCCTATCCCATGGCGTCTTCTCCGCCAGGTACGTCAGGACGCTGTGGTCACAATCTGCCTCAGCATCGTAAGCGAACACGCTTTGAAGCGTCTCCGGCGCGCCCCAGAGATTCCAAGAAAGTTGGTTGACATCTGGTCCCGTCACGTGACGAGATGTGTTCTGCAGATTTCGGATCTCATTCTGCTCTTCCGTGTACGCCACCGACTCCTTCGATGCGGCTTCACGGTACTGATCACCAGGCGGAGGATACATGTACATGGCACCCATGGCAAAGGACGCTTGTTGTTTCAGCCAGGCCCGGGGCATGCGCGTCTTCTCGTAGACGTGAATCGCTTCTTCCAGGGACAGTACGCCTCGCACCACCTCGGCCAGGGCTCGACCGAGGAATGCGCCGTCTTCCATCGAAGTTGCGGCTCCCTAACATTCCTGGGTTAGCACGTGTGTCTGTTTCAATTCAAGAGGGTGTTCCCAGGTATCCATCGCTCCAATTGATCTCGAGATATCTGGACTACCTGAGAGTTGCTTACTTGTGCCATGTGATTTTGCATCGAATGGCTAGATTCGGCGTCAGCATTGACAGTAATGTTCGAGGAAGGGGTACTCCTCATGTCAACTTACGCCGCATCGCCCATCAAGACCACATTCTTTTGTGGGCTGGACCACGACTTCAACGGACCGGTGATGAGGAGCGGCCAACGATTCGATTGAGGGATAACATCAATCATCTTCTTCAAGCGTGGATCGACGTTCTTGAAGTACTCCTTCACCTTGTCCATATCCACGTTCTCCTCCACATCCGTCACCGGCCGGTCGAAGTAATGCGACAACACGACGTTCCAGTCGCGCCCGCCGGAGATGGGGTAGGTGATCACATAGCCCTTGTCCACGGACCACACGTCGATGGCGTTGCCAAACTCGCGAGACTCGGGCACCTTTTGCCACATTTCCTCGTACGGGACAATCGCTCTGTAGGCGGCGTTGTGGGTTGCCGCTCGCGGCGTGACGTCGGGGAACAGCGCCTTGCGCACCACGGACTTCAACCCGTCGCTGCCAATCAGGAGGTCGAAGGTATACTCCGCACCCTTGGTCGTCCGGACTCGGACGGGAGACGTTTCGAAATTAATGTCCTGCACTCGGGCGTCGATTACGAGCTTGACGCCGTGCCGTCTTGCCGCCTCGGAGAGACCGACGTGAAGATGGTGACGGTGGACGACCCACCACGGAAAGCCGAACTCGCGCACTGTCTTGGGAACCAGCTCCGTCCTCTGGATGATCTTGCCGTCTGAATTCCGCATGTTGATGTAGCGACATTGCACCAGGTCGTCGCCAATGATGTCCGAAACGCCCCATTTGATCAGCAGGCGGGAGACGTTGGGCGTCATTTGGATCCCGGCCCCGATCTGCCACCGAGCTGGTTAGCTGCGACGAATGGATCAAGGTATCGAATCCTACGTACCTCGCCCAGCTCGGCCGCGGCCTCGAGGACAGTGACATCGCAGCCTGCTCGCGCGATGGCAATGGCTGCTGCGAGGCCACCGAGTCCGGCGCCGCAGAGGCCGACTCTGAGTCGCTGTTTGGAAGCCTGGGGTGATTTTAGACAGTGACGATGCAGCAGGTTGACTTCTTGACTTTTACCATTGAATAGGATTGGTTCGATGCTTATTCACAGCTTATCAACAGTGGTGGACCGGTAAAGCTAGTATGCAGAAAGGACAATTGAGCGATGATTCGAGGATTACAAGGGACGGGGGCAACAGTCTAGTACGAATGAATTGACGAGACGATACCGTCATTATTTGCACATTCATTAATCGAACGTTCCGTCCGTCCCTCTCCGTCAACGGAGGAGGCGTGTGAGGGGAAGCGTGTTGATGCCTCAGGCCGACAGCCGCAGCCGCAGCCGCAGCCGAGGTGAGCGAGTGACGTCGCTTCGGCTGTTCCGCGTTCTTTTCGAGCTCGCGCCGCCCGTCCACCCTCCCCCGACCCATCTCGGCCCTGAGGAGGCATTGGCGAGCACGACAATGTTTCTTACCACCTGCACCCGATCCTTCGCCGTCCAGGCGAGTCTCCGGAGCACCATGCCGCTACGCGCCAAAATCCTCCACCCGGCCATGACGGGCAGTGTGGTGAAGAAGGTGAGCCAGTCATGCCCTCCCCCTGCTTTCCCCATCTCTATATTGGAGCATTGCGCTGACTGCCCTCGAGTTCGCCACCGCATCGCCCGCCGCCGTCAAAGAGCAGCCCGGCGACGAGCCCAACGATGTCCTCTTCAGCTCCAACCAGGGCGTGCGCACCATCACCCTCAACCGCCCCAAGAAGCTCAACTCCCTCGATGGCAGCATGTGCAGGAAGATCATCCCGAGACTACAAGAGTGGAGCAAGAGCCAGATGGCCAATGTCGTCGTCATCAAGGGAGAAGGCCGCGCCTTCTGCGCCGGTGGTGATGTGTCGTCGCTGGCGGCCAATAACAAGAAGGGCGCCGAGGGTCAGCAAGTCAGCAAGGACTTCTTCAAGCTCGAATACGGCCTCGACCACATGATTGCCACGTACGGCAAGCCGTACGTCGCCTTCCTCGACGGCATCACCATGGGCGGCGGCGTGGGCCTTAGCATCAACGCCCCCTTCCGCATTGCGACGGAGAACACGGTATTCGCCATGCCCGAGACCACCATTGGCTTCTTCCCGGATGTCGGCGCCTCCTTCTTCCTCCCTCGTATGGATGGAGAGCTGGGCATGTACCTCGCCTTGACCAGCGAGCAGCTCAAGGGCGTCAACGTCTTCTACGCCGGCGTCGCCACCCACTACCTCCACTCCTCCTCTCTTCCCGACCTCGAGGCCCGCTTGGCCGAGCTCGAGTTCAAGGACTACGACTCCGCAGAACATCGGGTGCGCGTTGTCAACGACACCATCGAAGAGTTCTGCACCGGCTTGCCCCATGACCAACCCATCAGCGCACCCGTGGCCGGCAACGTGCGGAAAGCCATCGACTACTGCTTCCACAGCAACCGCCAAGACGTCGACGCCTGTCTCAAAGAGGTCGCATCCTTCAGCGAAATGAACCCGGAAGAGCCGGGCGCAGAGGAGATCAGCAAATGGGCGCAGAAGACGCTCAAAACCATCAAGCAGCGCTCGCCGACCTCCGTCAAAGTCACGTACCGCCAACTGCGCAACTCGAAGCAATGGAGCATCGCCGAGACATTCGTGCGGGAACACGGCATGGCGTCACGCTTCATGGAACATCCGGACTTCGTCGAGGGCGTCACGGCGCTGCTGGTGGACAAGCCGAAGCGCACGCCCAACTGGTCGCCCAACGAACTGAACGAGGTCACCGAAGCCACCGTCGACGAGTTCTTCCCGAGTCCGGACAAGATCGCCATGGAGTTGATGGTGTCCGGCAAGGGAGCGGACTACGCCGAACCGCCCTACGCGCATTTCCTCGGCCTGCCCACGGAGAAGGAAATCGAGGGCGCGATTCAGCACCAGGGCATGACGAGCAAGGAGCAGGTGGTGGAGGCGTTCGTGTCGAAGTTCAACGGCAAGCAGGGCGTGGCGGAGAAAGTGAACGAGGTGCTGGAACGGCGGACGAAGGAGGAGGGCGGCAGGCTGGTGGTTGACGCGGCGTGAAATGTGTAGGATTAATACATCGAGGCGAGTGGAGTGACAGACTTTTGTATCGAATGCTGATCTGTCGGTGCTACTGATGGAGTCAGGCATATCACTCACGCCCTCTTCACCTCTTTCTCGCTATTCGCTCTCTCCCCCGGCATTCCCATCCTCCTCCATGCTCAGGCCCAAGAACTCCAGCGCCCAGTCCATCGGTCCAAACATGTTTGCTTCACAAACATAGTTCCTCTTCCCTGCCTCAAAAGGCCGGTACGCCTTGCCCGCCTCCAAGGCTGTCAAGACACCATCTTCAGCTGCATCCTCATCGTCCGAGCTACTCGTCTCCCAGTCCACGGGACCAAACATGTTGGCCACCAGGAAGTCATGCTCGCCGGCTGCTCGCGTGGTGTCGATGCCGTCTGCTTTGAACTCCGAGGCCGGGATGACGGTGATGGTGATTTCACTGGCGGGGTTCAGTGATGCGTCACAGAGCTTGGGGTGGCTGTGCTTTGTCCTGCGGGTGAGGGTGTCAGTCACGGCTTCAGTTGAGTAGGGTGGCAAGGAAGAGACGCAACTCGATGAGCACGAAGTCATCGTCCGAGACCTCCGGGTCGGTGTAGTAAGTGTAAGGCATTTCGATGCTTGGATCGATCGATCGAATCGAATGAACAGAGGTCGAGGTCCTGAACCACGTCCGATGAGGAGATGGTCCCATTTAACGAAAGCGAAGACAAGGCGAAACCACGGGGGGAAGCCATCCATCCCCCATCCCCTCCCGCAAACACAGCATACCCGGCCAAATAGTGCGGCTGCTGTCGAACCCTGCCTCCGCCCAACAGCTCCCCGCTATTGTTCGCCTGACAGCGCAGCGTGCTACCCATCTGCCACGTTGACAACCTTGCTCTGTGCTCCCGTCGGACGTTACGTGCTGGAGAGGTTATGCGGTCCCTGCTGCCCAGCTGCAGATCACCTCCGGGGAGGATTCGAGCCTTGCCGCCAGGATGGATGATTGCAGCCTGATTGTGGTAATTGGAGGATTTACAGAAAGGGCACTTGGGTTTCGATCTGTTGGCCTTCGTCTAAGGTAGTAAAGTGAATCATCTGTTTGCTCGTCTCCCCATCCCAAACGCCGCGCTGAACCGCTCTGATATCTCAAACCAATCTGGCTCTTCTCACGCCACAACACAGATGGTAGCATGCCTCCACATTGCATACCAAATCATCGATCTGCACTACATGGCCTTCACTTCATCCGCCCGAAGACCCTCATCCCCCCTCGAACGTTCCCATTATCGTGAGAGAGCAGCTCCATCGCCATCTCGTCCGCAAAGAGAACCGACTTCCCCAACAACGTCCACTCGTGATGATGCGGCAGCGTATCCTCATTGTACTCATCCCTCGGCTCCAGAATCCACAGCCGCGCCAAATGCAAGTAATCCGCATCCATCAGCGCCGCCGGCATGGCGACGCGAATCTCTCCCGGCGGGATAAAAGTCAGCACCTTGCCGCCCTCGGCGGTGTGCACGCAGATGGGGCGCCACGCCTGCGGCCGCATGAGCTGGCGTTGCGGCATGCCGCGAATGACGAGGAAATTGACAAAATCCATAAGGAACGTGGCCGCCCTGTCCGTCCACGCGGCCTCGGGCCAGCGGCCGCAGGTGTTCATGAACGCAATCAGCAGATCATACGCGGCTTGCAGGTTGTGCTTGGTGCCGCTGACGCCGTAACGCTGGCACACGTCGCTCAGCCAGTCGGGCCCGCACTCGAAGATGCTGGACAGCGTTTCGGCGTAGACGTCGCGGACGGAGCCGAAGAGGTGGTTCGCGTTGGCGTCGTTGAGGAGGTAGCGCTTGCGGTTGCGGCCGTAGTTCATCGCTTTGCACCGCTCCATGAAGCGGTAGGCTAGTTGCAGGTTCTCCGGGATGTCGACTGCTCGGAGGATTTTGCTGGTCGTCAGGAATTTCAGGTCGAGTTGGACGAAGTGTTCGTCGTCTCTGATGTGCGTCGTGACGTGATACTGTGCGGGAAGACGGTCTAATGTGCGATAGTTGTTCAGACCGGAGTCGACTGTCGTCGGGAGAAGCATCCAGGTGGATCCGAGACGGTATGGGAGGCTGCTGAATGAGTGACCGACGGTGCACAGAGCCCCCGGGTCGCGGGCGGCAAGTGCCAACAGCAGGAGCATGTACTGGCATTCGGCAAGCGGAAGGTTCACTGCTGGGTTTCTGGCCTTTGGATGCAAAGCAAGCCCACACTCCAAGGTATTGAGGATGATCGAAATCTGATCCTTTCTCGCATCGGCCGCCCGTTGTGCTTCGGGAATGCGAGGATCGCCTCCTGCCTCCATGGCGAAGACCTCGGCGACCACCGTGGTGAAGTTGCCGTGGTGCGATCGCAGGTGGCCCTCGGTCGACGGCTTACTGCGGTCGCGGAAGAAAGCGTACAATGCAGGCTTCACCGCCTCGATGGCTGGTTCAAAAGCCACTTCGGTCGCGAGGGCCAGGAGATGGGCCAGACAGGATCCAGTAAAGCGGACAATACCGGGTCCTGTTGGGGAACTCGAAGCCCGACAAGGTATGAGGAAGATGTGGTGCCGCGCGAGCCGCATCTCGTGCCTACACCACGCACGAACAAACCAAGACGATGACAAGAGCTTCCTAATGACCCGATACAAATCATCGTGGGCCTCCAGCCACGGCCGCGCGCGGTGACGGAAACGTTTGTTGGGGGGCACGTTGACTTGCTCTTCGAAGGCTTCCATGTGGTCTCGCAGCACTCGTCCTTCTTGTCTCGACAGCATGATATCGTCCAACACGACAACGACCAAGCGTGCACTGCGGTACACCATGTCCATGGCGGCCATCGAGATGGTCTTTTCGCTTTCGGAGTCTTGGTCGATACAAATCTGATCAATCCAGACGCCTTCGTCTGCAGACTTGCGCTCGTCCCATACCGCCTGGAATATTTCCGGTTCAAGCGGCAATGTATAGTGGGTGTCATGTTTCTCGACGTGTAATTTGCGTCGGTAGCTGAGGGCGAGAAAGGACTGATGCTGCCGTTCTGTCACGCCAGGTTTGTCAAAAACGAGCCGGAATTTGAAATCCCTCTTCACATCGAGCTTGACTGTAAACATCGCAGCAACCGCATTGTCCAAATTGGCCAGGGCCGCGAGCAGCTCGACTGGTGAGCTGTCAGTGTCCGGGGGAACACCCAACATCTGCTGCTTCTCTGCGGCTTGAAGTTCGTGCACATTCGCATTGCTGATCTCCGAATGCTGAAGCTGTCCAATCTGTTTGATCTCGAACAACGTCGAATCCAGGTGCGGGCCGGGCGCGTCTGAAAGGCTGCCGTTTGCCTGCGATGTACGATTGTGTACACTGGGAAGCCTGCCTCTGTCTTCGGTGGCGTCTTCAAATAATTCGGCCGCGCTCATGTGAGGAAGCAGCTCGAATTGAACCCTCCCAGACCCCGGCGACATGGGCGATCTAGATCTTGAGGTCGGCGACACCGCCTGCGAATCCGACTCTGCCTCATCTGGAATGTCGTGTAGGTTGCTCGCCGTTTTGACAATGACCCTCGGTCCGGACCCAGTAATAGGAGACATGGGGTCGTGCTTTGCAAGCTTACGAGGTGCGGTCTGAAGCGTGAGGCCGACATAGTCACCACTGCGTTGCCGATGGTGATTCGGCCCTGGCGAAACGGCACGTGACGGTCTCCTGGGTGAAGTGTGATGGTCGCTCAGGTAGTCCTCGTCACTGCTGGTCTGATCGACGCTGATGTCGTTGCTATATCGTTGTCGGCGAACCGATTTATGTCGCGAAGGGATTCCCAGATGTTGACTCCCGGGGAAAAGATCTCCAGTGGATAGAGTTTGGCCATCCGCACTGACAGTCGAGCCCTTCCGACGCTTCACCGGTTCCTGCTGGGCGGTGAAGGCTTTGGTGGCGATGTTGATGAGCCGGAGCAAGCGTAAGCGTTGAGAGGTTTCCCTGGGAGCCGTCATAAAGTACTGGCGCCGCCAGGATGCCATTTCATACAGCTCTTTGCATTTCTCCGCCTTTTCCTCCGCCTCAAACTTCGCCAGCATGGCATCACGATACGTGTTGAATGCGGCGAGTTCCTCCCTTCGTAATCGATCGTATTTCTTCCGCCGTTCCGTCGTAGCGTTCTTGTCGCTTCCATCTGATGAATCCGCTCTTTTCTGTAGCCGCGATATCCTTGACTGTGATTCCCACTCTTTTGGCGTGGGACGATCAGCATTGCGCTCCTCCGCAGGACTGTCCGGCTTATCCGCTCGCTCCTGTGCATGCTCGAAGGTATAGCGTTTGACGATGCCGGGAAAGCGCGGCACATCGTCGTCATCCCCATCGCTGGGTACATGGCGATTGTCTGGATGTTGGCAATGGCTGTGTTGCCCCAACAAGTCGGCCGCACTGGCAAGGATGGTCTCGTGTAAATCATAAAGACCGAGCAGCTCGACATATCGCCGCCGCTTGTGGCTCTCCTTCAAAAGCTCCCATGCTTGATGCACGTGGTTGAAATACTCCGAAAGGGTAGCCGTTCTCGACTCGTCGGTGTTCTGATTGCGATTGGGGTGGTAGCGACGCGCGAGCTCGTAGTATCGCGACTTGATGAGCGCAGGCGATGCATCTCTCTCCAGACCAAGGGCGAGGAAGGGGTCGAAGGGCGCGGGAAAGGCCATCACCTGCCGGGTTTCCTCCACCTCCAGGCAAAGCAGTTCCGCATGATGAATGACGGCGGAGGAGGAGGGCGGAGGGGTGGAAAGCGCGTGTACTTCAGGTACACGCGAGAGCTGAATGCTGGAAGCCTTGGCCCTGCCGTCGGGCGGACTAATGACTTATTAGCCTTCGCGGAGGTTCGGGCCGGACGAGCTGAATCGTGGTTGACAGGCAGGCGCAACCACGGAAATAGAAGCAATCGACTGGGTGAAATATCAGGTTGTTGGATTCGAATTCGTTTGCAAGGGCTCCAACACCCATTCGGGGTCGAGAAGGCACAGACAAGTGGCGACTTTGTATTCTTGGACACATTGATCGAGGATGTACCACAGCATGCACGTGTGGGCGATACTGCATACGCTATGTATAGATCGACATCTTACGCGGCCGGCCACAAGGCTCAATCAAGTCGTGCATCATGGGTATACTATGGCAGGGAAGCCGGTATCACCATGTTCCGGTTGCACTTCTCACCGCAAGCTTCAACTTCTTCTCAACGTCCTGCAGGCCCTCGTCATGCCGTTTCTGAAATTGTCGCTGCGTATAGTTGTGCCACCACCACCACTATGATCCCATGGTCAGCAGGGGATAGCTAGGGGAATGTGCCGCCTCAGGATAGCATTGACAGCACTGTGGACTCACCGCGATATAGAGGAAGATGGTCAAAGGCACCGTCACCACGAAGAAAACGTAGAGATACGGCGATGCAATCTGGCCGCCCGGTGCCGGACTCCAGTTGAACATGCCGTTCATCGAAAACACCGAGGCGACCGCGGTGCCGGGGAGGAATGTCAGGGTCAAGATGGCGATGGTCTTCATCGCCGCCGAGTCCTGCCGCGTCTCCTCCGCCACTTGCGCCGTCGCTTTGGCGATTTCGATGTTGAGCAGATTGTCTCGTCTGCTCTCCTCGGCGATCCTGCGCGAGCTCTGTGCCAGTTGGATGTTGAGAGCGTTGTCTCGTTGAGCGATGAAATTGAAAATCTAGTCCCTCGACCGTCAGCACATGACGCTGCGTGAAATGGCATGGGGCTCACAAACCGTTTTCGACTGCCCCTTGATCCTCCTCGGAACAATGTCGAGATCCACTTTGACCTGCTCGGCATATCGCATCTGCTGTTCGATCTTCTCCCGCATTTCCTCGAGGTACGAGGTGCCCCCTTCCCACAGAGCGCTCCACAGATTCTGATACTCGGTGAGGTATTTCAAAAGATTCCTGGCCAGCTCCAGCTCGAAGTTCGACCTCCGTTGTAATCGCAAATGCTCGAGGTTCAACCGATTGAGTAGCTTGTAATCGCCATTCTCGTCGAGCGAAATGTTGCCTTCTGCGATCCGCTTCTCCGTGCTCGTCAGCTCTCGCGATAGTTTTTGCACATAGCCAAGAGTCTCCTCGACGTGATGTACGAGCACATTGAACGGCAGGATCGCAAAGTCTCGAGGGACCTTGGGATGTCGATTGAGATATGTTTGCGCCCCCAACAGCTTGTCCAGGTTGTATGTTTCGTCGGTGAAGAAGATGCCCCCACAATGTGCGCGTTCGCGGTTCACCAGGGAGAGCGAAGTGAAGGATCTGCCATCCCGTGGAGTCTGTAGTAAGAAGACTGGCTCGGCGTCAGTGCTGGCTGTCGGGGACGAGTCAGGATTTACGCACCCAGGATCTTGTGCGAGATCAAGCACGCCGACCCGCCGCCATCACGTCTCCAGAGATGCTCATACTCGTCCGATATCCACCCGTTCTTCTTGACTTGCTCGAGAATGTCGGAGCGAAAGGGGAGCTTGGTTGTGTCGAGTAGATTTGCGCTGACGCCCTTTCCGACGCTGTTCCAAATTAGCAGTGGGACGTGAGAGTGCACCGGCGGGCCATACAGCAACTTAAACCGGACGGTACTATCGTCATAGCTACGGTCGATCTGATGGCGAGTTCAGCGAGATTGGACTCCTTCACGAGACTCGGTCATACCTTGTGATTGACAAGGAAATCTTCCTCCTCCAGCTCTCTCAGCGCATAAGTCTTGAGGGTGGCGGGGAAGCGCCAGTTGTTGTGCTGTGTGAGTTGAGCGATTGGACATGATCAGAACTGAAAGGTCTAGGCACACCTCGAGTTTGGAGTCACTGGGATTGAGGGTGTTAGTTTGATGGGTGATGGGAAAGGCGCGGTCCCATCTCGGTACCTGATTTCAAACTTGACCGGCTCCATGAACCGCAGGACACAGCCGCCTCCCGTTGCTGTGGGCGGGACAAGGCTGAAACTCTCGTTCTTTTGTCGATTGCTTCACATCATGTCAGGCGCCTGATGCGCGCCGTCTGAGACTTCTGGTCGAGTCTTGGTCGAGTCTTCGTTGCAGTAGGCCAGGCCAAAGGCGGAGTTTTCCCGCCATTCAGCTGGACGTGCATTAGCCTGGCTGTCGTGCATGCGGTGAGGAGTTAGTTCTCTTGGCTTGCCTGAGGCCCGCAAGACATCGGACAGAGCTCGTGACTGCGACCTCGAGGTCGTTCGGCAGGAGAGCTAGAGCATTGACGAGGAATTGGTAGACGGTGATAGGAAGATCCGTATTGCTCGAGCATATCGGAGCGGGCGGCCAACATGCATGCATCGTTGGCGGCAGTCACGAACCGCCGCCAGTCGAGGCAGGAGCGTCCCACCAATCACAGCACATCGGCCGGGCTGTGCCACCTCTTCCTCCTTTACAGCCCCCCGACCAGCGCACATCCACGGCCCTGGGGATGAGGAAAGTGTCGCCCGATGCCCTCTCGAGCGATTTGCGTGGGCGGCGCCGTGTCCTACGAGTACCTCATCTTCCCCGCCATTCCTGCCGACACCGATGCGGAGCACCAGCGCGCCCATCAGCATCACGAATCCTCCCGACTGACCATCCGCGCGGGATCTGCAGCCTTCGTGGCTCGTCTGCTCCACGCCGCTGCGCCTCAATGGGGCCTCGACGTGAGCAGCCCGGCGCTACAGCATCCCGCCTCCAATTGTCTCACTCATAATGCCTCGTCCATCGTTGACCTGGCTGTGAAGAAGCCTTCCCACCAGACCTCCCTGCGCTGGGAGGTGGTGCAGCTGCGCGACATCGACCGACGTCCCATCTGGCATTCACCGCCTCTGGAGCAAGCGCCCATCTCGGGAGTCAGCACCGTCGTCCTCACCGGCTCGGGTGACGCCTTTCAAGACGTCGAACCCGCCCTCGACTTCCTCCAGAAGGTGAAGCCGAAATTCATCATTCACTACATGACCCGCCCCCTGGCCAAGGGCCGATTGTGGAACATCATACGGAATGGTCCCATGATCAGTGACGGTCCTCCCGATCCAGAGCACCTTGCGGTCATCATTGACGCCGACGACTTGCGAGCAGAGGGTATCAACTTGAGTCGCTCCCTGTCTTGGGAAGCAACGGCTGAAGACTTTGTGCTGAACCTGGGCTCCAACGGCCGACTGGACACGCTTGTGACGTGCCCGAATTTAATTGTGCGGTTTGGGAACGAGGGAGTCATTCACCATCGTGGCCGAGACGCTGTGGACCCGAAGCTCTACTTCCAGCCACGACAGATGGAGAAGACCAGTGATCATATGGTGAGTTTGCTCGTATTCAATTGTTCCCTCGCATGAAAATGTCACGCCGTGACGACAGCAAACGCGGAATCCCCCCGTGCATACAGACATATGTGTCGACGCCACATTCTCGAACTTGTCTTTGTTCGCTACAGAATCCTGCTGACCCTCTCCATGTAGATTGGAACTGCATCAGCATTCGTGGCTGGCTTCGCCATCGGCTTCCCGAACGGCGACAAAGGCATCAGACTAGGTCTCGCAGCAGCTCAGAGACTGACGGATACCGGCTTTGAGCAAAACACCATCGACCAATCCCCAGACTATCCGGTCCACTCAATCATGGAACAACTCGACTCTCGACAAAAGATCTCGACGGTAAGCGTGCCATCGAGCAGAATCAGCAGCGGCGACAGCTTCACCATCTTCGACACACTCACCGGCGATGTGAGCGAGGTGGCGCGGCAGATCGTCACGGCTGGCCCTGACAAGGCGCTTTCCCGATGCTCGGTGCGTTGTTTTGGAGACCTCCAGAGCGTCGATCGGACCGAGCAAGAGTCTCTTGGCTCCATCGTCGATACTATGAACGAGCGTCTGGAATCGGGGATCCCCGCGCCGACATGTATCGGCATGATCGGACCAGTGGGCTCGGGCAAGAAGTTTGTGGCGAAGAATCTGTCGGAGCAAGTCGGTCAGAAATGGCCGGTCCGCAGATTGACTTACAATGCTCGTGTCGTGGGGGTGGATGACCTCACAAACGCTTGCCATACCATTCGCGACAATGCCGCGGACGGTTTCCTGACCGTGGTCAGCTTCGAAAACTGCGAGGCTCTCCTCCAAACACAACGAACTCTCCTCGACGAGTTTGTCTCCATCATGCGCCACGGCGCGTTCAAAGACGGAGGTCAGGAGCGCAAGGTCGGGCGGTCGCTGTTGATGTTTCTCGTCAACCGAGACACGTCTTTCACCGAGAGCACCTCGACACCCACATCTTCCGCGTTCTCGGCGCAGTCACGAGTCGACGACGCACATCTACTCGACAACCTGCACGGCGTGGTCGAGCTGAGCGGCACCAACTCGACCGGCCCCGACGACAGACTGTTCCCGATCCGTCGAGCGTTGATGCTCCGCCAGCTTCTCAGAGAGCGCCATCCCCATCTCGAAGTCAACGGCACCATCAAAATTGAGGACTCCGTCCTCCACGCCCTCCTCTTCGTGCCCTCGTACAAGCACGGCCTGCGCTCCCTCGAGAAAATCGTCAGCACCAGCCGACTCTCCGGCCGCACGAAGTTCGATGTCTCCTCCCTCCCACCAGAAGAGCAAATTGCACTGCACGTCGACGGGCGCACTTTCATGAGCTACTTACGCTCGCCCAGACTCCCGCCCGCCCTACGCGAGACACTAGCCGAAGGACTCTTCGAAAGCTACAAAAAGCAACGCATCCTCATGGCCACGACGCCCGAGCGGAAGAAGGAAATCGCCTCCGACCCCGCCATGGCGGACTGGGACGAGCTCTCCGGCATCTACAAGGAATCGACGCGCGCGCAAGCGGACGACATCCCGCGCAAGCTGCGCGCGGTGCGCTGCTTCATGCTGCGCGAGAAGCGCGGCGACCCCCTCGTTCCCATCCCTGGCTTCACGGAGACGGAACTCGACATGTTGTCGGAGATGGAGCACGAGCGCTTCAATGCGGAGCGCCTGCAGCGGCAGTGGAAGATGGGGCCGCGCGACTCGAAGCAGCGCACCACGCCGTTTCTCGTGCCTTGGAGGGATCTGACGCAGGAGTGGAAGGATGTGGATCGCGTGATGGTCGAGTGCGTCCCGAGCGTGCTCGCGGCGGCGGGCTATTACATCTATCGGATGAAGGAGGAGGATTGAGTGGGAGGAAGGCTAGTAATGGGGGCTACGGTCATGGCATTACTGGGTATCTAGTAGACTCGCATCCCATCAATTGCACACAAATCTTGTCCCAAATCGCCGCTAGTAGATGCTCGCCCCCCAAATCGGCGGCGGCAAATAGCTCGGCCTCTGCTTCTCCATCGTCTCGAGCTCGTATACGCTGAGCAAGCCCCCGAACGGCTGGCCTATGCTTTCGAGGAGATATAGACATCGGCGACCGACGGCCTTGACCGGCTTCTGCAACTTCGACCGGGTTGATGTGGACGTGGACGATGCCGTTGATTGAGCTGATTGGTTCGAATTGATGGAGATTGTTCTGGTGGGCGTGGAGTCGGTGGAGGAGGAGGAGGAGGAGGAGGAGGAGAGTCTAGAGTACGTCCGGCTGCGGAGAGAATGTGGACGGTGCATTGTTGTTTCGTTGGGAGCTCTGGTTCAGGGGAGTCTCTGTAATGATCAACTGGTTGGTTGGCTCGTTGGTTGAAGGACACGAACGAGAAAGCAGTAGAGAGGAGGTGATATCAATTGATTGTGGCAATGCCCAAGACGAGCGACATCCATCCTTTTATCCCCAACGCTTCACGGTCCCCGTCAGCACCCCATGCTGATACATCACCACGCTGATCGCACGCTGCCAGCTCAAGTCGCCATGCTCACGTCACGTTGCGCATGGTCGATCCGAAATGGGTGATCCGACGGCGAATGATATCCCCAGATTCTCGCTTCTGCGCACTTGCCATTGAGTTTAGAGTTGCCCGAGCGAGCGCAAAGACGGCTGCACGCTGATGTGAGGTTCGTAAGCTGCTGACCGGCGATCCTTGAGTGCCGATCTTCGCCCGACCCTGAACTCCTGCCTTCAGCTCGGGCAGGCGTGTGGGGAGGCTGGGGGCGATCCGGGCAAGCACACCCATGTTTCTGCTCTTCAATTCACGTGGGTTGCCGCCTTATTCATCCTTGATCATTCCAATGATCGCATCTGATTGGCTTGTCAGCTTCCCAGGCTGAGAAGCGAAGCCTGCACGGTGCGAGGGTAGCGACGGTGAGCATCACCGAGGAAAGCGGCAATCATCCAACGGCCCTTGATGTCCCTCCCGCATCAAGGGCTGAGCCGGGCCAGAGTTGGTACCGATGCGCCTTCTCACGTATGACGACGCTGGTGCTATCAGCTTCACCAAAGATCTCTTGGAGTCTGAACTAGCAAGTTACCCGTACGCCATTCTGTCGCATCGATGGGGGCCCGCGGAGGAAGAGGTCACCTACAACGACGTCCTGACAGGCATTGGCACGAGCAAGCCAGGCTCCGGCTCAGCAAAGATACGATTCTGCGTCCAACAGACCAGGCGCGATGGCCTGCAATACTTCTGGGTGGACACGTACTGCATCGACAAGACCAACCACACCGAGCTGTCCGAGGCGCTCATCTCCATGTTTCGATGGTATGCCAATGCCCAGAGGTGTTACGTTTGTCTCTCCGACGTCACTCTTGACAACTGGGAGCGGCATCTCCGAGCCAGCAAATGGTTCCGGCGAGGCTGGACGCTTCAAGAGCTGATTGCTCCGTCGACGCTCGAGTTCTTCTCCAAGGAAGGACAGACTATTGGTACTAAGGCCTTTCTGATAGATCAGATCAATGAGATCACAAGGATTCCGATTGCCGCTCTCCAGGGAAAGGCACTGACAGACTTCACCGTGCATGAGCGTCGACAATGGCAAGAAGGTCGAGAGACTCTAAAGCCTGAGGACTTGGTGTATTCACTGCTGGGCCTGCTTGACATCTCGATGCCGGTGCTGTATGGCGAAGGAAAAGTAAAGGCGGCGGAGCGGTTAGAAACCGCACTCAACGAGGCGCAGAAAGGCAAACAGTACACGGACTTCTCGCTAGTCTTCAGTCTCGCCGAAGCAGCAATCGAGACGCAACGCTTTGTTGCACGAAACAGCGAACTGCTAGAGATACGCACTCATCTCAGCAGTGATGGCAGCCGTAGGACGGTGGTGCTTCATGGCCTCGGGGGCATTGGGAAGACGCAGCTGGCAATGGCATATGCCAAGCGACACAAAGACGACTACTCCGCGATCCTCTGGCTGAACGCGAAGAGCATAGACTCGATCAAATCCAGTTTTGGGAAAATGGCAAAGCAGATCCTCCGCGAGCATCCTGGTGCCACGCCTCTGGCCGGCTTGGACTTACAACAAGACCTGGATGGAGTTGTCGATGCGGTGAAAGCTTGGCTCAGCACGCCAATGAACGCTCGCTGGCTCCTGATATGCGATAACTACGACAACCCAAAAGTTCCAGGAAATACCGACCCGAACGCGCTCGAACTTCGTCATTATCTGCCCGAGGCCTATCAAGGCGCCGTTATTGTGACCACCCGGTCATCTGAAGTGAAGCTCGGACACTGTTTGAGGATCAAAAAGCTCGAGACATTGCAAGATGGTCTGGAGATCTTGGAGGACGCGTCGGGTCGAAGGGAGCTGGCAAAAGATGACGACGCAGTCCGGCTCGTCCTTAAGCTGGACGGTCTACCGCTCGCGCTGGCCACGGCAGGAGCATACCTCAACCAATCTACAATGACATGCGCCCAATATCTCGACTTCTTCGATCGGTCATGGGCACGCCTCCAGAAAATGAGTCCCGGACTGCTTACGTACGAGGACCGCACGCTCTATTCCACTTGGCAGATCTCTTTCGATCAGATCGAGCGGCAGGATAGCACGGCGGCGAACCTATTACGCTGGTGGGCTTATTTTGACAATCAAGATGTCTGGTTCGAATTGCTGAATCACACTGACAATGACAATCCTCAGTGGATGGCTGAATTGGTTGAGGATGAACTGGCTTTCCACGCGTGTATGCAAGTCCTGTGCGATCATGGACTGGTGGAAGCCGATGCGCAGAATCAGTACGGGGTCGAATCCACTGGCTACAGCGTTCACGCCTGTGTTCACTCGTGGATGACAGCCGTGCTGAACTCGCAAAAAGACGGAGCCCTAGCTCGCGCTGCTTTGGACTGTATAGCATCCCATGTGCCCGACTTGCATGCTCCTCAATGGTCTCTGGTCCATCGCCGACTGCTCAATCACGCCAATAGGTGTCTGGACTATCTGGACGTTGCTGACAGCGGGCTGGAATCGGCCTGGGCCTGGAACACACTTGGACTGTTATACACCAGGCTCGGCAAGCTTACGAGCGTGGAGAAGCTGTTCACACGAGAACTCAAGGCGTACGAGCAGGCACACGGACCAGACCACGCGTCGACGCTCGGTGCCGTGAACAATCTCGGCGTCATGTATAAGAACCAAGGGAAGCTGGAAGAGGCAGAGGCGATGTATAGGCGCGCACTCAAGGGCTACGAAAACGCGCCGGTCGCAGATCCCTTGACGACGCTCGACACCCTGCACAATCTCGCCGGGCTGTACGTTATGCTCGGCAAGCTCGCCGACGCCGAAACGCTGTACCTACGGGCACTGAAAGGCTGCGAGGAGACGCTCGGAGCAGAGGCGCCGTCCACGCTCGACACCGTGAACAACCTTGGCATGCTGTACAACGACCATGGCGAATTCGACAAGGCCGAGATGTATGTGCGAGCGCTCAGAGGGAGAGAGAAGGCGCTGGGGGCGGATCACACGTCGACATTGCTGATCGTCAACAACCTAGCCATAGTATACGCTAATGAGGGCCGGGTGGCGGAGGCCGAGGAGATGTATGTGCGAGCGCTCCAGGGCCAGGAGAAAGCACTCGGGGCAGATCACCTCACGACGCTCAACACCGTGCACAACCTCGCCATCCTGTACAAGTATCAAGGCAGGCTGACAGAGGCCGAGGAGCTGTATCAGCGAGCACTAAGCGGGTATGAGAAGGCGCTTGGTGCAGACCACACGGCGGCCTTACGGGCTGTCACGAATCTAGGACTGCTTCTGATGGCGCAGGGGAGGCGTGAAGACGCAGAAGAACAGTACCTTCGTGCAATGGCCGGCTATGATCATATGCCTCCGCAGATGCAAATCTACGTGGACGAGTTAGGTCGATTGTTGTCTGATGCACCAGACAATGCCGCGATGGGGGAGCATTTGCTGCCTGTCGATGCATTGAAGTAAGGTAGTCTCAGGTAGACGGTAACGCTGGACGATACCATCGAGTCCACGTAAAACGTCAGTATCCTCAAAGCAGTATATATCAAAGTCCGCAACTTGTTCCCTTTGTGACTCTGTTGGAAGACGCGAACACGGCCTCGCAATGGGTCGAAACTCGAAGCCCGGGCAGACGCCGGCAATAACCCCCGGCAATATAATTGAAATCAATCGGAAGTCGCGCGTCCAGAAGCCCAGGCGGCTATCTGCGTGCACGAACAGGTTATGAGCCGGAGCCACTGAGCCCCTCACTTTCCTCCTCTGTTTCCGAACGGGTCGCGGACTCACCGCCCGACACCGATTCGAGTTTCTTCCAAGCCGCGACGAACAGACCGCGCAGACTTCTTCCAAGCCGCCCACGGACGCGTGTGGCAGGACTTGCCACTGTTTCGAGCCGCGCATTGACGCGAGCCGAGTTTCAAGGCGCAAGCAGCGCGAGACGAAGACTTCAATCCAGAGAGACGTAGGCCCAGACGCATGGATCTGCCCGGACAGGGCGAGCGCGCTGGCGGCCGAACTCTTTTGTCCCAGGCGACGGCTTTGGAATCTAGTTTTTTTGTTTCCAAGGTTTGATGTTCTGATCATTGTCGACGGACTCAGGTGGGTGAGCGATATGTATTGGATTAGGCCAGATGCGTGCTCGGTTGGTGCTCGGTTGGTGCTTTTTGCGTTCCGTCGATGTTTGTACAATGTTCTATAATATTAACACATGCACGCTGTGCACTACGGAGTTGAGGTAATCGAGATTCTCACTCATGCTGGAGGTGTTACCCGCGGGAGTTGGAATGAGCGCGCTGCTTGCGGCCACCCTCCTCCACGGCGAAGTCCTTCAAGCGGGTGATTGAGGCTTCCACGGCTTCGCCGCTTCCGCCAGGAGGAGACGTCTCCATATTCGTACATGCTTCTTCCGCAACTCCTCGACGGAGGGAGCAGAAGTCACAAAGCCGCATCCTTACAGCTCGGGTCTGCTCACCGCCTTCCCAACCCCCACTTCGCAATCCTCTCCTGTACATCCGTCCACGCAATCTCCTTCAACGTCACCCCCTCCTCCTCACCCTGCTGCAACACCACCGTCGGCGCCCCCGAGCCCTGCCCCACATTCCGCACCTCGCCACCAAACACCGTCTTGGCCACCCGCCGCAGATCCTGCATCGTCACCGCCTCGATGTTGCGCACCATCTCCTTGACGGGGATCCGGCGGCCGTACACCTGCACCTGCCGGCCCAGATCCTCGAGTTCGACCATGCGGGATTCGAGGTTCATGAGCAGCGACGAGCGCAGCTGGTTCTTGGCCCGCTTGACTTCGATTTCGCTGAGGCGGCCCAGGCCCGTTTCCGTGGAGAGTAGGGACAGTTCGCGCGCCATGACGTCCAGCATGCGCGGGACGAATTGCGTGCCGCACGCCGCGCTGATGCCGAACACGCCGGAGTCCGTGTAGGCGTGGTTGAAGGCGACGCAGTTCTCCACCCAGCCGTGCTGGTTCAGGACGTTGGTGTAGAGCCGGCTGTACATGCCCTTGCCGGGTCCACCGGCGGAGAAACTGCCGCCGCCGCCGAGGAGGGTTTGGAGGGTGGCGATGGCGTAGATGTCGGGGTGGGAGATCGGAAGGGATTCGAAGGCGAGGTGGATGTGCGAGAGTCGCGGGATCATGGGACTTGGCGGGATAGGGAGCGGGGGGAGGGTGAGGAAGCCACCGGTGTAATGTGATGGGATGTCGTAGTCGATTGGTTGTTCGAGAGGGTGCGGAATAATTTGGGATGGGTCGAGAGGAGACACGGTTGCGGAGCGCGGAGCGGAGGTGGAGAGGTTCTTGAGAAAGGGAATCTTGGACATTAATCTCGAGTCCTTTTGCGAGGCCATCTGTGATGTCGGGTAAGGAGGGGTGATTTGTTGCTGTGCCGAGAGGTCTTGTGCTTCCACTGCAGGCTGTGGGCCCGAGGTGGCTATAGCCTTCATGTCTCCAAAATACTGCTCCGTCAGTCGGACGGCTTCGGCGTGAGGCACGCCGGCGAACGCCACCACGGTGCGCTCGGGCTTGAAGAAGGCCTTGCGGTATGCCTCGATGGTCCGTCGATCGATGCTCTCCAACCGCTCGCGCGGACAGAGCAGGGGATTTCCGAGCGTATTGTCCTTGTATGCAGCCATGTGCACCAGCTCGGGCAGAATGAGTTCCGGCTTCCCCCAAATCTCGCCAATCTCGTAGTCCGCAGTCTCCAATTGCCTCGCCACCTCTTCGTCGGTCACCAAGGGCTCACGAATGGTTTCGGCGAGGAGCGCGAGGGTTTGCGGAACGGCGGAGTTGAAGGTGGCCGACTGGTACATCAGACTTTCCCTCGACGACGCGCACTGGATGTTGCCGCCCAGCGTCTCGATGGACTCCAGCATCTGGTCCGCCGTGCGCTTGGACGTCGACTTGAAGGCCAGGCGGTCGATGATGTGGCTGACGCCTCGCAGCGCCTCGTTCTCGTACCGCGAGCCGGCGTCGATGTACACGCCGATGCCGGAGAAGTGGCCCGGCAAGGACTCGGTGGCCACGCGGATGCCATTTGGCAGCGTGGTTATTTCATCGGTCTCGGTGGGTTCGCGTTCGAGGGGGGTGGGGGAGGTGGTGGCATAAGACCGGAGGGAGAGTGGTGCCGCGCGCGATCGGGGGGATGAAGCGAGGCGCGAGAGGTGTCGGGGGAGGATCAGACTTCTGCGCATCGTCGATGCGGAGTGAGACTGAGACGGTAGCGGGTGGGAGGAGGAGGAGGGGGGGAAGCAGGATGCGTTGGAGGAGCACACGATCGCATCGAGTTTGACTTTCTTTACCTTGGAATCCGACGAGTGGGTCCGGAAGGTGAGCCGGGAGCAGGGTTTCGCGCTAGCCACGGGAGGGGCCGCTCGCGGATCATGATTGTTTCGGTCGCCGGCAACTCCCAACTTTGGAACTTCCAGGCTCTGCCGACCAGCTGAAGCAGGGCGAGCGAGGGGTGGGAGGGTGGTGTGTGGAGGCCAGTCGGGGCGAATGAGTGGCATGAACGGTGCCAGCACAACGAGTGGGTGGAATATGCTGCCTCAGAAAGAGGGGTCTGCGCCACCCAGGTTGACCCGGGGGTTGCGGGCGATTGCGTATGATGACCCGCCCATCCATTCCATGATTTACATCATTTCGCCCTCACATTCCCGAGAGCTTATCCTATTCCAACAAGCACATATAACCCCGTCCGACCCTCTGCCCTCCGTGAGCAACTGCTAAGCAATGCCAACACGTTGATCCCCTCTTGGTGTGACTTCCACCTTCTCTTCCCACCCCTTCACTGCTACACCATGAACGCCGATCCCTCGACCCCACCATCTTCCGATAGATCGCGGGCCTCCAGCGATGCCAGTTCCCGCACCTCGCGGAGACGCAAAGTCACGTCCCTCTGCATTCGCTTCGTGCGGTACGTTCGAGGCATCGACGACAAACATGTATACGTCGGGAACGTGCGACGGCCTCAGGTCGCGTATGTTCCTCCGCCGCCCTACGCTGCGGTAACGACGTGAAACACGAACCCTGAAGACCCGCCGTTGTTGAACTTGGGGGCTACACCATGGGCTCCAATCAGGTGCGTGGTAGTCCGTGACGAAGACCGATGCAACGAGCGCTGACCGCATATGCAGCTTACCAGAGTCAATGCCCCTCCGCATGAAAGACAACTCCGTGCTGCCGCGTGCGAGTGATCCCGCCGTGAAGGTGGCCGCCAGGGACCTCGCACTCGATTCTATCCGACACAGAAACGAATGACACGAATCATGTGCAATCCGACACTCCGAGATTCCATTCATAGCGCTAGATGAGCACCGATATCGTGAGCCGCGTACAAAAGATCATGCTTGCAAAATGTGCCGCTCCATTCCATTAGACGCCCCCGCTCTCTCTTGACTCCCTATCATTCCCATCGAATACAAATGGCCCCGCGTGGTTCCGCGGAGTTGGCGGGCCATCGCCAGACGGTGCTGGCATATTCATCACCCCAGCTGCCAAGGCGAATTGTGCGTTGGACGTAGGCGTGGCGGATCGAGGCCCGAGAAGCTCCGCCGACGATGACCGGTTCGCGTTGATGTCCATGGGTTGCGTGGTCGCGTCGGTCGTTGTTCTCTCCGTCGATTGATTCTGTGCGTGCAGTGTCGTCGTGGACATGAGTTCGGACAATTCCTCATCCGGTATTCGTTCTCTCGCGCCTCCTTCCTCTCTGTCTTCCGTCATGTCGTTTTGTCGAGCTTCATCCCACTCATCGTCATTCGGAGCGTCCATCTCCATTTCCTCGGGTCCCGCATCCCCCTCCGCTCCGCCCGCTTCGTCCATCTCATCTGCAACCGACTCTTCCCATTCTTCTGGCGGTTCGACGTCCGCGTCAAGATCCGCCACAAATCGGCAGTTCGGGCACATGAAATTCGGTGAGTTGCGGCCTTCGATCAAGTTGCGAATGCACTTGTAATGCCAAACATGTGAGCAGGGCGCGACGAATAATGCTTGGCACGGGGCTACCGGGTTTAAACAGATGGAGCACTCGGAGGAACCGGTCGCTGTAGCCTCTGAACCGCCAGCTTGGTTGTTGTTCAGGATGCGCTTGTGTGCGGAGGTATTGAAATTGTTCAGGCTCTTCTGCCAGCCGCGATTGCATTCGATGCGTATCTTCACGCACCTAAAGATGACCTCCTCGCCGCCCTTGAAATCGATGCCGAGTTGGACAACGTCGCCATCGTTAACAGGAAATGGGCGAGATTCTTGCCCTGGCGAGGAGAGCCGGACGTGATTCAGGAAGGTGCCGGAACTGGATTTGACGTCCTTGACGTACCACTGCCCATTGCTGCACCAGAACTCGCAATGTCTTCTGCTCACGACTTTGCTCTTGAAGCCGACGGGTAGGATGGGGGAATCGGGAGAGACGATGTTGATGTCCCGCTCACTGTACCGGCCGACTCGCACCACGCTGTGCGGTTGCTTCAGTGTTCGGGCGACGGCGGTGAAGTGGAGAGAGGGACGGGAAGAGCGGGACTCGGAGTGGGGGATGAAGCGGATCATGGGCAGCGCCGCGTCTTTGCTTGGTGTTGCTTCGTTCGTCGGGCCGGCATCACCGGGCGTGCTCTCTGTTGTTGAAGACTGCGATTGCGTGGGCGGGGGGCCTACATCGGCACTGGCCGTCGGGCCTGATCGCGCACTTGCCGCTCGTAATCGCTTCATGTCTGCGCTTGTGTTCGTTGTGTTCGTGCTCGCCGACGTGGGCAGAGGGTTTGTTCCGCTTCTTGACTTCATCAACGCCCTCGGCCGAGGTTCCTCCCCGCTGTCCTGCGATCCCTCCGTCGATGCTCCAGCCTGCTGTCGTTGTGAAGCCTGCTCGGACGCTCTTGACTCGGGGTCCGACGTGTCGCCTCTCGCGGAGTCCCTTGAGTAGTAGTTCCTCAGATAGCTCAGGCCCCTCAATCGGCTCGTCCGACTTGGTGACGGGGGCGGGGCGCTGGTGGTGGTGCTGTGAGTGGTGGCCGTGGCCAGGCCGGTGCTTCCAAGCATTGATGGGGATACGGCGGTGGTTGAAGAACCGCCAACGTAAGTGCACGCGTGTGGATGCGAAAAAGCAGGACGGAGGAGATGTTGCGATGGGTGAATGCAGTCACGGCGGAGATTCAACCCACGGAATTGTGGGGAGGCGCGGAGGGGAGGATGGATGTCGAGTGGATACCTGAGGCATCACGGGAAGGCCCGCCGGGCCCGCACCGAAGCCCGTTTTCACCAGAACTCTTGGCGCACACGAAAATGGCCTCCACCCGACGAACTTCACAACTTCGCGACCGAACACCAAGAACACCCATCCCACACAGCCGCAGCACCCAGCATTCAAGGTAATTCCATCGGAATCACATCTCCTCACGCCGTGTCGTGCATCTCCCACTAACTTGCGTCGCGAAGATGGTTGCGGCAAAGAAGCACGTCCCGATCGTGAAGAAGCGAACCGCAAAATTCAACCGCCATCAGTCTGATCGGTTCAAATGCGTCGCCCCGAGCTGGAGGAAGCCCAAGGGTATTGACAACCGTGTGAGGAGACGGTTCAAGGGCCAGGCGGTCATGCCAAAGGTGCGTGGAAGAGAACGAGATCGTGGACCGGTGGGATGGCCGATTGGCTTCTGCGACACCACCGAGTCCGACGAGATGGCATGGGAACCAGCACACTGACAGCTCGCCCCACAGATTGGTTTCGGAAGCAACAAGAAGACCCGTCACATGATGCCCTCCGGCCACAAGGCCTTCCTCGTCAACAACACCAACGACCTCGACCTCCTCCTCATGCACAACAAGACCTACGCCGCGGAGTGAGTACCCTCGACACCTCAACCCACATCATCGCCATGCTGACCTGCGAATTTAGGATCGCACACGCCGTCTCGTCGAGGAAGCGGATACAAATTGTGGCGCGCGCGAAGCAATTGGGGGTGAAGGTGACGAACGGCAAGGCCAAGATCTCGACGGAGTCATAGGTGGATGTGCATGAGCGTGGGATTCTGGACGAGGAGACAATGCATTCAAACTCTTTTGCCATGCTCCTTGATTGTGGATGTCCTATAACGCCACGCTAAAGTACCTCGTTGCAAATTGCTGGCGTAGTCGCCGAAGCACATCATCAGCTCTCATCCACCAGCGTAACTTCCTGACTCGAAGCACTCCAATACGCCAACACTTGCACCCGGAACTCCGCCATGACAATCCCAAACAGTTTCAGCAGCGCCGTCTGGTTGGAGTTCATCAGTTTGCCCTCCTCACACACCACGTGCTCCTCGTTCAGCACCACCTTGCCCTTGTCCAGTCTCGTCGGCATCCCCCACTTCCTGACCGTAGCTTCCAGTGAGTGTGGCAGAGGCACATCGTCTTCCACCGGTTGCTCACCACCAGTGCTGTGCACCACACCGGCAGGCACCACGAATGTCCTGGTGGCCGGATTGCCTGCCCTCGCAAAATCCACCTCAATGTACTCGCGAAAGTAATCCGCCACCTCCTCGGGGTCCCGACTCGTGCACAACAAACCCACGCTGCCATTCAGATGTGTCGATAGTCCCGCCAACCCCGGCATGTGCTCGTCCTCCGCCGTCGTTCCCAGCGCCTTCGCCATGACCTTTGTCTTGCCGAAGAACATTCTGCTGTCGCTGAAGTGTTGCCGGACGTCCTTGAGGTAGGTGTTGCGCATGTTCTCCACGCGGAAGACGATGATGTGTGGGTAGGTGTCGGCCGCGGCCCTCACGGCGGCGTAGAGCGAGGCGGACTTCTCTTTGCTGGGTTTCTTTTGCACCGATGAGGTGTGGACGATGCGGGCCCGCTTGGACTTGGGCATGATTGCGGTGTGATTAGAAGTCTTAAAGAGCCGGGATAGTGTTCTGAAAGATGCAGAGGTCGTGAGAAGGAGTGGTTCTTGCAATTCGCCGGAGAGTTCGAAATAATTTCTGTCCCACGATCTTCTGCCGCCGCTAAGTCCGAGTGATGCCTCAGGCTGCAACACTGGCCAGATGGTCCGAGCGTAAGTGGGTGCTCGTCGCGAACTTTTGACGCGCTTCCGCCTACACCTCTTGAATCTTGCCCACACCCACGCTCACTCTCTTACCACCGCCCCCCTCTCATCACCGTCACACCCCTCCTCGTCGCCGCGACAAGCCCCATCTCACATCACAGCGGCGTCATCGCATTCCATCGCCACGATGGGTGACGAAGTGAGCATCGACAAGGCCAGCTTCCACACCCGCCTGTCCTCGCTCATCACGCAGTGGAAGGCGGACAAGCGCAGTGGCAACAATGTCTTTGGCGACGTCGGCAGCATCGTGGTGGTAATGGGCAAGAGTGACGAGGCACAATCCTTCCACAAAACCAACGCCACCCAGTTCTGGCTGCTGGGCTACGAGTTCCCCGCTACCCTCTTCCTCTTCACCCTCGAGGCCATGTACATCGTCACCACCAAGAAGAAGGCGGCGTACCTCGACGTGCTCAAGGACGGCAAGATCCCCATCGAAATCATCGTGCGTGGCAAGGACGCCGAGGAGAATGCCAAGCAGTTTGAGCGCTGCCTGGATATCATCAAAAACGCTGGGAAGAAGGTCGGCGTGCTCACCAAAGATGCTTCCACCGGCCCGTTCGTGCAGGAATGGAAGACTGCATTTGGGGACATCAGCAAGGATGTGGAGGAAGTCGACATCGGCCCCGCACTCTCGCAAGCCATGGCGGTCAAGGACGAGAACGAACTGCGAGCCATCAGCAACGCGTCACGTGCTTCGGCCAACGTGATGCAGGACTACTTCATCGATGCCATGTCGAACATCCTCGACGACGGCAAGAAGATCACCCACAAAGCCCTCTCGGACCGAGTCGAGGGCAAGCTGGACGACGACAAGTTCTTCCGCGCCATGAAACTGCCGGCGAACTTCGACGCTCTTCAGCTGGATTGGAGCTTTCGGCCGATCGTGATGAGCGGCGGCAACTTCGATTTGAAGATGGGCGCCGAGCCGGATGAGAACAACCTGCACGCGGGCGTCATCGTCTCTTCGCTGGGTATGCGATACCAGAACTACGCCGCCGCGGTGGCACGGACGTACCTTGTCGATCCCACGAAAGCGCAAGAGAACATGTACAAGCTGCTTCTGAACGTGCACGAGACCGTCATCAAGGAGATGCGCGATGGCGTCGTGGCCAAGGATGTCTACGCCAAAGCCCTCAACCTGGTAAAGGCAAAGAAGCCCGAGCTGGAGAAGAATTTTGTGAAGAATGTCGGTGCTGGCATCGGAATAGAATTGCGCGACAGCAGCCTCGTTCTCAACGCCAAGGATACGCGGACGCTCCGGGATGGCATGACGTTCACCGTCACCACCGGCTTCTCCGACCTGGAGAACAAAGAGGCGACCGACAAGAAGCGTGACGGCACGTATGCCCTCCTGCTGACGGACACGGTGCGCATCACCTCCGGCAACGATGCATACGTCTTCACCAAGCACGCGGCAACGGACACGGAGACCACGTTGTTCTTCTTCAACGATGACGAGGAGGAGGAGAAGAAAGAGAAGCCGAAAGCGAAGAGGGACAACCGCACGGCGATAGCATCGTCGAACGAGCTCAAGACCCGCACTCGTGGACAAGGCCAGGCCACCGTGAATGAGGAAAAGGAGAACGCCCGTCGCGATCATCAGAGGCAGCTGAGGGCCAAGAAACATCGGGATGGACTGGACAAGTATCGTGAAGGGCACGGCAACTTGAACGGGACGGAGGTGAAGAAGTTCAAGCGGTTCGAGTCGTACAAACAACACAACCAATTTCCCTCACGAACTCGGGACTTGATGGTGGTGGCCGACCCAAAGACCAACTCTATCCTCGTGCCGATCATGGGCCGTCCAGTGCCCTTCCACATCAACACCCTCAAAAACGCGACGACGAGTACCGAGGGGGATTTCTGCTACCTCCGCATCAACTTCCTCTCTCCCGGCCAAGGCGTGGGACGCAAAGACGATCAACCGTTCGAAGATCCAGCGGCCCAGTTCATCCGCTCCCTGACGTTCCGTAGCAGAGATGTGGACCGCATGGAAGGCATCAAGGACTCCATCACCGAGATGAAGAAAGCAGCCGTGCGCAAGGAGCAGGAGAAGAAGGACATGGAGGACGTGGTGGAGCAGGACAAGCTGATCGAGATTCGCAATCGCCGTCCCATCCGCCTGGAAAACGTCTTCATGCGTCCGGCGATGGAGAGCAAGCGCATCAGCGGTGCGGTGGAGATTCACCAGAACGGTCTCCGTTATCACCATCTCGGCGGCGGTCAGAAGGTCGATTTGCTGTTCAGCAACGTCAAGCACCTGTTCTTCCAGCCCTGTGTGGGCGAGTTGATCGTTATCATCCACGTGCATCTGAAAGACCCCATCATCATCGGGAAGAAGAAGACGAAGGATGTGCAGTTCTATCGCGAGGCCACCGACATGCAATTCGATGATACGGGCAACCGCAAGCGGAAGCATCGCTACGGTGACGAAGAGGAGTTCGAAGCGGAACAGGAGGAGAAGCGAAGACGGGCACAGCTCGACAAGGAGTTCCGCAACTTCAGCGAGAAGATTGCGGACGCTGGAAAGGGCGACGGGCTGTCTGTGGACATGCCGTTCCGTGACTTGGGCTTCAACGGTGTGCCGGCTCGCAGCTCCGTGACGATCATCCCCACGACGGACTGCCTGGTGCAGCTCGTGGAGCCGCCGTTCCTGGTCATCACGCTCACCGAGATCGAAGTGGTGCATCTCGAGCGAGTGCAGTTCGGGCTGAAGAACTTCGACATGGCGGTGGTGTACAACGACTTCACCCGCCAACCCACCCACATCAACACCATTCCGGTGGAGTCACTGGACAGCGTGAAAGACTGGCTCGACAGCGTGGACATTCCCTTCACCGAAGGCCCGCTCAACCTCAACTGGCCGACGATCATGAAGACCATCATCTACGATCCGCACCTCTTCTTCGCAGAAGGCGGCTGGGACTTCCTCAACACGCAATCCGATTCGGAAGACGAGGAGGAGGAAGAGGAGGAGAGTGCGTTTGAAGTGTCCGATGCCGAGCTCGCTAGTGGCGAGAGCAGCGAGGACGAGTCGGAATTCGATGATGACGCTTCGGCCGAGGCCAGCGAGGAGGAAGTGAGTGAGGAGGACGAAGGAGAGGACTGGGATGAGATGGAGACGAAGTTGAAGTCGAAGAAAGAGCGTGCGGAGGAAGCCGACGAGAAGAAGGTCAAGAAGGGCAAGAAGTAGATCCCTCTTTTCCTACCGTCGACGACAGGGGCATCGATTGGTCTGCGGGCTTGCGGTGATTGCTGCAACGGTTAGTAGCATATGATATCTTAAAAAAATATGGATTTCACGCGAGACTCTCGCGACGTGTTGTTTTGGACGTGCACTCGTGGAGCAAGGCTAGCAAGGCTAACAAGGCTAAGGGTCTCCGAACCCACTTAAAGCACTTGCGTCACCGCACGCGTATAAAACGCGTCTCCCGGGCCTGTTGTGTTCGTCCATGTTCCCTCCCATCTTTTTGGTATTGTTCTGACTTGGATTGTACAAACGAGCGACATTATGGGTGCCACCAAGAAGGAACCCCGACGGCGTGCGGAGTCCGAAGAGCGTTCTAGTGGGGAGGATATGTCGGACAAGGGCGAGGTGAGTGAAGAGTATACTGCCGTGGCAAGTCTACGATCGCTGCTGACCATGTACAGCTCACCAAAGTCACAAAGAAGTCAAAGAAGAACAAGCATAAGAAGAAGACGAAGGAAAAGAGGAAGAAGACTGGCTTCCTCGATCTGCCCGGAGAGCTACGCAACATGATTTACGAGGAGGCCCTGGTGCAGCCCAAGACGATCGAGATCACTGCCGACGGGCCCGGCGAGCCCGCTCTTCTGCAAGTGAACAAGGAGATCCGCGAGCAGGCCCGGGCAATGTACTACAAGTCGAACAAGTTCAGCTTCTTCGTTCGCAATGCGAAAGGCGCCGCATTCACGCCCTTTGTCAAGCAAGCCAGCGAATTCCTCGACTTGGAGACGAAGCCGTTTGGGTTCCGCATGGCTGGCAAAGCCAGCTTCAAGAACCTGGTAGGTTTCGACGTCCCCGCAGACACGTGTGCTTCTCGTGCTGATGACGATGTTCCAGATCAAGTGGGTGAAGGCACACCAGCACCAAGGCGGCATCATGCCCATCTTCGAGGCTCCGGAAACGACGTACGAAGCGGTCATGGCCGCGGCGCTGAAGATGGTGCAGCCGCTGAGCCACCTGCCGTGGAAGGTGCAGAAGCAAGTCTTGCTCGCCTTCTACGATGGGTTGAAGGGCACGGATTCGGAGTGGGTGAAGGAGTATGATCGGGTCGGGCAGTGGGACGAATTCCTCTACCTGTCCGGACAATCGCCGTGATGCTGATTGCTCGGGAGACGGCGAGGGTGCATGGTTTGCATCGGGCGGGATTCTTGGGAATAAAACACTTGGTCAAATGAGTCCTGGTCGAAACATCTCATCAAATGCTCCATCGATCCTTCCCCACCATAATGAACAGCGCGTCGTCCAATGGCAGCTCCGACCTCGGCTTCCCCACCACGCTGACCTCCATCCCCGGCAATCAACTTCCCCATGCAAGTCAACGGCAAAGGAATTGATGTCTTGTCTTGCAATGTGATGATCAGTTCATCATCTTCAATTCCGTCAACCACTTGTGTTGTATTCTGTTCATAAACAACCGCCGCAATGTTGATCAAACCGTCCAATCGCCCCATCCGCATCGCGGGTCAGTGACAAGCCTCGTTCTCCATTACCATCCTCAATACTAACGGAAGCAGGCGCCTCGGGCTCCGTATCCGACCGTCGCTTCGCCATGGCCGCCTTCGCTCATAATTACCCCACAGAGCCCATCGACGTGATATGTTGCGACTACATGAGCGAAGGCACCATGGCGCCGGCCGCCATGAGGAAGGCCACGGACCCCGAAGGCACGCAACAGGCGCATCATCTGATGGATCCCGTCGGCCCGGCCTTCGAACGGACGTTCCTGGAAGCCCTCCAGCCCGCACTCGAGGACGTGAGCAAGTACGGAATCCGCATCGCCGCCAACGCCGGGGCCAGCAATACAAAGAAATGCTACGAAGCCGTGGTCGCCATGGTCAAGGATAAGGGACTTGATATCCCGGTGGCGTGGATCGAAGGCGATGATGTCCTGAGTGCGTTTCGAAAGGATCTCGACAACGGCACCGGCGGGTTCAAGAGTCTCCACACGGGTCTCAGCCTCGCCGACTGGAAGACTTCTGGTTTCGAAGCCATAGGCGCTCAGGCGTATCTTGGTGGCATGGGCATCGCAGAGGCTTTCCGGCAAGGCGCGCAGATTGTCGTCTGTGGTCGAGTGAGCGATGCCAGTCCATTCATCGGTGCGGCGGCTTGGTGGCACAGCTGGAGTCGAGATATGCTGGAACCCATTGCGAACGCCTTGATCGCGGGCCACCTGCTCGAGTGCAGTACGTACATCACCGGTGGCAATTATTCTGGCTTCCAGGCGCTCGAACAGTCGAGTTGGGGCTGGACCGAGCTGGGCTTCCCCATTGGAGAGATCAGCAAGGATGGGAGTGTTGTGATCACGAAGCAGAAGAATACGCCGGGCGTGGTAACGGTGCACACGTGTTCCTCGCAACTGTAAGTGCCTCTTCTGACCCTTCGTCTGCGTCTGATGGAAGCTCACACGGCCAGACTTTATGAAGTGCAAGGCGTGTGGTACTACAACAGCGACGTGACCGCCGTCCTCAGCGACATCTGGTTCGAACAGATCGGCGCGGACCGTGTAGCCCTCCGCGGCGTTCGAGCCCTTCCGCCCCCGCCGACCACCAAAGTCGGCATCACGGCTTTGGGTGGCTACCAAGCCGAAAACATGTGGTTCGCGACTGGCCTCGATGTGCCCGCAAAGGCGCGCATGCTGGAGCAGCAACTCCGAGCCGTCCTCGCCCCTTTCTCCGACAAGTTCACGCTGCTCAGGTTCCAGACCATTGGCACACCGGGCGTGAATGCCGACTCGCAGGACGCGGCGACGGTGTGCTTCCGCATCTTTGTCCAGGCGAAGCGGCAGCAAGATGTGGCGCCGAAGAAGTTCTTGCGACCAGTCACGGACAGCATCATGCAGTGCTACCCGGGCGGGACGTATAATTTGGACATCAGACAAGGGCTCCCGAAGCCTTTTTACGAATACTACGTCACTCTCCTGCCGCAGAGTGAGGTGAAACACGCCGTGCATTTCAACGGCAAGACCACGCCCATTGCTCCCCCTCCGAACACGAAGACGTTCCCCGAGCGGCCACCCTCACAAGCCACCACCGAAGCCAAGGTGGACCTCGCGTCTTTCGGCCCGACACAACGACTTCCACTGGGCACGATCGCATACGGACGCTCGGGCGACAAGGGCTCCGACGCCAATTGCGGCCTCTGGGTGCGGCACGAAGACGAGTACGCATGGCTGCGCAACCTGCTGTCCATCGACAGCATCAAAGCCTTGCTCGCCCGGGAGTACTGGAATCCGCCGGCGCCGAAACCCACGCCATTCATTGAGCGCTGCGAGCTGCCGAACCTGAAGGGCGTGCATTTCCTGTTCCGCAACTTGTTGGACCGGGGCGTGACGAGCACGAGCAGCATTGATTTCCTGGGTAAGAATGTGGCCGAGTTCCTCCGGCAAAGGGAGGTGGATATCCCCACCCGGTTCCTGGCGAGGGGAAAGTTGTGAAGCGTGGTAGACAGACTAAATGCTGTTGAGAAGGGCAGTGATTCCCCAGCCCGCAGCACATGCCTTGAGGGCCACGCGGCCTATAGCATCGTTAGCATCGTGATCGCGAGTCGCTCGGTGATGATGTTAAAAACACACCGAAATTGGACATGCGCCATTTCACCAGCACCCTCTCGAAGTCCTTCGCCGCCTTCTCATCCTCCACGTCCTTCTCCAACTTGACCAACAACGCCACGAATCGTCGATTGATCGGCAACATGACTTGAAAGACGTATACTGTGATGCTGATGTAGAAACAAAAGGCCGCGATCAAGTACGGCATGCGAGCCCTGGCCGTGGAGCATTGATCTCGGTAGACAAAGGCCAGGATGAGCGCGACGAGGTTGCCGAGCTCGGCGACGATGTTGAGCGGGGGAAAGAAGCGCTCGCTGTTGTGCAGCAGAGTCTTGGTGTGTTTGGCGGCGAGGAGAGCGCTCGTCCCGGCTTTGCTGTTTGGCAGGGAGTGTGGAGCGAGCGAGGGCATCACCACGAGGGACTGGAAGAGTCCCGCACCTGGAGGGTGTTAACTAGGGGGGATCAGTATGGATGGCTTGGATGAGGTGACGACGGACCGAAGCTCGCCGTTGTCCCCAACACGGCGGTGAGTTGTAGGGAAAGAAGCACCGTCCAGACGGTGGGCGAGCACGACATCTCTGCGGTGAGCTTCACGGTCGTGTGTCTTCTACCCCAGCAAGTCAAGACGAAGTGGTGTTGATCATGTCGCCATCCGGCAACCTTCTCCGCTCTTCCCCCCGAAAGTTCGCCGGATAACTTAACTCATCACGCGAGACCCACGCCGCGATGTCCGTCCAGAGAGACGCGACGGAATGGAAGCTACAAACCCACTCTTCGCCGTGAACTAAGGAAATTGACCGCACGGCCAATCTTGTGGTGTGGATATCATCAGGTGGGGGACGGAACCCCTGACGTTTCATTCTCAATGTCCTTCCCCCGCGGCCTGCACCTTCCTCTTCCTTCCTCTGCACCTTCCTCATCGTCTCTTCATCCATCCCTCACCATCTGTATCAGCCCGACCTCATCACATCACATTTCATCCTGCTGCAGGCCCGCCGTCTTCCCATCGGGCTCCCTCTGGTCTCAGCATCTTCATCCTACAGTGGGAAGGCTTTGGCAATGATATTCGAGGCCACGTTCATCTAGCTGGTCCGTCACATCACATCACATTCACTCTTTTCGTCGGCATGGATCGTCGTCACATCCGACCTGGGTCTCCATTCGTCCTCATCGACGTACCATCCAGTCCTTTACCACCGCTATACTCGCCAGAAACCCCAAGAGATGAGGCCAATTCGCCGCCCTTGTCGCCCTTGACACCCCCATCCGCGCAAAGATCGAATGGATCCGCGGGAATCGAAGACGATTCGCCTCCGTTTCTTCACCCGTCGCCGCCGTCCCATCGAAAACGGAAAGCATCCGTGGGACTCGAAGATAGTTCGCCGTCGTCTTTAGCCCCGCTGCCAACACCACCCCATCGCAAATTGAAGAAACCTGCAACAATCGAGGACAACTCGCCGTCGTTTCTTCGCCTGTGCCCGACATCCCATCGAAAATCGAAGCCGTTCGTGAGACTCGAGGGCAGTTCGCCCCCGTTTTCTCACGTGTCACCGCCGGCCCATCGACCTTCTCAAGAACCCGCGAGAATCGAGAACAA